TGAGCACAGACTCGTCTTATCTCTCGCCTACTAGTAAACTAAAGAGCCTCCTGTGTCCGCTCTCTAGCTCTCTCCTAACCGCTGCTAGGCAGTCGATTTACAGGCCTCGTCTCGGCCGTAGTATACCTTTCAAGAGTAGCGGACGGGAGCGGCAAATCTGAACTGCCCCTGGCTAGAGTGCGGAATCTCTGTTGCATCCTCTGATGAGTATCATCCTACTATGGACTGATCATCGTGGGCGGGGACATGGCCGCATGTCCTGCGACCAAGCTGCCGAGGTTCAATGCATCTGGTGAATGCAATATATCCAGTCGCCCTGAGCGTGTGTGCTGTGCTCTACACTGTCCCTCAAGCGCATATCCTCCAATCCAAGACCTGCATATAGCCCGAGCAGGCCGTATGCAGCGTCCTGCATTCTGCGCTGAGAGCCTAAAACAGTCAGTCATATGGCACCATCGCCTGGAATTTTGCATGCCCCGTCAGCTGAGGCCCAAGCATTGCAAAATCTCCTCTCCCCTGACTTAATTCGAAGAGTTTTCTGTCGATGACGCATCTGAGTTACAGCGCCTGAAGAAATTTTCCAAATTGCAGTGTGTGCGCCCGGGACTGTGTTTTTTTTTTCTTCTAAGTATTGGAACATCCTGGACGCCTTGGCAGGCGAGGAGAATGACAGGGCACGCTTAGCCTTGTCCTCGGTCGGCCTTCCCCTGGTCATGCTCCATAAGTCCCCCCCTGTTCCCTGTCCCTTGTCCCTGAGCTGGTCCTATTCTGCTGTGACGCTCAACCTCAACCCTGCCGAGCCTGCCAGAGCCCTGGCCGGCTTTCAAACATTCCGACCACGATCTGCTAGCAATCGCCGTGCCCTGTCAACCATAAGAGTTTATGGAGACAAGGTAGGGTTTCAACAATGACAGTAGCCAGCCATTGGTCGGCTGCCGAGCTGGGGTTGAATGGAGCTGCCCAGGGCTCCTGGCAAAGCGCCGACCTTTCAGATCAGCAACAGCACGACATTGCTGGCGTTTCTGTAATATCGCCTACGCAAAAGGCACATGGAGAACACTCCACGCTGCTCTCTATCAAGCCACATACGCCGAATCCGAAGCCATGAGGCCAGGCTCAGGGCCTGGACCCTTGACATTGTTTGATCCTGAGCGCCCGTTCCGGCTGCCGAAGACGAGGACTGTCATTCCAAAGAAGCAAAGAATTCATGTTATCTACGTTAAACGCCATGCGCATTCCTTCTATTCTGAGATCCTGCGTGAGTAGATGAGATGCATCACTGTCCAAACGGGCGAGGGTAAGACAGCGTCAACGACGCATCCAATTCAAGGGGCCTGTGCGAGTTTCTTGTGCTTCACGACCCTTACCGTCTCGTCAATCTCATCCTCCCCAAGCTCTTTCGTGTTTTGACAGACCTCCTGTCTAGTGTCGGTCTAGGTCGCATCAAATTGATCTTAACCTTGCAACTTCTCCGCATTCGCATGTGGATACTCACGGACGGTCCTAACGCCTTTTTTTTTTGCTTCTTGTGCGAGAGAACCCCCCTGAAGCCATTGACCAGTCATTTCCCCCCGCAGTCTGTAGTTTGGCAGGGGCAAGAGAGTGGCCCTCGTTCGGCTTTCCCCTTTATCACGTCATTAGACGAAGCTATTGACACTCACGCTATGGCTCCCTTCAGTCCTGTGACCTTCAACAGCGCCGAATCTGACCTATCAAGCAGCCATCCCGACTGTATAAGTGACCATGTTAGGGCTAGCCTCTCGGAAACGGCAAAGATTCAGGGGCCGTCGGACAGCAGGATTCGACAATTGGCATGGGCTCATTCAAAATCGGTCAAATGTCAAGCAAATCTGAGCAGGAGGCTTCGACCAAGATGCAAATAGTGTTATATTGCGGGCCAAGATAGTGCTCTCAAGTCGGGCGGGCCGCCTCTGTGGCGGCTATCTTGCCGCTCGTCCATTGCACGGGGAGCAAAATAGATTTCGAATGCTCGTGATTATGAATCGAGGGCGCTACGATGCGGGCTCGGCAGAATGCAACTGTCCTGGACGGTTTCATCGTGCTAAGCGACTCGCATTGCAATGTTGTGGTTTTGTTTGTGGCTGTTGCAAGGGCGGTTCGATAGTATCGCCGCACATATACGGACCTCCGTTTATTAGCGGCTCAACACAGACAAACCCTGCTGGCCTGCAATGATGATCAGACAGAAGTCTGTCTTCAATTGCTGGTGCTACAGCACCCCAGAACTAGCAGGCATCGAGGATGCTACGGTGCACCATCTGCCAAATTTCGATCGTGGCACACGCGTGGCCAGTTGCGTGACTTGTGACCCTTGGACCTTGGTCCATCATCCACTTGGCGGACGAGAGTGAACGCCTCTTGTGTTACCTAATACCAAGGCAATCTGTGCCGACCTCCCCTCATTCGAAAACGCCTCCAACCTGCAGGCAAAACTGAAAGAGGAAAGCCTGATCATGGGCCAGTAAGAGGCGTGGGCGAGGATTCAGCAAGAAAGAGAGCTGTCAGGTCACACAGGAAAACCCAGCCAGCACTGGGCGATGAGTTGTGGGCAGATAGCTGCCTTCCTCCTTCGAGTCCCTCCCCTCCTACCTTCGACGACGCTTCTTGTGTGTGAGACTTTCTAACGCTCTCGGTGAAACCGGCCCCCATGCCCTGCCATTCTAACGAATTCTTTGTGCTGTCTGGACCGGTCTCTGGTTCAGCCCGTTGTCGCCTGCTGCCGCCCATTGGGTGAAAGGGAGACCACACAGAGATGCTCGTGCGAACCATTGCACCGGCTAAGGCAAACCATTTACTCATCACACACCCCTACCATCTCTCTTGGTCCATTGCCCGAATGGCTTGTGAAATTGCAGAGAAGCCTATGAGGGGAATTTCCAAACCAGCTAGAAAGTATGGCCTGCCAAGGCCAGGCCAGAGTTTGCCAGGTGATACACCTTTCTCTGTCTCTTCATGCTCTGCTCCTCAGGGTGCCCTCCTTAAAGACGAGTGTCTATAAACGGCAACGGACAAAAATCTCCGAATGGAACAGGTCCCCTAATCAGGTTCCTGCCAGGGAAAAGGCTCGCAGAGGGCTAAGGAAAAGTTGGTTTCGCACCCAGCACAGAGGGTTATATCCGGGCTTCATCTGCGGCCGCTGGCAACGATGATTGGCAACCCGGTGGGAAGGGCATGGCCGTGCCCCGCACCGAAGCTGCGGGTTGCCCAGTTTCTCATCACACTTTCCAGCCAGGCGGGCGGGAGGGCGTGGGAAGGACCCAGCCATTTTGTGACGGCGACGGTGTTCTCGTGCATTTGCTGGGAAACGGGGCGGGCGTTGCGATGTGATGTGGTGCATGCCTCTCCGCTTTGGGGGGAAGGGGGGCTGCTGGCCGTGTCACACCCACATCTCGGGATTTGTTCATAGAGACAAGTGCTCTGCTCTCCTGCTGGGTCCATCACAGCACAGTACCGTCACGGCCCTTGCTCGGTGCGGGTGGGCATCTTGGCCCAGCTCAGTTTGGTAGGTGAGCTTCCCGTATGGTGGTTGGCTAGTTGGCTCTTCGGCGCCAACATTTCGATCCATGGCAATGGTCAGGCCGCCGAGTTGGCGCAGAGAGGCGTTCACCTCTTGGAATTGGTCCGTCGATCATTGGCTCGCACTCGGGCGGCCAGCAATGGCCTGCCATGTGTCGTTCAGGCGATGCTAGTGCACGTCTTCCCGAAAGAGGTCCTCTCGCGAGCTGTTCAGCAGCTGTCAGGACACCACTACGGTCCTATTCTGGCCAGCTGGTGAACGACGACCTTCCAGATTCATTCAGTACGTGCTAAGAGGATATAGTGATCAGCGCATCTGGACGGCATTCGACCTACAGTAACACTTGTATTGGAGCCTCATTGGACACTGCACTCAACGAAGGTTGAGCCCTAAGGTGGTCATATCTGCTTATCAAGATTGCGAGGATGTAGCACAAAGCAAGACAGACGGGTGCCATGTGATGTCTACGGGGTGTCGTCGTATCCAAGGCTGGCGCTCGTCGGATCCGCCACCTTCGATACAGGGAAGGCTGGGCTTAATGGCAGCAAGTAATGGACCAAAAGTTGCATACACCGTGCACAGATGGCGTTTGAAGCCAACGTGGTGGAACCAACGCTCCACTCTTCGTTGATGGGAGCACACCACCAGGACTGCAGGAACTTGACTAAGAGGGATGGACGGCTTCGAACGTTGGAGGCTACATCGTCCGGCTGACCTGCGCGAAGGGCCTTGGTTCCTGCTTCGGCAGAGGCAGGAAATCAAGATACGGCGAGACATAGACCATTCTCTCTTCCGCGATCGTCATCCGGCATTCGAGTGTCGCCTCACTGGGGCCATACTTGCGTCCGGGATCTGGTTACACAGCAAGGTCTTCCCCATGCTTAGAAACGTTGAGGGAACAAACGTTCCGCCGGGAATAGGGGGGTCGAGAGAACACATCCCCGACTGGCGATCTCCGAGAAGACTTGGCTTTGCAGGCATTTCACAAACTTCTGACTGCGTACGAGTGAAAGATACAGGTCAGATCGGATCGTGTTGTAGTTAGGGTGACCTCCCGGCCGAGATCATATCATGCAGCGGGTGTACTGCTTGGGATGGTGCCGGTGGTCAGGTGGTGAGTCTTAGAACAATCGCATCTCACAGCAGATTCGTGTACGACGTTCCACGGCATTGACGGTCTTTTGAGGGAAAGGCTAGTCCATATAATCAACGAAGCGTTACGCGATGATGCCGTGAATTTACTCAAATTATCTCATTCGAATAGCAATCAAATAATGAATTATAATATTACATCATAGTTACCAAAGTTTGGCCGGCCTGCTACTCCATACGTTTAGGAACTTCAATTCGTGATGGACTCTGCTTGGACATGAAGTGAGGATTTCTTAGTCTCAGAGCTCATTGTGGACTGTCGGCTCCTCCACTATGGCCTTTGGCTCCAACCAATACTGGACCTCTGTATTTACAATGGTTGTATCTCTGCAGCCTCGATTAGCTGTGCCAAATAAAGGGGTAACGGGGAGTCATACTCCTCGCTATTGCCACCTTCACCCCCGGCTGAGCGTAACGAAACCTCGTTATCAAGACGATATCGCGCGTCGAAGCGATCGCGGATGGCTTGATCCTCCTCAAAGAATTGACTAATTGATGTGAGCAACTATTCATGTGTATTGTCGAGGTCATTATTGTGAGATATGTACTCACTCTGCCTCGGCCACTATACGATCTATTGCCTCCCAGTCCCGGAATCGGTTCGTATTATCCTGTGAGCCGGGCGTCAATAGTGAATCTTTCGTGAGATAATATTGAGGCCCCCAACCAGTGTTATGCTTTCATTTTTGCCAGTGCCTAGATAAATGTCAGTGACACGTGGACTGGACATGTTTCTCGAACCAACCTTTGTCGGTAGCGATGACTTTCAGTATCCCGTTGGCCTTCTCGAAATCAGTATATCAACATCATAATAACGATTCAATAATGAACGCACGTCGAGCTCGAAAACCACTTCTATCTGAGGGACACCCCTTGGAGCAGGAAGAATCCCAGTCAGCTCGAGCTGTCCCAGAAGTTCGTTGCCCTCGCTCAATGCCCGTTCGCCCTCCATAACTTTGATAACAACGTCTTGCTGGTCATCGACTGCCGTGGAGAAGATTTTGGTCCTGCGTATTGGCATAGGGTAATTTCGGGGAATTAGCTTGACTGTCAGATTGCCGGCTGTGTCCTGTGGGTAGAATAAGCTTCAAGTATCGAATGATAGCACTGGCTTTTCGGTGGATGATGCCTACAACTCCAAGTGAGAGTCCATTCACATCCGGGAATATACACCCCCAATCTTCAGACTCGTCACCAGAAAGAACACCAGCTTGCACAATGGCGCCGAGTATCACGGCTTCCGTATGTCCCGCTGTGATGTTCTTCTTACCGTCAAAGTAAGCGTCTAAGAGCTGAGACACCTCAAGATGCGAATTAGCATTAGTCTGTCTATAACAGGCACATGCCTTACTCTTGAACTGTGGATAGAGCCACCGGCGAGTATAATGTCGTTGGTCTCTTCCTTCGTCCGATTCGCGTCTAAATAGCAGCGTTAGCTAGCGGGAAGGTGATGCGTACAACAATCTAAAATGGGTTACCTTTGAACGCCTGGTCAACTATTTCCAGTGACCTCTGAAGAAGATCCTCCTGAATTCCAGCAAGGTAGTCTTGAGTGATGAGCCGCGAGTATTCCTTGCCATTAGAGAAAGATTCTATCTCAAGATAGGTTTGCGTCAGATTAGACAGTGCTATCTTTGCCCGCTCGACCTCGACTTTGAGCTTGTGCATTGCGATCCTGTCCGTACTAACGTCAATGTCGTGTTCCAGGTGATATCCCCATGCCAATCTAGATTGCATCGTTAGTTAATCTTAACAGGTAGTCGAGTGAGCTCAGGAGACATACTCATCGACGATCCGCTGGTCAAGGGCATCACCACCAAGGTGGGGATCGCTAGCCGTTGCTAGAATCTCGAAGACGCCCATGTCGACATCGAGGATGGACACATCTAGTGCACCGCTACCATAGTCATATACAAGGATCTGGCGCTCATCGTCATTGCGATCTAGCCGGTGGCCAATTGCTGCCGCAGTGGGCTCGTTAACCAGCCTTAGAATCCTGAGATCAATAATAGCACCCGCGTCCTTGATTGCTTGACGTTGATCATCCTTGAAGTATGCAGGCTAGAATGACAGTTAGTATATAAGACATGGAAAAGACTTGAAGAGCGCAAATGCTTCATCAGGCCCATAAGCGTAAGCGTTTGAGATCCTACCACTGTGACTACTGCAGAATATATTCTGTATGATATCAGTCCAAGTTATGAGGCTCAGAGCCAAGTCATGCTTACGTCTCGTTCAGGTAATCTTCAGCAAGCATCTTTGCCCTTGCAAACAGCTTACTGACAATTTCCTCCGGCGAAAAAGTCTGGGTTTTGCCTTTCACCACGACTTGCACAGCCGGCTTGCCGGCTTTATTGACCACCTTGTAGGGCAGAACCTCCACACTAATAGAGGGTTAGCTATTGTTCATTTGTCAAAAGGGCTTTGGATACCTCTCCTGGACCGCCGGGTCAGAGAAGCTCCGGCCGATGAGCCGCTTGAGTCCGTATATAGTCCTGTCGGGGTTGTCAAGGATTTGGTTTTTCGCAGCTGTGTTGTGTTAACCCATTTAATCCTCGATCCGGTATGAGGTCTTCGGTAGACAAACCTTCGCCGACAAGGATTTCGTTGTCGGTGAACGAGACGTAGGACGGTATGCAACGATTATCTGGTCCTTGTGATAAGTATGTCTTGCAAGAGAGCGAACTAATGGCTACGTCAAACCTTGATCAGGTATAATTCTTGGCTCCAAGTTAGCGTTCTTTCGTATGCCCTTCAAGTGCTTAGGCATTGTGAGGTCATCTTACATCCTGTCTCCCTCGTTGCTACTGTATCCAACACATGTGTATGTCTATCCAACCAGCGATCAATCGTCAAGTAAATACCTGGAAAAGGAAAGCCTGGAGGAAACCGCGCCAGAGTAGTGATTACTTACAGTACCCAAATCCTATGATAACTTAGCTAGGTATTCTCAAGGGTGACAATAAGTAATGACACGAATATAGGGAAATCACTCACGATGGCGATAACAGTGCCATATGAATAGGGGTCGTCGTTGTACCTATAATTGTAGTTCGGGCGAGTCAACCAGAAACAAGCGGGAAAACACAGTAACGCCACCACTGCAACAAGTAGGAGGCCGAGGCCCCATCTTGAGCTTCGTCTTGCGATCATATTAGGAGATGGGCTTCGGCCTCGATCTCGCTTTTCTGTGTCCAGGGGTTCCCGAACCATACCTCTGTACTTCGTCAATAAAGCTCGGATGGGCCGCTAATAGTTACAATATTTATCGTATCAGTAAGAAACACACACTGACTTTGGTTATGAGTAATTCTCGAGAGATCTAGATATTTGTTGGGTAGATGAAAATTGCGCAGAGGCCGTAAAACAAATAAATAGCTGGTGTCACAGTCCAACCCTGGAAGGACTGAATGACTTGAGCGCCAACGACAGGAGGTTCGCGGTGGAGTATAACTTAAAGCATTAGACAGGGCAAGTCTTATAACATTGCGCAGTCCCCAAAAAAACATTTCAACGTAGTGTCCATCGATGTATTGCTCTGTTTTGAGAGAATCCAAGCTATTTCAATAGTTGTTGTTTTGTCCAAGTTTCGCATTAGGACACATCTCTCACTAACACCAACAATAATAAGAGAGGTAATCCACCACCTACGCCAAGCATTCCTTCCCTCACCACGACGATCAAATTACAATAAAAGTGTCCTGTTGAGACCCCCTCTCCAATTCTTGGATATCTGATGATGGTGAACTGCCAGCCCAGAGCGTCGGCTCTTGGAGAAGAGCCATGTCCAAGGCAGTCAAGCCAGATGTCAATAACCCTGTTTGATCCTTGCAAAAATATCCTTCGAGCTGGGAATGACTCAACCCTACCACGGTGGCCTGGCAAGCGATGAGACCAGATCACCGAACTTGCATATTTTACTGTCTACGCTGGGTCGACGGTCTTTGGTGCAATTGCAGCAACTAGGCCAACTCTGAAAGGCGACTCGGCATTAACTCGGTGGCTCCTTTTTTGTCCATGACCTACGAACAATTTGCACGCACACAACCTTGCCAAAATCAAGTTCTAGTCATCACTACATTACTGTTGACAGATATTCCTAGGCTAGCTAGTTGTCGCGAGTCCTCGGCTTGCCACTTTTGTCTGCCACCCCTTCCCTCTCGTCACCCCTTTTCAAAAAATAACCCTGACAACTAAACCTCCTCGGGGCAGATGTGTAGCGTCCTGCCGCATCCGTCCAAATTCGTTCTTGTCTTATATGTTGTTGCATCTAGACGAATGAAGAGACAACTCTGAATGTTGCATCCCATTCGGCCACGGTGATTGTGGACCAAATGAATGCCGAATCGTCTATGTGGTATCATACAATAAGAACAGAGAGAATGGGAGGTTGTAAAAAGAGCCTCGATCTCACCAACTGACCATAACACAGACTTCACAACCCGTAAACCTCCCAGGCATCGAAATTATCTTGCGAAGTGTTGTGACTCTTGGACGAGGCAGCGGTGTCGTTTGACTCGTAGGAAGGAGCGAATTCATTACGCAACTCTTCGCGCAGTCACAGTTCGTCGTCGTCCTGCTCCAGCTCGGAGGGCTTCATCAAACCACCTACCTTTGAGCGTCGCTCGATGTCGGCCTGCTTTGCGGCATGCTCCTCCTTTTCCTTCTCCACGAGATACAATTCTGCATTGTCGCCCGCGAACTCCTTCAGTGAGATCAGGAAGTCACGCAGGGCAAGACGGAATTTGTCGTACTGGGTGTTGAGAGTGAACAGTCCCTCAACAAAGGCCGCAATCTGTGGTCTGTATCATATTGTTAGTGAGGTGGCCATAAACCGGAGAAAAAGGGAAACACATACGTCTGGAGATTACTGAAGGCGTTGCTCAAAAGGGTACCAACAAAGTTACCAAGGAACTCTCTGTTGCTCGTGCCTGGCTGAGCCTGATCTGGTTGGTAAATAGGTCCTTGGATCTTAGGTGACGAGCCATCTGCTGGCTGAACGAAGTAAATCATGCGCATCAGTAACAGTGACTGTGTCTTGAAGCCGGCCTTGTGGTCCTGATCAGTGATGACGAAGAACACATCCTGCAAGATAGGGATGAAGAACTGGTTGAAGAATGCGTTTGACGTCTGGACATCAGTCTTGTCGGCGATATTGTTAATAAGCTCAAGACACATGTTGAGGCCAGCGGCCTCGACGTCGCGGTTATCATGCTTGCTGGCCCAAAGGCACGAGTCGATCACGAACTTGAACTGTCGGTTGTCGAGTTTGAGCAAAGCCGGGAAACAGTGAAGGTTAATAGCCCTCAGCAGATTGAAGAACTCGACTCTGTGCTCTGGGAATTCCGAGAAGTCCTTATTGATCATATCCAGCGTGCACTCGAAGACATTCTCCATAATGACAGGGACTTGGTCTTCCATCAGAGATGATAGTTTGGAGATGACAGCTGTCATAGCTCTTAAAACTTCGGCATCCCGAGCTCCGGCGACGTTGCGATTGTAGTCCACGAGTACGGAATCGAGCAGTTGCGGGACCATCTGAGCGCGCACTGCCTGGAGATCATCTGCCTTGTCCACAAATGTCTCAATCAGCTTCAGGATCTCCTTCTTTATCGTCCGCAATCCGCGGACTTTAGGCATCTTGGTAGCTATCTCTCCATCACGGGCAACAGCCTCAGAAATTAGTTGGCTCGTTGCGCGATACATCTGCAGCATGTCATGGTAGATACGGCCGATCTGCGGATAGAAGTAGGGTCCGACAGATGAGCAGGCTGATACGTTTGTCTTCATGATATTACCAATAACCTTGATGGTATTGGCATCCTGCAGGATATTTGGGTCCACCGTTGCCTGCTTGATGATCGTATCCCAAGCGGCATTCGGGAGAGCCATGAGATCAGAAAGCAAACGTTCCTGCTGATTGCGGTTGCCCTGGGCGGCAACCATGTAACCACATGCTTCGTAGAAAGTGTGCACTTGCTGAGGAGTGAGATCGCACGTTATCTTCTGGAGGTTTCTAACTATCTCCTCGATGAACGGCTCTTGCTCGCTGGGCTGTAGTGCAACAAAGTGACGTCTGCACGACTTCGCGATTTTAATGAAAGTATCGCAAGCCATGTCCTGAACACCTACAAATCATTAGACAAGTCAAAAGGGGCGGGGTTTAGGCTGGATGCATACCTTCATGGGATTCGTGCATGAACTCAAACAGCTTGTTCACAACAGTCTTGAGAAACTTCCAATGGGCCTTCAGGAAACGAGGATACTGGCCAACAATGTACATGATGTTGCTGGCAACAACGGCCTTGTTGTCCTTCCCGCGCTTCATCTCTGTCAAGCCAAGAAGGTCCTTGATCACAGTGACCAAAAAGCGCTTCTCGGTCTCTTCGTTCATTGCCAGGGAGATGGATCCAATGGCCCAGCACAAAACATTGCAGTTGTGCCAAGACCACTCACTGCCGTCAACCTGTTTGGCAAGCTTGTCGGTCATGATCTGCTCGGTATCGACGACATCGAGATGGGTGAGATAGACAAGGCACTCGCGAATAGTCTTGTACAGCTGCACGGTATCACTCTCCTTTACGAATTCTCGTACAATCTCACCCTCGTCGTTCTCAACAATCAAGACTTCCTCAGGACGAACCATCTTCTCAATCATGACGATTCGCAGATTCGACAGCACCTCGCCGTACTTGTGCTTTCGTAGGGGATAGTTTGTCAAGAGCGCAGGGTTTGGTGCGCCGCCGGTGGACATTGTGCCCATCGCCAAAAGGGGGTTCATGTCCGTAATGGGCAATGCCTGCATCTCCTCATAGAGCTCCTGAACAAGCTTTAGCCAATAATCAAGGCAGATCTTGAAGATCTCGCGGTCATCAATCTGGGAGATCCGAATGAGATAGTAGTGGCCGTGACTGAGATAATCGCGGTTTGGTAGATTCTCGATCAACTGTGCCAATGTTAGTTATTCTAAATTTTAGAAAGAGAAAAGAGATTTGCATACATTGAGATGCATGGAGAAAAAGTTGGTGAGGAATAGAGCAAGATTCTGAACGAATTGCTGGTCGCGCGAATTACTCTGTGAATAGGTTGACTTGAGGTCGATAGTAATGGGGATGATGGTTGAGATGGTAGCAAGGACCTCGGTGAACATCTTTACAAGCTGTTCATCATAGTTGCCGACCTGCCCAGCACCCGCTGTCTGTAGACCACCAATCTCTGTCAAACACTGGAGGGTTACGTTACGAAACTCAGGAGTCTCGAGGAAGCGCGTGCGCAAAGTCTCAATCAGAGGTGTTTCGAAGATGTAGCCCAATGGAATCCAGTTACAGAAGCGAAGCAATGTCTCCAAGGTGGCTTGAATCAGGCTCTGCTGATTTGCGGTATTTAGAATCTCCTGGCACAACTGGAAGATCTGTGAGAATTCGGCACACATGACCGTCTTCAAGTTGCGGGTCTTGGCGGATGTCATCTGCTCGGCAGAATAGTCGAAGACCTCCTCGGACAAGAGACGCAGGATAATCATGTTGTTCTCGCAGACCGACAGACTCGAATGACAGGCAGATATGATTTCGTTGATGAACGTTGGCCAGTTGTGGGGCCACTCCTGCTTCAGGACGGAGACGAGAACGAGATTGAGTTTGTTGAGCAAAGTCCGCTGAGATCGTAAAGACTCCTCGGTACTCGAGCATTGGAGGATGAAGCTCACAACGAAGTTGCGAATGCCTGGGATGATGATATTAGCAGGCGCCAGCCATGCCTAGCTGCCCTTTGGAAAAAACAAACCTTGGCACTGCTCTCTAGGCAGGACTTTCCATCTTGTCATGATCACATTGTCGAGAACCTGGAGTGCGAGGTCTGTACATGAATTAGCCTACACGATATAGACAGAACAAACAAGATTGAACCAAAAACTTACACTTTGTCTGCGGGTAAGATGCCTTGGACAGGATGTCATCCACCATCAGCCATGCATCGGGATCTTCCTTAAACTATCATGATCGGTTAGTCGAGGCTCCGTGGCGATATTGCGAGGGCGGTGGAGAGCAACTCACCTGGTTCAAGGCAGCCTGGGCAGCTTTTTGCTAAACGTAGGAAAGGCAGGTCAGCCATGATCGTAAACTTGAGTGCTAGGAGGAGATGGAATACCTGATCGCCACGACCTTCATAGAAGGAGCGCACAAGCTGGTCCAGCTCCTCGATGGAGATCGCCATGGCGGAAAGCGGGTGGCAGGAAGGAAGCTATCTCTGGCGGTAAAGTAGACGGGCGTTCTTTGGGAGGGTAGAGGGAGGGATTATGGGGAGAGTTCAAGGGGCCACAGAAGACAGAGGTCTGCCGCCGACGAGGTGGAGTTTCCCAAGGTGACGATGACAGAGAAGGCTGGTGATCGGACGGAGAGGAATCGGGTGGAAAGGAAGAAGAGGTGAGTTGGGTTTTGCAGCTCGCGACAACAGCCCCGCGTTGGCGGGGAGGCTAGGAGGTAGGTACACTACAGTACGGTCGGCTAGGTAGGCATAGACAGTACATTACCGCCTCCAGTAACGCCCCCCTCCCCGGCGGTTGTAACAGCTACCGGGCTCAGCCACAGCCTCTGTTTAATTCCGTGTGCTTCCTGTAGCCGACGCGCCACACCTGTACGTCACTGATACCTTGCAGGCACCTAACGCGCTTCCTGCCTGCTGGGAGTCGGATATGGAGCTCCAATTGTGGTTTTGTCAGCAATATCGAATCGTGCATGCTCGCCAGCTTACACCGCACCAAAGTGCCAATGTGAAGAGTGCTGTCCCAAAGGAGAGATCTCAATGATTCTCCAGTTCATTATATTTACAAGCTGGTTATAGAACACATTGCTGCAAGAAACCAGGTTGTCCATCAAGCTTCACGGAATCATATTCTTGGCTTGAAGTAATTGCTATCATTACTCCTTCTTTGTCCGACTTTTCAATCTTTCAGCTTAGGAGACAGCCAACCCTGGCTCAACAGCTTAAAAATCTGAATGGGCTCATGCATCTTCAAAGAATATGATGGAGCGCCCACAGATTCATGACTCGGATTTGGTCTCTTGTACTCTAGACGTCTCTGGTAAATGTCTACCTATGGCAAATCTAGCTTGCTTTTCCGTTGTTCCGAAAGATACACAGTCTCGGTGCCACCGTCTATTCCTATCATATATGCGGACCGCCACCTCGGGGAAGAAACTGTTCCGACCCTTTGTACATTTTCCAATTGCCCCTTCGCTCATAGGCCGAGCATCTATGCCTTCTGGTATCCACACTCGAACAAACCATCCTCAAGGGCCTTGAGAGCCTTCTCGATATCACCTCTTTCAGGATTCAACTGCGAATGATCAGCCGCATTCTGAAGCAAGAGGAAAAGCCAATACATACCACACTGACGCCCATATGACCGAAGCGGACATACTTGGGTGCTATCTCCTTGTGAATACCACCAGCCCACACAATGCCCTTCTTTGCTAGGCTAGGCAGGAGCTCAGCAGCCTTGACACCCTCAGGAAGGTAGATGGCAGTCATGCCGTGGGCCTGGTCATCAGGGTTGGCAGCAACCTGCTTCAGCCCAAGGGACGCAACGGTCTGCTTGATCCGGTCTGACGCCTCGCGGTGCTTCGCGAATCGCTCGGAAAGGGGCTTGGATAGGATCTGAGTTAGTGCCGTGTGTAGAGCATGCACAAGCTGAGGAGACGGGGTAGCGAAGTATGAGGGCTTCTTCGCCTCGTAGTTCTGCATAACTAGATAAAGTTAGCGTCGTAGATACTGGGGTGTAGACCATCAATGCATACTGGGAGCCCAATTCTTCATGGACGCAAAGTAAGAAGCAGGAGGGGACTTTCTCTTCTGGAGAGTCTGCATGGCCTTGCCGCTGAACATGGATATCGATAGACCAGCCGGGACACCAATGGCCTTCTGGCTCGCAGTGACCACGCCGTCCAACTTCCACTCGTCGAAAGCAATCTCCTCGCAGGCAACACTGCACACACCGTCCACGATGATCAGAGTCTCAGGCGAAACGCGCTGAACCAGCTCGGACAGCTTCTTCAGCTCACTGAGCACACCTGTCGAGGTGTCGACGTGCGTGACAGTGATCATCTTGTACTTCTTCTCGGAGAGAGCCTTCTCGATCTCGGGTAGCTGCGGGCGCGAGCCCACAGGCGCCTTGACCTGAGTGACGTTTGCGCCGTACACCTTGAGGCAGTCGGCGAAGCCGTCGCTGAAGTACCCAGTCGTCAGAACCAGCACATCCTCGCCCGGCTCAACGAGGTTAGAGGCAACGATATCCCAGCCTAAAGTGCCGGAGCCGGAGATGACGAAGGGCTGCGATGCAGGGTCGGTGGTCTGGAAGAGCTTGCGGAGCATGGAGAGGGTCTCGCCGAAAGTTGAGACGAAGCCGGGGCCAACATGGCTCTCGCTGTACAAACGTTTGATAAGCAACTGATTTCTTGAATACGTTCTTGAACACAATTGAGCAGATTGCGACAGCAAAAACAAGATCTCACCTATAGTGGCTCATAGACTGGAGGACGGCATCGTCAAACTCAATGGGCCCCGGGATAAGGAGGGTAGGGTGCTCTGGCTGGGACGACATCTTGCCTGAGGAGCTGGAGAGATTGCGCTGCTGAGTCTTGGAAAGGAGAGAAGTGCCAACAGCAGACGAAGACAAGGAAGAAGTACTGATCGGGCGTTGATCCACAAGAAGGTGGTTAGATATAAGAGACAGTCGGCTTGCAGGACCGATGCTGGAGGAGGGGCTGCGGGGTAGACTGCCGGCGGACATGGACACAAGCCGCTGAAGTAACGGCCGCGAATAGTACAGGGGAGCCAGCTTGCCTACTTGATTGCCGATATCTCAATCCAATTGGTTCGGCCTGGTGTCAATCGACACCTGGACGGGCAAAGCAGGGGAGATATCGATGTTGAATCGCTGAAAACAGAAAACGGACACCGCCGACGGGCAAGACCGAATGAACAGAGTACGAATAAGAATGACAGCAAAGAAATAGCGAGTTTCCTCCGTACCTATCCCGTCCTCCTAATCAATCCAAACCAGACTGCACGGGCGCGAGAGAAAATTTGAGGCCTATAATGTGACTAAAGCACCGTAAGTGTATGGAACGGAGGAGCCCCGCGCCCAAAGTCATCCGCATATCGGACCCAAGGCGCTGGTCCAGCACACGACTTATGTCTCCTGCGCTGTATCAAGCGCGATCGGGGACCCCCTGCACTGGCCGATCAGCACCCGTCCTGCTGCTGAGAGCTACAGGGTGGGCTGTGTGGCTGGAGCTTTGCCAAAGGATCCACCCTGGTGCATCAGCCACCATGGACGACTCAACTCCAACTGTGAATGCCTGGCTGAAGCTCTGGCTTGCTCGAAGCTCGGCTCTTTGAATCCTCTCTCACACCGAAGCAGCTCGAAGTTACCAATTGAGGGACATCAAGACGGAAGGGCCAGGATGAGAGTCATTCAGTGCGACTAATTCGATCGTCATTCAAAGCCGTTGGCTGTACTTGCGCAACAACACCGCCGGGTCAGTCCCGCATTCGTCATCCCTCCTCGAGCCAGCACTCTGCACCACAGCAGTCATTGGCAGAAGCTACAGTTGAGCTTGTAAAGTGATATCTATACGTCTGCAACAGCAGACTTATACTTCAATCATGGCCTTCCTAATACTAGTGATTGGGGACCTCCACATCCCTGACAGAGCTCTGGACATTCCCGCAAAGGTTCTCGTCTTCACAACTTACTGACCTGACTGAAGCTGACATCTTCCTACCACAGTTCAAGAAGCTACTCGCACCCGGAAAGATCGGACAGACTCTCTGCCTAGGCAACCTGACGGACAAGCACACATACGAATACCTGCGGACGGTAGCGCCGGATCTAAAGATCGTGAAGGGGCGCTTCGACGTCGAGGCCACCTCGCTCCCGCTGACGCAGGTCGTCACGCACGGCAACATCCGCGTCGGCTTCTTGGAGGGCTTCACGCTGGTTTCTAATGAGCCAGACCTGCTTCTGGCCGAGGCCAACAAGCTGGACGTCGACGTGCTGTGCTGGGGCGGCACCCACCGCTTCGAGTGCTTCGAGTATATGGACAAGTTCTTCGTCAACCCGGGCAGTGCGACCGGCGCCTATAGTACGAGCGCGGGCCTTGATGGCGAGGAAATAGTGCCTAGCTTCTGTCTGATGGATGTGAGTGCTGCGCGAGCCGCTCCTAGACTTGCGGCAATTTGATTTTGTAGGATAACTTGGTTCGCTAACATATATAATGATGATAGGTCCAAGGCATATCGCTCACATTGTACGTTTACCAGTTGAGAAAAGATGCAAATGGTGTGGAAAACGTGGCTGTGGAGAAGGTGACCTACACAAAGCCAGTAGAGCCGACAGGAGGCTCATGATGAGCTCATTAAGGCTGAAGTGTAGAGCTGGGTGATGAGGGTATCGCTTAGGCATCGAAGGTGTGTTTATCGAATGACAGACGGAGGCTTCTGAGATGAAGATTGGACTGATTAAAGAGACTTGAAGCGGATGGATCGCCCACCTGGGGATTTTTCGGCGACTTCACTGTGAATGGCACATCCCAAGTTTCGTGGAAAACTATTAGATACTCATAATGCGCAAACATATACATCGAGCCATTTGGCTGGGTTCTAAAGACTCATGAGATTGGTATCCTGTCATGCCTGCAATTTACAACGTCGTCAAGCCAGGGTCATACGCCCTATGCAGAAAAAAACAGTACCCGACTCCTAACACCAAGGCTATAAGACTGTCTCGCGTCGTTTCATAACATCATGCTCCTCCGTCGTGAGACCCTATCTCTCGTAGCTATTGCATCACCTTGATCGCGGATAATCTCACCGCTAGACTCCAAAGTGTCATCGTATGACTCTTCAGCGTCTAACATAGAAGAACTCTTTGGCGCAATCATCGATGCTCTCTTTCTGGAAGTAGGTGCCTTGATTGGCCTCCCTGTACTCGCGGTTCTGCCGGATGAGCTGCTCTCACGGGCTGCAACTGATGAGCGTCGAGAGCCTTTCGAACCCTTCGCACCCACTGTCTTCGACTCGTTTTCAAGTACAGAGTCACTAGATTCATTCATCGGAGATGAAGTAGTAAACTCATAAGGATCCGCTTCTTCACGTGTTTCGTATTCCTCGTCCTCATTTACAGCCTTCTGACTCGCGGAAGCATTGTGTGTTGTAGATGAAGAATCGGCAACGCTTTCTCTGATACCCATTGAAGATGCGCGCTTGCGTCTGTTCGTGATCACAGTGCTTGGAAGCAGCTCTGGGGACGCTTGCTTCTGAGCAAGGGGACTCGTCATACTTTCTCTGCGAGTTGCCTCATGAGCCACTGCCGCCTCCGCAATGGGTAATTTGCGCCACGAGTCTGGCGCCTCGCCCTCTACTTTGACCTTGGTGCTAGAAGGGGGTGCTAGCAGATTCGCCGAACTGGAGCGCTGAATATATCTACCCTCGCCGGCTACTGCGTCAAACAACTGCTTTGTCGGCCGTCGCATCTTGTCCCTCAGGTTCGGCTCAGCGTAGCTAATGGAAGTGCGGGCTCGCCTACTAGGTCGAGACGTCTCGCCGTGTACTGATATGTCTGCTGGTGGTGGTGTGTCCCTGGCGGAATCGTGATGTGCTGCTGCAGGTTCTGGTGTATCTGGACAGACGAGCGCAGGATCTGCTGTTGCAATCTCTGGTTCTGGCAATACTCTTACCGCAGGAGGCTGCGCAATGGGTTGAACTGGTACTGCGACTACCTTTTTCTTATCCTTGGGCTGTTCCTTGATAGACGCGACCTTTAAGGCATTTGGTTTCGATATTGGGTCATCAACAGGAGAAGGCTTCGTACTCTTCTTGGGAGATGACAAATCGTCATTCGTGCTCTTTGCGGCGAGGGGCTTGCGCTGCGGACCGGATGTTGCTGAATTGCCCAGCTTCTCCTTGCTGGGCTGTCTTGCAGATGACAGATCCTTAATACTCCGTCGGTTTTTGAGATCGCGAATGGCCAATGGTTTGACCATGGGAACAGTATCTTCCTTCCCTTTCTCGGAGACTGTACTGGCCAACTTCACCTGCTCGTTCTCATCACCAAACTTTCGCTTAGAACCAGTTTTCATTGATGGTCGAGAATTTTCAAGCTCCGCTGCTTTAGGTCTTGAAGACTCAAGGTGAGCCTTCTTCTCTGGCTCGGATGCCTTGTCTTTACTATAATCGAGTTTGGGCAACGGCGCTTCTGGCGGGGGTAGACTAGGTAGACTGTTTACCGGCGAGCCAATTTCGGGTACACCAGTTGATCTGCAAGGAGAGTCGACTTTGACGGGAACCTCTTCGACAAATCGTGACGTAGGCGGGGGCCCCAGGTCGGGAGACTCATTTGAGTCTGTGGCCTCAGAACATAATGCCAGGATCTCTTCACGACTATTCGCAATGTCAATAAACTATTCGCAGCAATTGTAGCTCGATGCAGATGGACTCACTTCATGGTCTGCCTGGGATACGGCTTGTTCTCCTGTATGGGCGGGAGTCTTCCTTCCTGTGCCGCAAGTGCTTCAACATCTTTTGTTACATCCCTCAATCTTCTCTGAGCGGGACTGCGATGCATGTTCGACGTCGGCCTTGCGATCTTCCTCCCTCTAGGAGAATGACGTTTCATCGGTGGCTCTAAGCCCAGCCCAGCTAATAGTGACCCCCATTCGAGCAGTTGGGCCTCCATTTTCGCTTTGATGTCGAGAGCATGGTCGGCTATCCTCTGCGCTGTGCTGTCCTCTGCCTCCTTTTCGAGTTGCAGTATCCGCCCCCGCAACTCCAGGTTTTCGGACAACAAGCGTGCGCATTCATTCTCCAAGGACCGAATCCGAAGCGATTGAGTCGAGTTGATGCGCGCAATGTCACGATTCTGCCGCAGGAACTTCTTTCTGACTGATTGCAAAAGGTGTTAGTCTTCAGGCGTTGTCAACAATGAGAATCAGCAAGCTCGCCACTCACGCGTTTCTATACTATCTGTGGACACGGGAGGTTCGTTTAACCTTGCCATTGTTCATAATGATGGGGACAGATAGTTGCAGGAACTTCGTGTGGTGTACTTCAGCGAGTTGCAAAAAGAAAATATCCTGGCAGGCGTCTTGGATGTATGTATGTATGTATGTGTGAGTAGCGTAGGTAGGTTGGTAGTGTCTTCTGTTATCAGGGTGCAGCAGGGTTCCGCCGATGGTGTAATTACCCTTATTTTTCAGTTGGGCTCCAGCGACGCAAATTGACTAGCGGCATTGCCACGGCAACGGCGATTGGAATTCGTTGACAGGTGTGCTGCCATTGGCTGCAAACTCCTTCGCTTTTCCCAACCAATGGACCGCCCTAGCTCCCCGCCTGTCTTACCAATACCTACCTACCTATCGACCCTCTACCCCACCATCCCGTCTTCAACACTCACGGCCCGAATTGCATCGCATCGAATTCCGTGACGTACCGAGAGATACAGTCGCATGTGAATACTCGACCATGTCTTTTCCGACTAGATCGTTGCCGCCGGGACACATTCGAGGACCCTCCGTCTCCGGGAGTCTCAATGCAACATCGTCTGTGGGCCAGTCCTCAACACTCCAGGCACGGGTGAACGAGAAGAAGGCGGAACTGGAGAATCTGAAGGAGCTACGCGAGCTCAGCGCCGCAGTAGCGACGCAGATGGAGGCTCTTGAACAGAAATTGGGAACATTGTCTGACGGAACAGAAGGTGCGACGAGGAATATAGATATGGCTCATGCTGGGTTCTTTAGCTGACTATGTTGCTGAACAGCAATCGCACTTGTCGTTGGCAATTGGCATAATGTCCTGCGCGCCATCAATATGGCATCTGGTACGTGTTACTTGATTCGGTGCCATCTTGTAGACTGAATCTAACATCATGCGCAGCAAAGTTACCGAAGCCACAGAGTGAAGAAGCCACGATCGCCTTACCGCAGACTCTCGTTCGAATACCCACAGAGCATGCGCCAAACCTACAAGCTCACACAGATGCTGTCGCCGCTGGAGAAGAAGAAGAGCAACAACAACAACAGGGAGATGCCACGCAATGACTTACTTGATTGCACATGGATTCTTCAAGCCTGAGGGTTCATTTTTGGACGATGGGTTTCAAAAACGCCAAAACTAGGGACCGTATACAAAGTCTACACGCTTGTTGCGGCCTGACACTTGTACGCCTCTCGAGGTTCGGTCATATCGACCCTATATCAGGGCGCATCACCCATCAAAAGTTGCAAATCAGGCATATGAAGTAGGTATCCTTGGGTTACCATCATAGCGGGTATATGGACCTTGTTCACTGCCCTCTGGCCGGTTTGTTGCTCAAATCGCCAAGCTAGAAGACTGTGGGGACAGTCGCCCGTCGGCGGCAAGTCGCGTAACAAACGCGTTCCTTAGTCAGCAACCGTCCAGCTTCGCATTCTGAAACGCGACCACCACTAAACGAAAGTCGAGCCAATCGAGGATTAAGAAGTGGCAGGAACGTCAACCCCGCAAGAGAGAGGGATAAAGAAGAAGTTGCGATGGACTAAGAATGGCAGAGTCAGATAGCAGAGGAATCTTCTACAGGCCATTTTCATCCGGAGGAAACGCAGATCCATCGTGTCTCACCCTCTGCAACTCGCGCATAATTTATTGATGGCAGCAGGTATGCTGCAACTGCTGAGTTGGCACTAACGTTACTGTCCTAATAGTGAGGCACCTCTACGCTAGGGGTAGCACAGTGTCTGAAGTAAATAAACCGAACATTTTTACCCGCGTCCTTGAGCCATACAATCTGGGTGCTTCCCCTCCTCCCTTCTTGTAACTTCTGAACTTCCGCATCTCACCTCTCACCGTCCGCTTCCATCTCAGCAGAGCATAACTGATCATCATACAGCAGACAATTCTGCCAGCGTTCTCCAGTTGCTCCCTGTCATTCATAGAGCCGGAGGCCAGTCTATTCTGGGACAACTGCCCCTGCAGGTTTGGCACGTTCCCCAATTATTATCCGCGAAATTACCACCGTCCTTATCCTTGTCTGTGCACACTCAAGACGCCCACGAGTTCCATCCCAGGAGCGGCGCGAACGACCCTTGTCGGATTTGTCTCATCATCTGCATAGAAGGACCGTCCAGGCGGCCGGAAATTTAACCTCATGGCGACTGTACCCGCAACCCAGCAGCCAACTCAACTCGACATCCACGAGGACATCAGTTCTGCTATCGGCCAAGAAGGCATTGCTGTCGTCACAGACATTTCTTCCGATCCCACTACTCCCAAACAGCCTATCGTGCTCAACGAAGTCTCCGGCAACGAGTCGCAAAGCAAAGCTCAAGACTTCTGCCCCTCGAAACCTCTCAACCTGATCGGAGAACTGGCAACAGAATTGGAGAATTTTCACATTGCTAGCCCATTCAGACAAGACAACGAGAATCCGATTGTGCAGAAGGGTGAAGAACTTCACTCTCAACAATCAGTTGAGACAAGCACCGAAGCGCTCCTGAATCTGTCTACGGCTGAGACGAGGGATTCACCAGCCGCGCCTCAAGTGGCATCACCGAGTACTCTATCAGAACAAAGCAACATCTGTCTTGAGGGTGAGTTTCTGAGCCTCAGGTCCAATTCGCGGCTGCTAATCATACCTCTTCACCAGATCCTCTAAAATACCATTCTCTCGTGTTGGCAGACCAGAACCTCTCTCCAGCAAACGAGCAAATCGCCCGGCACCAAGCAGGTCAGTATCAATGGGTGCTTTCACTTCCAGCTTCCCCAAGATCAGTCCCCGACCGCAAATCCAGCAGTTACGCGAAGTCTCGTTTCTTGGACGCTCCAACAACCGTTCGACAGCGTCACTTCGGCTGCAATCTGCTGGCTCGTAGGATTCGATTGGGAGGGGCGGCTTCGTCGCGAGGGTTTGATAGGGCTGACACATATACACTCTTAGCAACGCCAATTGACGTCGATAACTTAACAGCCATAAAAGAGCAAGACACTACCAACTCTACAAAGATGAACGTCGAGGCAACTCCCAGCAGCTCTTCGGTGGGTTCACCTCATATTGCAGAACTGCAGGTTATTGCGCCAGAATCTCCGACTGTGAAAGCCACAGCATCTGGCCCTCAAGAAAATGGTGGCATTTCAAGAGAGACTACTCCTCGCCGGCCATCACCACTAAGGCCAATTACTCGCATTGAAGACTCCTTCGAGGCTTTGGATCAATTTGAGGAGGAGGTGGAGGCCGTGACGCAGGCCGCTCAGTTGAACCGCGTTCTATCCCCTGACACCGGTAAGGCCAGCGATGGAAATGCTAAGCGCAACAGCTCCCTTGGCCAACCATCAGCAAGATTAAAGAACAGACAAGGCTCAGGTGAGGTCAAGCCTAAAGGTGGGCGCGATAGCTCGGTACGCCGTTCAGCAATGCCTCCTATCTCCGCCAAGGACGATAAAGCTTCGGCGAAGGCTCCAGTCAAGAAAGCGCCAGTAGCTCGTCCAGCGAGCTTACTCCCACCCAAGCCCCTTGTCAAGCCGTCCAGGCCCTCAATTGTACCCACCTTCGAGCTGCCGGGAGAGGCAGTGGCTCGCCGGCTGAAGGAGAAACGCGAAGCTCGCCTGTCTTTGCAGGTCAACTCCGAACAGCTTGCTGCTGCGACTCCGCAAAGAGCAAAGTCTCTCAGGGCGAGACCGCCAACGATTCCCAACTTCGAGCTCCCTGGAGAAGCCATATCACGGCGAAAGAGGGAAGAGCATGCTGCAAGATTGAAGGCTCAAGAAGAAGAGGAACGAAAGAGGCGAGAATTCAAGGCCAAGCCTATTCGCACAAGCATGGCCCCCAGCACGGCAGTTCGAGAGACTGCTACTAGCCGTGCCCGGACTGCCAAGGCTGCTCAGCAAGAGAATTCGGCACCAGCACAGACCTCATCCGCAGCTGGCAAGCGATTATCTGTTGCACCAGGCTCCCGTGCGTCCCGTCCATCAATGTCTAGCACGGCATCTAGCACGGGCCCTCCATCTCGTGGCCGGGATCTTACTGTTGGATCTCCTTCAACGAGACAAATCAGTCGAGCGGCATCTTCGTCTACCGGTAGTATCAGTGGCAAGCGGAGCACGATGTCTGCGGAGGATGTGCAGCACCAGAAGCTACGAGGAAGAGAGATTCTGCAGAGAGACAACAACTATCTAGCGGAGCGTGAACGAGAGAAACGCGACCGAGAGGAGGCGGCGAGGCTAGCCCGCCAGGAAGCTGCCGAGCGGTCCCGTATGCTAAGCCGTCAGTGGGCGGAGAAGCAGCGCCAGAAGAAGTTGACCGCAACGGCGACGGTTACTGCAGCCACTTCCGATGTCACCGTCCGATAACGCTGTGGTGAAGTTATGTCTATTTCACCCTCCCTTGAATGGGCCATAACGTCCTTGGCCAGACTTGACTACCTGTCTATTTTCCTTTGTTTTGCATATGATAATGCATTAGGGGCTGGCTGTGGTAGGAGTCTGAGTTGGTTTACGGTCTTGGTTTTTGCATTTATCATGAGGTTTTGAAGCCCTCGGTTCAGCGAGGAGTCTTATGTGCTTTTATCATCACGTCACATGGCGTTGAGTTGACAACCGAGAAACTACCTCTTACTGGCAGTTGTCTATCACGAACTTTCGCCTAAGTTGAGTCGACTTTTTGATAGCTCCTTTGTAACAACATGAATTAAATGAGATGTGATTACAAAGACTGTACCAAAGTGACAGGACTGTGGAAAGACCAGGCCCTGAGATATTGATGAAACGATGGCATTTTCCCCCGTGCTTCTTATTGTCAGTGTATCTGATAAAATGATAGTCCCATCTGCCAACGGAGATACACTCGACACTAACAAGTCTGGTTATCGGCTGGGAGCAAATACTAGTATAACCTTTATCAATGTAGTACTTTTCTTAGTAGGCGGGCTACGATCTCGTCTATACTATGGATTTAAAAGTCAACTATCTTGTCATGATTCAAAATGTATCCTAGAATACTTGATGGTCTATCATTTTCAGTGGCCGATGGTGCAAACTCTCCGATTTGGTAATGTGAAGAATGACAGTCAACCCCTGTGCCTCCCGTAAGCCTTGGCGAAGCTAGATCCGGGCACCGCACTTCAGAACTGATTGAATTTATCCAGCACTTATAATTCCTACCCTATGTCATAAATTACCCAACAGCTCAAAAAGAAACACAAAGGATCATTCATATCCTATTTTGTCACTCTCGAGCCTGTCAATTTAATGCCTTCAAAGCCAGCGGGCTCATACAGCAGCATGTGAGCCACTCCAGGCATCAGATAAGCCCACGCCTTGGGACCTCACATCAACACGCACGCACGCGCACTGCGTCGAGCCTCCTTTGGCTCTTGATATCTCTTCTGGAAGAAAGGTCTCCGTCTCCGTTAGATATTGGCGGCCTGTCAATCATGAGCGGTTCCGCCACTCAGAGATCTCTCCGCCGCCGGTTGTTCTCAACTATCACTCTCTCGGCTGTGACTATCATCGCATTGCTCGCCTGGCTTCTCCTCTATCACGAGGGCTACGCAACGTTACGGGAACATGTGAGGCCGCTGAACCCGGCCTTTGATGAGGATAAGGGCCCAATTTCGGATCCAGATCAGGAACAGCACCAGAATCAGGGAGAAGCCGCTCACCAGACAACATCTGTTGTACACGCCGCCATCTCAGTGCCTGTTTCCACGTCGACCGTGTCAGACAGTGTCGGCACCAGCACTATGGCTATCATAGAGATCCCCACGGAGACGCCTTCCAAATATGCACCAGACGTCAGCAGCGGCGAGGCGCCGTCTATCAAGCTGCAGCAAGGCACGTACAAGGGCGTTGTCCTACCGGCAGGCCGGCGCCTCCCGAAAGCCATTGAAGCATGGCGCGGTATTCCCTTCGCCGAATCCACAGCAGGCCCGAACCGATTCCGCCCGCCGGTGCCGGTCGGGTCGTCAGATGCCAACTTCAGCGCAGCCAGCTTCGGCTCCGTTTGTCCTGGGTCCGGGGTGGCAGAAGACGAGGACGCTGCCGCCGAGGGCTTGTGGGAGGGCGAAGACTGTCTCAACCTGAATGTGTACCGGCCGCAGTCGCCAGTGGAGCACATGAAGCTTCCCGTTGTCATCTATGTGCACGGCGGCGCGTTCAACTCTGGTCTTGGAGTAGAAAGGGATCTAGCGAGCTTTGTTTCGTGGGCGGAGGACCCCATGGTCGGTGTCAATTTCAACTACCGTGTGGGAGCCCTAGGATTCTTGCCATCTGCACTGACGGCCAAGGAAGGGTTGTTAAATCTGGGATTGAAAGACCAGCAGCTGCTCTTTCGATGGGTACAAGAGAACATAGCAGCATTTGGAGGTGACCCCGATAATGTCACGCTCATGGGTTTAAGCGCTGGTGCCCATTCGGTAAGTTCGTCATTATTTCTCGATCACATCAGCCGCCGTTTATCATAATGCTTGGAGGCTGCTTTGAAGACACCTTGATGCTTTCTCCATATTTCTAATACCTTACAGATTGGCCACCACCTCATGTTCTACACCCCTGAAACTGTGCCGTTCAAGAGGGCGATCCTTGAATCCGGAGCACCAACAGCGCGGGCAATCTGGTGGCCAACACACCCACGTCATCTTGTTCAATTTCGCGAGTTTCTCGTAGCTGCTGGCGTCGAGGGCGTCGCCGAGGAGGCCTTGCTCGAGACTCTTCGTACACTGCCCCTTTCCACGATCATAGCCGCGACGCAAAGTGTTTGGGCCAGCTACGCAGACAGCCTATGCTGGCCATTCCAGCCCGTCATAGATGGCGCATACCACCTGGAGGAGCACACCACCAGCACCTCTAACTTCACCGTTTCTGCTCTTCGCGAGCGGAACATCACAGATGTGATCCGCGATCTGCCCCTGACGAGCTGGCTCAATGGGACACATCTTCGCATCCCCGTTATGACGGGCTTCAACACCAACGAGGGGACAATCTTCGTCCCGCCCCTAGCAGACACCAACGACGACTTCCTCGCCTTCTTCAAGACTCTCATTCCGGAACTCTCGGACGCCGACCTCGCCGCCCTCGAGGCGCTGTACCCGGACCCGGCGACCTCCTCCCACAAGTACAAGACGCCCATCCCGGACGGCTACGGCCGCCAGTGGGCGCGCCTCGACGCCGCGTACGCGCACTACGCGTACATCTGCCCGGTGCTGCACACGGCGCACTTCCTGTCCCGGCCTCGGAGGGGCTCAGGGGCCGAAAGCGACGCCAGGGCCCCCGTGTACCTCTATCACTTCGCCGCGCGCGGCGGCGAGTGGGACACGGCGAACCACGCCTCCGAGGCGCCGGTCGTCGTGCACGCCATGGACGAGGTCGGCGCGCACCCGGGGCTGCTGGCGGTCGCGGACGCGATGCACGGGGCGTGGGCGCGGTTCGTCACGCGCGGCGGCGACCCGAACCCGAACCCGCGCTCGGCGGCGGCCGGAGCGAGGCGTTCGGACGGTGCGCTGGTGGAGTGGCCGACTTTCGAGTCGCCGTTCACGTCCGCGTCCGCGCTCCCCAAACGCCTTCACGAGGACGAGGAAGACGAGGAGGAGGATAGAGCAGCCGCCGCAGCAGCCGTGGCGAAACAGAAAGGGCTAGGCAGGCTGGTCCTCTTCGGCGAGGGGAACAACGAGCGCGTGGAGGACGCCGGACGTAAGTCGCCCGGCACACCGGCGAAGGTGATCAACCTCTCGGACGAGGAGAAGGCACAGTGCAATTTCTGGTGGGATCTCGCTATTTTGAGCGAGGGCTTGGGGAGGCGGCTCTCACGAGAGCCGCCTCTGTATACTTGACATACCAAATTCCTAGCGTTTCTATATGTTCACATGTGGCTTTCCAAATTTCGTTACAAGGTCTGGACATAATATATATCACAAGGGAAGCAAGCGTTGTTGGGGCTCTCAGTTTGTAGGCACCATGTAATATTAGTCTTAATTACCACAGGTATCCATCCTATCTATCTCATATAGCGTCCGTCTGCAAATGGCAGGGGGAGTCCCACCACATTATATGCAAATGCCTTCATAGGCAAGCTAAATTCGAGCAAACAAGCTCTTCTCACCAGCTCGACATAACTTTTGGTGACTCCGCTTTCATCAATTAATTCACAATATATGACAACAATAAGCAACTTTGTCCACATTCCACAATCCGTGAAATCGATGGCTCGTATGTGCAAGTTCGGTGTAGATGTACTGGTAGATGCTGTGTTTTGTGTGTGTGCGGGCGGTTCGTGGGAAGATGTCGAGAGACATGGCTCCGCAGTGTGGAAAGTATTAACAAAAGGATATAGGGATTGTGAGGTGTGATCGGTCCCGGAAACGCCGTGTACAGTGAATCGAAGTGATATGCGAGACGCCGAGATATGGAGACGTATATGTGATGCGTGACTTGACTACAATAGTGGCAAGGAAAAGGGTATCGTATAGACAAGGTTCGAGCATTGTAGCCATGCAAAGGGGACGGGGACTGGGTAGACCGGCGTCTACTTCAGCAGTCTAGAAGTTTTGCGAAATGCCGGCACTCTGCTGGGGATAATGTGCAGGATTCTCGATGCGAGTATTGCGCCGGGCCGGATTATCGCGGATGACTGGCTGGCCGCCAAGTTCAGACGGCCGTTGTGGTGGGCTGCCGTAAGTACCATTGTTGTCGGTGTATGGATTGCTCGAACCATATTGGTCATAATACTGGGGATCTCCATATGCGACGCCTACATCCCCGGATCCATCTGAGCGGTTTGCCGCGCTGTACGACGACGAAGCATTTGACGGGCCACGGTGGACATTCGAACCCCGTGTAGCAGATGCCGACGGTCCCATCGCGCCGAGAATCTCGCCTTCTGGAGAGTGTGCACCATCGTTCATCAGAGGTTCCCCAGATCGCGTGTCGGAGATGTTACCACGAGTAGGAGAGGTGGCGTCAGAATATGCGGTACCCCCAGCTCCGCCGGACATCGTCGTTGATGCTTTTCGACCAGTCGAGCCGGCCAGTGTGGTCGAACCCCATCCACGGTATCCCGAAGATCCGTCCTCTTTCATCTCGTACGCGCCAGCACCAGCGGCACCGACGGCAGGAATCGAAGGGTCGGCATTTGGGTTGTAGGTGTAGTCTTCTACCTCCTTGCGCCTCTGTTCCTCCGCATCCTTTCTTTGCTTTCTCTTCCTCCAGAAGAAAATACCTGCCAGGACCAAGAGAGCTACTGCAGCGATTGGTACCACGACAGCGACGGCGATGCGCCCTCCTGAGCTCAGGCCGTTTGACGAATTGTCACCTGGCGTGATAGCACCTGCCCCTGTTGTCGATGATGAAGCGGCCGAGGACGTAGTTGAGCTTGTGGGAGACCCATCTTTGAACGAGGTTACTGTAGTGTATAAGGTGCTCTTGCCACCTCCTGACGGCGTGACGATCACGGAGCTGATGATGGTTGTTGCCTCTGGCGTTGAGGAAGTCGAGCTTGGAGTTGTCGATGTGGTAGATGTGGTACTGGTGGTTGAAGGCGGTTCTGATGTTGGCGTGGATGTCTCGAGTATGGATGACGATGTTGTTGGCGGCGGGGCTTCGCTCGTAGTCGGCAACTCAGTAGGTGATGTGGTGGTCTCCTCAGGGAGAGAGGCTGTGGTTGGATCAGTGTTAGCAGGAGGGCTCGACGGAACAGTGGTCGTCGGCGATGCAGGCGGAGTAGATGTTGGCAAGTCATCACTCGTACTTGTAGTAGTATTGCTAGACATTGTGAAGCGACGAAACTTCAGTCTAGAAAGATCACTGGAGTTGAGGAACATGTTAGCGATCTTGCGTGGCAAGTCCATGACCCAGGTTCACGGATTGGGCGTTGTAGAAAATTAAAGAGCTGTTCTGGGAGGGGCAATTGGGCCGACGAACAGGCCGAAGAGAGAAAGACGGTGAACGAGGTGATGCAACAGTGTCAAGTGATTGGGAGAGGGTGAATGACGAGTCGACGGTGATGGTCGCACCCGAGTAACAGAATGGGGTACGCAGGAGTAACCAGAAAGATGGCAAACTACATGCAAATGGACGAGTTGTCTTGCTTGGAAGGGGAAATGGAAGACGACGTGACGTACCTAGTTCAATTGCACGCAGCCGCAAGACTGCGCGGAATGAGGGATAGGAAAACAACTGGGCGAGCGTGCGACAAGACCAGGCAGGATAGGTCGCCGGTGCGTGTTTCGCGATCGCAGGCGGGCAGGGCAGGTAGGCGGGCGGTAGAGTGTTTGGGATCGCGACGTGCTCAGACAAAAGAATGGTGAGCGGTAAAAGTGGCTGAGTAACAGGAACCGCGTGGGTGCTGCCTGCGCCTGTGCCTGTGTCTGTGCCTGTCGGACCGTAACGCTGGCCTTGGAGTGCAGGTGCCGATCGGCGGGCGCGCGTGCAGAGCGTTGGGGGGAAAAGAAAGACAAGAATGGCGTGAGGAATGTGAAGAGAGACCGCTAATCAGGATCCTCGGATAGCTCCTCTAAAGAAAGAAAAGGAAAAGGGCGCACTGGGCCGCGAGCGATGGCGGTCTTGTCGTCGTTGTCGGGTTCGTCGTCCTCGTCGCAGAAAAGGGAAAAAGGGAAGAGGAGAAAGAGGGGAGCAGATGCCACAGGCGAGATGAGAGATTGAGTTAAGGTTGGATGGATGGATGCTGCCCGTGTGAAGGTAATTCGTGCGTGGCTATGAGCATGCAATTCAATGTCAATGTCAAGAGCCCGTATTGGTAGCGTACTGCGTAATGCGCAATGTCCGGGGTCGCCAAAAATGGACTGGCTCTTCTCGCTCGCTTTCCTATTCCTCTCCTTGTGCACCAGGGTCCGTCCAGGTCAGACCGTCGAGACAGACAAAACAGTGAGAGTACAGCTGGCGTCTGGCCAGCGTTTAAGTCGTCTGCAAGCAATCTGGGCAGCGGGATCGATTCTCTGACAATTTCAGTTCCAGGAGACCGAGGCTATGAATTGGTCGTAGTCGTTCACAACTGGACAGAAGTTGCAAAAATAGACTGAACAGAGCGGGATAGAAAAAGAAAAAGCAGAAATGTCCACCAGCACGCGACTTATCCGCCACAGCAGCAGGGCCAGCAGGGCAAGCAAGGCAGATAAGTGGGAATTCGGTGTCTGTGCCTATCTACCTTCTGTGTGTGTCTCTCTCTCTCTCTCTCGTGTGTCTTTCTCGGCGAGAGTTGGCCGGGCGTCGATCTCTCCTTGGGATCCGAGGCGTAAAAGTCAATTCGAGGTCCAGCGCTGCTGGTGCAGGTCGTATAGCGGATTAGCGCGCCTCTGCCCACTTGAGAATTGGCCAGTGTCGCTGCTAGCCCAGCGTAGCTTGGTGCCACTTCCGGCCGTGGGCCGCCTCGGTGGCGGTTACAGACTGATCTGACGACCGGCGATCAGTATGAATCGCCAGTGCTTGCTTGTCTCGTTCCGTAGCTGGACTGCGATGCCAGCCAAATGCAGGTCCCCTCTGCGTGTATGTGTGATGTGTATGTGTAGGTATGTTTGTGTTTGTGCCTGTGCTGAATTGCGCCTAATTCGGTCTTTCAAAGGCCAACCAGAGCCCGAGGATCTGCTCAAACCTATTCTCGGGTTTATGCCAACAACAACAGCCTCTCTTGGAGAGAAAAGACCAGGCGCATGGAGCCTTGAAGATGGAGATGCTCAGCCACGATCAACTTGATACGGCGATCCGACTTCTTTCTTGACAACACGCGAGCCACCGCTGTGTTCCCAGTTCGTCAACCGTCCCGCCTTCAGTCGTAGATATAATCCCGCTTGGTATGTTTCCTTATTATGGTGCTTAGCAATAATGGTCCTCGCTGCAAGATTCTATCGCGAGGTTGCAGTATCTCCGTCAATCTATTCGACTCAATTTCGTTGCGCCGAGCTTGTCGCTCAGGTAATCGCCCTCGTCCAATGCCCTTGTTCTGTCCTGGCAATGTCTCGAAGCGGAAAATCGGTATCCGGGCCGGATTGAGACGGATGTGTAATCGTCGTTGTGGTCGTCAAAACACGGTATGTGCTTATATACGTGAAACTCGTATCGTCGTTACAGAGACACCAAAGTCGGATGGGCTCTTCACCTTCAATTGAGCAAAAACTCCCACTATGTCTCTGGTCGCTCACGCTCTTTGTTGGAACAGAAGGACAGGAGGTTGAAAAGGGCCTACGAGAAGAAGCGCCGGCGGTAAAAGGATAATCTACGTACTTTATTTAAAAAAAGCAAGGCTGGCTGGGCTGGGCTGGGCTGTTTCGGCACCGTGATGATGTGTACATGCTATCGGAGCCAAAGATGCCTGCTAGCGATGGTAACCTATGACACAGGCGTCCACTGCTCAAAGATCCCATGTGCGGGGACGCCAATTGAAGGACCAACGGGCTTGTTCCGGGATCCCTGCTGCTGTACCGTAGCGGTCGAGCGTGCGAGCGTCACCTCACGAACATGGGCTGGATAAGGCCTTTGTCTACAGTAATACAGCTCAATTACGATGCCGACCAACCGGTAGCTGAGTGCCCACACGCCCCAACGGCTAGGCCGGCGCATCCGCAAAGTAGATTCCCCATTCTCAGTGCGTTTCTGACACATCCCTTGCACCTTTACTCTAGAACACATCACGATACTGCACCGCTGGTTCGAGGTCTCTTGCGGTGTATGCGAAGAGCATGCAATGCACGTAGGCTGCCTAAAAGACACCTGCAGACAGAACACGAGCGAGCTGCAGAATCGCCCCGATTCAGCCGTCAAATCAAGCGACGATGAAGGCCTCTCTCCTGCGAGGTGGGTGATCCTGCGCCTGCGCCTGCACCGGGGATCCAGCAGGGTTACGGAAAGCTGTGGGCTAGTCAGACGGACCAATGCGCCGTTTTCTGGGACCGAGCCACCACGATTACAGCTGTATGGTATGCAGTATTGCTGTCGTCGCCTCCAACAAGAAGCAGACTTGCCGAGTTGAGGATCGGGTCGGCTCTCTGAAAGTCTGTTCCCCACAGCTCTTCACCCCCCTGGTTCTAGAACTTCTGACAAAAAGTATGAATTGCGCATTGCTGGCGAGAGGCTCACATCGCTTCTCCATTTGACAGCATGTCCGCGTCGATGACGTTTGGGCGTTATGAGTGTCCGCTCTGGAAATTTGGTTCTGGCAGTCTGGGATTCAAGATTTGGGGCAATATCACCCGTGCGCTATAGATGGGCTCAAGGGGGTGAGCGAGGTAAGGTATCATTCAATGTCATCCCGGAAGCATTGGCCATGGGGGAGATCAGTGGATTTCGGAGACAGGAGAGGGGAAGAATAGTGAGCTGCCCGCCTTGACTTCTCTTCGGTCGTTTTGCCATCGGAGCAAATGGTCAGAGATGATCTCCTGCTCCTTTCCAGTCCTTCTCGTTCATATGAGAGGTTCGTGTTTCTCCCCAAGCAGCCTCAGCTCACCTAAGCACCGAGTACCTTCCTCCTGCGCAGGTGAGCTCTTGAGTATCGGCCGCCAGACTCTCGTTAGCTATTCAAATCGAATACTTGCAATGAGATACTCCTCATGCTCAGTTATTCATAGTGTTCAGATATACGCACCAGTCCCCGTTGCCAGTTGTGGATTTCAACGCCGTTCCGAGAATCTCCACTTACAACCTCCACCTCTGCCTGTTAGTCGATTACACACGTAACAAGAGCTATCCGAGGCTGGAAAGTCCAGCAAACCACCTTATGGACACTATTAGTCCTGTGCCACATCTTCCTTTCGTCTTAGGCTATTTCGTTTCCAGGCAATTTACCAAATGGACACAGCAGGTTTGTGTCAGGTGGCCTCACGCAGGTACTCTACGGTCCATCTCAGTGAGCAAATCGCCTATTCGTTCTCCTCCTCGATGAATTGTTTTCGGGATCTTTGCAACGTATGATTTAGGTAGCGCGGCTCTCTCTCCAGTTTTCAGAAGGCCCGTATCTCGAGCTCGAGCTATTTTTACATTCCGATCTTCAGGATCTGCCCAATGGCGGGCGGGCGTGGAGTCTTACTTCGCCTCCTCAGTGGCGTTCGGGACGTTTCTCTAGCGAGGGCAGCCATAAGCCACTTGGAAGCTGGACGGGTCGACCAATGCGGTGTTTTGGTGCGTTTGCACCTGCAGGATCCTGCCTCTCACCTGACAGTTCACGAGTGTAAGGCTGTTTAGAGCAGTTCGCGGTCGAGAGATAGAGCGGCCTGATATCCAAAGGTGATTGCACGAATACCCTGTAATATTTGATCATGTTTGCTTTCTTGCGTAAGGCCTCCTGAGAGTCACATTCTCGTCGTCATTGTGCACAATTTAGGGTTTGTTATTCGCTAGTAAATGAGAATTAACGTCTTGCAATATACTTAGCAAGCTGCGCTTCATCATATCCAAAGTGTGTTGATAGTTCTTCTAGTATCCGAAACTTCCTCCTACCTATATGGGAAAGTGCTTCTCTTGACAGAGACTGCCGCTTATGCCTTCATTGCACCAATCGGAGTAAGTTTAAGGTCTTGGTCCTAGCATGAAAGTGCCCAAGGTGTCTATAGAGAGGAGAGATCGTGACATTCTCCTACCGTCATAGTAGATTCCATGTTTGCAATATGGTGACAACCCTATACACTCGACTTCGCTCTCCTGCGTAGCGATTCTGTACATGACCCTGTTTGACTGCATCTACGGACCGCAACATGGTCGGCTCCTGCCGATCTCAGAACCAATTCGATGTATTGCCTGCTGGTCGAAAGAGGCTTGGACAGTTTCAGCGGTTTTTAGCATTGAAACAGTGACGCTTCCCAATTTTCTAGAAGGTTACCGCGAGTTGCAGCCAAGACCTGATCGATTGGGAGTTGTGAGACATCTAGTGTTAGAGACATCCCTCTGCGGTTGAACCCAAAGACACCTATTTGAATTATTGGCAACCACTTGTCCATCTATTCTTAATCGCGACATGTCGATCATGGTTCTGGGATGCTGAAAGTGGGCATGGAGAAGAGACATCAGACGGAAAGGATCCCATTGTTTTCGGAAATAGTTGGTGGACAGTTATGCCAGGACCCATTATAAGCAATAGCGAAGTGTCCTTTTAACAGCCGGAACCAGCAATGTTGACCAACGACACATGCCGTTATTCAAGTCATTTGTAGACATCGGCGAACATACCATTATATCTATTTAATCTGTAAATGACTATACCAAAGGTCAAAGAGCCTGCATCAGAGAGCGCGAAGGCGCAGCTATTTTTGGTGTTCTGGAGATGCCAAGATCGATGATGTTTGAGAGAGTAGTGTGTGGAGTCTCACTTGTGCGCGTTGATCAGTTGGCGCCGTCTGTGAGGTTCCATCTAGATGAGAAAGATCTATTCCAGGGCGCTGCAACTGGGTAGCGAAGCAATGGAATATAGCTTGGCGTGAGTCTTGGGCACATTTTTTGGGAGCAGCTGCTTAGATATCTGCGGAGACCCATGTCGAGAAGGAGTTCACCCCAACCGTCACCTGTGTGGCAGCCTTGCCAAGCCAAGACATCGACTGCCAGAAGTAGGAATGTGTATGCACTGACAAATGGGTTGTCACTTGGCATCTACCCCGTTGGCTGTGGGCCAAGACGGGACAAACCTACAGTCTTGAGTATCAGACTCTGCCAAAGGCTATTTTGAGAATGCCGTGCCATAAGATCGACCATGGGGGTTAGTCGATATGAAAACCAGTTCTGAGGCCTCACTTCGATATATAAGAACGACTCTGAGCGCATCTTACAGAGCGTGTTGGTTGTCGACACCGCCTCCGACCATTCTTGACAAGCCAGGAGCTCAATCTTCTCGGGAGTGATAATCGACTGTCACTCGAACAGGACCCTCAGCCAGCAAGTTCCGAACCTCTGTAAATGATGTTGTCACCAATAGAAGAGGTTAGTTGGTCACCTCGAAATGCTTGCCAGATATCAAGCGATAAATGCCTAACCTTGTGCACAGACAAATTCTCAAAACAAACTGGCTACAGGTACCGACGGTCAAAGTCAACCAGTGTCACCACAAAGCCTTTCTGAGCAAACAAGTCCCACGCTCACCTCGCCGACGTCTGGACAGCAGCGGCGCAAGAGGTCGCTCACAGAGTATGAAGCTCTCTCCCTGCTGATACACATGCGTCAGCTGAGACAACACTACAGGAGTCGGCACGTCAAGCCAGGATCACCCCCTGGCAATGTCAAGGCCGGGGCTCCGATATTGCACCCGGCGTTAATGGATGCCATCCGGCCAGGGCAGTTCGAAGAGCAACGGCAACAAGACGGTGCAGGAGGGGCGGCTCAAGGGCCGAGTTGAAGGGGCGGAGTGCGAGAAGTCCTTTTCATGAGCGTTAGGGGTTTGAATAGCAAAGGAGTTCAGGATCGACCAAGCAGCCGTCATTAGTTTCAGTCCAGAAACAGCCACCTCACTTCAATCCAACAGTATCACTCCATAAAATGATTAGGAACGAATATGTCCATTTCAATTGTGCTAATGCTGTCGCCGCATCATAAATGCCAGTTCTTTTCGTGCGCTTTATCTACCGTTTACAACAAAAAATAATTTGGTTACAAATATCCAGACACCTCTCTATGTATGCAGAGTCATGCATGTTGGTGGTCATGAGTTTCGAAACCATTCCCTATACTCCAGCGCGCTGTGAAGAACAAACATTACCAGATATGTCGAGTTAGCTCCGCTGGTAAGGCGAGTGCTAGAAAGACATAGAGGGCGGAAAAGATGCCCTGGCAACTGAGACCTCAAGTGGAATTCTGAGCTTTATCTCGGCCAGGGGCCATTATGGTCCTCGACGAGGACTGAATGATGTCGAGACAGCCACTGGTAAAAATGGCAGTCATTGAGTCCACCATGTCCGTATTATTCGTGAACTACAAGTCACGCATGCTCCAAGAGGGCTTCAACTTGTCGCCCATCTGAGCCTGGGTGAAGATCGTATCGCCAGGCAGGCGGCTCACACGACCGGCTCCACTGCGGATGGCAGCTTGGCTCACGGCAGAAATACCGCTTCGGTTGCTTCGTATGCTTCCAGCATCGCTCATGGTGTCTGGATCCTTGAACTTGCGAGGCGGAGCAAAGTCCAGACCTGTGAACGTTGATGATTTACGCAACAAGTGCCTATTGTCTCGTGTTAGCGATGATCACGGTAAATAATTTCAAGATAGAACTTACGGGCTGGGCAACGCAGCAACCTCATCGTATGAGCTCACCAGTGGCGATGCGGCAGGAACAGTGGGTTTGTACGCACGGCGCTCGCCGAGAGGGCTCTGGGAGCGACCCCTAGCGCGACTGCCAAAAGATTCTGGAGGCGCGAAATCCATAGCATTGAAGAGCGCGAAATTGTCATCCTTGAGCTTCGAAGGCGTGGGCAGCGTGGGAAGAGCAGCGGGAGGTGGCATGGGCTTCCTTGGCTTGCCGGACATAGCAGAGCCAGCTCGACCGAATTGGGCGGAGGCTGATGAGCCCGGGCGAGGACCCCATCCACTTGACGCAGCGGAGCCAGGGCGGAAACCTCCAGGCATGCTCATTCCACCAATTGACCCAGCGTGAGGTCTAGGACCCGGTCCTCTTGGCCCGGGGCCTCTCGGTCCAGGTCTACGAGAACCAGGGAATCTAGATCCCGAGGGTGGTGGTGTCATGGCCCGACGGCCGACAGGCTGAGCGTAGGGCATGATGAACTGATTCGAGTCAGGGTCGAAAAAGGCAGTGTCGCCAAGATAGTTCTGGTCGTAATCTTCATAGTACTGAGCATGACCACCGGCACCTCCAGCATGATCCTGCTTCGAGTCATCGAAGTATTCTTTGTAGAAGGAGCGGATCCTGTTCGCCCTAGTCTCAGGGTCTTCGGTCTCCATGAACTCATCCGGGGGAAGTGGGCGGAAACCTACAGAGAGGCGTTTGCTGTCGAATCCGGGAACATTCAAGCCTCCCTGCTGATCTGCCTGCTGATATAGTGACGACTGACGCTGGGGTGTCCTACCACGCCCATCGTATTCATCATACCCGTGCTGAGCATTCTGAGGCGGCATCTGCTGGTAGTCATAATCGTAGTACTCTTGTGCCTCCTCGATCACAGGAGTGATGCCCTGAGGAGCTGGTACCGGCTGAGGATGAGGGCTTGAGGGTAGAGACTTGACGGAAGGTGGTGACATGTGACCGGCTGCCTGTGGAGAGGTGGCACCCATGACACCAAGACCAATCGCATTGGCCTCCAGAGGCAAAGGATACGCGGGATCGTGCTGGTTTCCATTTGCATGGAAGTCCTGATTGAAATCCATATTCATCTGATCATCCGTGTGAATCTCGGGAAGCTTAGGCATTGTCAACGCCTCGTGATTACCGGAGCTCGGAGGAGAGGGAGATGACGGAAGGCCCTTTCGCGCAATCTTAGGTGGTTCCTGAATGATGGGTACGACGTGGCCGTCATCGGGATACGGAACAGTCTCAATCTCGGGAATGATGGGCTGAGCAGGTAGGAAGTTTTCCTTCACAGCTGGAGGAGGTGACGGCAGCACAGCCTCTGGGAATTTGGGTTCGTCTCGCATGGTCGGTGCCTGTGGTGTAATGGGCGATTTCGGGAACGAATTCTGTCGTGGAGGTGCAACCAGATTGCCTTGAGCAGATGGCGAGCGAGCATTCATGGCAAACTCCTTCTCCTTGCTGGAGCGAGTGTAGATAGATGAACCTTGTCCGCTCTTCTCAAATGACCGAATAGAACCCGTCTCACTGGCGGTATAGTGAGCCACGGGACGATAGGGGTCCTCGTTCTGGTGAAGCGTGCGAGCAAGCGAGTGCAGAGACTCGCGAGACTGTTGTAGTCCTGGTGGAAGGAGATATGGGCTGGATAGGTTCATGTCCATCGACAATTGTCGCTGGGAGACGGTATTCTTTTCTCCTCCGAAGAAAACGCTTCTTCGCTTCTTCTTGCCGCCGCCTTCATCCAACCCAAAATCCAGCGACTTGTGAGGATCAACCGCATCTTCCCTCCTTTGCTTTTTCACGTTTCTGCGGTGAAGAAAGATCAATACGATAATGGCAGCTGCTGCAGGCAAGCTAAGGGTGCGTTAGCACATGATATCGAGTCAGTATCAATAAGCAAAACTTACGCGACTCCTAGAGCAATTGAGAGGGTCATAGACGCGCCCCCGGCAGGCTTCTCGCAGAGGCCAGTGTTATCACCAGGCTCGCAGGTGCTCGAAGATCGAGCATATACGCGGCTTGGCGTAACAAAGTCCCTCACTTTGTTCGGAATAGCGATTTCCTCCGGTTCTCTCTTTCGAATAGGAATGCGAGGCTGCATGGCGTAGCCATTGCCATCGAAAGTGATCGTAGCCATGATGCTCTTGTTGACGCCTTCCACACTATCAGGAAACTCTGAAGAGTGAATTCAGTCGACCAGGATGTGGATGGCCTTCCCGAGGCTTGAAACTGAGATGTTGTCGAGAGAAGATGAGATTATTATTATGCTGTCGTCATAACCATGAAATGCAGAGTTCGTTTAGTCGAAGCCAAAAGCGATTGACGGGTCGTTGATTGTCTTGACTAGGCAAGTACCTGGCGGTGGATTAATTGCGAGTGTTTGAATGAATGAATGGTCGTTCCCAAACTGGAACAGATAAATGAATGACTCCGGAGTTGGACTCGGTGTTGAATAATGAGTGACAAGCCTGCTGGCAGGCAGGACAAACGAGTGAATCACCGCGTTCGGGACCGCCTACTGCGACTGAACGGAAGACATCTGAGGTTGGCGTGATGGAGGAGAAGAAGAGAAGAGGAGGAGAAGGAGGAGGAGGAGGATGACAAAGTCGGGCTCGGCAGAGGAGAGGATTGGCAGCCAACAACGCCGACTGGGTGGAGAGAGAAGAGAAGACTGAAAAGAAGCCCCCAGCAAGCCAGCAAGCAAGGTCCGGTCTGGTCTGGCGGCCACAAGTCTACTACTCTGCTCTACTCTACAAGCCCATGCGAAGGACCTCACCTCAAATTGGACTGGGGCTCTTGCGGGCGGTGGAGGAAATGAAGGAGAGGGCCTGGACGGGGGACGGGGGACCCTCACAAGTCGTCGGTTCTTGGTCCAATCTCGGGCGTTGGCGTCCGCATCGGCGAATCAGAGCCCCTGCCGCCAATCTCGCCAGCTGCTGTTCCTTGCTGTTCCTTGCAGGCCACCTGCATTCTTAGGCCAATCCTTGTGGATGTTTAGCACAAATGAGGCACAACTGCGGCACAACTCTCCCAGACACCTATAACCGTCCAAAGGCTTGTCTTGCTTGTTGTGAGTGTACGTACCTCTTGTACTCGAGTACCGTACCTCAGCGTACCTACCGCTGCACTGCACACCTACACACACAGACCAGCGCGCGCCGACTGGTAAGCTGTGCTCTGATAGGCGGCCATGGCGGTGGGGCTCCATTAGGAGCCACAAGTCTCCCCTCTGCAAATCAATCTAAGTGGGCTACCCGAGATGAGCTACTGTTGCCAATCCAGATCTCAGGGGCACTTTGCCCAGCTCCAGAGACTCGCCTCGTCTCGTCTCGTCACGTTACGCTTCTGGCCCTGCAAAGATGCTGGGCTGGAGCTGGTCTTCTAGGTAGCTTATAGGGGCGGTGGCAAGTCGCGGTGTTTTAGAGCTGTTGACGGAGTTCTGCTGGGTTTTCTCTTTGTGTAAGCCAAAGCTTATGGCATGCACGCAGTGGATTGAATCCACAGAAATGAGACTTCTTTACGATATCTATGTTTTCCTGTGGTATCTGGTCTAGTCGCTGTAGCGCGCGGCGCTGCTGCAGGTACCAACAACAGATGCTGCAACTAAATAAAGCATTCGCTCTCGGTAGCCTCTAGGTGCGCCGGAACGCGTATTAGTCACCTCAGCTGCTTTGTTGCTGGCTTAGATAATGTGGACGTCCCGCAGCATTGATTGAATTAAGCAGGGAATACAGCATGTAGACAATATATTCCCGGTGTTCCTTCGCGTCGTGCTGTAATTAACCAACGACAGTGCTACAACAGCAGTTCTTCCGCATCCTTGGAAATTCAGATCTGCCTTGGAATCTGCGCTGTGTCCTATTCCACCCATGACGTGGCTTGCTACCGTCCGCCCGGCCCAGGGTGGTTTGACTGCTATGTGAGACTTTTTCCACGCCACAGCCACAGAAGGGCCGCCAAAATAGCCTCTGGAAGAAGAGCTGCTGAGCATGATTGGCCGTAATCGTTTCATTACAAGCTTTCTGCCAAAGACACAAGTGACACAAAAGGCCAATAATGGGTGAGACGTCATCCCCTGCTTCAAGCCATCTGGTTGACTTGGGTGCTGTTCCGAATGCAACAGCGTCCACCGACGTGGAGATGCCGTGTATAATCATGGCAACACAAATATAGGCAAAGCCTTGAGGACTGCAGGGCGGGCTGGTCGGAAATCACTGCCAACACCCTTGACATGGAGCCTGTGAAAACCCCCTGCCGACCCTGCTCATCTCATGGTGGTAAAGGCGCCCAGGATCTGTTTCAACCGTAAAGCCAGTATCAGCCACATCTATTCAAGGCTTAATCTGATAGAACTCGGGAGCGTATTCAAGCAACCAAGTCTTCTCGATCTTGGTAATATCCCTGATGAAAGTTTTATTGCCCGTTTCCATGACCTCGTGAAAAATGACCCAGTCAGCCTTGCGATTGAACATGAGGGAGCTTGGGTGGGCGTGAAGCACTGTTCCTCCCTCGACATTACGAAATGTTCCGTCCGGCTGCATTTTGGCTGCGTGCGCAAAGTATCCGGTTGTTAGGCAACGGCGAATCTGTTCGGCTTTCCCAGCGGCACTGCTCGCATTCAGCGACTCGTCGACCATGATGCCGAAGCGCTCTAGATATCGCTTGAGTTGCGCGCGTATGCTTACTGCCCTGCTCAGAGCCTTATAGTTGAGGAAGTTCTCGTGGCAGAAACGTGACTCCTTGCGGCCTTTGCTGATGAATGTTTGGTAAACATTAAGAAGCGTAAGATGATCCCCTTCTTCTGCAGCAAACTTCCGCCTTGCGCTCTCCATGTTCTTTCGATCACCATCATGCTGTATCCATACGGCGCCGCCCAAGCTAGTCATCGCAGCAATCGTGAGTATCTCGCTTAGACAGCCAAAGCCTGAGGCCGCTAGGAGAGTCTTAGCCATCATCGGCTCGACAACGGCCAGCTCTGCCATTCGCATTCCCAATGGCCTCGTCAGCTTTGCATAGTCATCAAGCGCCCCTAGCGAGTATAGGAGCTCTAATGATTTGATCATTAGCTCTGCGGGAGGCGGGGTGAGAAAGTCGAAACGCAGCACATTATCTATGCCAAGGGCTTTTAATTGCAAGATAAAGGGCGCGAGGTTCGACCGTTGTATCTCCGGCACGTTCGCGTCAGGAAGACTTATGTATGCTTCCTCCGTATATAGGCGAAAGCACTTGCCGGGCTTTGTTCTTCCAGCTCGCCCAGCCCGCTGTGCCCCGGCTGCCTTCGAGATTGGCACCGGAGTCAATGTTTCGATACCAGTTTTCGGATTGTATGCGCGGAGCTTGACATATCCACAGTCGACGACGTAAACAATTCCCTCGATTGTAACTGAAGCTTCAGCAATGTTTGTCGAGATGATCACCTTTCTCGTATTTTCCGGCGGTTCCTCGAACACGTACATTTGCTGCTCGGTCGACAGACCTGCGTATAGTGGAAGAGGCAGTAGTGCCTGTGAGCGCGGATGGAGCTGGCTAGATCGTTCTGAAATGGCCTGTACCGCGGAATCTATTTCTTCTCTCCCGGTCAGGAAGACTAATATGTCACCATCTCCTTCCTTTGTATGGATGTCGAAGACCGTCGACACTGCCTTTTCCACGTAATCTTCGGCCGGTGTTTCAAGATAGAGAATATCAATGGGATATGTCCGGCCCTCTAAACTGATTATTGTACCATTCCCCTGGGCATCGTCATTGCTAAGCTTTTCGTCCGCATTACTGTTGAAGAAATTGAGAATATCCTCTGCTTGCAACGTAGCGCTGCTGACGATTATCCTGAGCTCTGGCCGCCGCCTGATGATCTTCTTCAGCAGACCTAAAAGAATGTCCGTACTGATCGAGCGCTCGTGGGCCTCGTCAACCATGATGACAGAATAACGAGATAGAAGAGGGTCGACGAGAGCCTCCCGAATGAGCAAGCCATCCGTCATGAACTTTATGCGAGTAGTTGCAGAGGTGAGATCTTCAAAGCGGATAGAATATCCCACTTCCTTGCCGACCTCACAGCCGACCTCCTCTGCTACCCTAAGAGCCACAGTCGTAGCAGCTACACGTCTCGGCTGTTCAACAGTTAGCGAAGCTCATCGACAAATCCTGGAAAATTGAGCTCACCTGAGTGATGGCAATGACTTTTCCATCTGCACACCAGCCTGCCTGTTCTAAAAACTGAGGTATTTGAGTTGTCTTACCAGATCCTGTCTGGCCCACGACAATGGTGACAGGATATGTCTCGACAAGATACAAGAGAGTATCACGGTGCTTTGCAATTGGTAGAAGTGCCGCAGGTTTGTATAGTTTGGGAATGAAAGATGCACCCAAATCGAAGTCGGCCATTTCTTTGTACGCAAGGCAATTGGAAGATTGCCGATATTGAAAACCCGTCTGCCTTCTTGCTTGACACACAGTTGCTCCGAATCAGGGTGTTACTGAAACCTTCTCATACACCTCATGGTTGACAGGATTTGTGAGACCAAAATGATGCTTTATGTCCAGAAACTACTCCCAGCATGACTGAACACGTCGTTGTTCAGTTTTCAAGTAGATCTTTACACAAATGTGAGCAGGTAGCAGGTCTTCAAAAGAGAGATTGCACTTGCTAGTCTACTACAGGAGATGAAGTACAGTATTGACAAGCTTGCCGGGCGCTGTTGTTAAAGTGGGTCTTGGGCTTTGGCTTCTGGGTGCCTTGCATGCTGACTCATCCATGTTAATGGGTACCTACCCAAAGTTAGAGATTTGGTGTTACCCTTGGTACTGACCTATCTCGCTAACTACCAGTCTTTGTTAAATGCAGCCCAACGCCTCCACGACCGCCGAGTTTCAGCCCTCTCCATTTCATCCCACTTGATCACACGGTCAAGACGCCTTTTACCGCCCAGCTACTGTGACTCGGCCTCTCCCGTATCATAGTCCTTGTTCGCCCGGGACATATATATCCTAGGATCCTACCGGGCGTGTTTCCTTTCTCTCCAGAATTCCTCGGGTTAGCAAGTTTGACGCTTGCTAAACCGTTCAAGGCGTCAGCCCAGTAGACTCTGCCACAAGAAAGATCCATCGGCGCATGGACGTCGAGTGCTAGTCATTTTCCTCTCATCGTGTCACTAACTTTCGCCATCACCAGGCATCAGCAGCGTTCTCGTTGTGTTTTGTCGTCATGGTAAGCTTATGCTGAGTTGCAAATATGGGGCGAGAGAAGAGACCCAGGCCAGCCGATCGTGCTGGCCCTGGCGTCACCGCCAAAGAAAGACACAAGAAAACAGTGAGGCATGAGAACAACAATGACTGGGCTGCTCCATTACCTCAGGGTCTGGTAGCTGTACCAGAGAAGCAGCTTCCAAAATTGAAGCACCAGTCATACTTCGAGATTGTCGAAAACAGGGACAAGAAAAAGAAGCTCGAATTTCAGGTAGCATCGAACCTTCACTCTTTGTAACATTACTCACGGTCAGATCCTCACCGTCAGCAGGTTACCAACGATAAGGCACCACCTCCTGGATTCGAATTCGTCCCGATCGGAAACCCTGAGCTCACGACCGCTTGCAAAGAACTCTCGAGAGAGCAAGATGCCATGATATTTATTGTTTCAGTAGGTCGAAGCATCCTTCACAACAATTGGCTTCTATCTCTAACAACCCTTCTCCAGTCAGCCAAGGACACCGACGATAAGAAGCTATCAATCCACCTCCATCGTATCGGACATCATATACGACAGACCATCGTCGAGCAAGCTCGAGCGACTCTCGGACAAGAAGAGTTTTCCTCCAACACCTCAAATTCTGGCGAGCCTGAACCGATCCCAGAAACGCAGGAGGAAATTAATGCTCAGGCTGATGCCGCCCTCAAGGATCTGTTTCCTCGAATACCAAACTTCGATAGGCAGATGATCATCGAGCATGCATTCAAGAAGGTTTGTGCTTTACTTGGCATATGTTGGCGTTGAGGATACGAATCCACTGACAATTTAGGGTGGAAAATTTGGCGGAGAACCTGTGGTTGGTATGGCGGCTGATATCCCGCTTTCTCGTCGTGTGCAACTCGCCGTGCTTGCTCATATTCGTCACAATCATACCCGTTATGACAAACTTCTCAAGGAGACTTCTTACGTCAATGCTCGAAAGACAGTCGAAGCTCTATGCCTTGATATCCTCGTCAAGTGGCGAGGAGATGAAGAGACCGGTAGGGATCAGCTGGATGAGATCCTCCGTGAAGTCGTCGTCATTTCCGACGACTCAGACGATTCAGACGATGACGATACTGAGTCCAGCGACGGTGACTCTGTCCAGGAGATTTTGCCTAGCAATGCTAACTACTCTGGTATGTCTAATGCGGTGCCCAGGCCCAGCCTGCCTCGCCAACAACGACGGCAAAAACCTGGAAATACTGTTGGCACAAGTAAGCGTAAGACTGCTCCAGGGATTCAGGCAATTACCAAGGAGAATATGGGCTCCGCGAAGAACCGCGCGGCTGCTAAGAAAAGTCAGCGGGGTTTCAAGCGGTATCAAGCAGAAGCACAGCGCGAGGCTCACTACCAAGCTGCTTGGGAGCAGGCTGTGAACCGCAATCGCCATGTGCAAGCCCCAGACGCGCCTCAGCATACCTCAGTTCAGTTGAGCAAGCCGGCCAGCCAGGGGCCGCACCCAGCTCCAGCCATCGAGCGAGTTGCTTCCCAGCGTGATGTTCAAGACGATCTCATAGGCAGGGGTCATCCGCCAAGCAATCGTCTACACAGTCATGTTGATGCTTCGCAATCGCTTGAGCCTTTCTATGTGGAAAGAAATCCTTCAGGAGCTCATCACTTGAGAGCAACACCTCCAATGCCATACACTTCCGTACCGGCTTTTTCTCATTTCCGTGAGGCTTCAGGACCTGCTAGGTATCGGCCCGTTAGTGGCCCTCCAAGTGTTCCCCATTCAAGGCAGTCTCAAGTACCAGCACCGACCAGGCGAGACCCTAATGAGCTCAAGGATTTCCTGGTGCGATCGATCGAACCGGTCTCACCTAGCTCTGCTCCAATGCCACCGCAATTCATTCGTCCAATGCCATATCGTGAACATGTGCCTCTGGAGCAAGTGTCTTCAGAAACACATGTGCAGAATGCTAGGAACCGTTCACCTGTGGAAGACAATTCCAGGTACGGTGAAGCCTTCCAACAACGTCGTTTTATCAACGACCATTCTGCTCCAGTCAGGGTTCTCTCTCCATACAAAGTCGAGTCATCTGTCTCTCGATCTGGTCATCACCGTGATACCGGATCCTTTCCATCTGCTCAGCCTCAAGAATCTATTCGAATTTATCGAGTCAGAGAGCCCGTTGGCTCGCGTGAGAGACCGTTACCTCCAGATCATGCTGTTCGCGTTCACAGAGGTAGTCCAAGACCGACGTTGGCCGCCACGGAACCAGGTGGAAATATGATGATCCCCTCACAGTCCAGGTACCGAGAACTCAGTCCTCATCGTATCATAGAGATTCGTCGTCCAGTCGAGGATCTATCGAGGCCTCACGAGACTCGTCGAATCGTCTCACTCGAGTCAGGGGACTCCAGATACAGAGATGTCGTGGATAGTCGATACTCTTCTCAAAGAAATGGATATATACAACACCCGGACGACCGGCCAATCACAACACCTGTGGAGTATCGATCTATGGAATCACTCTCTGACCCTCATCCACCCCCGTCAACGAGGCCTGGTGATGTGCAACCCGCACCTTTTCCTGTCTATCGTGAAGTGGAACAACGACGAGACTATCACGTAGGCGGCCCCAGGCAATTCCAAATGGCATCGGAACCGTATGCCAACCAGGAGTCAGTTCAACCATCATATGTCAAGGTTCGGGAAACATTGTGCTAATGTTCTATAGATTTCGACCAGAGGGATTTGCACCTAGCTCTAGAGCATATGACAACTCGAATATGAGGGTTTACCAACCCAGTCATTTGGATGCTCACGATCCTAGGCCAGCACAAACACAATACCCACTCCAGCATCCGCCTACAAAACCCAGGGAAGGAGTCATATTCCTTGGCTAATATTCACGATCTAGAGCATTGAGCTCTTGCACATTGAAAAGCAGACTTTGATCTGCTGCCTATTATGTTTATATATCGATCTCAATTGGTTCTGCCACCTACGTGGCAATTATGAAGTATGAGGTATGAGGTTCTGTTTTCGATGGACTCTGTCCGGCGTTCAGGGCCTGCGTTCGGTATAGGACGTGGCATGTTAAAGATACCATCATAAATCATGTATACGGCGTTTGCTTTCTTGCATTAAGCCTTTTCGGCGAGCTTTGCAGCGATACCAGCATTGCGTAGTATGTGGCAGTTAAATAAATGGCCTTTTTGACAGATAGGACATGACCTTCTCAATATGCTTATGTATTACCAACCAATATTACGGCTTCTATGCAAATAAATTGTCTAACCAAACCTTGTCCAAAGCCAACTTGCGTCATGATGCTAGCATTGCCTGCCGCTCTTTTTGTTTCACACGAGATGGTTGTGGTTCTTCCTCGACCTGCTGCTCTGGTAATTCGGTGTCTGGAACAGTTGGCAACGGTCCTGCCATCTCGGCTGCAAGCGCTGCTAGTTCCTCCTCTACCTCCTCTTCATCTTGATTTGTTATCCTATCGCCAAGCATCTCGCTAACCTCCTATACATATAATGTCTATTAGCGTTGTGTCCTGCCAAAACTTGCTAAAGTGGACTCGACTTACGTTCTGATATGCTATCGCATCGGCAGTTTCGCCCATCAGCTTCTCTACATGTTCGATGCCACCCATCTCCTGGTGGATCTCCTTCAGAACCTTGGTACCCTGTTGTAGCCCGAAGACGACATCCTTCTGTATCAAGGCAAACTCCACGTTTGATGTCAGCTTCTCGAGTTGCTCGAGCTGCGCATCCGTCTTCGCCAGCAAAGACTCCTGGTATTTCTTTCGTCGCAGTGCAAGCAGTGCTCTCTTCTTGTCGCCCTTTGCAAGCATCTGCTTTGCAATGTCGGTTTCTCGGTCCGTTAGGACGGTAATTCTTCGCTGATACTGATGGAGCTTGTCGCGTTGGTTCTTCATGTCCAGGATTGCCCTTTGCACAGTCAGTAAGGCATGAAGTAGATAGACTTGCCACTGGCCTGAGGGTCGTACTCACTTATCCTGGGCTGTGACCCTGCTCGTATTGTTTCCCATGACTGCAACATAGGAAATCTTGCATTAAGTCATATACTCATACTTGTCGTTGTCCAAATCATCTGAACGGATGAAGAAGCGTTTCCAATGTCTGTGCCAACAATAATCCTGGGCAGTGGTGTGGTCGTCGTTGAATGGTGGAATCACGAGTAGCTCGCTCGACAAGTTACCAGGATCGGTGTGATCGTCATTGTCTGCAGGGAAACGCGTGGCTGATTATCAGCAATCCTGTCGACGATAAGCATGTGTGTGTGGCGCTGCACAACCTTGGGAGGGGCTGACGTAACTGGGCCGACCCCACTGCCAGGCACTCACAATGGAACGGACTCCTGACACCTTCTTTAAATAAGCTCCATGTCTTGCTCCTGATAATACACAGCTGTTGCGAAGGTCCTTACTTTCCAGCCAAACACCACAAATAGCCCATAGCGCAACCCTGACTGCATCGATAGGAAGGCCCAAGATGTCTGCACCAGAGAATGTGAGTTAATTCTGCCTTCGGCTGAATTGGTGGTCAACTCTCAAACACCCGAGTGGACTCCTTTATGCGCTCCAGCTTCCTGAAGCTTTCTGTCATCTCTGAATGCTAAACAAGACATACAGGACAAGCCTGAGTCGCCGACTACAGCTAGACCTCTCGAGATGGATGACGACGACGTCCAAGAATCTGGTGTCCTGACCAACGAAGACGGTGCTCCTAAGCCCTCGGCTGCATCGACCGCCACCACACCAACGACCGCTGCTCCCGCCACATCTGAGGAAGCTCCACCACCGAAGCCCCCGAGGCCAATGACTGAGCTACAGAAGAATGTGTTGATCCTAAAGGAGGCATTTCCCAGCATTGATGAGCCCGTTATCAAAGCCGTGCTCTCAGCAAGCAATGGCCGCATTGACCCAGCTTTCAATGCCTTGCTGGAGATGACCGATCCTGATGCGGTGCAGCATGAGGTTGAGACGCAAACCGAGGTGCCGCCTCCGCAGCCTCCGCGGCCTGTTCCAGGCGCTACACCGCAATCACAGCTAGAGGCAGATGAAATATACGCCCGACAGCTGGCGCAGCACTACGAGAATGTGGGAGCCTACGAATCCAGGACCTCAAACCGAGGACCAGCATACCCTCCTCGTCCGCGGCAGCAGACAGGCCTCAAGCCCAACGAGTTATACGATGATAGGGAGCACAGCTTCATCGACGACGACTTGCCGGTCATTCAAGAGAATATCAAGAAGGGATTTATCGAGACTCAGACCAAGGTGAACAGCTGGTTCACCAACCTCAAGAAGAAGTTCGATGAGCAGTTTGACGAAGAAGAGGGCACCCAACACCGGCCTAGCGGGCCATTCGCGGGACGGCAGAGTGCGGATTCCACCAGAAGAAGCCGGGATTATGAGCGATACGATGCCGATCCCGAGCTTCTCAGCGATGATTTTGCGGGAATGAAGTTCCACGGCGACGGAAGTGAGTCGATGCTCTTCGGATCCACTTCAATAAAAAGGAGAGAAGCTAACATGCAGCAAAGCCCCGGCGCGTCAGTCTTCACAAAATCCGAATCTCTTCAAGCCCCCGCCGCCGTCAGTCTCGCCAAAGCCATCCGATGGCCGCAAAGTAGCTTTCAGAGAGGGCGCCGATGAGATTGATGCATACAATGCATCTCCGAAGGTGCCTCCAAAGGACGCCCCTGCTTCTGCGGGCAAGGCCAGCAAGTGGCAGCCTCTGTCCACTGTCGAACCCAGCCCGATTGCGGAGAATGATCCGTTCAGCCTCGGTGATAGCGACGACGAGAAGGATGCGAAGAAGGATGCTGGCAATAAAGAGATCAAGATGGAGGACTCCGAGAGACTGCGCCAGGCGGCTGCCGAAGCCATGGCGGACAGCCTAGTGGAGGACAAAGCCAAGACAGGGTCTGCAAGCAAGTAAGATCGAGAGCGCCGCGGAGGCACTGTTTGGTTTACAATGTTGAGGATATCTGTTTTGTGAGAGTCATAGCATCGGCAAGGGTTGATCGGTCAGTAAGCGTAGCACGAATACCACAGATTGAAGGAAATTTCTCTCTTTCGATCCACGTCTCAATAAAGGTGATTGCCTCTCGATATGCTCTACTTTTTCAAACAGGCTTCGTGAAATTTTGTAGATAGTTGTCGGACTAATAGTTTTTGTACCCATGCAACATGTATGACATGCAGCTCAATGCACGTGCGATCTAGGATAGTCTTGGCTAACATCAAGAGAACCTACTATCTAGGTATCTATTAGCTCAAGAGCCGGCCAGATTAAGCCGATCAAGCAAAAGCTAGCAGTTCCAGATTAGCAGCTTTTGAGCTGGGTAGCTTAAACCTCTTTTTGGCCCTGTTGGAAATTTCTTTTACTCGCCTTACCCGCCTTGAAGCTAGATGGTTCTCAGTTGAAGTTCTGTGGTGTCCCTCGCGCTTGATCAATGATGCTCGAAGGTGCCCCGCAGTGAGGGGCACTTGATGTGCGTCGAGCTTTAGCTCCAAACCCTGTAGCCTTGCGGATAAGACACATGCTCTGGATCTGAGCTCTGATTGGCCGGCCAAACCCTGCGGGACAGAAGCAAAGAACGACAAGCAAAGGGAATGCGGCCGAGAAAAGGGACTGGCGAAACGGGGCAGAGTTGCAACCAACTGAGAATCTAGGGTGCATAGGGTCCGAGTATGACGATGCCGGTGGTCCAATCCGCCCAAAACTGACCTGTGGCTGGCCCCGAACAGCGGCGTGGTCTACCCTGCCGACCCCTCTGGACCGCCGTTTGGAGGACGGGAGCGGAACGCCCCTCCAGACCTGGAGCGTATATCGACATCCCCTCAGCCAGTGGCATTGCGTCTTGCCCAGGAATTGAGTTTGCCGAGTGTCAAACCACGCTGCTGGGAAGACCTTCATCACGCCTTTGTTCTTTTCCTCAAGCTTCTGTGCCCCGTTGAGCAAGAGAGACCATTGCGCTACAAGCCATACGAACTGGTCCTTGGCTTCAAGAGGCTTAAGCTGTGGCTCAACTGAGGTCCATCACCAACATCATATCTGGCTCACCTGGCTCACACCTGGTCAGCAACCAACGGTGGTGCATACAATATCGTAGTCTGCCTGCAGGCTGTTCACATCCTCGCCTTACATTTCAGCACCTGATCAGCTGCCTGGCCCAGTACCGTCCAAGGATCGCCGTTGTTGTACACCCTCGCTAGGGGCCTTTGTTGCACGGTACGGTACCGTCCTTGACCCCCATCGCCGGCACCCTGCGTTACGCAGAACGCACACACCAGGGCAGTGATCCTACTGCCGCAAGAGACGGGTATACACCGTTTCCATACAAGGCATAGTAAGTCAAGCCCCCTATGGAATGGCACGGCACCGGTTGGTAGTCTCGACTTGGGCCTGTATCACAGTCCACAGTCCAGTCGGCGACCTTACCTGCTCTGCTCCAAGCTGTCCCCCCACCTGAACTGACCCCCAAGTAGGAGGCTGGGTAGGCGACTCTTTGCGCGCTGATATCACGGTTGCTGTAAGTACGAGATGAACATTTCATCCGTCCCATGACTGCTTTCAAGCCTTAGCTCACATCGCCTTGGCTGTCTCTGTAATATAACATGCTGAATTTTTCTGCCTTTCATGCCCTTTCTTGGGCTTATTTTTGCACTGTCGGCCTCGCCCGGGCCTTTAGTTCTCACTTGGACTGTCAAACTGGATTGCTCTTGGTAATAAGAATCATTTTCTGATGCGCTTTTGCAGTTCAGACCAGCCAGGCTTTCCTATTTAATCACCGAGGCCGAGGCATTCAGGCCCGCTATCTCGACCACGCAGCATTCTACGCCCGTTGCACTATTGCTCTACACCACATACTTCCTACCTAGGTTGGCCTCTGCGGCTGCTCTAAGTACTATTCGGTTACCGAGTGGCCCTGTCAACGTCTCCCCGACCCGAACACTAGACCGACGTCACACGTACATGCTTCAGCCGATGATACTCGGCCGCTGATACGCCCAGGATCCTCTATCTGCAACCATCTGGGACCTGTCTGATGCTGCATACCATCGGTCTTGTCGGTCCCTTACATTGAAATAAGCACCTCCGTCGTTACTTGACCCTCTCCTGTAAACGTCCGTGGCCTCTCAAGGCTCACCGGGCCCCCACCCCGCATCATGTGAGTATTTCCTTTCCCCAAGACACGCTCAAGGCGATGCGGCCCTTTCCTGTCGAGCAGACGCAGAGTATTCGTCTTGTCCTGGGACGAAATCACTGATATCTGGAATAGGAAGTTCGGCAAGCAAATTCAGAAACGTCAGCTTGAAGTACCGGAGTATGCCGCCAGTTTTGTCAACTACAAGGCGCTGAAGAAGGTCAGTCTATCATATTGTATCCCGCTCTCTCCCAACCAAACACGCTGCCCCAGCCCCTTGGCAGGATACCTCGAAGGAAGATCCAAAAAAGCAAGCATATAGGATCCCCCTAACCCAGAACCGATTCGAGAACACGACACGAGGAGCTCACTTCCACCCTCTTAATGTGGCAAGATAGAAGCTGAGAGTCGCCTACTGACGTGCGCGAAATAGCTGATTAAGAAACTCTCTGCTACTCCGACGCTGCTGGCCCAAAATGACATCCACCACCCAGCCGGCCCTATAGACTCTCAGGCCGCCCTGCAGGCCAACAAAGCAACCTTCTTCTTCCAACTGGTAAGACCATCCACCCCCTTTTTGTCCCAATGGACCTGGATCCGGGGATACTAACCCATGACCAGGAACGCGAGCTCGAGAAAGTCAATGCCTTCTATCTGCAGAAGGAAGCTGAGGTAATCTAATACAACAATATTGTGCAACATGGTGCAGACTGACAAAACCCCCAGCTCAAAATCCGTCTCAAAACCCTACTTGACAAGAAGAAGGTCCTTCAGTCCCGAGGTCATAGCATCTCAAGGCGGTCGGCCAAGTTTACAACGCTCCAAGAGGGCTTCCAACAATTCGCAAACGACTTGAACAAACTACAACAATTCGTTGAGATCAACGGCACTGCCTTCTCGAAGATCCTGAAGAAGTGGGACAAGACATCAAAGTCGAAAACAAAGGAACTCTACCTCTCACGGGCCGTCGAAGTGCAACCGTTCTTCAATGCCACTGTCATCAGTGAGCTGTCAGACCAAGCGACCACAAGCCTTCAAGAGCTGGGTGCTTGGGCTGATGGCGACCATGTTAGTTTCCAAGAACGACCAGAGCATATTGTCAGCAGTCAGCACCTCCTTGGGACCGATGAGGGGGATGCAGATACTCTCCTTCTCGACACTGTCATCTCCGGCAACATTGAGGCGTTGCGAGACCTCATAGGGCGCATGAAGGCCGCCACTGACCCAAATGTAGCCATGGACATCTCGTTGATGGAGAGGATCACGAGGACCTTCCTTGCGTCAATAAATGAGGGACCGCAAGAGTCACTTCAAGTCTTGCTCGAAACCGGCCTTGTTGACATCCAGTCGGAGGATGACATCAATGAGAGGAATTGTCTGCACCAGGCGACCATTTACGGAAACAAATTTGTCCTAAGTTACGGCATCTCCAATGGAGTTGCTGTCAACAGGACAGATGTTTACGGCAGGGTTCCACTCCACTATGCTAGCATGCATGGTCGTCTTGACATGCTCGATGCCCTGCTAGCTGGTATGATGCCCCATGGACACCTTTCAATAGCTAATATCGTACTGACTGGACTTTGTAGCGGATTCTAAGACGATTAACCTCATCGATCACGACAATTTCACACCCTTAATCCATGCAATCATCCACGGACACTATGAATGTGTGGAGAGATTGCTTGCAAAGTCTGCGAGGATCGACCCAACGAGAGATGCTGACCACGTCCCGTTGAACCTCGCATGTGAGCACGGATCTGTGATGATTGTTGAGCTCCTGCTTCAACATGGCGCGCAGATCCTACCTGATGCCGAAGGCTTGTATCCACAACATTTGGTGGCGAGGTCTGGCCAAACGCCTGAGCTCTTGGCTTTGCTCCATCGTTACGGTGCCGACCTAAATCAGATCGACAAGCTGTATGGCTGGACGCCTCTGGTTCACGCTGCCAGCGAGGGGAATGTGCCCTGCTTACAGGCCCTTCTTCAAGCTGGCGTAGATCCAAATATCGTCGACGAAAAAGACCTTCCGGCACTATACTATGCAGTGTGGGAAGGCCATCTCGAATGTATGAGACTACTCATCCCTTACAATAGGGGGAGAGCAGCTGCTCCAGCAGCTCAGTCACAGCCATCCCTTGGTCCGATGAGCGACAGCGGTGGCACCGTACCTATGGCTCTTGACCCAGATGCCATACCTATTCTCGAACTTCCACCACCGATCATCCCGTTACGGCGCTATGGCCACAACTTCTTGGATACCAAGACGGTTGTGCAAATCAGCTTCGAAGAGAGCGGCGAGCACCCGCTGATCTTCTTCCAAGACAGCAAATATCCTGCAGCGCGGCTTACTATTTCATCCAAAGTATCCGATCTCATTCCGAAGAACATCATGCTTCCTTTCCAAGAAGATACCCGCCTTGTTTCATTCCAAATCGACAACTTAGACAGCTTCACTCTCGACTTCGATGTCTTTCCTACTTACGGCGCCAAGGTCATTGCTAAGACCGTTGCACTCCCCAATACTTTCCGAGCACTGCTGAGCAGCTCTGGGAGCTGTTGTCTCCCACTCTTCGACCCCCGTCTGCGCGCCATCGGCCAGATCAGCTTCCACACCCAGGTCATCAAGCCTTTCCAGGGCAAGCCCCTTGAGATTACGGACTTTGAGACGTACTGGAAAGCAACAAGCCAGTTTGACACCTCTCCAAGCACCTTTGTGACTGGCTCTAGTCTTTCAGGAGATTTTGTCAGGGCATATGTCCAGCATACTAGCGATGGCTTCCCGGTATTGTGGCCATATTGGACTTTGGAGTGCGGCGGTATCGATATCCCTGTGTCACGGCTCACATTTGAACAGTTCAGTGTTGTCACTTCACGATCTCCAGCGCGTGCTGAGCTTGCGTCAATTCCATCCCGCACACTGGATCAGATTGCAGATGTTCATCGCATCCTAGCTACGGCAGGAATCACCTTACAGGACGCATTGTCTATTCTTCCTCAAGGGATGCATGTCAACATACAAATACTGTACCCTACCGCGGACGAGGAGAGATTCCTGGGCCTGACTCCCAGTGGAGATATAAATAGGGTTGTGGACGCCATCCTGACTGTGGTATTTGACCATGCCCGTGCGCAAAGAGCTCAAGCGCCAGATGCCGTCCGGTCCGTCGTCTTTAGCTCCTACAACCCGAGTCTATGTACCGCTCTAAATTGGAAGCAACCGAACTTCCCCGTATTCCTGTGCAACGACCTAGGAAGAGAGGACACCATTTTGCCCCCGAACATCATCAACTACAGTGGACGCCGGACGACCTCGATCAAGGAGGTTGTCAGGACTGCGCAGAGCAACAACTTCATGGGGCTCATCTGTTCCTCGCGCTTGCTGGTTAGTTTCATCCCTTTTTTTTGCCGCTCCTGACAAAACATACTAACATGCTTTGAAAGGATATGCTTCCGGCATTGGTCGACTCAATCAAGTCCCAAGGTCTTGCTCTGGTGATCGACAAGTCCACGGAAGGTGCTCCCGAATATGGCGGCCCGATGAGCGATCCATTCCCGCGAATGCCGCAGGGCGTTGATGGTGTGTTGAAAAGTAATGGTGTACTCAGATTCAACGAGTCGATCAACATATAGACTATGTAGCTCCAGCTAGCCAATTGAAAAATCGTAAAATGATATTCCAAGTACGAAACAAGGTCGCATCAATCCTGGCCGTGTATGAAAGTCAAGAAGCCTACACATTAAGTGGAATTGGGCAACGCCCTGGGGGTTATCTGGAAGATCCTAGCCAAATCGATACCTGATACAGTTTCGTGCTTCCGTACTCGTGATGTTCATTAACGTGACCACCGCCCGCGGCATCAAGCCCCTTTGTACTCATATCTCAAGCTGCCGAGCTCCGTCTCTGGATCCACGCCGGCCATGACAACCTTGGCGGCCAGCACGACAAAGTACACGATGGCCGGCAGGTTGCCCAGCCCCAAGAGCCCCAGCCTCCGGCCACTACTGTCCCTCACCACGAATCCCGTCAGGATCAAGACGCCGCACAGCCCGAGGTTCAGATACGGCAGGTATGTCTCCAGCGGCGACTTCTGCTCCACAAAGGAGAACGAGCTCGATCGCGGCCGCTGCCGCCCCTGCCTCGGCGCCCTGGATGCGCTCGCGCTCGGCCCCTCATCAGGGACCGCCGAGTCCTGCTTCGGCGCGTTCCAGTTGTCGAGGAACCGGATGCCCGTCTCGGCAGGCGGGAGCGTGTAGAGGAGATATGTGGTGGAGAGGAGAGACGTGAGCCCGAAGACGGACAGCAGGAAGGTTGAGGGCCGGAACATGGCGACGAGATACGGTATGGTGGAGAGAACCGGCACGGCGAGGAGCAGCTTTTGGAACTGCGCGTTTCGGGCGGCGTTCTGGTCGCTGAGCGTCTGGATGAGAGTCTCCTGCTCTGTGAAGGTCATGTTATGTTAGCGAAATGTGGTGCAAAGCATGGGGCAGTCATGGCCGTAGATAGTCTTGCCATGAGGAGCTGTAGCTAACCTTCTTCGTCCATCGCATCTGGTGTACCCGTTGAAGAGTCGTCTGTGGGATATTGAAACGTCCGGCGCAGACGCGCCGTCGTCCCTTTGATGTCCATTTCTACCTTCGAGGTTGTTTGCACACGATGATGCAAACTGGGACAGGAGAATGCGCCGTCACGGCAGGGATGGTGAGGGGCCCAGGCAGAGAAGAGAACACGATGCGTGGTCTATGTCGAGGGTTGCGACGCTCAGCCCTATGACGTCCCGCGAGCCACTGGAGCTGGCCTAGTTAGTTGCCTGCCGGGGGCTGGCAGGCGGGTGCGTTTCTGCGCTAAACGACCTACAGCTCGGGTAATTCCATAACGAGGTTTTGGATGCGACGCACTTGTGGACTGATACTCGCTCGCCAGGTCGAAAGCTCCGTGCTCACGACAATCCGCAACCATGCTGTCTAGGAGAGCGAGCAAAGGGGCAGCTGTGCTTCTGCGCCCACGGGCTGCCCAACCGAGGAGCATCGTGCTCCAGCGACGGACCGTTGTGGCTGCGCCGAAACCTGGAGACGGCCCATTGATGGAGCGACGGGCGGATCGAGAACTTCCAGGTAGGTTCACCCCGGCAATGGATCCATGAAATCCTTGTTGATGAAGGTGATTAGACGTGGAGAAAGGCCGCTTCCGATGGTCTCGCTCACTCCCCATATTCGCCGCAGTGATTGCCTGCTGCAGCGTCGCCATATTCAACTACCAGAAGTCATCAAGTCCGGTCGTATCCTCGACGCTATACTCACTACGGACGAACAGCAAGGCACGGGAGTATCTGGGCGACGAGATCTACTTCAAGCAGCAGATCCCTTGGATCAGCGGCGAGATGAACCAGCTGCACGGCAGGATCAACATCTCCTTCGCTGTCAAGGGAACCAAGAACCACGGGATCATGCGATTCGCAAGCAATCGGCCAACAGCCAAGGGCATGTTCGAGACAACCGAGTGGAGCCTAGAGACAACAGATGGCAGGGTGATCGATCTTCTAGACGAAGGCGATCCGTTCCAGGGCATCTCATTGTCTGGAGAAATGCTCGATGACGAGGATGACACGGCGTCAACCCGAGGGTTTAGGCAAATGAACAAGAAATAGTGGGACGTCGGGATCAATATGCAGACCTAAAAGTTATGAGGATATGTATGTACAAGGCTTGTGTATTGGAAGGGACTTGGCTCTTCAGAACAGAGCTATGGCCCGAATTTGGGCATAATTCGTAGATGTACAACAGGTGTAACTATATTACATGGCCTCGGGCTGTCTATGCTGACAACCCTGCTGGCATTACCTCCTCTATCCTGCCTTCTTTCCTCAGATTCTTCAGTTCCAGATGCTTTCGCCTTGCAAGTCCGAGCTGCTCCACTGCCTTCGGGAACCGCTCCATGAGAGTCTGGTTCATCTTGTCGATGAATTCCTGTGTAGGGGGTGGCCTCTTGACAGCATCCTGGATCTTGACAAGTGCGCCCTTAGGTCCAGCCACTGCTCCCTTGACCACCACGATCCCCAACTCGTTGTCCACCTTCAATACCGGAAGATTCTGGACGGTGACTCGTTCGTTGCCCATCCTTCCAGGCATCTTCTTTCCAGGCAGGACTCTCGAACCGCTTCCTTGCGATGGACCGACGGTACCGATCGTACGATGGTTGAGAGAGTTACCGTGCGACGCCTCCTGACCAGCGAAACCATGTCTCTTCATACCTCCTGCGAAACCCATACCGCGGCTATTGGACCGCACATCCACACGCTGACCCTTGTGAAACCAATCTGGCTGTAGCTGCATTCCCACAGGTATCAGCCCGTCTTCAGTTCGCACCTTGAATTCGGCGAGGTGCTCTTTGGGGGCCACGCCCTTGGCCTCGTAGTATCCCAGCAGCGGCGCCGTGACGTTGGCAGGACGCTTCTCGCCGCAGCCGACCTGAACGGCAAAGTAGCCATGCTTAGACCGTGTCTTGTGTGCGATGACCTGCACCTGCTCGAGCTGCAGCACCGTGCACGGGATCCGCTTGCCGTTACGTGTGAAGTACGCCGTCATGCCCTTCTTGGTCGCCAGCACGCCCGTCCGCAGCGGCGTCGTGTTATCTTTGCGGGCCAGCGCCGCGTCCGGCGTCGTGCTCAGCTCCGGTAGGCCATCGCCCTGGTTGAATTTGAGGTGATCGAATCGCTTGGGGGCTGTGTTCCAGCCATACTTGACGCCTCGCCTGGGAACTCTTGGGACAAGAAACGGCAGGGACTGTCGCTCGGTGACGGCGATGGCTGTGGACCGTATCAGTTGCGTCATGCAGCGCGATGGCATTCGTGGCGCCATCGTCGCTGTGCCTGCACTGGGGCAATTGAGGTGCTGGAGATGCCGGTTTTTGGTTTGATGTTGGGATAGGGTGTCAGTGGTTTGTAGCTCGCTACGAAATCTTGTGAAGGTAGAGTCCACGTTAGTTGCTTAGGTACCCACCAACATGTACATAGCCAGTCTAGGTGGTTTTAGCCCGTGCGACCACCCAGCCAGTCACTCCCAAGACTAACACAAGCAAAAATCTTCACATATTCCAATCAAGACACAGGGAATGTCTACACAGGAAGATAGATAGGTACTACGAATAGCCCGACTAGCTCAATGATTACATTTAATTAATATATCTAAATATCTAAAATGGGAAAATGGGACAAAGGAAGTTTGTAGAGAAGCCTTTCAGTTGCGAATTTGATGTAAAGAGCAAAAATCCCTTTTCAACGACTAGTGCCTGAGGCAATTGACACCAAAGATACTGATTGCCCAGACAGTGACCAAAGAAAGACTAATCCGGTATTTATCGAGTTAATATCGAGAGTAGTTGGTGTTCTTTGTTGGATTGGTGGTAACCTTTTGGTAAAGGACATGACCGGATAGTCGTGGGAGAGAGTGCTGCTGGCCGAAAATTTACGGCGGGCTACAAGCGCCTTATTGTGCAACTTCCTCCGTAGACACAACATCTAGCAGTCGACTCATGCCATATAAATCCACTGCCGCCAGATGTCCAAGATTCTGGTCCCTTGATCACTGACCTTATATTGACAATGGTGTTATACTTCACATCAACGGCGGTGGATCCCCCCGCCTATGTCTATGTCGGCAAGGACAAATTTGAGAGTAGGTCTGCCTTCGCTGATGCCTTCTCTGCGACCCGTGGAGACCAAATGCCTGATGCTTACCCTTTCAGATGAGGAGTTGATAAAATATGGCTGGGAAGAAGATGTCTGGTAAGATCAAGCCTGTTTCGTAGGAAATCTCGCATACTTACATTTCATAGGGTATGAACCATCACATCTCGGCGGTTGTGTTTTGCTGACTCACTCATGTTTCGTATCCAGTTCCACGTGGACAAACTGTCGAGTGCACATATCTACTTGCGACTGAGAGAGGGCGAGACGTGGGATGCCATACCAGAGGCCCTACTGACAGACCTGGCCCAACTCACCAAGGCAAACTCCATCGAAGGTGAGCGCGGTCATCAGGAGCTAGTCTGAGATAACCTTTTGATGTATTCTCAAAGGCAACAAGAAGGATAATATAACAATCATCTACACACCTTGGTCAAACCTCAAGAAAGATGGTAGCATGGCGGTCGGGCAGGTCAGCTTCAAGGACCAGCGGAAGGTAATGAACGGCCTGAAAACCCAGTAGGCAACGAGGCTGACTCTCTTTCAAGGTGAAGAAGATTTTGGTCGCTCAGAGAGAGAACCCGATCGTCAACAGGCTCAACAAGACTAAAGTTGAGAAGCATCCAGATCTAAAGCAGGAAAAGGACGACCGGTTACGGGAATTGCGCAAACGTGACCAGGCCGCTCAGCAAGCACGGGTAAGAGGATGTCCCTTCTCATGAATTACAGGAAACTAATGCCACTGTAGAAGAAAGAAGATGCGCGCATAGCCAAGGAGAGGCAGGAGAAGAAATGGCAGAAGGATCACGCCTACGATGAGCTATTCAGTGAGGAGAACATGGAGTCGTCAAGCAATCAAAATCGTAATGAAGACTGGGAGGATGATTTCATGTAATCGTCATCATTCTCAAACAGCCAGCAATGGCAGTAAAGGATAGCATGCTATTGCCCAAAAGCAGCCCTCAATGGCCTTTTCGCATTTAACTCCTCGTAGTTCCCAATTTTTACATGCCAGGTCCACGTCCACCGATGTGACTTCCCATCTGATTGACAGACGTGCCCTTCACAGCGTGATCGCTAGGATTCGCGGCGGCCTCGTAAAGAATGTTTGCCGGTGCTCTTCCCAGTTGCATCCATTCACCCTTGAAGCCTAGATAAGTAATCCGGGTGACGTCTTCCTCGCCGTCACTGAAATTATCTGGGAAGAAGAGAGTGAGCCTTTGGACCTTGCCAAAGCGCGCTCGTTTGACTGGCAGCTCCTGAACATCTGACGTTTGCGAGAGCTCAAACTCTTGCGTGCCCTCTTGCTCCTCAGCCGTGCTGAAGTCGACGTCGTCTCTGTTGATGAACACCTTGAGCGTTTTTGGTGCGCTGGGTGAGTTGGATGTTCTCAGCAGGATTGAGTGCAGCTTGACTTGCCCAGTGAAACTGAAATGCTGACTTAGTTATCCTCACACGCGACAGGGGGGTAGACTAGAATGTCTCTTACGGAACGTTAACCAGTAGCTGCTCGTCAGCATCACTCTCGACCTCGGGTTGGTCGCTGAGGCGTTCCGCCCAGGTCTTCTTGACTATTGCTTTTCCAGACCCATGCTCGGCTTCGTTAAGACAAGTGACATCGTCAAAATTGATATGCTGATAGAGCGAGAACTGCACAGCCGGCGTTATGTCGTCTGAGTGATCATGTTCCTCACCGTGGTGATGATGGTGGTCGTCATGTTCGTCATGGCAGTGGTGAGACATTCTGGCTTGGTGTTCGCTCACTGTAATTTTCCGAGGTTTGGTGGTGAGTCTTAGTGAGATGTGGGCTCAATTTATTTCCCCTGTACATCGGTCACTACTCTTGCCACCAAGTTCAAGTTGCACAATTAAGGGCATGATTACCTCCTCAACAAGAGGTTACTGCCTTCGTAGAAGTTGATGGACCTATAATAATAAACTAATTGTTCGAGAATTTGATGAGTATTACGACTCTCAACATTGAATATCTTCACCCTTTAAGAATTAACGTTTATTACCCTAGGAGGAGTACATGGCCAACGCTATATATAGCATATCATGAATCGCACATAATACGGACTGTTCTTTAATAATTTCATCATTTTCAATTTGGACCATTGGGTATCATTGGAAAACATTACATCCCATCCGTGTTCCTCCCAGCTAGGATAATTACAATCGCCCCTTTACTTCAAGCTAACGGAAACCACCTGTGATTCGCCGAGGCTTCTTCGCCTTCGTTTTCTTCTTGCCTAAGGCTGATCGAGTACCATGCTGTCCCGGAATAGGTTGTGACATGATGATCGGGCCCTGGCTTTGAGAAGATGCCGGCTGAGGCTGACTCGAGTAAGCCTGTCGAGGTATGGGCTGAGAGGAAGAATCACCACTTTCCTCCTGCTTTAACAACGCTTGACTTGCCGCTCTCCGGCGACGGCGATCTTCCTGCTGCCTTCGCCATGTCTTCACCCTTTCTGCATCCCTACGACGCGATTCTTCAGGCATATAGACATATTCATCCGGATTGTGGCCGGCATCCTTAGGCCAGTGCGAGAGAAGTCGGGACTCACCCGACTTGAGTCGTAATGGCGATTTGATCGAAGCTGCGTAGGTTCGAAGGCGCAGAATTGTGAGATCCTCTTCATGACCCTCCTCTGACCCTACCTTTCCTGAGACAGAAGACTGAGCTGATGAAGGCGATGTTGACGGAGTCGGCAATGCAGACTCGATAAGAGACCGTGATGCCTGGGTATTGTCTTCATTTGCTGTTTCATCATTGATGCCAGTGGTTTGCTCCGTCTCCAAGAGTTTCTCGGGTACGAGTCTGATGCTTCGTCCGGACAAGTAGACTTCGATTGCAATGCGTTCCAGAGCAAATTCTATTCGCCGCCAGAGCGCAGGACGTAAATGGTCACCCGGAAGTCTCGCTGACCATAAAATCGAAAGAGCCTCGAAAAGATCCGTAATGTTTAGCTTCGCCTGATACAGCCCAACCTGAAGGAGTTTGACTCGTTTGTTGCCTGTTTGACGCAACTTTTTGAAAGCAGAGGTCCATTGCGGTTCTGCGTTCCCAAGGTCGAAGTGTTGCTGGGTATTTGTCAACAAGTCTAACACAGGTCGCAGTGAGATGAATCCATCAGCTTCATTACGAGCAAGAGCGCCATCGAGGAAGGCCTCCATCTCTCCCATCGCTGCAGTACCGTCAGGATCGATTTTAGTATCCTTACTTGGCAGCCTACGAGTAACATCGTGAAAGAGACGGCCCACAAAGCGCCATAATTGAAAGTGCCTTGAGTGTCGAACGTGTTGCCCGCTAGGATTTAGTGTTATACTCGGCGAAGGCGGCCCCTGTGCAGAAGCCTCCCCTTCGACAAAGTCTGGGACCACGAAACTCTCCCCTGTCTCCCGGAGAAATCGTTTTCGCTTCTGGTTTGGCCTGAGAGAATCAACTCTCGAATCCGGTGCAACTGATTGATATTGTATATCGACACTGGTTGCCGCTAGGCAGTAGTTCAAGCTGAGATCTGCTCCAACACCAAGCAATTGCAAGTAACGCTTGCTATCCCTGACAGATTTCCCCTCAAAAGACTCATGACCTGATTTCTTGCCGCGCTTTGACAGGGGCGCAGGTATGATAGTGATAGATTCCAAGCCGATCAAATTATCTATCGCCCCGTCTGCAAGGTCCGAGATCCGTACACTTTGATGATGAAATGTCGGCCGTGAGTTTGGCTGAACGAACCAAAATAGGTCGACATGTAACGTACGCGAGGAGAAGATAATGACGAGAGATACATCGTTTCTGCCGCTGGGCTGATCGCTGACCACAGATAACTTCAGGTCGTTACAGTCCCCGTTTCGATGATGCGGACATGACAGCTGAATAGTTGCATGAGCGGATCCACTCGAGGTCTGTGGAAATATATCCAACCAATATAATATGCTTTTGGTAAGGACAAAGGCATTAGACCGGTTATGACTTGAGACTTGTACATCTAGCACATGATCTGTCGCACCGTGCTTCGATAGATCAATGCAGGCAATGGAGTTACCCGACCGTGCGTTGAAGAGTTGGACGCTTTGAGAGCCACACAAGAGAAGCGTGTCGCATCTTGGACTGGGAATGTCGAGACCTGGCAATTGTTGTATATGATCGCGTTCGGAGGCAACAGAATCCTCTGAAGGGCTGCTTGCATCATCCCAAATACTGCTTTGCGAGTCGCCTCGCGTGACCCAGAATACTCGGTGCAGCTTTTCCAGGTTATTGTGTGGTTGGGAAGGAGCTTTGCCTGATTGAATATCAAGAAGTCGACCGGATGACCTCTTGAATGGTCTTAAGGCCGTTCTCCTCATGACCCGCTCTCGCGTAATATCCCAAACCATCCAACGTCCGGTCTCATCTACTATCGCGATCTGAGGAGGGAAGTTTCCAGAACCTGTGTTGAACGAGAAATCGCGATGAGCATTCCCGCCGGTATCTTCCTGAGTGAACGTAAGAATTGGATTGACGGCGATGTGGCTTGTTTTCTCAGGGTCAAGGTAGCAGGGTAAACCAGTATCTCCGACAGGTTGCTTTCGAATCTCGGGTTGGAATATCGTCGTTGTGGTGGCTTTTTGCACGATGAGCCAACGAATCTGGTCATATTGTTTGCGGACAATCGCAAACTGAATTTTGGTGATGGGGGCGCCATCTGCACACCAGAAACCTTGGTCGCCATTGCTCAGTGTCGCAAGATTGATCTCATGACTATTATCCGCAGCCCAGCTCCATCTCTCACTCTGCAAGGTAGAAATTCGGAGTATGTGCCCAGCCTCTCCGGCTGCTATCGCCAATGCAGGACATGCCTGTGACTTCCAAGAGCTACTCTTATCATGAATCTCCCCAACTGCCAGAATAGATAGCGAAGATGCGTCTCCATTGGAAGACTTGAGACGAGGAATCTCTTTTGCAAGTGATTCTCTGAGTTCTTCGTTTCCAAGGAATGCTTCTGGGTGCGACTTCAGAAGCCAGCGTTCCTGCGACCTAATAGACTGCGAGGCTTTGCCGGTTGGTTTAGAAAGAGAGAGCGCCTTGGTAGGCGCAACCCATCTTCGAAAGGGCGAGATTTGCTGAAAGTGAGGCGCCCTGGCAGTCGCTCGTCCAGAAGTCAATTCCCCTATCCAGCTCTCATCATCCTCCGCTGGGGAGTACGAGAGCCGTCCGAGATGCCCGTAAATCACATGGTCGACGCGGCGTGTATCATGGAGATGAGAAGCAAGACTACCGGCATCGCTGCCGCTCGATATTGCGTCAGTCATTCGGTCCCAAAGCCCTGGTACTCCTCATCGATAATAGCACGATGAAGTTCAGCATAGCCATATGCGCTGAGCTCCAAGTGGGCGGGATGAATGTCGTTGGGTGAGAAACACAGTATCAAGGCGCAAGTCGGAGAAACGAAAGTTCCTTATTTCTCGCTTCACATAATCTCAGTCATTTGGTGTTCTGAAGTTGAAGTCAAGAGCTTCAATGCTGCCGTTTGCATAGACTACCTAGGTAGGTAAGAAAACTTAACGTGGGTAGCCAATCGGGGCGGGTAGATTGAAGCACGGTAGTCGGGCACCAAATTGCCGACCGCCCGTCGCTGGGGCGACGCTGCGACTACAGGGGTTCTTGGTAAATACGGACAGGTACACCCGTCACACCAACTTTAACACAAACACACATACTCATTACGCGCAGCAAGCAAGACGAACACGATTTCTTGAAGTAACATAAAGCGATCTGGTAGAAAGGGATTGGTATATAGAATTGCTCGCCCGACAATCGCGATGGCTTCCGTCTTCGAGCCTAGGAGTTCTACGAGTCGCCAGACCTTTGCGGCAGCAGGGCCGTCAATGGCGGAGAGCCTCCCGAGCATCGACTTTGGCTTCGATGAGCTCCGCGACCGCATGGCCAAGTTCACGGCCAAATTCGATGCCTTCATTGAGCAGGGAAGGAAGCGCGTTCTGGAAGAGAGGAACCAATTCCGCATGAACGTTGCTGAGCTACAAGGTACTAACAAGACGATATACTATGCTCTCATCGCATCGCTAATCTTTCGTCACAGAGGACCAGCGCATGAAGAAAAAGGATATCGATATCCTACAGATGAAGACCAACACATACCAGAACACCATCGCGAAGGAGGGTGCCGAGACACGGGAGATGCAGGCGGCCATAGCATCACTGTCCGCGCAGCGCGACAAGCATCTGTCGACGCGCGACGCTCTGAAGAAGCAAATCGCCGACACCCAGAAGGAGATTGACGCGCGGTTGGCAGCGCAGCGCGAACATGCGGCCCGTCAGGAGGCGCAGTCGCGTTTCAATGTGCCCGAGCTCGACTTCTGGATCACGAACCTGTGCCTACGCATAGAGGGCGCAGGGCACGATGATCGCCTCAAGTTCGTGTTCACGCACATCGACGAGAAGGATTGGGAGCGCGAGGCATGGTTTGAGCTCAGCACGTCATCAAGGGATTATGATATACGCCACTGCAGGCCGAAGTTGGAAAGGGAGAAGATCGAGAGGGTGCTGGAACGAACCAACGAGACTCGCGAGCTGGCCGCGCTATTAAAGGGAATGAGAGAGCTGTTCGTAGAGCAGCTTAAGTCGTGAAGAAACCCACTACTTGCACAGGACGAGATCTGAGATTCTGGAAATAGAAGGGAGTGCTTGAAGTTTTGATAATGCTCTTATAATGACATTGCCGATTTGCCAAGACCTCTGTACCTCTAGAACCGGGTGTGTAGCCGCGAGATTTTTACGTAGCATTTGACTTGAATCGATACGTACCATGCTCCAGTTACAAGAGACAGCGTAATGGTGAACCTTGCAAAAATGTCTCGAGCTTGGCAAAACTGCTATTCCTGTGGGTGATTAAGTGTCTCTGGCGCAAAGCAAAATCTACCAACTTCCTTCCAGCTTGCCCCGCTAAGCAACCGCCGAAGAGCAATTATACATTTAATTCCCCGCTACGCATCCCGCCCCAAGTTATCACTTTCAAGGTCACTTTCCCGCGGGGTATCAAAATGCCAGCACCAGACGAGCGAGAACAAAAACAAGCTGCAGCGCAGCAGGCAGTGGACATCCTGCACGAGATTGCTACCATACTGGTGAGTCTGCCTGACAAATAATGCGCTGGCGTGTGGTATAGCGCTCGGCGCACAGGCTGACCGCGTATCTGTAGAACTGCCATCTCGACCGGCGCACACTGTCGATATGCATCTCAATGATTGAGAATGGCGTCAACCCAGAGGCACTAGCGGTAAGTCTCAATCTCTTCACCTGTTTTGGGCCAACTTGGCTAATGCATAGGCTGCTATAGACCGTGGTGAAGGAGCTTCGCAAGGAGGGCCAGGAAGTAGATCTTCAGATGGCGTCTCGAAGGCGATAGATGGTCAGAGCAAGTCCTCATCGTGCCTTTACGCGTCTTTGACGCGCTGGATTTATGCTCATCACGCGGCGGTGTTATGGCGTTCTAGCTTTGTGCTTTGGAGCAGCTATCAGGCCTGCGTCACCTGGCAGCGTTCTGGCTGAATTGCTCGAGAGCATCGACGGAAACGAGATGGGCTGGATGTTCATTATCAAGGGACGCGGTTATCCTGGGCTCAATTGTTTGATTCTGTATCGACGAGACCTATTTCAATGCTATAATGCGTCATGATGCTTTACATTTACTGATCGTGTATCCAACTCTGGCCAACCTTGGTCCGCTGCAATCAACCAGAACAAACGCCAAGTACGCGCCATCCATGTCCCGCACTCAAGATGCCAAATTTCAAGATATCGCCTCCCCAAACATTGATCGAGACGTGACCGTTCTTGCTCAGTTTCCATGATACCTGAAACGCCGTTAACCTGAATGCCATGACCACATGATTTCTAAGCCCCCAATCTACCAGACTCGCCATGCTGGTTCGACTCCTCATCTATGCCCTATGAGGGTGATCGGATCGTCTTCATCTTGATCGTCGTCCTCCTCTTCAGTATCCTCAGCGGAGTCACTGTCCTCTTCATCATGCTCGTCATCCAGCGTTTCGGATTCGTTGTCATCCATATCCGAGCCTCCGCCCCAAAAATCGAGAATACCCCCTTGATGTAACACATCTGGGCCTGATGCCTCAAGATCAGGAAGCAGATTTGCCCTGACGAGAGCGCTACGAGTAAGCAAATCGGGCAAGGGGTTTCCAAGCTCAATATTCTCTGTCATGGTCAGAGTTGGAGAAGATGAAGCTTGTCCGTTTCTATCAGAATCAAGCTCCGCCTGCTCTCTGAAGAGCTGGAGCTGAACTGTGTTGTACGAGTGGCATATCCCGCATTTGAGACCGAGCCAGTGGTAGTTGGTTGTGCTCTTTGCCGAGCAATCGTTACAGAGCACGATAGCCTTGGTATTCTTATATTCATCAGGCATGGGTTGATCCCTGATGGATATATCAATGTTCCGGAACTGTGCCTCCATGTTGACAATGCTCTTGCTGCAGATGGGGCACTTGTAAGACCTCTTGAGGTATTCGTGGTAGCATTGCTTATGTATGCAATGTCCACATGCCATGAAAACAACGGTCTGTGGTGAGGAGAACATGTAATCGCTGCAGATTGGGCAGTTCGAGTCTGTGGCTCTCTCGATGCACTTATGTGTGGTCTCGATGCTCACAGCGATGCAAGCTTGACATTTCTGGACTCTGTTAGCCAAAGCCTCAGCTTATGTTAATGAATTTGTGCATACCTTGCAATGGAAGAAGTCTTTGCCCAGCCCTCTTCCCACCCGGCAGATTCCACAGTCGTCACAGTGATAGATGTTTTTCTCCACGTCGTCGTTCCACAATTTGCAAACGTTGCAGTAGTAATGTGCGGCTGATCTACTGCAGTTTGTGCAGGTATCCGAGGCCTTTTGGGCGTGACCACAGAACATACAGAGCATGTGTTTCGTCTCCCGCCGGGGCAAGACATGATCTTCGACGGCGTCATGGCACAGACGGCAGGTATACCATTTCTCACAAGTCGCGCACTGCATTTTCACATTCCGTCTGTAGTGTTTGCAACCTAACGGCAAAGGGCCGTCCTCCATCCTGCCTTCTTCATCAAGGTCGTCCGATGAGCCCATAGAGTCGTCTGGCCGTCGCCATGGCGCATAGGTAGGCGTCAGATCGTCTTCAGTGAGATTGAATGGCAAGGGCGCTTTGGACGACGTCCAAAATCGCAGGGAGTCCAAGGCACTGGCTGCAACAGGATGCTCGAAAACCGTAGGGCTGCTAGGAGACTCGGGCCTCAGGGCTACTGGTGCTTGGCCAGGAAACTTCGATTGCGTGTGCCCCTCTTGGAGTAAAAGGTGCATTCTCCGCGCCTTCTCTTCTGTTGGAATGACCTTGGATTGTATAGCAAATATCCTCTTCCTCATATCCCCCATGCCATCATCTGCCGGCAGACAGCCATCTACATGCACATGGAAGGTTTCGGGGATGGCCATTGAGTCGTCTTGGGCGTTGGCGCCGGCGCCAACTTCAAGCGGCGCACGGAGACTGCTCGTGCCGGCGTCAATGACCGAAAACGTTCCCAAGGGAGAGCTCATTTCGGTGGAAGAAGAGTCCAAGGCCTCGTTATCTCTCGAGGTTCTGACGGTTCGATCCTCGTAGGCCCGGCCCGCGTGGGCGTTCAATCCGGCAATGGCATCCAAAGTTCCTGATGATGGTGAGACGATCATGTCCTCCTCCTCCCACTCCGCAATGACGTCCGCATGCTCGAGTCGAGACTCGTGAGAAAAGCGCCTCTGTACTTGAGGCTCTGTGTCGGTGGTGGCGAAACCTGTAGAGAAGCGGCGGGCTTGTCGTAAGACCGGGTTGATGATAAAGTCGGAGACGAGGGACGTCATTTGAGAGCAAAGCCGCAGCTGGTTTAGAGGAGACCGAAACTGGACCTCACAAGGGTTGCGAGGAGTTCGGCATTCGAGAGGGGGTTGGGCATAGTAATAAAAGGGAGGCCTTGGGTATGGGTACGGGAGAAGAGGTATGGACGTGCGAGCGAGTGGAGGTGGTAGTGGGATGGTGGTGGTGCGGGAAAGGTGCAGCCATCTATCTATCTTATGTCATATTCCCATGCAGTATGGAGAGGAGCCGGTACTGTCAGTACGGCACAGCGGTGGTCACTTGTAACGGGCGACACCTGCACACCTGCCTGGCATCCGCTAAATTCAATCGACTAATCGGATGGGCACCCCCCATATAAGTCGCGCCACATCTGGTCTTCTGTCCAGATGTGGCCACAGGGGGGCTTTCAATCTACAGGACCTAACGCATTTAAGCACCACGCTGCTGAAGTTTGCCTGTACGGGAGAAAAGCCATAGTTTTCGGAGCCTTCTGGACTTCCAAGGTTCTGTAAAGGGTGGTCAGAAATGGATTAGACGAGTCGAAGCTGATGCTGCTAGCTGCAATGGGCATGCATGGAGATGCCGTCTTATTTATCTACTGGCGGACCTTTTGCAGATGAGAAAGGAAGGTAGCCAACCTGAAAATATACAAAAACTACCAACCTACCTGTATGTATGCATCTCACTGCTGCAGCACCTGTAAAGATCTATAGCAAGTCACACAGCAAGATACATAGGTGGGTAAGTACATACGTAAGATAGAATGCGACGCCCCTTGAGTTGTGCGTGCTGCATGGTAAAGTGTTCTGCAGGCAGCCTCTGAAAAGACGCCTGTTCCTTTAATTGGTGTGATGTTTCTTGCATCTTCGTGCGATAGTCCATTTCCCGCTCTATGATGGCCCGGGGACATAGCCAGAGTGAGGGGATTTCACCAGGCGATCGTCTACATAAGGTAGCTAAGGTATATCCTACTTGGGCTTGCTACGTAGCGAGGTATAAGGTAGTCAGTCTGCTTTGTGATCCTCATACTGATATTTAGTGGCATTTGGATCCTACTCTCTAGTCATTTAGCCCAATAAGTGTACAGATCTACACGCCTAGAAGCAGCTCTTGAGTTGATCTCTTAAGTGACGCAATTCGATCCATGTGACTGCAGATGTCTTTGTCGACTCTGTGCCGACTCTGTGTCTGAGGCTCTCTTAATCAAGATTCGAGATCTCAATTAAGTTGACCAAAGGGCTGGGTTCGAGGAGAGTTTGATAGTGGGGTTCGATTGATGTGCTACCTAGGTAGTACCTATAATTAACCCCCTAGCGTAGACTCTGACATTGAGTACTGCAACCCTGATGATGCTGATGGGGGGGCTCGGGGGGTGTGGTGGCCTGGCCCTTACGGCGGCGGGCGGCGCGCACATCCCCTTGATTCCCCCCTTCCCGTCCCCGTCCCACAGGAGAGAGCTCGACAGGGGGGGCGGCGTGCACGCTAGCTTCCAGCTCCCGCAAAAAGGCCACGAATATCTTGAGGGACCGGCTTCATCCCTTTATCCCCCCAGCTCAGCTCCTGTTTGTTTGATGGCTCGGCTCTGAATCCCCTCCTCCATCAACCACTACTTCCATTAGAGGTTGCACCCGTCAAGCCGTCAGCCTGCCCAGCTTCACTGTCCGGGCATTGATGCTTGCTTGAGAGACCAACACAGCATCGACCGAGCCTTCTTTTTCTTCTCTCGGTCTTGCGCTCGTATTCCTTCGGACACTTTCTTTCATTCCCCTTAGAATTTCTCTCAGCCTCACCACCCGCGGTTTCCCGCATTTCTTCCTTCCTCCTTTCTTCACCGGTATCATCGCCGAGTGTTGGAGCCCATACACCACCAGCATGGCTCAAGAGAAGGCCGCCGTCACCACCGGCGCCGACGTTGGCGAGGCCGTCAGGAGACGCGCTGCCGCTCCCCCGCAAGGCGTCCCGGCTACGAGGCCGGAGATAGATGACAAGAAGAAGTTGGTGAAGAAGGTATGGGAATTCCAGCTGAGTCTTTGGCTAGTTGGACTATCTATCAGGCCTCCGAAATTTCATAAAACTGATAATTTGGCTTGCAGGAGCAATCGATTCTCCAAATTCTCGACGAGTGGGAGTTCATCATCGCCCCAGTTATCTTCACGGCCCTTGCGTTCTTCACAAGACTCTACAAAATTGGCTTGTCAAATATCGTGACCTGGGATGAGGCTCACTTTGGCAAGTTCGGCTCGCATTACCTGAAGCACGAATACTACTTTGACGTTCACCCTCCCCTGGGCAAGCTCCTCGTCGGGTTGTCCGGCTACCTCGCCGGCTACAATGGATCGTTCGAGTTCAAGTCTGGCGAAAAATACCCCGAAGATGTCAACTATACTTTCATGAGACAGTTTAATGCCTTCTTTGGTGCTATTTGCGTACCCATGGCTTACTGGACTGCAAAGGAACTGAAACTGAGGCGCCCCGCTGTCTGGTTCATCACCTTGATGGTCCTCTGTGAGAACTCCTACACGACAATCAGCCGCTTCATTCTCCTTGACTCGATGCTGCTCTGCGGAACGGTGTCTACGACGCTCTGCTGGGCCAAGTTCCATCGTCTCCAGAACAAGAGCTTTGAGCCTGAGTGGTTCTTCTGGCTGTTTATGACTGGTCTGAGCATCGGCTGTGTGACCAGTGTCAAGCTCGTTGGACTCTTTGTCACTGCCCTGGTTGGACTGTACACGATTGAGGATCTCTGGAACAAGTTTGGCAATGTCAAGATGCCAGTATTCGAGCTCGGCGCTCATGTCGCAGCACGAGTTATTGGACTCATCATCCTGCCATTCCTGGTCTACATGCTGAGCTTCGCCATTCATTTTGCCGTCCTTACCAACAGTGGTCCGGGTGATGCTCAAATGAGCTCGCTTTTCCAGGCCAACCTGAAAGGAACCGAGGTTGGTCAGAACAGCCCGCTCGAGGTTGCCTATGGGTCGCGTGCAACCATCAAGAATATGGGTTATGGAGGGTAAGGAATTCTAGAAACGTTCAATCGACATTAACTAACCTCAATTAGTGGTCTTCTTCATTCTCACGTGCAAACTTATCCCGAGGGATCTACCCAGCAACAGGTTACTTGCTACCACCACAAGGATGCTAACAATGACTGGTTCTTCTACCCCAACCGTGGTGATGCCGATTACGATGAGAATGCCGAGCCCAGATTCATTGGTGACGGCGAGACCATTCGCCTGATTCATGCCCAAACCGGCCGCAACCTTCACTCTCATGAGATCGCCGCTCCTGTCACCAAGGCGGACAAGGAAGTCTCCTGCTACGGCAACCTTACTGTAGGCGACGACAAAGACCACTGGAAGATTGAGGTCGTGAGAGATGTTGCCTCGCGTGATCGAAGCAAGATTCGCACGCTGACCACTGCCTTCCGCCTGAAACACCCAGTCATGGGTTGCTACCTCCGCGCCGGCAATGTCAATCTGCCTCAGTGGGGTTTCCGACAGATTGAGGTTACCTGCACCAAGGACAACAATCCTCGTGATACCTACACCCACTGGAACGTTGAGGCGCACTGGAACGATAAGCGTGAGTTCCCGCAATATTCCTGCTTTTTGCAAGTGGTTGCTAACGGAAGATAGTACCTGCTGGTGACCCGGGTCAATACAAGTCACCCTTCATCCACGACTTCATCCATCTCAACGTCGCCATGATGACTTCGAACAATGCCTTGGTTCCGGATCCTGATAAGCAGGATGACCTGGCCTCTCAGTGGTGGCAGTGGCCCATCTTGGTAGGTGTTTCTGTTGACATTTCGGTTACATCCAGTCGTTTGCTAACGTCTTAATAGCATGTCGGTCTACGTATGTGCGGCTGGGATGACAACATTGTCAAATATTTCCTGCTTGGCAACCCCTTCGTCTACTGGGTGTCTACGGCGTCTCTCGGCGCCCTGGGACTGCTTGTTGCTTGGTACCTCGTTCGTTGGCAGCGTGGGTACAAGGAGCTTTCTCAGGCGGAGATTGACCAGCTCCATTACTCTGCTCTTTATCCTATCATTGGATGGGGTCTCCACTACCTGCCGTCTGTCATCATGGCTCGTGTCACATATGTCCACCATTACTACCCGGCGCTGTATTTCGCCATTCTGGTTCTCGGCTTCCTTGCTGATTGGTTCCTAAGGAACCAACGTAAGGCCGTCCAGTACGGTGCCTACGCCGTGCTGTATGCCACTGTCATTGGGCTGTACATCTACTTTATGCCCATCTGCTGGGGCATGACTGGCCCGAACAAGCAGTACAGCTACATGAAGTGGTTCGATACCTGGAGAATGTCTGATTAATCTCGTGGTGAACGGTAGCTGTATGGAGATATGTAAGCTTCTCACAGGAGGCTTATAACGCTAGAATTTTTGGAGCTGGTGAGGAAAATTCGAGGTCTGGAGCATGTTGTTGTTAGATGAGGTATAGCAATCTCCATTCCTCTCGGGTCATCTGTACGTTACGGATAAGGTGAAGCATTAAAAAAGGCAGGAGGAGTTCTGGGAAGGACCTTTGTTGAACCCGGGAAGCATGAGGAAAAATGACTTTCCACAGTATAGTAATATGAATTCTCTTTGTCAAATGTCCAAATGTTCTATATCATGTGGTGGACCGGATTATTATGCATTCGCTGTACAGTCTTCAGGGATTAAGCAACCTCGAAACAACTGAAGGAGACCTTCCACGGGTATCACGCCGTTACCTGACCGTATGCCCTCTGGATACTGATACATGGGGAGGAGGAGGAGGAACAATAAAGCTCTCAGCAGCAGCCACCGCCCGCCGGCTTCGTCGTCTGTAAGCTCACCGCCCGCTGCCCGCCCGCGCTGGGGCCCTTGACGCCGGAGCGCCGGTCGTTCAGGTCGTACTTGCCGGCCTGGATGTTCTGGTATATCCTCTCGGCGACGCGCATGAAGGCCTTCTCGACGTTCTCGCCGCTCTTTGCGCTCGTCTCGACGTACTCGAGCACGCCGTTGCGGCGCGCCCACTCCTCGGCCTCGGCGCGCGTCACCTCGCGCTTGTTGTCCTCGTCCTGCTGCGCCGCCAGGTCCGCCTTGTTGCCCACGAGCACCACCACGATGTCCGGCTCCGCGATCTGCCGCAGGTCGTTGAGCCAGTCCGTCACGTGGCTGAAGGTCGACTTGCGGCTCAGGTCGAAGACCAGCAGCGCCCCGCTCGCGCCGCGGAAGTAGGACCGGGTCACCGACTTGTACGTCTCCTGCCCGGCTGTGTCCCACAGTGACAGCTTCATGTGCTTCTGCGGCGCCGCCGGGGTGCTGCTGGATCGTGGCGGCTCGGGCAGCCCGCTCGGCGGCTTCTTGTCGTTCCCGCCGTCTTCTGTTGCTGTCTCTGAGGCAGCATCGTCGGCGTCGGGCCCGGACGTCGGAGCAAGAGGAGGGGGGAGGTCTCTGGAGTGCGGCGGGCCGACGGGGACGATGCGGCTGCCGAACTCAACGCCAATGGTCACGTCGTGGTGCGTGACGAAACGGCCCTCGCACAGGCGGATGGTCAGGCTGGACTTGCCGCATCCCGAGTCGCCGATGCAGACGAGCTTCGCGATGTAGTCCCAGGACGGGGACGACATGTGAAACGGTCTGAGGCTGAAGGCCGGCGGGAGAGGCTTGCCGGAGGAGAGAAGAAGGTGGGCAGGAGTGTGCCCCGGGAGTTATAACGGGGCGCACGTGAGTAGCGGGAACGTCTCGTGCAAACAGGTCAGAAGCGTATGTTTGTTGTTCTATGTCTGGAAATTCAGACTGCAGACAGAACCGAGTCTTGAAGGATCGAAAGTATAGAAGAATCAAGCAAGGGTTGTAAGTCTCACAGGTGACGTTAAGACATTTAGAGGGCAGTTTCGGTGCATGTGCTTCCAGGCCATAGCTTAGGGGGGATCAGCAGAGCTTAGCCTGCTGACAAGGGTATCTATTCGGTGACGCAACTGGGGCTGCTGATAAGAAATGCAAGAGCTGCCGGATTATCTACCTACCAGGTAAGGTACATGTACCTAGGCCGCTAGGTATCATAAGGTAGCCTCCAGAATGCCTGCCCGGAGGGCTCAGCAAGCATCATATGACCCTTCAGCTATCAGCTAGATGCGGCCTCTCTCTTAAAATCCAGAGACTCTGCACTGTATACAATAAAACACAATTTGATCGAAGGAAGCTTGCTATCAAAGTTACCATACTCTGACAGCTGTTAGGATCGCATCCAGGGATAAGGCACATGGTAAGGGTTCTACCCTCTGGTATCTGGATAGGTACATGTAGGGAGGTCGGAGAGCCAGCTTGATAAGAGGGAGGCGTCACTCCGGCAAGCGGCAGCATCTTACTGCATAGTAGTCTACATCTACAATATGGCCTTGAAGCATAACGCTCGCTCCAAGCTGGATGCATAAAGTGCAAACTGCATAGAGAGTGTTGTCAACCTACCATCCGACTGGATTGAGATCCATGTATGATGAAGTGGCTGCAAAGTGATAGGGCGGCGGAATGGTCTTTGTGCATTGCTTGTGCTTGCTTCCCAGGCTCGGTATTCAAGTTTCGGGGCCTTTCACTGTAGACGAATCGAGGATGGCGCCACAGGCGGAACCGGAACCGCACGCGGACAGGAATTAGCGTGCATCAGCACCAACCTGCGCAAGCTTGAGCCGTGACCGCTCCATCTCCAAGACGCAAGACCAGCTGCCTACTGTGTACCCGTCCCCATCCTGGGCCATCCTAGGCCAGGCCGCAGCAGTAGGGACCCCGACATGACTTGGCTAAGTTGACTTGACTTTGATCAACCACCACCACCACGACCAAAACAACCTCGCGCGCCCTCTCACACCTAACCAACTGCCTACCTTACCTACTCTACCCTATCGATTTGGTCGTGCCGCGGTGTCGTGTGCCTGTTTTTGTTGTCCTGATCACAAAGCCAGACCCTTCGCAGTGCTTCTTTTCACAGGCGCCACCAGTGCACAAGCCTGTCTTTCATCGGTCCCGGCTTTAAGCACCCCGCAGATTGCCCATCATCCTGATTACATAGACACCCACGGCCTCTGACTCTGACTCGTCGCCCACCGACTGCTCCCTCACCTTCCGCAACAGCCATCCCAGGAGGTATTCGTGCCTCCTGTGGAGTTTACAGCGATACAGACATGTTTTCAGAATGTAAGTCTCCATCTCAAGCATATCTCCAGGCGCTGGGACCTCGACTGACTGACCGCCGCCTAGATGCTTCTCGCTTCCTCGCCCAGTCATCCTCCCGCATATCCAACTTCGGGCAGCCCGATAACAACAACGACGGCCCGAGTAGACAACCCGCAGATTGGCAATCCAGGGGCTATGGCAGGAACGGCGGCCGGTCCTTCTTAGGAAGAGGCCTCCCCGGCGGCGGAAACCCTTACCAGCAGTCCGGCTCGAGGTTCGGTCATCTCAACTTCGCCTCTCGATACGGCCAGGATGCACCTCTATTCCACAGCACCCGCGATGAGTTGCGAGAAGAGGATGACGAGGAGGAGCGAGACAGGGAGGCCGCAGACCTGTATGCCCTCCAACGGTCACGGCGGGTCTTTGCCGCCGGCCGACTAGATGAGAGCACGGAGCCAGAGGACGAGGGGAGCCATGCATCCCTAGAACAGAGCCAAGAGCATGATAGCGGTCATTTTGGAGATCGGGGCCATGGATTGGGAATCCGAAGCAGCTGGAATGGCACCAGAAGCTTCAACCGCCGAGGCTTCAAGAAGGAGCCCGCGATAGAGGAGCCGGATGATTTGAGTCGGAAAGACTCTCAGGAAAGCGACGAGGCCAAGGGTAAAATGGTTGATATCGGCCTGGAGTCTACAATCGCCGACAACGAACCACCTGCAGATCTCACCATGGAAACCCCTATCGACGATAACCCACCAGCATTCCAGCACTTCCGAGGAAACCCTGGCCATACTCGGCTGCCGTTGCGAAGGGATTCGACTATGGACTCTGAGCTTGGCGTTCCACCTAGTGAGGCGACAATACCATCACCGGCCCCTGCTTCGGATGGCGAGATCTTCAAGCATGACCAATTCTTTGCGTGGATCTACCTAATTTCATTAGCCTCATTGCTAGCTACGTTCGTCTTGATCTGGCTGCATACATCGACCCCAAGCAAGAAGAACCCGCTTGGAGATACCATATATACGACTCTCTCATCGTCTTTCCACCTTCTCGCCGTTGACACACTGGTCTCCATCATAGTCTCGCTAGTCTGGCTTGCCGCACTACGGTCCTTTGTCCGGCCCCTAGTCGCTGTGATCATCCTGGCAGTACCCGTCATCCTAGTCTCTTTTTCACTGTATCCTATGGTCTCCAGCTACAAGGGGCGCGAGCACGGCTCAAGCTTTCAAGATGTAGTGATGAGGTGGGCTTCGATCGTGCCCGGCATCTCGGCCATTGTCTGGGTTTACCTGGTTTGGAAAGGGCGATATGCGCTTCGATCCGCCATTGAAATTCTTGAATTCTCAAGCCGAATTCTTGCGGCCAATTCTGCTCTGATCCTTGTTGGTATGGGAAGCTTGGCCTTTATTGTCATGTGGACTTGGGCATGGCTTGCAATGTTTACCAGGATCTTCCTCGGTGGTTCATCGGTGTCAAGCCTATCTAGGTTCATTATCGATGCGTCCAGCTGGTGGCTTGGTATATACTTCATTTTGATGTACATTTGGACCTTGTCAGTGGTTTCAGGAGTCCAAAGAGGTACCACAGCGGCTACCGTCTCGCAGTGGTACTTCCACCGCAATGCAGTCCCCAGCCCGTCCTCAAGAGAGGTTGTCGCTGCTGCATTGAATCACTCTGTCACCACCATATTTGGAACAATCTCTTTCTCGACGTTGTTGGCAGTCATGATTCGTCTCCCGCTTCTTGTCCTCCCCCGTCGATTGGCAGATACTGTCGGGGTATTCTTCTATTCCTTCGTCCCCACATCAATAGCGGTCCTCACGAACCCTCTCACCCTCACATATGCTGCCATTCACTCGCAACCTCTCGTCACATCAGCAAGGGGTCTGAGCCAGATGGACTTCCTGTCCCCGCAAGCGCCAACCACAACATTGACGCCGCGAGCGTTCTCTCGGCGCGGAAGCACTGCTCCATTGCTGCCTTACCGACTGGCAAAGCTGCTGCTTCATGCTACACGATTTATCATGGCTACAGCACTGGGTTTTGCTGGATGGGTTATGACCGCAAGGCAGCTACGCATCGCAGTCCCAGACGGTGCAGGTATTAAAGGTAGTGCCTACGCCTACGTGGTCGGCCTCGTGGCAAGCTTTATCGGCTGGGGCATCCTCGGAGCGATGGAGGGTATTCTGAGTGGCATCTTGGATGCTGTGGTTATTTGCTACGGCAGCGAGACCAAGATGGCCACGGGCGGTGGTGGCTATTGCATGGAGGCAGCATACCTCTTTGGAGACAGGAGAGACGACCGCGGCCGAGAGTCGGTCTACTAAACTGCCAATTTTCCTACAGAAAGCAGCGTGGCGTCCTTGGACTCGTCAACTTTTGTGTGTTTTTTTCTTGTTTCAGGTGTATATCGAGGTCATACTGGGCGAATTGGCATAGATGCATTAGAATGATTGTAGCAAGGAAGATATCAATATAAACAGCAAATATTTACATGCTGTGGCCACATTTCATCATTGTGCCTCTTGATTGATCTAAGGAACAGACACCTCTTAAGCTATAGTCGAAGCAATTCTGCTGCATTTAGAGAAGCTTGTACAGCCAGTAAATGAGTCAGTTAGTACACTATCGGCTGAGGTTGGTGATATACGCTGAATGCCGCTAAGCCAGCACAGTCTTCTCGGGAGCCGCCACATGCACGATTTAGCACTAACAGGACCCTTGCCCCTCTAACCCCAGAAAATTTGTTGCGCAGAGGCCGCTCACTCATACAAAAAGTTGTCATCCCACACACGGCAACACACAGCCCAACCTTGACTCCGGGTCAGGCTCGCAAAATGTTAAGTCGTGCGAGGCCGAGTCTGAGACAGGGACTCGACCGCGACGTCTATCAGATTGTGCGCAAGCTAGAGGACGATTTGGAGGGCACGAAGACCAGCAAGAACCTACGTATCTCTACCGTCTATGATTATATCAAGCACTCAAACTCGAGCTTGGCAAGGCAAAAGAAGCGGCCGCTCGAGGATGCGATTGAGAGGGTCCTCACGTTCAGGAAGGATGAGCTGAAGGAGGACGACTCGGACGCGGAGCTGGAAGCCAACGCTGCTAAGTCGCCCGGCCATGCGCATGAGCGCGACTCGTTTATCTTGAACAAGCAGCTCACGAAGCGTTGGAATTTCGCCTCCGGCAGTGCTCCTTCGTCATCTGGGAGGCAGTCGCCTGCTATTACCGGGGCCGGGCCCATGGACGTGGACGGCGGGAGCGTTGCCGTCAGCGGCAGTGTGAACGGTGCTATTGAGCGGCAGCCCAACGGCGAGTCAAAGGCCAAGCGGCGGAGGAAGGAGAAGGATTACGACCGGAGTCCCCCTACGGGCGTCTCCATTGCCGACATGGCTGGAATCCAGCCCGTGCTCAAGAGGCTGTACAATCCCGTCTACCTGCCCTTGACGCATGGTGACATCTTTGCCAGGCTGAACTATCGCTTTAATGACGGCGTACTGCTCCATGGCCCCTCCGGCTGTGGAAAGACCACGCTGGCGGACGCCCTCGCAGCCGCCCTTGGTGTCGCTTACATACCTATCTCCGGCCCTTCCTTGGTGGCGGGAACTTCGGGCGAATCTGAGAAGAACATCCGAGAGCTATTCGATGAGGCTATCAGACTCGCCCCATGCCTAATTTTCATTGATGAAATTGACTCTATCGCCGGCAAGCGAGACAGTGCACAAAAGGCCATGGAGAACCGAATGGTTACAGAAATCAACCGAGGAATGGACAGGATAGCCCGCGACACTGGCGAGGGCAAGTACGTCGTGGTGCTGGCGGCCACGAACAGGCCCGACAGCATCGAGCCTGTCATCAGGCGGCGGTTTGCACACGAGGTTGACATGGGCATGCCTGATGAGAAAGCTCGCGAGCAGATCCTGCGAGCGATGACACGCGAGCTGCCATTAGCAGACGATGTGGACTTTGCAGCGCTTGCTCGCCTTACACCTGGATACGTCGGTGCGGATTTGAAGCATGTGGTGGACACGGCTGTCTTCGAGGTGGTCCAGTCCGTCGTGGACAACCGCTTGACTGAGACAAGAGCGCAGGATCCCGATGCGCTCCCTGGTCTGGATGTTGCACAACAGAACTGGCTTCTTCTCAAAGATAGGCCTTTCGAGCAGGAAGGGAACATCTACGTTACATTAGATCATCTCAAGCACGCAGTCTCTCTTATCCAGCCTGCCGCGAAGAGAGAAGGATTCAGCACCATACCCGACACCACGTGGTCTAACGTCGGCGCCCTTCACGAAGTGAGAACGAAGCTGGAGATGACGATCATCGGGCCCATCACGAAGCCCGAGCGCTTCGCAGAGGTTGGCATACAGACAGCCGCCGGCATTTTACTTTGGGGGCCGCCGGGCTGCGGAAAGACCCTGGTGGCCAAGGCCGTGGCGAACGAGTCCAAGGCCAACTTCATCTCGATCAAGGGTCCCGAGCTATTGAACAAGTACGTGGGTGAGTCTGAGCGGGCCGTTCGGCAGCTGTTCGGCCGGGCCAAGTCGTCCGCGCCGTGCATCCTGTTCTTCGACGAGATGGACGCCCTCGTGCCGCGGCGCGACGACAACCTCAACGACGCCAGCGCCCGCGTCGTCAACACGCTGCTGACGGAGCTGGACGGTGTTGGTGACCGCAGCGGCATCTACGTCATCGGCGCGACCAACAGACCGGACATCATCGACCCAGCTATCCGGCGGCCAGGCCGGCTGGGCACGAGCATCTACGTGGGACTGCCGTCGCCTGACGAGCGCGTGGACATCCTGCGGACCATCTACCGCAACACCATCAAGAACAAGAGCAATGGCGGCGGCGGCGGCGGCGGCGGCGGCGGAGCAGTCGACCCCATCGACCTGGACAAGATCGCACGGGACAGGCGGTGCACGGGCTTCTCGGGTGCGGACCTGGGCAACCTCATGCAGGCGGCGGCGCAGGCGTGCCTGCAGCGGACGTACGACGAGGAGGGCACGCCGCACATCACGATGGACGACTGGGAGAAGGCGTTGCGCGAGGTCAAGCCCAGCGTGACGGACATTTCCAAGTACCTCGAGCTGCTTGCGTAGATAGATAGTTTTAGATCCCACGATACCCACAATCTGCCAACATATCACAATGATATCAGGACCAAAAGCGTTTATAGCAACTTTGATTCCGTCGTTAGTTTATTTGATTCCGCTTGATTCGCACTGTCGAGGCACAGTTTGGGAACATTCACGCCAAGGGGGTCATGAATTGGAATTGTTGCTCGCTTAAGTAGATGCGGAATGCCGATTCCAAGAAAAGAGGAGAGGGAATTGTTGTGTTGTTTGAGACGATGACACAGCGACGCCGCGCAAATGTTGCAGGTCTAGTCTATAAATACAAAGGTTGTGCCCACTCCGTCCGTCTAATGCAGTCCTCCCTATTAGTACACCTCGACGCCGACCGCTTATTTCGTAGCATCCTTGAGGAAGCTGTCAAAGTGCGTTAGTACCACCGGCCGTAAAGTGAGTAGATGGGGGTGGGGAAAAGCATACGTGATCAGGTCATTCCTGTCCTTGTCCTTCTTGAGACCACCGAAGGCCATCTTGGTGCCGGGGATGTACTTCTTGGGGTTCTCGAGGTAGGCGAACTGCAGAACGCGTTAGCTGGTGCCGGAAGCTCTCCCTCGAGCTGGAGAGAGGAGATGCGGATGAGTAGGGTATACTGACCAGAGTTCCCTCGTCCCAGGTGATGCCCTTCTGCTTGTTGGCATCGGTGTAGGCGTAGCCGTCGACGGAGCCGGTCTTTCGGCCGAACAGGCCGTGCAGAGCAGGGCCGATCTTGTTGCCGCCGTCCTTCTCAAGGGTGTGGCACTGAGCACATCGGGTCTTGAAGAGGTTGGCACCCTTCTTGGAGTCACCTGGAAGCGTGTCAGTCAGCACGAGAAAAATGGCCTGATTTTCTGCCAAGACCAGAGTGCCTGTCGTCCGAGAACCCCCAAGCTGAGAGCCGCAACAGCAGAAGCATTGCAATGCCAGGCGATGCCAACGTGAAGGAGTCGAGAGACGAAGTCTCAGGTCTTCTTCTCGCTGGTGGCAGCAAGATGAGCAAATCCCGCAGGGCGCATGCCCCGTCGCCTGACAGTGATCAGATGCGACAATGATGCCGACAAGCGCCATGAGACACAGCAACGGCATTGAAACACCGGAGGAGGTCCTTTAGATGTCGTCGCCCATCTTGTCGACACTCAATGGCATTGCGGAGGCTTGGTGGTTCGATCGGCCAACAGACAAACTGAGGTCCAGCAGGGAGCGTGAGCAGGAGGACCTACCAGCAGAGAAACCCATTTTGGCGGTATTAGAGAATAGAGCGAGGTAAGGCTAGATGAGAAGATGCTGCAGAAGAAATCAAGATGCAAGACAGGAAGGTGCCTGGTGCTTCTTTTTGGTGTTTGTGGTTGGATATCCAAGGGCTGGTATTGGAAGAGAGGAAAAAGATTTCGTAGGTACGAGAGAGTCGCGCGCAGAATCAGGGCGGCCGGCTAGCAGAAGCGCTCTTATTTTTCATGAGCTCAGCGCCCGGGGCAGCCAGGAAAGCCGGGCCCAATGCTGGTCATAGTGGTCATAGTGGTCATTAACCTGCAGGGAGCCCACCCACAAAAACCCACATGGGAGCTGTGGCTGCTGTGGCGGAAAGCGGGCTACGAGGACGTCACCACCAATAGCATCACGAGTAATGGTCATTTGCATGGCACAACGTACCAGCGTTACCGGGCAAAGTCGGAAATGCTCCCTCCTCAGCAGCCCAGCACAGCGCACCCAGTGGCCACCCAAGCCACCTACAGGCTACAGGTGACCTAGTGGCCCCGGAGAAATGGGTATTTCCTCCCTCCGGGAACGTCGACACGGCGAACACTCGGGAACCTCCCAGCTAAACATCTTTTCGGTAAGGTCTCTCCGGGCACACGGCGGGATTGACACTACCTAGGTACCACTGTACCCAAGTCGGCGAAATTACCTACGCGGTAGCTTTCGCTTGCTGGAAAAAAAGCTGCAGGCCCGAGTGATCACGCTTCACATCGCCGATCTTCCTAATACGATTCCGGAACTTCCACTGACCAACTCTGCCTGGCCAGCCGCAGCCCGCAAAGCTTCAAGCTCACGGGACATTGTCAGCCAACTCTGCCATAGCTAAAGGAGTACCAGGTTAGCAATGGCAACGCCGGCGGCATCCGCGTTCTCCATCCCCCGGTTTCTGCTGCCGCAGAACGGCGCGATATGGCGCCGGGTCAACCGCTTACAGCCCGGCACCGCACGGCAGCTCGTGGTGCGATATGCGTCCAACGATGCAGCCAAGGGCTCCAAGCCCATCGTCTTGGAGAAGCCGGCCAAGTTCAATCCGCCCTCCCACGGATCCCGGCTGCCAAAGCGGACCACTCCTCGTCACTATGGCGGTGCTCTGAGTGCAGAAGAAACGCAAGCCCAGAAGAAGAAGGACTACCCAGGCACAATGCCGGCGGACGGTACATGGGCGAATTGGTTCTGGACGAGCAGAAACTTCCATCTCTGCATCACTCTGGTAAGTGGCCACTTTAGTATGAAACAAACGCATCTCTAATTGTGTTGCAGGGCACTCTGACGTCTTTGGCGGTGTTCACATTCGTGCAGAACTTCAGGCACACCTCCCCGTTCGCCGAGATGCTCCCGGCCGGTTCTGAATATCTCTCTCATCCAATTGACTCATTCGGTCAACTCATCGAGGTGATCCGCCTTACCGAGAACTACCAGTCCGAAATAACGGCAGAGAAGAGAAAGAGGAAAGTGGACGACGTTGCCAAGCGGAATGCGTACCGACAGGCACACGGCATCACCAACGACGGCATGTTCGCTAGCTGGACATCCAAGTCTGATGAGGAGTCGCTCGGGCCAGCAGTTCCCCCTGAAGAGGAAGCGGCCCGCGTGGCAGCGGAGGACGCGAAGCCGAAGAAATGGTTTGGCCTTTTCTGAAGCATAGTTATCTTGTACAATTCAATACCCATTACATAGCGCACTTCATGTTAGCAAACGAGGAGGGTGGTTCAACGGCCAATAACTTCATCTAGAACATGAATGGCAAACAGATCTCAGATCATTAATCATAGGGTATCATTTTATCCTAACTCTACAGCTTCCAAGCCATCTAATACCTCATCTGCAATGCCGCCTTTTTCTAACACTTTTTGAACCATGGCGCCTATGATGGCCAGCTTTGCTCCTCCGCGTGGCGCCTTCCATACACCCTCGACGGACTGTGTCTCCACCGCTCTAGATTCGGGTTGTTTCTCTTGGGTTGGCAGACCGGTCGCTAAGTTTTTCTCGTTGGGCACGCCAGGCGGTGTCAGCCGTGACGGTGGATCTATCGTCCTTATGGACAGGAGTCGTAGGTTCCGCCCGCCCTCATCTGCCTTTTCGCCTTTTCCTCGTGCGGTATCGCCAACTGACACTGCGACTGCTACGTCTGCCACCGCCAACTCCTCCTTGGCCGGATCGAATATGACATTGTTGCCCACCGCCATGACAAGCAATGTGACCGGTGGTCGCGATGATACGCTACCACCTTGTTGCGGGTATAGATAGTCTGAGGCATCCCAGTCATCGTTGAACAGTGGATCTTCGTCTCCTTCTGACTTTAAACGTGGTAACCTCGTGGCTAGTAATGCAAGGTGCGTTGTTAATGACAGCAACGGTAGGGGATATGATAATGGAGGTGAGATGAGGAGAATCTAAGCAGCTCAAAGTTAGCCACGCAACAATTTTTCGGCTGAATTAGAAGTGACCTACGTCGAGATAGAGCTTCCAGTGAAACCTCCTGTTGATCCAAAGCCTCTTCACAAACTCTCCATCGGCCAACAGCGCCTCGCTCAGCATCGTTGCAAGGAACACCGTGCCCGCATCGTCGTCCCGCAGGCCGGGGATCTCCACCGTCATCTCAACCCAGTCACTGTCGCCGCTCCGCTCATCGCGCACCTCTCCCTCCTCCTCGGTGTCCGCATCCCCGCCCGTCTCTAGCAGCGCCGCTTCGGGCAGGACGTTCCCCGCAGCGAATCGCGGCCGCGTCTTCTCGACCTCGGCCTTGACACCGACGATGGCCTCGGTGCCGTCCGCGAAGCAGATGCGCGCGCTGCCGTTTGTGCCCGGCAGGATGCCCGTCTCGGCGCTGAGGGGGCGGAACTGCGCCGGCGACCGGCCGTCGGGGCGGATGGGCGGCGTGAGCGACAGCGAGGCGTGCAAATAAGCAAGCTCCGCGGGGGAGAGCAGGACTTGCTGCTGCGTCGCCGCCATTTCTGTCGTGCGTTTATCTGCGTGCTCTTGTATTGGATGTAGTGTTTCCGTCCCGCTTGGATATCACAAGTGGCGCGCTCCCTCCTTGCCTAAGCTTCGTTTGTGGGATGTGATGGAAGCACGAGGCTGAATAGCTTCAGAATTTTGGAAGGTGGGCTGGCTGGCTCCAATTGGTTTCACAGAGCTGAAGGTCGCCAAAAATCATAGTGGGGCACCAGCTGCAAGGCTGTGGGATCTCAGCTAGGTACAATGTACTCCTTGCACTGGGTGCGAATTCCTCAAGAGTACCTCGGTACCTAGTGATCCTGATTGGCAAGTAGCCCTGGTGCTTGTTGAGACCAAGCGCTGTTGACTCTGTTCATCACTATAAGTCTAACAACGTCTACGAAGGTAGTGCTCCCTTGCTGAGGAGACTATCATAGACAGATAACCTTGGAGAACTACCATTTTCACTTGCAGGCGGAGGAGGATTGTAATAACCAGGCTAAGCGTCCATTAATATGTTTCAACGATGATGTAGACCTCAAACCCAATGGGGTTAGAACGCAGTGCATGGTGACAGGCTAAGACGTGTCCAGCATTAATTAGTTCAGCATACGAGACGAACGAACGTAAAACATGCTCTGGCTTCCCTAGAAATTACAAACATTTACTTTGCCCTCTACAATTGCACTCTTGTTTTGGGACATATTGTGACTCTGATGTAGCGAACATCGTTCGGTTATACCTTCATAGACGTCTAAATATGCAACAAATTAGAAGTAAAGACGACGGAATATACAAAGTCACTATTCTTTCTAGACGTAGCCGAAAACAGAATCTCATATCGGTTGAGCTTATATTGTCAAGCCTATATTATTGATGGCCTGATTCGAATAGTATGCACTAACCCAGAGCCACATCCTAAGGCAAATGTATTATCACGAAACGCACTGCATGTGGGTCTATAATCTGGAGGTAACCAGATGATGTTCTCTCCTTTCCATATTAGCCAGTCTTTGACAACCAAAGGACACATGGCCCAGGAATCTTCGTCGAAAGAAGTCCTAATGTCTGCTGTGAGGCTGATTAAACCTTTATTCGATACTAACAAACGACAGTCAGTAGTAAAGGATAAGTTTGTAAGAGTTTGATGAGTGCAGAAAGTATGTGTCGTCTCCCCTGTTGCTGCATCCCAGAGCCGTATAGTCCCATCGACTGAGCCTGATACCACTGTCCTGCCTTCGGGCGAGAATACCACGGTCCAAACTCCGCCGCTGTGACCGTTGAGGATTCGCATCGGTTTGCCAGTTACTACGTTCCAGAGCCATACACTCCGGTCAGCCGAGCCTGATGCTATAGTTTTGCCATCTGGCGAGAACGTGATAGCCCTAACCCCACCGCTATGACCCTCAAGTGTCTGCGTTGACTTGCCTATTGCTATATCCCAAAGCCGTATAGACCGATCATAGGAGCCAGATGCCAGTATATTACCATCAGGCGCAAAAGCTATAGCCTTAACAGTAGAGCTATGGCCGACGAGAACCTGTCTCAGTTTACCTGCTCCTATATTCCAGATTCGTATGGACTCATCAGATGAGCCTGATGCCACTATATTACTGTCAGGTGAGAATGCAATAGCACTGATCTCGTGGCGATGGCCGCTGAGTATCTGTCCCGACTTGCCTGTCGCTGTGTCCCAAAGCTGTATGGTCCGGCCTGAGGCCGATGCCACAGTATTGCCATCGGGTGAGAACATCATACAGTCGATCTCATGGGGGTAGTTCTTGACTATCTGCGTCAACCCGCCTGTTGTGGTATCCCATAGTCGTATAGAATGGTCCAATGAACTAGATACAATGATAGTGCCATCAGGTGAGAACATAATAGCACTAATCTCGTGACAGTGACCCTTGAGTATCTGCTTGGGAATACCTGTTGCTGTATCCCAGAGCCATATTGACCGGTCGTAGGAGCCTGATGCTATTATATCACCATCAGGTGAAAAGGCGATGGCATTAACTCCGCCACTGTGGCCTTCAAGTACAAGACTCTTGCCTGTTGTCAGATTTCCTAACCGTACAGTCCAGTCATAGGAGGCAGATGCTACTATCCTGCCGTTAGGTGAGAATATCAGAGCACTGACTCTACTGCGGTGACTCTCAAGTGTGTGCTTTAACTCGTATGTTGCTATATCCCGGAGCGATATAACATCATTAGATGTGACAAATGCTATAAGCTTGCCACTGGGTGACAATGCAATAGGGGAGTAGCATTTCTTGAGTGTCTGCTGTAACACACCTGTCGATATATCCCATAACCGTACCGTACTGTCGAACCCAGTAGAAATTAAACTCTTGCCATCAGGTAAGAATCTAATAGCTATGACCATATGGTTGTAACAGTCTAGTATCTGCTTCTGTTCTCCTGTTTCTATGTCCCAAAATCGTATAGATTGGTCATAAGAGCCTGAAACTATCAAGCTACCATCAGGTGAGAATACAACAGCACTAATCTCATGAGAGTGGCCGTTAAGTACTTGCTTTGGCTCACCAGTCACAACATCCCACAGTCTTAACGACTTATCATAAGAGCCTGAAGCCACTGTCTTACCGTTAGGCGAGAACGCAACGGCATTGACGTCACCAATATGGCCCTCGAGTGTCTGTCTCAGCTCACCCGTTGCCATGTCCCATAGCCGCACAGTCCAGTCGCTTGAGGCAGAAGCCAGTATATTGCCGTCGGGTGAGAATACGATACTGCTGACTTGATCATGATGCCCCTCGAGGATCTGTAGACAGGCGTTCCAATTTGACTCAACCCTGGGCAAAAGTGAGATATACTCTGGAATGCAGCTCTTAAACAGGCGTCGTATTATGCTCCTTCTTGGTGTGAAAATCATTGCAGAGGTATAGACTTGCAGGGGACATATATTGACTATGTGGCGGAATTTGAGAATGAACCGCGTCGCGTCATGTAAGAAGGCAGCAACGCCAGCACTCGAGCTGGGCTGTGGAGAATCTGTCAGAGAACGCCTGAAAGACTGGTTCCAACACCACCTACACTAACGAGACCTCGTAATTTGAGGATCAGAGCAATACTCCCAGAAAGCTTCCCTAAGAGACTCAGGGCCTCGAGCCAGTGGAGAAAGTGATGTTTAAGAAAGTCATAGGCTTCATGGTGATCGTCAATACTGGTTTTTGTCTGTTCTAGATGATACACCCAGTATAGGCAAGCATACTGAATGTGTGCTGGCAGACATTCTTCGATAATCATAGGTTCAACATTTTCGCGAGTAGCGCCAGGGTGTTTCAAATTGCAAATGTCCTTCTTTAAGTGTTCATTGGAAGAGAGGAGTCTCAGACAGCTAGCTGTAATGTTTTTGTGTGTCGCTGTCTCATCAACCCAAAATGGCGTTTTCCCACACTTTGCGGGATCAACGAGAAAATTTCGAAATGACAGGTGGAATAGCCGAACAGGATTTCTGGAATCGGATGGGATATAGAGAACAGAGTGAAGAAGATCCAGCCTCTCATCGACCACACTCTTGGGAACCCCAAGGATTATAGCAAGACATGACGTTGACAGCGGCTCAGCTAAGAGCACAATCGAGCCAACAATTTTGCCAAAGTCCTCTATCAACTCTCGTTTCTCACTATCGTGAAGGTTACTTATCAGTTGATCGAGAACTGGAAGGTAAGTTGCGTCGAGTTTGGATTCCTGGCCTGCCATCTGATACTGGAGAACTTTTGTGAGCTGTCGATCCGGCCCACCACCCCTTCGATCTCTGACAAAGCGACAGACAGTTGTTGCAAAGATAAAGAGCGGTACTGCTATTTCAACCAGCTTGTCGATAGTTGGCTGGCTCGGCCAGTTGTTAGGCAACCGTCGTTCGGTTGCAACAATACCGTTATACTCGTCCCTTACTGCGACAAGCTCGTCGCGCAGATATACTCTGATGTCATGCTCAATAATAGGCCTTGGGATCTCATGTAGAACGAGGTCCTGGTATTCGCCTCTGATCTTGTGAAAACCGAGCCGGATAGGTAGTTCCGGTCGGCTCGTGACAAAAGCTCTGGCTTGGACCGAGCTTAGAGACTTCAACTGCGATAGTAGGTAGACAATAACTCTGATATTGTCGTCCCACTCACATTCATCGAGAGCATCAATGACAAGTACGACTTCCTTCCCCTTGTCGAGATGCCTTTTTATCTTATTCAACGGTTCCAAAATAAGCTTCTTAAACTGTATACTTAGAGCCTTACCGGTAATAGCAGGATCTGTATCGATAGCAGCTCTCACATATGGTACCAAAGCAGGCTCCCAGGTGATAAGCTGAGAAGCAATGGTTGTAAACAACAGAGCAGCATTACCACGGTCTCGCTCACCACTTTTGAAAAAGAAGCTACCGCCAAGACATCTCTGATCGGCACATGCTTGTGCTAGCGTACGCGATATCGTGGATTTGCCAGTGCCTGCCATACCGTTCAGCCAGAATATACATTTGCCTTGCGGGTTCCCGACCCAGCTCATCAGCTCTTGGCCGAGGGTAATCCGGGTCTTGGGATGACATCGTGCTTTATGCTCCTCGGCGTGAGAATCGAATGCCGCGTCTTTCGCAATTGGCAGGAGGGTCCCGACTTTGGTGGTCTTATCTACCTCATCCAGCATCCGTTTAAATGCCCTTTCTCTACCTTCTCCGTAAAGTACGGGAAGTTGAATATCGAAGAGCCCAAACAATGAATAGGCTTTATCTTCAAGACGCGAGGTTTCACGATCTTGGGCCCACGCCAATCGTTCAGGAACAGGGAATTCTGACAACAAGCTGCCTTGAAGAGCCTTGGGGGAGATGCCCGTTACTTCACAGATAATCTGTTCAAGAGACTTTTTGTTTCCTATCGATACGCCATCTTTCGAAAAGAATTCAACCATCTTTGGTGCGATTAGCTCTTGAAGTGTCCAACCACGGGTAAACCATCGGCTGCTCCGAAATGCTGTTTCCCAGAGCGAGTCAGGGTGGTATGTATCGTGAGATGTCGCCGGGGGGACAGGCTTCGATTTCTCGCATAATGATGTCTTCTGTACACTCGTAAACTGGGCTTTTGGGTAAGGGATAGAGACATCAGTGAGGTAGACATAGCACCGAGCCGCATTGCTATACCAACAGAACATACTGTTGATAGATTCGCTTAGCTCGGCACTACTCGATTTGTCAATACAACAAGTATCTACCCAGAAGTATCGGAGTTTATCTCGTGCCGCTTGTTCTGCACAAAACCTGATCTTCTCATAGCCAATCTTGTCCTTCCCAGTACCATTGATTAGGTCTTGATAGGTCACTTCGTCCGTATCTGGGCCCCATGTATGTGATAGGATGGCATATTCGGGGATGTCGCGAGGCGGCAGGTCCTTTGTCAGGGTGAAACTGCCATGATTACACTCTAGCAGTCGCATGGTTTCAGCCTGAACTCGCTATCGGATCAACGCTTAACTGCAAAATGATGAGCGCTATCGAGCTCGATGTTGGAATCAGAAGAACAAGCGTTGGAAGGCGGAAAACAATCCGCTGGTTGGGAGACATGGCCATTGACGATACCTAAGCCTCCAGCCTTAGGTAACTTGGGCTGTTGATTGGGCGACTGGAGGTGGCAGTGCACCTGCAGCTTCGAACTCAGGGTTTGACAGTGAGTCGCATACCAGGCAACGACCAAATTGGCTGGCTACCTACGTGCGCGGTTCAGCACTATATGGCCAAAGTTGAGAAATCTCAACCTTTGGAAGAGAGACGCTGAGCCTGAATATTGCCATACTCAGAGGCCCTGTCTCGGATACTTTTGGTGTGTACCCAGTGAGTAGTTGCACCGTACGCTAGACCACTTTCGTCGATGCTGCAAGGTGTTAGTCGGTGCACTGGCCCAGATTACTAAGGGCCGACTATGCTGTAAGTGTGAGACGGAGAAACAACCCTCCTCGCGTGCAGTTAGTCTTCTATAAAGTGTCCGGACACCCCCCCCAATTGGAAGCCGTTGTTTTCCTAAAGGGGAAGCCTCGCATCATTGACTTGAATCGAGATTTCATGACATGTGTGTATCTACGGGTCTTACAATCGAAGTTCTGGAGGTTTCTTTGGCTCGTTGTCAGCAGTAACGCGGGAGAACTGTAGTTCGAGACATGGGGATATTTCACTCCCAGGAGGCTTCCAGGTTCGCTCAGCCATGGCCGGCCGTCGAATCAAGGAGTCTTCCAACGGAAGGTAGACGGCCAACAGGTCATGGCTCGTGTGGCTTCGATCGGGGCGGGTCCTGCATCTCGTTCCTTGTCTGAGAAAGTCTCCGGCCACATTGCCGTCACCCCTTGTGTAGCTCTTATATCGTCGGTAGCTTGAGTAATGGATTAAGAATCAAGAAGAATTAGAGTAGAGTCAGGGAACCGCACTATCGTCGTTCTTTCATAGTATATAAGCGTTTGACCTCTTGGCTCTAAGAGAGCTTCTAGTCCTCCAAACTCATACCCGCCTCCGAAACTCACGATACCTACTGACCACGTCCTCTCACACATCCCTTGTTTCTTTTCTATACAGTTCCTTCAAAATGGGCGCCATGGCACGCGCAATCAAGGCGAAATGGATCGCTGAGCCGCTGCCACCTCCAGGCAGCTTCAAGAACCAGACGATACTCGTGACAGGAGGAACGTCTGGTCTTGGTCTGGCCTTCGCCGTCCATGTCTTGAACCTCGGTGCGAAGGAGGTCATTATTACCGCACGTAACTTACCGCGTGGAGAAGATGCAAAGAAGAAGATCGAGGCCGAGACACGGACATCGGGCAAGGTTACGGTTATGACGCTGGTGATGGACGACTACTCGTCCATTGTGTCGTTCGCAGAGCAACTCAAGGGGAAGTATTCGAACAACGGAGGTCTTGATTTCATTGTGTTGAACGCCGGTATTACGAATCCAGCGTTCGTGAAGAGTCGTGCAGGCTGGTAAGTCAACTCTCGAGCAAGCTCCGACGTACTTGGGGAAACACTGGGACTTACATCACCCGTCTAGGGAAGAGTCGATCCAGATCAACGCTATCAGCACGGTCCTCCTCGCGATCCTCCTGCTGCCCTGGATGAAGAAGCTCGCCGGCCAGCGACAGACACCAGCACACATGACCTTCGTCGGCTCCGGGCAGCACACCGACCCGAATGTCCAGGAGTGGCTCCCCTATTTCGACAAGGAAGGCGGCGTATTGGCACACTTCAACAAGCCGGAGAACTGGCCGACCTATAATATTAACGCCATGTATGGCATCACCAAGTTGATTCTCATGTATGCCACCTACGAGTTGTGTAAATTGGCTCTAGGGCCCGATGGACAGTATGTTGCTCCCCTAAACATGTTACAAAGAAGCCTTGCTAACAGACCACCGGAAGACCTCAAGTTATTATCAATACTGTCTGCCCAGGATTAGTGTCCACGAATCTGTCCCATTCGATGGAGGCTCATTCTTTGGCCTTGAGGGTGATTGCGCCAATATTCAAGGCCGTCTTGTCAAAGTCTCCCGACTCAGGGGCTAGGGTCTACTTGGCAGCCGGACTTACTGGAAAGGAAGGACATGTAAGCAATCATGAGAGCCCCGGCTCCCCCCACGTGATGGTAGTTGATCTGACTAACACAATGCTCAGGGAAAGTTCATAAGGTTCTACCTCACAGACGAGGAATACAACGCGTATGTAACCTCTGTCACAACGACGATCTTAGCTTCCCTTGACGGGGAGGCTATTCTTCTCGAAGGTCTTGGCTAACGATTACAATAGGAGAGCCGCACCCGTGTTCACGAGCGACGCAGGCCGGAAGGTACAGAGCCTGGTCTGGAAGGAGCTAGTCGGTATACTTGGAGCACAAGTACCTGAAATAAAGCCGATCATCGCGTCACTAACAGGGTAATACTAGTGTTGGAGAGGTTATACACGGTGCTAAAGGAGCAACAAATGGTGCTAAAGAGTCTCGTACATAAGAGCGGATAGTTGGGGGGGATCGGAGATGGTTCATCTTTCCAATGTTCATCGGCCGAATTCAACTACATGCAGCGATGTTGTCCACGTCACATTGAGCTAAATAAAGCATGAATAGACATGTCTTGGATACTACTTGAGCTCCCGTGTTAAGATCCCACGTTCACCGAAGCCCGAAAATAGGCGTGTGATCTCTTGCCAAATCCGGCACCGACGGCTCGGGAAGCCCGACCCGGGGTGCGGGATGCCCCGTTTGCAATCTAAGATCGAGACAAGCGGCGAAAGTCCAAGCAGAACATGGGTATCAAATCCGGCCCCACGGCGGCAACCAACTCGGCGATCTTAGACTTCAGCGAGCCGAGGTCATCAATGCTGTCGTTCGCCCACACGACCAAGTCTGACGTGTGGAAGAACCCCTCTGCGTAGTCTGACCGAAGCCGTATATGGTCAAGGTCTACCTCGCTGAGTTGTTCCAGTGATAGAATCCCCGGCATATTACTGGTGAGCAAAGATTCACCTGGCTCATCATCATCTTCGTCCGAATCCACCGAGCTATCTAGATGACTACTTTGTCCACCAGCCTCAGACACCACGTCCTCCATGTCTTCTTCGTCCTGAGCATGCCCATTGCGCTCTCTAGACAGGCTAACGTAGTGCTTCCTGTCAAAAATAGCGAGGGCTTCCTTGTCCAAGAGATCCCAGTGCAAGCTCTCCGGGTCCAGAACGTATTGTGGACTGTAGTCAATCTTATAGCGCATCTTTGGGCAGCTGTGTATGTAATATCCTGAATACCACCATCGATATCCACCCTCGATGGCGAGCGCAATCTCTCGAAGAGCTCCAAGCTTGCCTGGACTATGGCAATGTACCGATTCGTGGTAGAAGAAGTAGACTGCACTGACGCAATTTGGAAGCAAGTCAAGCACGCCAATTGCAACCAGCTTGCCATCGAGGCGATAACAGTGATGGTAGGAGCCCACCTGACGCTCTTTCCCATCCGCATCAACGTAAGTCTCCCGCTTGAGTGGCGAGTCACACAAGAATCTTTTAAATCCATGTCTTGTGATCTTGGATGGTGGCTCTTCATGGACTATTCGCTGATAATTCTCGAAGACAGCATACTTCTCTTCCGTGAAAGTATCTGGCTCTAGTGTGACAGTGAACTCATGCGCTGGCTGTGGCGGCTTCTTTAGTGAGTAACTTTCTGCTTCATGTATCCTTTCTACCAAGTCAAAATCGGTATCTCGCTTTCGCGCTTGCTCGCGTGACTTGGGATATCGACGGGCCGCCTCTTTTGCATATTCGTCGCCTATCACAAACCGGTTGAACCGGTTCACTGCTTGGCGTTGGTCTTTGGCGGCTTTGAATCTGCTTGAGTCTAGCCGAAGTGTATAGTGTGGGCAACATGCATTCTTCTGATTAGGCCGGTAAAGCAGCGTGCCGGAGCGCCTCCAACACCGGTCAATCAAGGACTGATAGAATGACGGGTTCAAAGAGAAGGCGGATGCATAATAAGAAAAGCCTAGCGAGAAAGAAATTAGAACTGATGCTGACTTGCTCGATGCTGGCTGTTATAGCAAGACATGGAGTACGTTGTTGACGCAAGTTCAAGGATGAGTTGAGTTAGGAGTATGACATGTCAACTTGAGGATGAAGTTCAACCGCAACTAGCGGGGCATGCGTGACCGACATCATGAAACAGGGAATGCGAAGAGTTACAACAAAGAGTAATAATTCACGTTTTCTTGACTGACCACTGCGACTCTTTCGGCAGTAACCGCAGTCGGCTGAGTTGCTATAACCTAATGAACATCAACATTAGCCAGGGGAACTAAGATAACCGATGGGCACAAGGGCGACCAATTCGAGAGCCGCACGAGGACCCCAGCAACATGTGACATGTGTACTAGGGGGGTTGTTGAGACGAGACGACAACGTGACAGAATACGTAATGATAGAAACATAGGCTGACATGGAGAAATATTCCCTTGAGGACAGTGCTTTGACGTAGTGAAATGGGTTGCGAGCTAACGCAGCATATGGTGGATGATTGGGAAGGCGAGGCAGCGTGCAGGGGCTGGCTTTGAAGCAGACTGGCGGAGAGAAACTCGGGGGGAAAGTGGTAACAGCAACGCAGCACGACATGTGCTAAGCAACGATAGACGTGCAGTTCCCCGATTGACAAGAAATTGAATAGCCAACGACAGTGGACCGATCTTGCACGGGATCGAATGGTTGGTTGAGATGTGTTGTACTAAGTACTTACCAATGGGGGAGATATAGGACACTGCATCTTCAGGGGTCTGCATATTTGTGTCCTTGACGGTCGCCCTTGCGGGTGGGCCAGGTCAGTGGTAGTCTGTGTGATGAGGCTAGAAGAGACGAGGGAATAGTGTCTCAGGGAGCCTCTCTTAACCGTCGAGCGGGAGCTTCGCAAACGCTAGCAGGAGCAGGTGAGAAAGGAGAGGGCAATCAAGGCCAAAGTGTGGTGCGAGCTAGGGATCAGGGTGGTGGACCATCACTGATCAGATCGGTACCGACCGGCCGCCCAGAGCTGGACAGGTGGACAGGGGCAAGCTACCTTAAGTGTCTAGCCTGCAAGTCAGCAATGCGAGCCGAGAGATATTAGCGTCAATGACAGGTTCCGGGTAATGAGTGAGAAGAGGAATGAGGAACCCAGCAGAGAAGTAGGTAGGTAGGTGTGTATCATGCGCTAAGCATAGACAAGGCAAGTATGGAGTACCTGGATGACGGCCCCTCAGACCCGGAAGGGCGGTTACTGAATGATAATGATGAGGAGGAGGATGGATTACTGCAACCGGCAGTTGGCCCGCGTCTTGTTTGTTCGAAGAGATGCCACCGACTCTTGAGAGTCATAAAATGCCGCCTCCAATAGGCATCAACGGGCTGCCAAATGCGCACGAGGGTCTGGTGGGAGGAAGCTGGCTGAGCTGGCTGGTGAGTAAGGCTGGTTCGTCGTAGAACAGAGTGTCTGTATGAGCACACCACACCGGTAGACGCGCCGGTTCTATTGCTTGACCGTGTTTGTATTCTGGTGTCCCTCATCAGCTGTGGGTGAGGTGAGGTTGTTGAGACTGGGGAGGCGAGGGCAAAGACTGACAGGCTGGCGTCGTCAGGCGGAAGGAGGCAGATGCGTGGAGATCAAGATGTTCGGCGACACATGCGCAGGCAGTCCAGATAGGCAGACCGTGGCCCGGGTGCGAGGTGAGATTGGGGGAAGTAGGTAGGGAAAGGCGGAGTGTATCTTGGTCGGCGTCAGAAAGGTGAGGTAGAATCGTGGCAGGCTTGCTTGATGTTGGTCTGCCAATACGTACACTGGCAGACTACGAATGTAAAGACGGTCGACCCCCACCATCTCTGCACACGCCTGGCACCTAGCACCTTGCGCCGCACCTCCACCACGCACCAACAACCCCAGGTCTGCCCCGCCTATTATTGCCGACTTACAACGAGTCCCGACCAAGTCCAGACATTTCCAGTACCTAGCAATACGAGGGCATTCAAGTACCGGGAACATGTCATCGATGGCGAAGAGCTCGGATGCTGCCTATTTGTTCCCAGATCCAAGACCTCTCCGGCCATGCTGTACGACGTTGCGTTCCTAACAGCCGCGGTGCTTTCCCTTGATTAACCCGCCTTATTCTGGATATGGCGGTCTCACCAATCCTCTGGGAGGGTGTCCTACTGTCTGTCCTATGAGGAATGCATGGCAGACCACTGCTCATGATGTTGGTATTATTGAATCGGACAGCAGTCCCTGATATGCAAACAGAACGCGCGAAAGCTACCTGCCTACTACCTACCCAACGGGTCACTTTCGGTGTTGCGCCATTGGTGGCCAGCTTCTGAGCAGCGTTTTCTGCGGCTGTCGCCCAGTAGACTTACATGCGTGACCGGGAGGCACCTTAGCTGCAGCCAGACATACCTGAAAGCTTCACAGCATGCGCAGAACAGCCAGTCTCAATGCTCCACCGGCCAGCTAACTGCGCAGCTTTTCTAGTCCCATGTTGAAATGAAATCCTCCTTGACCGGCCCTGTCATCATGGGATGGCTATTTGCTTACTTCCGCCATGAGCGCTGTGTTCAAGAAAGAAGCAATGCGCTGCACCAGACTCTGTGGAGGTCATATTAGTGAAACCAAGAGAAGAGGGCTCGGTGTCGTCCTTCCAGGAGCCTGCATTAGTTTAGACAGGCTCGGTGGGCATGTTGATGAGGAGTGTCTGGCGAGCTCTCACTCATTGCCTCGCTGCGACGGCCCATTTGCCCGAGTCGGGAGCGAGCAGAGAGGTCCAGGCCAGAAAAGTTGCTCGGAAGGGTTCGTATGGAGCCCTAGAGAAAGCCATGCGTAAAGGCAAGCCCCACCATCAGGCTATCGTGCTAAAGTGGAAACGGCAGGAAGCAGAAACTTCTGGCCCCTCTGGCGGAGAGAGGATGCTAGAGCCGGGTTCTACGGGAAAGGGAAGATCAGTCGGTCAACGGTTAGAGCGCCTCGCGGGATGGTAGATCGGGGCAATCGACGAGAATGCCTCTTGGGGAAAAAAGAAACATGTATGCCCGGTTTCCAAGGCGAAGAAGGCAGTGGCAGGAACCCCAATCCTGTTAACAAGGGAGATCAGATACCAGATACCTCTGACTCGCAGCTGGCGTGCATGGTTTCTTCGACCCCACGCTCACAGTAGGTATTTGGTACAAGCTTCCTGGAAAGACATCGCGGAGCATCGATTGGAAGATGCATGGCATATTCAATTTCTGAAAGCTGCGGCGCCGTGGCATTACCACTCGGCCGATCTTCCATTGCGAGAGTCCTGAAGAGTCGCTGAGAAGGGCAACAGCCAGCAACCAGTAAAGGTGACGTGAATAGCAGACTCCGAGGAGAGTAGCTCAAGGCCAGGCTTGCCATCCATCTTGTCTCAGGTGTCGAGAACAAGGGAGCTTCTGAAATATTTTTCCTGGCTGCTGGCACCCTGCAGAACTTCCGCTGCCTTCTTGTTGGTCCTCGCGTTCGTTATACCGTCGTCCAGCCATGTGGGAAAGGCCGGGGTTTGCGGACAACCTGGAACATCGATCGAAATAGAATCAGCTCTGAAGAGAACGGTGGAATGAGAAGATACTTGATGCCCACGTACCTCCAGACAATCTACTGTCCGCAGTGTCCCTGCCCATAGCAAGCCATTGAATCCAAAGCGTAGGTTCCAAGCTTGGTGCAGCACATTGCATTACATATACACTTTATTTACTCTTTTCTCAACCATCCATCCATCCATCATCCACCCATTCATTGCCTTACCTGCCTTAGCCTCTCCGAACGACCCATGTTCCTTCCCCCCAGTGCAGTGTCCACACCTCACTCACACTCACACTCACAGTGAGCAGGTACTGCAAGCCAAAAACCGCACGAGCTGGAAGGAGCTAACCGGCCGTGGCTCTTTCACTTCCCACTGGCACTGGCACTAGGGTGGGTTAGCTTTTCTTGTCCTACCGTACAGATGGAAAGAGCCACCTGAGGATCCAGAATTCTGAGGTACCTTTCTCTACCCACGGAAGGTACCTCCTACCTACCTCTTGCTCAGCGAAAAAAAAAGGCGCCGTAATGTACTTTAGTCTAGTACCCTTTTTGCTGGGCAAGGGCATCTTGGTATATATAGTCCAACCTAAATTTCCTCGGTCGTGCCCCTCCAATGCTGCCATGGCACGAGACAAGCTGCAAAAACGGCGCTCCTCGCCCGCAGAGCTCCCAAGCTTCTGCTCCAGCTTCACTTTGTTCACCCTCACTTGACCACGGTCGATCTTGCCACTGCAGCCTCACTGACACCTTGTCCGGCCATACCATACCTTCTGCAGTCCAAGAACCACACCGCCCGCGCGCCTGCTGCTTTCTTTCACAGACTGCCCCTCGTCGTGGTGCCTCCCCTGACTGACACTTAACCACTCACCTTGTCCGGTCTATCATCCTGCTCTTCCAGGTCCATGTAGCACGAGGTGCTCAAACAAGAACGCCGTTTCTTCCTTGCTGCTGCTTCCGCAGGCCGCCGTTTACTCGAGACCAGCATATTCGATTTGTGGTTGTGGTTGTCGAAACCTACCATACGCACCCTGACCCGAAGGTCCCCTCTTTCTGACGACCCTCGTGGTTGCATCTTGAGCTCTTGGCTCCGACATCGTGCCCTCTACTTCCTTGACTCCTCCGCCTTGGTACGGTAGCTCTTTTGCTTCACCATTACAACAAATTCTCGCCACCGGCCTTACCGTAACCCACCGCATCACCAGCTCCTAGGCGTCGGGCACAACTTACCATAGCTCCCAACGATCTTAAAGATGCAGCTCAGACAGCTTTGAAAGGGTCGTTGTCCTCCCAAAGCCCAGCTCTGGCAATTTTCGTTCCAGGCTTGATCAATACTCACCGGCTCTGATTACCCTCCAAAATCTTAACTCCGAAGGATTACAGTACAGCTCAAGATGGCTTCAAGTAGTCGTTCAATGGAGTCCCGGACCGGACGGACCAAGCAACGTATGTTTTCACCCTGTAGCTCGCTTAACTTGTAGTTTGGTCGTGCACTAGCTCCTCTCAGCCGGTCAACTAACCTTATTATTGCAGGATACAATTCCAAGGGCGAACGATTAGTTGCCGGGGTAGTTCCTCTCACACAAGACAAGAGATTTGTTATGCTGATCCAGTCTACCCGAAGGAAGGGTTGGGTTTTGCCAAAGGGCGGATGGGAGATCGACGAGGAATGCACACAGGCTGCCGAGCGGGAGGCGTGGGAAGAGGCAGGCATCACTATCCAGATCGACTATGATCTAGGAGAGATCATCGAGTCGAGACCCCCCAAGCATTCTTCCAAGCATAAGGAGGGGCAAAAGTCGCTTTATCGCTTCTATGAGGCGACAGTACTCACTGAAGAGAAGCAATGGCCAGAGAAGGACAAGCGAGAAAGGAAATGGATGACGTATACAGAAGCCAGAGCCGCTCTGCAGGATCGACCAGAGCTACGAGAAGCACTTGACCGGTCTACCATGAGCAGGTAGAGAAGACCGAGATCCAGCAATTCTTTCGGCCTCTATGGGAAGGTCTCTAATGGCCGTCGAATGACCAGATGACTCTCATTGCAGCTTGCCATGGGAAGGTAGTCACCTAATCGTACGGGCAGCACATCAGGCAATGTTCCTAGTTAGTGCGCCTCACTCTTTCTCATCATGGCGTGGCAGGCACTGCTTCTGCACTTGTGGAGGTACATATGGTCCAGCAATACCGAAGAAAGTCTGAAACCTCGCGAACGCTGTGCTTAAGCACCGCATGTCATAGTGGCTTTATCGCAGGCGCACAATGGCGAGCCACACGAATTTTTACAGGCAGCTGCGATCTCGGAAAGAGTATACCTGATCATCTCATGTTTGCTGGGCGGCTTTATTGAGGAGAAAACAAATTCACTGCATCCATCTCTATTGGAGTTATAGGCGGACTACGATAGACCTTTTTAAAGAAAATCATGAGAATCAGGGAGGGCGGCGAAAAGGGTGAAGAGAGCGGTCATTTGGGTGCATTATGCGTGTTCATGGGACGGCAAACATTGATAGCGATGCTTCTCTATAATTGCTTACAGCTTTGGGAGGATTAATCATCCTCGCGGGACGGCAAATTGTCCAGAAACAGAGAGATGCAAAAGATATAGACACCTCAAAACCCGATACAGAATACAGGTTTCACTGAAACACACTTTAGTGCATCATTTGACCATTTGTAGTCGTGATAAACGACAGATACGATCCTTTGCCCAACTTGTGGATTCGGCTGAATAGAAAAGGGGTAAACGGATTGTGCGACGACTCCGCGAGTTTCTTGGGCGATCCATCCAACCTTACGAATTTGAGCGTATCGGTCAGTTCACTCGCGGGGACACAATAGATTCTGACGACTTACATTATTTCACTCTCATTCTAAATGTCAAACCTAGAATCTAATCATGAATAATAGACTCGAAAGATACGAAGGCGTCACAGGTTACATTTCGTGTTTGACTTACATCTGGGCTTGTCTGTCCCATTTTCACATACGCATGCTGTCATTGATGAATAAGTTCGATAACAATCATCGGCATTGAGACCATTTTGTGGTTTCCGATCACCTCATCTATGCAGTGCCTCCTACAGCTTTGAATTAATCTATTGGCCTTCAGTATATGCCCAAATGGTACATGCTAATGGGCCTCTGGACTTGGTGGAAGTGTTGCGTCAATGCATAATGCACTGTTCTACCCGATGATGAAAGCCATCATATGTGAGTGATCATCCTCGTAACGAGCAGGCCTTACAGGCCACTCCGAATTTTCTGAAGCTGGCTGATGAGACCATAGCCTCCATAGCCTCTGTTTTCCGCCCCGGTTGGCTCAGGGGTGCCCGTCTCTTTCCTTGCAATGCTCTCGCCATCCCGATTGCCACCTCGCCTGCCGCTCTGGTCCATCTCTCGCAGAAGTACACGATGCCGCTCCTCTACTATTCTTGCCAGGTTCTCAATGAACTTGGCGCGTCCCTTTTCCTCTGCTGTGCCTTTCCAAATGACAGAGAGCTCCTTGAGCTCCTCAATCCGCTTGGCGGCGTCCTCGATGCCCTTTACCGGATCTGACGATTTTGATGATAAATCCGTTATCTCGTCTCGTAATTTCTGGAGTACCTGCTGGCCCTTCTCCTCCGTGCTCTGGTTCTCACCGCCGGCATCTGGCGCCGACACGGACAGGAATGATGAGCTGGTCGACAGCTCTGACGGCGGGAAGACGAACTCCATGGCGTCGCCAAACGTCTTGATGACCGAGTCGAGCCGCGACCGCACGACCGTCAGGGTCCGCAGCTGTGAGATGTAAGGCGGCTCGTTAGTTGTCGCCGCGGTGCCCTCCTCGCCGTCCTTGCCCTCCGCCTCCGCTTGGGTAGCTGGAATTTGGGGCTCAATACCATCCACTCTCCTCTCTGGGGCGTCCTGAATACCCTCCGGGACGAACTTCGCCACGTCATCTTTCAGACCGTCCGTCAGCGTCTCGGCGAGACTCAACGTCTCACCGCGCAGCAGCTCCACCTCGTACGCAAGCCGGCTTCCGCTGCGGAGGATGTCGTCCGTGAGCTGTGTGAGCGTGTTTGTGAGTCTTGTGGTGTGTGCATTCAGCTGCGATAGTAAGGTCTGAGCCTCTGTGGAAAGATCTGCCAGTGGGACGGCCGGCTGGCCAGATCTAGATGAGGACGATAATGAAGAGCCAGGTCCGGATAGCTGGAGAGTTGGCAAGGAGGCATTGAGGTAGTCCGCCGGGTCAAAAGATGGATTCAGGAATTCATGGAGGAACGGGTCTGATACATGTGCCGACTTGGGCTGCAGGGACACCTGCTTGGACTGCTGTCTGATGTGCAGTGGGATATTCCTTGAGGCGTTCGAGGCCGTGCTGTTTCCCCTCCGCCGCAGAGCAGATTTAGAATCCCACGCCATATTGACAGGGCCTAATCGGCTACCACTTGCAATGAAGCTGTGGCGCACAAGTTCTCGGCGATGGGTGACACCCGTAGGTTTTTTGAGTCTGGCAAAGTCGCATGAGATGCTTAGCTGGATACATATTCCTCTACAGCTATATCGCAGTATGCGGAGCCCCTGCAGTGCTTGGAGTGGGGCATCTCCCGCCCTCGTTCCCTATAGAGAACCCCGCGTCCAAGAAATCCTCGGCGCGTCCACCGTGACTACAATCTTAGTATTCTCGCAATCATGGAACAGCAAACCCTCGGCGGGCTGGCCTCGCCACCCGAGCTGACGCCCTTGGAGCAGGAGGTGTTGGATGAGTATGAGCGTCTTGCCGAAAACATGAAAAAGGTACGGTAACGCTCATCTTGATCGTCGAACGGAGTGAAATTGATGATCCAAAACAGATGGCTTCGATCCTCGACAATCTCGCGGCCCAGCCTACCACCGAGATCCTCGATGGCCTGCGAGAGCTCGAGCGAAAGACAAGTCTCGTATTCACACTATTGAAAGCCAGCGTCTACAGTATCGTCTTGCAGCAGGAAATTGACTGGGGCGATCAAGCACAGCGTTAAGCCCCGTCGGCCGGTTCAATTGAGAAAACATGGGCGGAAGACATCATCAAAACCTCGGCGCAGGGAGATTTTCAGGGAATCGTTGCATTAAGGTGATATACCCAAGGGACGGAATGAGACGACGACCACGTGGGCGTGGAGACAGGCTGTATATATATATACAGGGATGAGGTCATGAAGCCATGACGATTTTAAGACATACACAATGGTACAGGACTAATATACAGCTCCGCCATAATACACTTTCCTTACATCGACCATCTTCTTGCCCCTTCCGATCGCAACCTCATTGGGGTCTTTCTGGCTCATGAGAGCCTGGACTGTTGCTTTGACAGAGTTCATGGGGTTTCGGGACCGGGGCATTCTAGCGGAGAGATCATAGATGCCTGCCGCGCGGCATATTTCGAAGATTCTATGTGAGACTCGGAGGCCAAATCCTAGTATAATCAGCATCTCCGTACAAACGCTTTGAGAGGGGATACAAACCTGGCGGACGATTGTACAGCTGAACCACTGTAGCTCCCACCTTGGCCTCCACGTTGCCGTAAATTGTTCTCTTCTCATATCTCGGGATTGGCTTCATGTTCCGGATGGCGAGCTGCTTCGCCTTGTTCACGGCCACCATGCCTTCTGTCGATTTTGCTTCGCCAACGCCTAATCTCCCATTTCCGTTGCCCGCAATTGCAAGAACGTATTGGCTCTTGACCTTGCCGAGACGTGTTTGGTTCGATACCCAGCGCGTGACAAGGATCTTCGTTTGGATGTGTAGGATGTCCCTAAGGTTCATATTCGTCCGCTTCTTCAGATCTTGGTACATACCCTCGGGGTCGCGGCCCTCGTCGGCAGGATCCTGCTCCGCCTTATACAAGCCAGCAACGCCAGGGACCTTTTCAGGAAGAGCTGGTGCCAGCGCGGTGTTCGATCCTTGGCCATTGTCGGTCATAGCCGACCGCTCGAACCAGTACTCCAGTGTGTCAACATCCTTAGGCCCCCATTTTTCGATCTGCTTCTGTAGCTCTTCGTCACTGAGACCGTCGAGGTTGATGTCTTTTGGTACGAAGGACTGTATCCACTTCATCAAGTCATCGCGGAAGTCGTCTGGCAACATGAATTCTGAATCTGAAACGGGCGGCCCTTTTGTCTTCGGGCGCTTGTCGACAACGGGAACAATGTTCATGAAATCTTCGACGTAGGGGAATTTATAGGGGTCGTTACGAAGCCGGCCCTGGATGGTGAGGTCCTTGGGATCCACGGCCGCTTCACCAGCCTCCAATGCTTCCAACTGTTCCGGGCTGTAACGCTTTCTTAGGATCTCCTTATCTGCCTCGGTGAAGTCAGGGAACTTCTTCTTCGAAAACTCCTCGATCTTTTCGGGCGTGACAAGGCCCATCTCAGCAGCGCGCAGGTTCCTGAAACGCGATCGTTTCCGCGCTGCCAGCTGCGCGGAGCTGTGGAATTGATGGCATGATCCCGATATCGACGGGGCTGGATTGGATGCTGTCGCGGGTGCGGCTGCCAGAGATCTGCGAAGCAGACTCCTGGCAGCTGGACGTGCAACACTCATGACTACCGGGTTGGTGTATGAGGCACCCGGTGTTCGCAATGTCTGCACGTTGACTCGGCGATTGTATCGAGAGCTCAATCGGGTTATGCACGTAGCAAAATTTAGGTCACGGATGGTTCGAAGCTCGAAATTTGTTATGGCCTGGATTGTTAGGCACCAAAGTCCAAGCCCTCAGCACTAATTACCAGGGGTTGCACTCACCCCTGTTCTCTCCCCTTACCACAGACTTGTCAGAACTTGAATCATCAGTAGAAACCCATACTGGCTCTCAAAAGGACAATCATGCACGATAATAAATTTCGAATGAGTCTCTTCAGCAACATTACGTACATGTTCTCTAAATGTTTCAGATCTCTTCAACCTGTCCGAATAGCTCTCACAATGCGCAGTATCATTCTCTGGGAATAATCCAGATTGTAAGTCCTCGTTTGAACTATTATCGTCTCGACTTCCATCGAATATGGGTTCAAGACTTTAAGCCTGCGGACCACCTAGTGCGTGTTATAGATGGCTGCTTCATCTCCGAACAAACCACTGTGCTAGATGTTAATAGTGTACGCTCATACTGTGAAGAAAGCGGTTTTGGACCGCCACATGCGCCATGGGTCGACGTTCATGGAGTCTATCTCATCAGGCGAAGAGATGGCCTTCAATACATCCTGAGGAAACCTCGCCATTGCATCATGCCATATTGACTTCGCGTGGCGCTCCCGTGGAAATGTCTGGTCTCCCAACATTATACGGAAAGTCTTCTTGGCTTCTGTCCACTCCGTGATGCCGGTAATGCTCACCCAGAAACAAATCCGTTCTATGTACCAGGAACGCAGCGACCAAAATTGTGTCTCATCGAAGTCATCCATGAATTCTGGACCAGCTTGCTGCCTAACGATATCCATGCCTAACACTGCGCAAAGTACCTTGATAAGCCACAAGTCGCGGCTTGTCTTTCCGAGTTGCAGATCTTCTTCGAGGCCATGGACGTCTCGCTTCAGAATCAGAAGCTCCCTTCTGAATAATCGAGTTTCTATGCTGTCAGAAGCGTTCCAGATCTTGAAACCCAAGATCCGGTGGAAGTATAAGCCGCCAACTATACATATAGATAATGGCGCGGACCGGTGCAAGGCCACCGATTTATCTCGGATTTCGGTGCTGTGTTCGTGACCGAGCCAGGTCAGGAGGTCAGACGCACCATTTGAAATTCTCAGGAAGGCTTCCCCTAGCGATAATTTATCGGCCGAAGGAGACGATGTTTGTGGGACGGAACAAATCGTGCAGTGTCTCGTGTGGATTGGTGACACCGCTCTCATCACCCCGAGGAAATAATCGACGTCGATCTCTTTCGGTGACATTATTGCTCGTGTCGTATTAAGAAAGAATGGTGCAAAACTAAGAGCTTGCAAGCGCTGATCTTGGTCGTCGAATTGGCCTTTGCGCTGATGATGAACAACGCGAAATGTGTCGGGGTGCTTTTCGTGCCAGTAGTCCCAAAGACCTATCACGAACTTTTCGGTACTTCTCTCAGTTAGAGGGCTCTGGCTGTGCCGTCAAATAGGTCAAAGTCGGCCGACTTACATCAAAACACATCGTTCTAGGTGATCAATAATCTGTATATCGTCATCGTTAACCCCGAGTGTTGCTCGGCGTGCGTCCCTCATGTCTAACACCCTCAAAAGACCATCGAGGTGCGCCCTGGCGGCTGCGAAGTTTCCTACACGACTCTTGACGATTTGTTAAAATGTGTCAACCTCAAGTGCATGTGTAGCACTTACCTCAGTGATGGATAGCGCAGCAATTGCTTGAACGCAGCGAATGGTTGCTTTTGCGGAAGCGTCGAAGTTCGACAGCCATTCATGCACTCCTCGAAGGCATTCCACCATGTGGAAGCGATATGTAGATTCATATGCGTTCAAGGCGCCAGCTTTCAGGGCATAGTGGGACGCTGCTGTAAGGAAAACACTTCGGAACGAGACAGGATCCTCTGCTGCAAGAGTGGCACTACACATGTTGACATAAGCAAACAGTGCCACATGTCAAGGTAAAGTAACCCATGGGGTTAACTCACAAGTTGATTCGAGAATGCTGAGGGAGGACTTGATCTAACTCATTACAGACCTGCACGACTAGCGTTGATCTCAGTCTAAAGGGGGCCGAAGATGGGGAGAAACAGGTCAAGGTGGAACACTGGGGCCTTGACTTACAGTGATACATCAAGCCTCGAGATCTCAGAGGCATATTGATTGGCAGTGATCCAAGCGGATCAACCGTCGTGTCTGGTGGAGGTTGATGTACGCGCCATAGCTCTTGCATTCCCGGTAGCTGAGACGTTAGTTTTTTCTGATTCGGCATCTTAACGACTTGTTCGTCCTGATAGATGCATTCGTTGCCCCCTGCCATACAGTTCAGGCTGGGAGATACCGTTAGCTCCTATTTCCGAGAGTTTTTGGCGGTATATCTAGCCAATCCAATGGCCATCCCGTTTTCAAGAGGAGCTATATAGTCTTCAGCGGCTCTACTTACCAAAATGGACGTTTCTCGTCGCATCGTACATGTCTCCATCGACATATCAAGCATCCTAATTTACTACGCGTATGATACTTCCGCTTTCTCTTCCCGTCCCCAATCTTCTTCGTCCCGGTCTCCATAACCAGGAATGATTGGCGTTGTTATTAGTTCACCAGGATCTTTCTGGACTTCGCAGCTCCCACAGTAACCATGACATGTGTCTTCAACGAAACAATCACGGAGAGCGTGCTGGTGAACGAAGCAGAAATGGTTTTAGACGATGAGATTCTTGCTTTCTCATTGGAATCATGAAAGCCAGAGCCGCATCTACTCCATACCGGTCATCAAGCTCTTGTAGGATTCATCCGGCACCGCAAGCTAACCGGATTTGGCCTGTGTAGACGGAAATTCTCCGACTCGCCGGAGAACCGTTAGCTAAAATCCGGACCCGACTCCCGGACGTCACGGCAGTCGAAGGGCAAATTATTGATTAAATGACGTTACTTAAAGTTCGCCATGGTCGTCCTGAATCGTTTTCTCATTTCCGAACAGATTGACCCATTCCATTATTGCATGCGTACTTTCTACTAACATTAATATCAGCGCCTTTAAGATGGCATTTACACCCACAAGGCTGAACCGAAGGAAAGGTTCTTGAATAGTCACTCTCAACAACATGTATCTGATTGCTCGAACATGATCTTTACAGAAGTTGAAGCAGTCTCTGTCCATTCTCAAGAGGTACACGCATCCTGAGTGGCTCATTGGATGTCAGGGGTGAAGTGCATTGCCCAATCAAAGCCGCTTACATAACCGAATCAGTCGAGTCTGCCGCAACTCTGAAACGCACGGGTTTCCGAGAAGTCGACCCTGTACCTGCGTTAGTCGCGGAGCCCCTTTCACCTTCTTCAATCCCAGGGTGTTCGTCTCCCATCTGCGACCGGTGGCTGAGATCCAATGAGAGCGCCCAAGCCAGGGCAGCCTGTCTCACGGCCCAACCTGGTCTAGCCTGTGACCGAGAACTGCCCTTAATCGAAGCAATTCCGACACCTCTGGTTTCGAACTTCTCGACTGTCTAACCTTGGAACCCAAGGGCCCTGGCCGCACGTAGCGTAGCACCAGTGTGCGCGCGTCCCTTCTCTTCGCTTCCCGCCAAGGTATTGTCTGCCGCATATCTCTCCTTCGTCTCTTTCTCCGCTGCTGTCGTGTTTTGTTCCTTTCCTGCTTCTTCTCTCTTGCTAGTCATTCTCAAAGCGTTTGTTTCCGGTCGTCTAGATACCCTCAGGTTCGGTTCGCCTATCATATTTTCTTGCAGTGCAAGTAATATCATTCTCTTCTTCACGGTCACTTCCAAGTCTATTTTCTTGCCATCGACCGGCAATCGCCCAGAGTTCGGCGACCCGACACCAGCTCATATCGACTAACTCACACCCTTTCGATTTCTACGTTTTACAGCACATACAATGGCGCCGGGTCAGTTCGACTGGTTTCTCAAGATCGGAGCGACGAAGGAGGCCGTCGCCGTACTGAACGACCAGCCGTTCCTCTTCACCATCCTGCTGCTCGTCCTCGTCGGCATCATCCTGCAGTGTGTACTCATCTGGTACATCCACTTCGCCACCCTCAAGCCGGAACAAAAGAAGAAGAAGAAGGACGATAAGAAGGCACCTGCAAAGGGCGGCAAGCCACCGGCACAACGATAAACGACTAGAACTTCAAGAAACAACGCGAACATTTTTGGCCTGTCAGTGTATATCATACACAATGTTGTCCATCGCTGTATACTACGAAATAAAACCGAGTTTCGCCTCCTATGCTAGAAGGACAGCATTGTGTGGGTGAAGGTTGACCAGAGGAGATGTCCAATCCCAAGCCTCTTAGTGCCGAGTGGTCTCCTAGAATTTCGAACTTGCGACAATCATTGGGAGAGCTTTTTAAGAAACGAATCTCGAGGCGTGGACAAACGGGCAAGAGCGGAGGCTGAGAGACCGGCCATTTCGACTAAAGTGCTTCGGGTGACTGCTGGCTGCATCTAGCACTAATAATTTGCATATTTTAGAACCGGTATATATCACATGGGCAAATGCACCCAGTTCTTGTGTCACGATGCTCATGCCGACTGAAATTTATTTTGAATTCACTGAATCGTATGTCCACTCCATGAAGCGAAAGATCAGCCCGATGTCAAAAGATTAGCGAATACATGGCGTGGTTAAATGAAATGCTCTTGTAGCAACAAGTCATCTTCGTACAAGATTTCCTCATCAAAGTAACCCAGCTCTTGATGGGGCGCCAGATTGTGGAGACTTAGTTGTTGCGATTGACTTGAATGGTCCTCTTCGTCAACACCAGTACGAGCATGGTGACCCCAAGGAGCATACTTAAATCTGACGTTCTCAGACGACTCCGGTATCTGGTTGAAATTGTAGGTCTCTTGATAGTCGTCCAAGTCGTTCTGTAGTTGAAAGAATTGAACTTCTTCATCAATTCTTTCGTCGAAAACATCCTGAGACGGAAGGTATCCAGTATCAAGTGAGTCAAGGTAAGTCGGGGATGCCCCATGGATATATTCAGAGTCATGATGGACATAAATATTTTCAGGTAGTGGCGCCACGGATTCCGCAAGTACAGTATCTCGCGGGTTGCCTCCGTATTCAAGGCTTTCGTTGAACGAAGCACCTTGATGTTCATCTTGTGAGTATGGCGATGTTTGCCAGCTCTCGTAGGTCGAGAACTCGTCAGGATACGTGCCCAAGATAGCTGCCATTTCACCGTGCAGTGCATTCACATCATCAGCCACCTCCTCTGATGAACGCTGAACCATAATTGCTGGGTCAAATGATGGATCACTCTTTGGTTGTTCATGCGAGTAGATATCACCTTCATTATGCGGCCCATTCTCATTTTCAACATCTTCAGCTGAGACGCCATTCTCTTCATGATTTATTGCTGCTGTGCCGATACGGATGTTCCTCCTTCGTGCGTCGCGCTTCTTCACTACAGGGGTAAAAGAGAGATTTCTCCGGAGGAGAACTTCTAGGCGTCGCCTAATTTCTTTCTTTGTGTTACTTGTGGCTTGTCCCGCTTGTGATGCATTCGTGTTTGGTAAGTCGGCGACTTTGCGGCGAAGGCGAGGTGATTCTGCATCAACGAGGCCGCCGAGCACAGATGCAATGGTAGGCATAAAACGTGCTCGAGCCGCCATAGCCTATAGCAATACTCAGCAATTCGCGTTGATATGTAGAAGTAATGGATCGTATACCTCGAGATACGGCACACTCCAGACGGCAGGTGCAATCTCGATCAGTGTTGGTGATGGTGCCTCACCAACGAGTTTCAACCCTACCATTTGTTTCTTGATGCCCACCAAAGCATGTAGAGCATAGCTCATGAGCCTACAAACATCTTCCTCGTCGAAAGCAAGCGTTGTGGTAGGTTGTTCCAACGCGTCTGTCACACTGATAGAAGGGGGCTCGGTCGCTTGTAAGGCTGATCCGTGTTGATGGGGCAAGGCGGTCTCCGATCTCCTCGCAAATTTGTCGATGTGGTCCCGTTTTTGCCGTTTTTGCTTCCTTGTGACACTGCCATTGAGCTCTGGTTTCTCTGATGTTCGTTCCCGCTTCTTGCTGTCATTCAAGGTTGGCTGGACAGATATTATACAACTGAGAGCAAGAAATCGAGCGCATGGAACTTCTTCTGGGGACAGAAGTTCGGAATTGAGATCGGGATGTTGGACGAGAAATGAGGTATGTCGTTGAGAGTCAACAGTAGGAGGGCGATGGTCATATTTTCTGGCAAGATTTAAGCCCAAGTCAACCCACAACTGACCACAAATCAGAATGATTCAAGCATATTATAAATACCAATTCCACTTACAGGACATTGCTCGACCGCACAAGCGAGTTGTTGAGAGACAATCTGTTCTGTCTCTTTCGGCAGCGCTTGAGTGTCCTCCTCTGCTGAATCATGGAAAATCTCCAGTCGACATCGTCCAGCTCGAGCAATCCACAAAGCACCTCGCTTGGCCTCCTCGGAGAGACGTGCGGCTGTCACATCACCCTCCCAGGGCGATGGCAGCGACATGGTTATGGAGCTAGTGATAGTGAGTAAGGCCCCGGGATCTCGAGTGCAAATGCCGAAGCTGCCTAAGAGCACGGACACGGGTGCCATAATTCAACCAGAGGACATGAAGACCACCAGAAAGACAGATACCAGACAAGGGGCTAGATACGACATCCGGAGGCTGCGGCGCATGAGTACACTGAATATAGACTCGGTGAGATGCGGTGAAGTACAGAGATATATGAAAAAGTACTTTAAGAGACCGGGAGACTAAGGTTTATGTAGAGGGGGGCACAATATGGGTAAGCAGTATCTAGTAGAGTCGATGCTCGAGTATGGCGTCTCTAGGTAGGTAGATGAAGAAGCCGTGACATGGCTTGAATGTCGACCTAAGTACTCTTGCTAAGGCAATGGTTCCCCTTCTTGAAAAGGGTAAATGATTCCTCGATACCCATTGTCTCCAATTCGGAAAGTGCCTTGTCGAACATGGTTCACCTTCAATCAAGGAAGGAACTACCGATTTCTGGGGATGATGGCAGTAGTGCAAAGCATTGTCAAATTTGGAAGTCGCAGTCGTCAATTGGCAATTGCGAAGGGTCGAGACTACCTGATCCAGGAGTTCACCTTATTCAAGTAATACAGTTTACACAGGCATCATACTAGGAATATGAGCAGCCTGGTCCTCTGGCGATGATCGCCCCGCCTACCAACACTTTTGAAGCCAAGCGACTTGAACTTGATTATCCGACTTCGAAAGTAGGATCATAGAGAATGGCATCTCGAGACTGATTCTAGATGAAGTTGTATTTTGACGATTTGCTTTGTACCGTGTAGGGTTTAGTGCTTGTCGTAGTGTTGCTGCGACGTTAGTTGATCGACGACTGCCGCTTTTCCGGTTGGACGCCTAATCCGACTGAGCGGCTTGCCGATCTTGCTCCGTTGCAGGTCGGGACTGGGCAGCAAACGGCGCACGCGAGTTCTTCGGGAAGTGTGTGGGGCCTTCTTGTCCCCCATCGGCATTCATCAGCACCCTCACCGGGTCTCTAGAGCCTTAGAGGGTCTCAGTGGCCCCAAACCCAACCCAGATAACCGAAGTCTGGACCACCAATGACGACAGCGTCGACCGTCAGAGAAACCTCTTGGATTTCAACTTTGTTCCCCTCGTTCCGAACGACTTGAAGTTCAGATACAGTCTCGTCGGCCCCTTGCGACCTGGTTATGGGGGAAGCTTACACCTCGCACCTTGCAGTTCCTTGATTTGTCCTACTCTGCGCGCAGGAGTAGCCAGGCTCCTACCTAATTAAATCATTGTTGGACGCAACCGCAAATGCATTCAGACCATCAGCAAAAACATCTGGCAACAACCATTGCTATCAGGACTTCGGCCTTCTATAATCATCACTTTGGCAGCCCTGTGCGACTGGAGATAAGTCCTTTCAAGCAAAACGATCGTCTGCGTCCGAGTCAGGGGCAAATCCTGGTGTTAGGTGATTGGAAGTTGTAATATGACTTTGGCCGAGATATCATCGGCTGGACTTCAGCTTGTTGTTTTCCTGACGAGCCTCTTCAACCTACACAGCGCCGTCGTTCATGCAGACTCAGACCTGCTTGTCTGCTTTCACATCATCTCCTTTTTCTTAACGGCCAAGTTACGGCCATTGGAGCAAATATGACGATCTCGGCGGCCACTCCTCAATGTGGCTACGAATCCCCAACAGAGGACTTCTTCCAGAGTGTCTCTGCCCCTTGCTTGGTGAATCGGCGCAACGATGATCTGGAGAAGGCCACATCTGGCTACTCACCAGCCCCGAGTCCCCTGCCTGCCAACCTAAACAGCATGGTCACCAAGGCGAACAAGATGAAACCTGAAGGAAAAGTTAGTATTCGTGACCGTATAGCGTGCTATCAGTGGACATGGTTCACAATGAATATGGTACGTCCCAGTCCTGCATACAGACATTGACAATAAGCTAAATATGTTGTAGGCCACCGGCGGTGTTTCGAATGTTCTTCATGCAAGTAAGGCTTTTCCCTTACTTCATTTTGGCTGCTTCTGAACATCAATTTCTTTAGTTCCTTTCCGAAGCCGATGGCTGACAGGAATTGGCATTGCTTTCTTCATCTTCAACCTTTGCCTTTTCGTTGTCAATTGCGTTCTAATCACGTTACGATTTCGATTTCGCCCCGGAACTTTCATCAACTCATTCACAAATCAATTTGAGTCGCTCTTTATTCCAGCATTTGTAAGTGTGATGATTTCATGAGAGAATTGGGCCATCATCGTTAACGCTGTTAGGTCGTCTCGTGAGTCTGATTAGTCTTTGCCGAAATCTTTGCCTCTACTAACTGTGAAGCACAGCATAGCAACCATACTGATCAGCACTTGCGAGTATGGTGTACCTGCTACTGGCGTTTGGCTGCTCAAAACAATGGAAGTCTTGTACTGGATCTACCTCTGTGTGAGCATATTTGCGAGCGCCGGCATGTATTTGATTTTGTGGTCAACTTTGTAAGTCCATACGCCAAATTCGCTACACTAGTCAAAGCTTTCTAACAGTATATCAAAGAATATTTCCCATCCACACAATGACACCGGTGTGGGTGTTCCCGGCTTATCCACTTCTCCTCACCGCGCCGTTCGCCGGTACCCTCATCTCCGCTGCAAGCAGTACTGGAGAGTTGGAGAGGATGAATAGGGTTCCTGTCGCCTTGGCTGCCGTTGCTGTACAAGGAACTGGCTTTCTTCTCAGCTACATGATCCTTGCTGCATTCTTATATCGCCTAATGTGCGTCAATCCCAACTCTTCCCTTTAGGGTTGATGACAGTGAAGTGTTGAGCTGACATATCATAGGACTCAGAAACTACCCCGGGATATGCAACGACCTGGTGTTGTGAGTGATGGGTTTCTGATGTGGGAAAGCTGATGGCTAATTTGTTCAAGTTCATCTCGATCGGACCCAGTGGCTTCACTGTGGCCGGGATTGGTAGGTGTTCATCACTGACTTTCTGCTGACTCTGGACATGCATTTCTGATGTCTCCATAGTTCAACTGGGCAACCAAGCCAAAGACATCCTCCCGCCGGACTTCATGGGCGCCTCCGATCACGCTGTCTTCATCCTGAAACTCACCTCGTCATTCATTGGCCTCTGGTTATGGGGTCTGAGTGTGTGGTTCTTCATTGTCTCGGTCGGATCACTCTGGAAATATCTGCGACCTGAGTCAAAGATGCCTTTCCAGATGACGTGGTTCTCTTTCGTGTTCCCCAATACGGCTCTAGTATGTCTTGTCAAAGGATCGTCAAACGTGTTGTCAGGAGCTAACCAGTTCTACTGAAGGTGACGGCGACAATACAGATCGGACGCGCGTTCGAATCCCGCCCATTCGAGATTGTTGGCTGTACCATGGCAGCATGTCTCATCATTATCTGGGCACTGGTATTTTCTGTGATGATCCGGTGTCTGTGGAAGAGGGAATTGCTATGGCCAAAGGACGATGATTAAGAGGGAGGAAGGGACGGCTTAGTCTGTACGTGGCTGCATGGAACATGTCCAAATTGATTATTCTCGTTCTGTCTCAATGAGAACAGTTCAACCTAGTTGGGGATAGCTGAAGTGAAATGATAAATTGGTTCTTATCTTTCTGAGAGCCCAAATGGCAGAAATGAATCATCCGTGAATTACTCCTTCATGCATCCCAATCAAGGCTCTGCTGACAAGTGTCCGAGCTATATCGACTGCTCTTAAGATGATAAATGATATCTGCGTACGCCCCCCCTCAAGTCTTTGCAGAATGTTAGAATGTTTTGCCGTCCAGGATATCTAATAAGCATTGTAAAAATCTGTGAAATGCACCGCTCCAGCAAGGAATGTCTAATAGTGTGTTGGAAACTGAGCAAGCAGCCCCTTATTTCGCCAGCCAGCCGAACTTCTTCTTGCTTGTGTCAAATTGGCCGGCGGAAGAACTCTCGACTTGGACACTTCGCTGATATATATTCTGCATACGATGTCAGCCTCAGTTCCTGACTGTCAATCAGTGGAGCACAGCTTACCTCGTCATCCGTCTCCATCCGGCAGTCCAGGATCAGCTCCCGGCTCACCTCGTTCCTCTGGAGATTGGGGTATGGCGTGCCCTGGCTCTTCATGATGGGGAGCAATACCTCGCCCAAGATCTCGAACTTCTTCCAGTTGATCCTGTCACCCTTGGGGCCCACAAAGGTCAAGCTGCCTTCTTCGGCCGAGACCAGATCCCTCCGGTGGAGCGGCATGAACGGTATCCTCGGCAAAGGGCTGTTCTCCCATGCCAGACGGTACGCAAAGTGGCTCTTCTGCGTACCCATCAGCAGCCCCAGCCTGGCGAATCTCTTCTGCACGTCCGCGTTCACCATAGACCGCGTCTGGCCCAGACGATGGACTGCCGTCCCGTTGATACCCGCGAGGACGGCCGCCAGGCCGTTGTAGTTGTTCAGCTGCCGCAGCCTGAGCGCGACGAGCATGAACTTCTCGAGACAGGGGGCTCGGTGCTTCGCCTTGTCGCGAATCAGCACCATGTTGGCAACCCACTTGGCGACGTGGTTGAAGTGGCTGATCATGCGGTTCACGTTCTTCAGACTCTTGCATTTCTCCTTCTCCCCCAGCGGCAGGCTGACGTGGCGCACGAGGTCACGGATGCGAATGCTGCTAAACATAACCCAGTCAATCCGCGTGATCTCATCGGCAATATCGTCGGCGTCAATATCCATGAAGATGTGATAACGAAACTTGTTAAGAGGAAGCGTGGACTGCGGGACCATCGTCGCCGCTTCCCGCTCGTAGTCCTCAAATGAGTGAAACTGGAAGTGTGTCGGGCCGCTGATGGTATCCCTCTCCATGCGTGAAATCTCGGAACCCTCTGACGGCCTTCGCGTCTCATTGGAACTGTTCTCGCTCAGCTTAAGAGAGGCCACCGCCGCATTCACATCGGCATTCCGCTTCCCAGTGTCTCTAGTACTTGCGCTCTTGATGCTGGCCACCTCATCGACCTCGTCTGCCTTCGCCCAGCCTGTATCATCGTCTTCCATTACATTGTTTTCTAGATGGGCTCTCATTTGGTTTGCTGCGGCCGAGAAAATCGGCTCAGTAGAGAGATGCCGTATAAGTTCCTCCAAGTATCTTCTCGTCGCAGGTCTTGCAAAGTCACCGGGGTATAAAGACACCCATTTCGCCACGGCCTCTATTATACGCAGCTGTGTGGCCGTCTTCACTAGATAGTGGGTTGATTTATCTTCTTTTACACGGTCCAGCCGTGTCAGTATCGCAGAAAACAATTCTTTTGGAGCGGCAAATTTTCGATAAAGGCAGAGAAAAATATCTGCGAAATTATTGTCCGCTCTCGTCATTCTCGGTGCCAGGAGCCTGTCCACCAGGTCGTCAAAGGACACGCCAGCTGCCTTGGCTGGCCGATCTAGGAAGGCCTCATCGTTTCTCTGCAAAATGGGTATATCATCTGAATAGCGGTGCGATTCGGCGTCTGATTCCTCAGTATCCAGGAATGAATCTTGGCTGCCGTCAAGTCGGACTCCAGTGGTACGAAGCTGACTCGACACGGTCTCCTCCCCAACGGCAACAGGGAGAGTAGGATTTGTGTAAGGGAGCCTTGGAGACCTTGAAGTTGGCCCTCGATACTCACCAGCCGGAAGGGTAACGCCACGAAGAAGTGACAAATCCGAGCTTGCCCGGCTGTGCTTGGGATTACTGTGTTGGGAGTCTGGCCGGCCTCCGTCCGAAGGTGCATCGAGATTGGCAGCTGAGGCAGCACGCCGTCGCTGTACTGCAGCCTCCGACCTCTCAGGTCCTAATAGCACATCGTCAGTCACTTTTATATTCCCATTCAAGAAGTCTGCACCTGGCTATGAGCCTTGGCAGTGCGAAACAAATAGCACCGAAATATTCAAGAAGCACAAGGAACCTACCTCTCCGGCTGGTTATCGCCGCCTTCAACATGAATTGCAAGCAATCCCGGGTGCTCCCAGGCACATTTGCGGAAGTTTTGAAGTTAGCTACAACAGCAGGGAAGGCATTGGCCACCCCGGCAGTATCTATCTTTCTCAGGTTCTCAGGGTTATCACACTTTGTGGCGACAAGGATGGTCGGGAGGCCAGACTTCGCGAGGGCAGCTACGGATATTAGATACGGACTGGCCTCTTGTCACACTGTGCTGCTGGCAGACTTACACAAGGCTGGCGGCAGTTCCCTGATGCTCTCCCTGTTCATGACGTCGTACAGCACCAGGGCGCCGTCGACTCGCGGCACCATGTGTCCATTGATCTGCTTGGGCCAGCGGATCTGGTGGCCCGGATTCACGTCGAAATACTCCAGATCGAGCTCGATGAGTGTGACGATATGCGGCACGCCGTCCACATCGATACGAGCGGCCGAGATGCTCGTCGTAGGTGGCCTCGACCTGAGAGCTCGCTGTATGAACGACGACTTGCCCACCCCGTCGGCACCTATCACGGCAATGTTGATTGTGTCCATAGTCACAGTAGCCCCGGAATTCTGCTGGCCGAATCGTCCTTTGTCAGCCGTGTTCTAATACATATGTGTGCCCCCTTTGTGATCATATATCAGGACGAATGGAGTAGCAATGCAGCTCGGCGTACCCAGGGAACTTCAGTCGAAACAGTCAGAGACTCTCTGCGTGGTGGCGGCCAGGCTTGCGAGGAGGAGGGCTCATCCCGGCCCTCGACACGTACAGAAGTCAGAACCGGCGGGGTTCCATGGAAGTCAACGGCGTCGTGGTAGCGTAGGAAGAATGGGTCGTCTACTATGGAGATGAACGAGTCCCGAGCGGTGGCAGCTGTAGGAGCAGCAGCAGTGGTAGGCTGCTCGTCAGTATCGAAGAAGGTGGCCCGTGAGTCGTGATCGTCGTCGTGGTAGTGGTAGCCTGTGGACTCGTACGAGGAGGAGGCGGGAACGGGGGCGGTTCGCCGTGGGGTGGGTGGGAGTCGGGTAGCTGTAGGAGGCGGAGGCACGGCGTCTGGGATGCTGTGAGTCGGCGGACGAACATTGGCGTTGCGGGACGCCATAGGAGGCAATAGAGCTCAGAGCATACCGGTTCTCACGAACGAGAAGACCACAATGGTTTGGCTTCCTGACCGTAAGGCACAAACAGCAGCTCGACAGGAAGCAAAGTCCGAGAAGCAAACAAGCAAGCAAGCAAGCAAGCAGAGCAAGGTCGGCGTTGGTGGGGAGGTTAAACGAACACCAGCCAGGGGCCCAGGCGGACGGGCGGTGGGAAGATCAGGGTCTCTCGCCTCGACGCAGACGCAGACGCAGACACAGACTGCACCTGTCCAGAAACGCAGCTAGGGGTAAAGCGAATTGTTTATGGAAAAGGCTCAAATCCGAACTGCAGCCACACCGGGATGCTCGTCTCAATTGGCGGTATTTGGTAAGACAGGAGCGAATTGCCAAGGGTGTAGGTCGGCCGGATGTCGTGAAGGCCGCGTCCCCGTACTGTCTGTACTGTGTGATAGATCGATCCAGCACAACTGGTGCGGCGGCGGGGTTGTGCGTGCGATGTTGGTGTTGGTTGTGCTGTGCTGTGCTGCGCTGCGCTGCGCTGTGCTATGCTGGCGGGCTCTTGCTCCAATCCTCAATCTGGCTACTCACCGGCTGCAGGCGCAACTTGCTGCAGCTTCAATTCACGTTGCCAACACCGAGCCTTCAGCTGGAAGTTGAGGTTTGGAGAGGTTCAGAAAGCGAGGACGATATACGGACGGAGGGCGGAGGAAAGCTGTCCACAGCCGCCCACACCACAAATGAGGGGCTCAAGATGGCTCACAGTAGCCTGGCACCCTCATCCTACAGGCCTACCTAACCACCTACCAAATCATTGGATTGGACTGTCTTGTGAACGGCACAGGAAATAGTCAGGCGCGCCCCGAAAGGGGTGCGCATGCGACTGCACCGTAATTTGAAAGCTGCATTACCCCCCCATTGCGTTTCTCGACACGTATATCTAATGTGCACCTTATTTTGTGTCGTTCCTATCTTCCTTCTGTTGTGTGTAGCTTCTAGTTCTGCCAACAATATAAGGTAGTTGTTGTTGAAGAAGTCGGAAACCCACAATAGGGCTCAGTAACTCTTGGCTTTGAATAAGGTCTCCCATGTCCACCAAGATAATCGACTTTGCTTTCATGTATTTCTGCACCCTCCGCTTCTATCAATGTCCCGCCTGATCATACGCAATCATCTACTCTCATTGAAAATGCTACTTTAATATACTGTATACCTTCTTTAGTGATGTGACATCCCACAGAGGCTTGGGAGACGTCGTGGCCAGAGACTCTCAGCATGACACTATAGGAAGAGGGGGATGTCGATCATGGCCAATGGATTAGCGCACATGTCAGATGGGTTGGCTCTGGTACTTGCTGGCTCTTGATTCTGAGACTCGACGACAGCGACCAAAACACCCCAGAATTACCATATTTGGGCATGTCGGTCTGGCGTGCTCATTGCCGAGCCTTGCCATGAACTTTGTGGGAGAATGGTCAAGGGATGCTGCCATAGCCGGCACGGGTGCAGCCGCCCATATTCTTTGCGAAAGATACCGGTCCTGATGAGACCAAGGGACTCTTAAGAAGAGCCGGAAAAGCTTGTAGGAGCGCGGCCTCGCACAGTTCCAATGTTGCACATCGCTTGACAGCGTCCATCGTCACACGAGGGCTGAGGTGATATGGTTTAGATGATATATACAAGATTGATAGCACCGGATCTCTCAAATGCGAGATCTCTGGTTAGATTGCACGGCAACTTGCGGTGTCGCACGAATCCATCGCAACCCCATCCCAGGATGGCAAGATATGAAGAAGTAACCTGTCATACGATTGGTCAAACGTATCCCATACTATCTGACAAGTCGAACAGCAGGCCAGCATCGATTCCCCAGTTCAGTCAATGATGTGTGGCGTTCTCCTTTGTGGACAAGGAGTGCCGTCTTGGACCGGCTGGAACAGAGTTTCGGTGAGCTTGGACACTGGATCGGCTCGAACTTCTGTCAACCTTAGATCCCGGAAGCGGCTGAGAAGATCACCGCGGCAAGGCGTATGGCCAAAGTACTGTACTCTGCGCTGCGGTACTATACACCGTGTAGATGGTTTGCTTACATACAGCAGGAGGCTTGTGTAAGATACAGCAACTGGATCCATGCATTATAGAGATCTTATCTTGATCCGACACGTTATCTGCTGCGATGAGCTCGCCCTCTTCGCATCTAGATCTGCTGTATTACTCCGAGTCCGCGGGCAATTGTCCATGTCGGACTCTACTTGTTCATAAAAAACCCCCGGACCCTTGTCCCCTGTGAGGGATGAAGAAGGTACACAGGAAGTAAGCAATCGATCGCACCTGAAATCGGTCTTCGTGTCGTACACCGATTACGCTGGGGCGAGACCCTGGCTTCTCTAGAGCAAGCCGGATGGTGGGAGACATGAAGCCACGGGACATGACACCAGCGTGACGAAGGGGGGAAAAAAAAAAGGAAGACCGCTAACAGCCCGCCTCCCGCCCCGTCGATCGATAGTGAAGCTGGCAGTCAAGCCCGGCGACGGGACGAACGCCCAGCCAGGCCCGTGGCGCGCAACCCCGTTGAAGCCACATTCGTGTTCACACTTCAAAAGGGGAACTAAAGGACCGGTGGTGGGCTTTTTTTTTCTTCTCTTTTTCAGGGTTGCGGTCCCAAGCGCCCACCGCCGGATGTGGCAGAAATGGCTTGCCCAGGGGAGGATGCCTCGTCCTGTACTGTTACATGGCTTGCTGCAGTTGACGCGCCTAGCACTATATTTCTGCATGGACACCACCTTAACGACGCATAAAGCCACAGACGAGCTAAATAACACACAACTGCAATGCCGACCAGCCGTTGGGAAAGGGGAAGATGCACCCGCTCTGTGGTAATACTAGATGGACATTCCGCGGGACAAGACAGATAAACTAAACATGATAAATGCTGCTCCAGATACTAGCCTAGGGAGAACCTGCAATCTCAATTGAAAGGCGGTCTGAAGGAGAAACGGGGCCCATCGGGCCCAGATCTACGGCGTAGGTAAGGAGAAGGTTAATAACATAGTTAACTTAGCGGTAATATGTCGCGTGTTATTCTCGGTGTGTCCACCGTAGGTATATTAACAAAAAAGCATGGTCACCCGCCCCGCATTGGCGCGAGAATACCCCAGAGAAACCACAGGAGGATTCGCAAGGGAGAGTCATCACCGAATCTGGACGCTCTGGCCGGGCTTCGGCCCCTCTCGGGCAAGGCGCCGTGACAGGCCTTGACAGCCATTGGTGTCATCATTCTCTCAATTCACAGGAGGAAGACACTGCTCGGTTGGTCCAGTGTAGTACCAGATCGGGTAGCCGCTGGCCGGCCGTTGGTCGGGATGGACGTACTATTGTATGTAGGACTATCGGCACTGGCGTTGAGGCGCTCTCACAGGCCTGGGACTCTGGAGGAGGGCCTCGTCAGCTCATCTGCGCCGAGGTCGTTGAGCAAGCAAGCAAGTGCCGGTTAAACAGGGTTGCAGTTATGCTTTAGAAGGCGACTATGCAGCGCCTAGGTACCGCGGCCAGAGACAAATTTGATTGTCTCTTGACTTAGCCCGTGATATTAGCTCGCAAAAGAGACCCGGCGCATACACCAATTAGCTCCCAGCCGGACGAGACTTAAGCTACTGTACCAAGCGTACCCAGAAGTGAGTAGTGTCAACTGACCTCGGGCCCTGTCGAAAAGGGCACGCGAAGCGGAGGCGCCCCAAAGACTCCATCCTAATGAGGCATCGGATGGTCGCTTCATTCATTCCCTCGCTGTGGTCCCGTCGCATTGCAGTTTCGGTCCTGACCGACCGTTTGGCACGTTTTGCGGCCTCTTTGTGTCCTTGGAATACCTGACACTCATATCATTTCCTGCTTCGGCCGGCTCTGTCTCCACCGTTCGACTGCCGGCTTAATGTTCAAATACCCCAGGATTTCTGCGCAGTGAACATGCCCTCCGCCTTCTCTTCGAGGGTGACATTCAAATGCGCTGTTATTGAAAGAAAATCAAGTTCCATTCTCCTTCACCCCAACGTCTGAGGGCATGGTCTGCGCGTGTTGAGCATTAAGTCCAGCGTTCTTATTAATCTTTTTTCTTGGGTTCGCACAGTCGACCATTATAAGTAATGTGTCGCATGATACATGCATGAACAGAGACGATTATGATTTACAACAACATGAGCGTCAGTCAAGAGCAAACAAGGGCCGCTCGACCCACAACGTCCAAACCAGCGAAGCAAAAGGCCAAATCTCCCCCTAGCGAGCCATTTGACGCCAACGAGTTGTCTCGTCGGCTGTACCTTGTACTGGCAGATCAGAAGGCACAGTCTGAAAGGAGACGTCGCGCAAGAGCAGACGCTGCCATACGCAAGGAGTTAGGCGCACAAGTAGACAATAACGTGCGAAAGGTTCAGACAGCTGCGAAGACAGCAATTGCCAGGGCACCGTCCTCTTCAAAGCCGACAATAGACAAGTCGCACTCTGAGACATCGACGAGGGAGGCGTGGACAGGATCACAGCCCGTCGACTTGAGAAGGTCGAAATCAGTGAAGAATGATCGTGCACAGCAACAACCACCACGACTGAACACGGAGGTCACTGCTTCCAAATCAAAGGAACCCAGCCCAACCTATCATCATGTGCCAAAGGAAGCAGCAGCACAGTTCGCGCGGACAACCACCGCTGTGAACGTGCGTGAAGGAGGATCCTTGATCCATAAGATGTCCCGGAATGCCCTGAAGTTTCATTTGCAGGGCGACCGATCGGTCGTGGATGACTCCATGTCACCAAGTGACCAGGCAAAAGCACTGCGCAAGGCTCAGGAGCGCAGGGAACGAGAGCACGAGCGCAACCAATTTCAGCGATCAGCTATCCTTGAGGAGGCAGCCGAATTAGATGAAGTTCGACAACACCAGCATAATAATCGGCACACATTTGCGGGCGAATTTGGCGGCCGACGAAGATCGCCAGAGCCGAGAAGGAACAGTACAAGCGACGTCTTGGACAAGGAGGACAAGATCCATGATTTTTCTGCGATTGATGACCTAGAAGAACTGGAGGAGTCAGATATTCTGAACCCTATGATACCCCATGAGCATTTCCGTGTTGATTGGACTCAGAGCGACGAGATGAGACACAGGGGTCTTATATCTCCGTTATTAAAGCGCGCAGATTCTATCTGGACGCTGAGAGGGAGACTGGGCAGCAAGGCCCGGGAGGACAAGGATACTACCGTCCACGAAAGAGAGCATACTGTGCCACCAGAAGCACTGAAGTCGCCCAAGAGCGGATTCTTTTCGAGATTTAAGCGTTAGCTCGTGCCTCAGCATTGTATGATAGAGAGCACATAGATACCTTGATGAATAATGTATGAATATTGATGATGTCCAACCTTCTCCTCTAACAAAGCATTCCGCTCGGCGCATCCGCCTACGAGGCTATCGTTCAGTCCGTGGCCGCTATTGAGTTGGAATATCGTGTCGATTTTGATTGTCCGGTCATCGTTCCGGGAGATGTGCATTTTGGCAAAGGCCTTTGCCCTTTCCAAGATCATTTAGACTCAGCGTCCTTCTGCTTCTATGAGCTGTTCGATGAGCCGTACATCTTCCGCCGTGACCTCCTGCCGCACCATATCCGTGACGTTCGATTGCTCTGCTTTGGATAAGAGGTGCAGAACAAGCTCGCAATATTCTCGCACACCCTCACCATCTTCCCCAGGATCGGTTCGCGCCTTCCGCAGGGCTTCTTTTCCTCGCTTCAGTCCAGTATCATGCGTCCAATTCTGTGGTTTTCGAGAGGCTGCCGTCTGCTGCAGATTCCTTGGTAGGCGACCTCTTGGAGCGTTGCTGCCATTGTTTTTGGGTGGTAAGGTCGCAGAATGAATACGTTCTAGCCGAGTGGGCAGACCAGGATATCTCTTGAAGAGCATTCTCAGCTCTGGTGAATCTTCTAGCACGCTGAATGGATGAGCTTTGCGCTTCTTTTCCAGAGCCTCACGGGGATCGGGCTGAGGTGCCGGTTTCGGAGGACGGGGCGCGTCAGGAGGATGATGCTCGAGGTGCTTCTTATTGCAAGCTACCGAGCAACTTTGGAATCATCAGTACATCTTTGTATATCGTCAAATCAAGGAGTCAAGGGCAAGCGTACTAGGGCATATAGCATCGAGAGCACTTATATTTGCCCACTTCCTTCTCGCATACTACGCATACTCGAGGTTTCGGGGCTGCGGTCGGTGGAGGAGTAGGCGATTCGATATCTTCGTTGTCAGCTTTTGCAGCTTCTGGCTGTGCTACTTGATCCTTCTTTGGACCTTCTTGCGCAGCGCCGTCGACTTCGTCAACTATCACCAAGTCGTCCGTCTCAGTAGGTGCCGCCATGGCCCGACTATACACCACGAGGTATAAGAGAGAGAGGAACGCGACGATGTGAGGTCGAGAGACGCCAATCAGGGTCTGTCTGCGATCTAAGTGCTGACATAAAATCGAGCTTTATCGATTCGCTGGTTCTGGGCAACTTTACCCACTAAATTTTTTCGATGGAAGCTTCGACCGTGTAGTGGCAGCTGTGTGGCGGCTTGACCCAACTAACGGTACCGCAATATCAAAAAGTGTTCAGCTTAGCAGATACACCTTATGTACCTGAGGGTTGATGAGGCAGCTATTTACAAGGACAATGGGTCTATATTCATCTTCAACTTGAGCGCAGGGTTTGCGAAGCAGTACATAACATTTGGGTTTTGGTAAGCAGAAGGTATGGAGGAACTCGGCTATGGCAATGCGCTCGAATTGGCTGTCAAAAAGATGACGCACAAATTGTGGGGGGGCGTCCGCACCGCAAACGCCGGAGCAATTCGCATTTTGTCAGCAGCCCGCTGAAAGGCGGCAAATTCTCGGTAGTCTCGACCAAAGTTCTTCAGCAAACAACTTTCCAAACTTCGAGCAACTTCCCCTCAGCCTCTTACTACTAGAAATAGTATGCGAGATGGCAACGAATAAGTTGTTTAGGACTTCCGCGTCACTCCTGGCTCGCAGCAGCCGGCCGCGCTCTGTCGCCGCTTGCTCGAGACTCTGCGAAGCGGCGCAGAGGCAAGCTCACAGCAGTTCACGACCATCTCCAATTGTTGCTGGGTCTCGCCCAAGAATACAGCCCGCGCAGCATCGATTTTGGGCTGGGGCGCCTGGCACAATAGGCAGCGGACGGCGCACAATATTCATACAAACGGAGAGCACGCCGAATCCAGATGCTCTCAAGTTCCTGCCGAACCATCCCATCTTACCTCCAGAGGTCTCGAAGCCGTTCATCGAATATCTAAACCCCAGATCTACGATCGCGCCGCCATATCCATCGCCCCTAGCAGCTCAGCTAATGAACATTGATGGTGTCACGTCAGTGTTCTACGGGGCGGATTTCATAACAGTCACAAAGGCTGCGGATGCGAACTGGGCACACATCCGACCTGAGATCTTTGCGCTCATCACCGAGACTATCACGTCTGGGCAGACGATCGTCAATGTACAAGAGAAGAAGGAAGGAGACGAAGGGCAGGAGGCTGCCGAGGAAGACAGCCTTGCTTACAATGAGGACGACAGCGAGGTTGTGGGTATGATCAAGGAACTGCTGGAGACCAGAATCCGGCCAGCCATCCAGGAAGATGGCGGAGACATCGAGTTCCGCGGGTTCGAAGATGGCAATGTTCTCTTGAAGTTGCGAGGAGCCTGCCGGACTTGCGACTCAAGTACTGTCACGTTGAAGAATGGCATTGAGGGCATGCTGATGCATTATGTAAGTCTTTTACCGAAGTCAGAGTAAGCAATGAAGTGAAATGCTGACCGGGTTATAGATCGAGGAGGTCAAGGGCGTCATACAGGTGATGGACCAGGAAGAAGAGATTGCTGTACAAGAGTTCGCCAAGTTTGAAGAGAAGCTCAGACAACAGAAGGGTGCTGTTCCGCCGACAACGGTGGGCAAGGGCAGCTTGGATACAGTCGCGGGCTAGGAGCACAGTTCGCTAGACCTACAAGGTATATCACTACTGTATAGTATTTTGTAATGAGTACGCCTCAAGATGGTTTACGTCTTATGGCGGATAAAGATAGAGATACCACGCATTCATTGTTCGATTGTCCGAGTCTGGCGGGATGTTGTGAGCACTGCTTCAGGCATGTCTTATGAGATCCTCGAGATCGGAGCAATCAATCAAATCCTGACGCCGTGCTACGTAATAGTGCCTGGATGCTTCCCGGGGACCGGTTGACGTTGCCTGCGTAAGCCTATGGCAAATCGACGATACTGACTGGTCGAGCCGCGATGAGAGAATCTGTGGACAGTGATCACGCGGCAGAATCCATTTTCTAGCCAGCATATCTTAGCCAAGGCATGACGTTTTGCGATGTAAGAAAGTGCAGCAGCAAGTCTAAATACATTGATCTGGCAGGCCTGGATAAATCATTCATGTCCATGCATATGCGCATGCAGGCTGTTCTGCCTCCTGTATAGTCTCGGTCTGGGAGATTGATTTGCGGAGGTTCCCATGAGCCAGCTTACTTACGCAATCTGACCTGGCTTGACGAGGACCAGAAAGCTGCAGGTGCGGATGGGTAGCAGAGGCTACCATTTCTAGGGCCCTCGTGCCGCTTTGCATCTGTAGCCCTTGACCACTCTGATGGAAGGGGGGTGAGTGGGTTGCGGACGGTTGTCGTTGGCTGTGATTCAACGCCACAAGCATCTGATGACCCCCATCAACTCCCTGAGTATGTCGTCATCAGCAGCAACAATGGGCTTTGGGCTGCCGGAACCTGCGGCGCTAGATCCTTTTCTCTATGGTAAGGGGAGAACAGTGACAGCACCTGGGCGGCCTTGTTGCAGTAGTTCGAGCATGGCGCCTTCAACTCGATAAGAGACGTTGCACGATGGTGTCTGTGTTTCGACGGCTCCTGGGCCTCCGCCAGATGGGAGACCAGCTGCTACCCAGGTACTTTAGTTACCCTAAGAGCAGCGCGGACGGGCTGAGGAGCCGTGGCCGTGGTTAGTTGGTAGATTTAGCGCACCATTAGCAGGGTTCTGTTGGCGCCAAGGCCGGCCTAAGATGGCGAGGAGAATATCAGCAATAATCCGGGGAAAGGCGCAGAGTTAGCGGGGTAAAGTAGGACCCCTGATACAGTTTGCCACACGGAGCGGTTGGTGCCAGCCGGGGAGGAGCAGGGCTCAGCATGGCACCCAGGGAGCTCCTGCAAGTCAGCATTTCCGATACCTCCAGCTCCCAAGCCCTCTGAAAGGTGACGGTTCCCACTGACAGTCTCCAGGGGACATCATTACAGTACACACAGTGCCGCAAGCATTAATTTCCTGGCTGCTCTGCACGCACTCGCATTCACACGATGTGCATATGCTCTCCATCTTTTGGCAATGCAAGTATCTGCATAAGTACTTTGCATATAACCCTTCCGGACCGCATGACGCTGCACAGCACCGCGGTCAATGCCCTGGCGTTGGAGCTTCAGGGGGAAGCCGATCTCCCCTCTGGGAGCTCGAACATGGCGCCGGTGAGGGATGACCGCCGCCTCAATCAGCCCCCTGCCAATTCGCTGTCTCACACCGAAGTGCAGAGTAGGTACCTGCCATGATGGACCGGCACAACGCCGGAGAGACAGAAACGGACGGGACCAAGAGGGCAGTAGATGCGACTTTAGCAAAAAGAGGGGCGCACCGCAGGCAAGGAGCGGCAACCCAAAAGGCAACAGAAAGTCAGAATCGGCGCGTGACCTTGTTGTAGACCATCGTCTTCCCTGGGCGCTGTTCGTACCCCTCAGTCACTCCAGGCCTCGCGTCAGTCGTCGTAACAGGGCGCAATTGGAGGCATCGCAGGACACAATTGAATCCGCTCAAGGACGTCATTTCGAGTACAGATTCGAGGCTTTCGTCAGAAGCCCGGCATTACATTAGTGAGATCGGGTGTTCAGGGATGCGGCTATGGAGCCTGGATACTCTCACGCCAGCACAGTAGCTGGATTGGCCGATCCGGCTTATGGTAGCTAAGGTATGGACGTGCTCGGCTTCCTCCGTCATCAGAGCGTTGAGAAACTGATGCGGACTACATCCAGAGGAACGGGACAGCCTCAACCCGCTCCTAGGACACATGGGAGGCTTCACGCGAGACAGGAAGGGTGGATGGGACCGATTTTCCTGAGTCCGAAAGAATACGAATGCTTTCTTCAGCACAGAAGCCGGCCCCCGGAGAAGCAAATAATAACATAGGGCAGGACATCCGCACCACCATCCGTCTCTCTAGCCGGTCATGTTGATAGCAAGTCAGGAGCACGCTTCAGCATCCAGGAACTTGACATCTATCCGCTTCATTTCTAGCACAACACCCTCGACACCCATACAGCGGATCCAAGACGCCCGTCCGCCCAGTGCCGTGCCTTGGCCAGACCTACAGCGACCACCAACGGCAGAGGACGTATGATCGAGATTCACAAAGAAAGTTTACTCTAGTTGCGGGGGACCGGCCGAGGATATTGATTCGTCAGATCATGAGGTGCATACTACCCAAGTAAGGGCACCCAAGTACCACCTTTATGAGGTAAGTAAGGTAAGGCCAGGTAAAGTAGAGGTAAGGTAGGGTAGGATGCAGTAGGGGAGGGGAGGGGAGGGGAGGGGAGGCTTGGGCCAAAAGGCAAGCCTTCTCGTACTGTACTGTGTAAGATGGGGGATCGCTCTCGCTTTAGTCGCGCTCACACACCCTTGCTCCCTTTATTCTCCTCTGGCCACCCAGCCCCGTCCTTTGACGAGCTGCAAAGCGTCAGAAACGGACAACTCAACCCAGGCTAAGGCAGATACGCACACACTGCTGCTCCCGGCCAGGCATGCAGCCCCCTGATTGATGAGGAGGGAATGCGTTAGAACAGTACCCTGCGGGGAGGTGGGAGCGTCCGCCAGACTTATGCGGAGGCAATTCGATGGGGAATGGGTTCTCGTGGCGCGCTAGGTCAGGAGAGAAAGAGAGGTTATCAGGAAAACAGGTAGCCCCTTAACGTCTCGCGCGGAGAGGCTGCATGTACATCCATTATGCTCAGGTAATAAGCCCAGATGCTCGAAGGCACCGAATGGCATCGCCGGACGAGCCACTCTGAATTGACCAGACGCAACCACTACACTGCCCTAGCCTGTCTCCCATCTCTCTGGATGGCCACGAGAAAGGAGAGCGAAGGCAGGCGTGCGTACATTTGTTCAATTGTTCGTTTACTCGTACATAGATAGGGTGGTGTATTGCCTCTCCAAGACCATTCCTCGTCTTCTACACCATACTTACCCACGTGCATACCTACTTCCATCAATACAACACGATACTGCAAATGCCTGCAACTGTATGGTAGGAGGTAGGCTTACGATCTGGGGAATCTACCCTACCCATACCTTACCTTGCTCGCCCCCTACCTACCTAACCTCACACTTCGACAGCACCGCACCATTTCCTCGCCTACCTGCAGGCTTGCAGCACCTAAGAGCAGACCTCCTCGTCTTCGCATTCACTCCATCTCTCCCCTTCACTCGCTGATTCTTCTACTCCTCTTTCTTCTCTCCTCTCTTTCCTTCCTTCCTTCCTTCCTTTGTCCCTCCTCTCTGTGTAGACTCTCATCACCAAGCCATTTGGAGTTGAGGGTGTGGGCTTGTCTCATTGATCATCGCCATCGTCTTCGTCTTTCGTCGACGACGGCAGGGTAGTGAGAAAGAGAGAAGAGGGATTGTGCCTAGCTACCTCCCTACCTACCCACCTACGGTGGACCGGCCTGACCTGACCTGACCTCACTGTACTACAGCGCCGCCCGGCACGCACAGTGAGGTGAGCCTAGGGAAATAAGATCCCCTGCCGGCACGAACTTGTTGAACACGCGCCACTGTGGGCCAGTCAAATTGCGGGCCAGCCAGCTAACGGCTAGGGCCCCTCTCTCCCCGCCCAAAAGCGCTCCCTCGACCTCGAACCTCTCCATATCCTCTCTCCGTCCGCCGTCGCCGTCTCGTCCTCACCCTCAGCCATCCGCGACGAACACCTCACCTTCTGTTCCAGACCGAGTCACCGAAATCTTCGTCGCTCAGTCCGCCCAGCCCTCATCACATCTCCGGCAGGGGCCAAGTCGTCGACCGTGCACAATTGCCTGCGCCAGATCTCATCTCCGTCATGGGCGCATAGCACCGTCGCAATTCTGCCGCGGATCCCACACGACAGCAAGCAGAATGCGAATAGCTCCAACTTCCGGACTCTTGAAAGACGGCTCTTGGCAGACTCGACCTATGCGCCGGAACTGAGCCTTGAACGATATCTCTTCCCTATTATTTCAACTGTTTGGACGGTAGACCTTGTGCCCACTGGCGATTTGGAAAAATACGCCGGCGTCGGGACCTTTTGATTCATTCATCCATCCATCACTTGTGTGCCCTGGCGTCTCGTTTTCTTTCACGACGGATACATAACACATCCCCCTCGCCCTCTAGAATCTTCGCCTTGGTTTTCTACTTATAGATTAATCCATTGATGACCGGTACGTTGAATATTCTTTCTTGTCTTACGCCTTCTCCCATGTGGATCTTCCTGTATGCAGAATCTCGCTATGTTCTCTTCGATGGGGCTGCCTTGTCTCATCTGCTGACGAGCATATACTCATACAATATTCTTCAAACAGTATTTTTGGCACCTTCTCCATGCCTGCTCATTTTCTCGATTTGAGAGTTCTCGACTTTATTCATAACTTACCTTTGCAGCCAATTGGGTGTATTGCGAGGCTGACCAGGCATGCCAGATTTAGTCAAAATCGCCACTGACACTCAACATTTCACTGCTTGACTATTCTTCACTTCCTCTTATCACAGCAACAATATCTCTCATTACATACTGCACTCGATTCATCCCCGACCGTTGTAACCAACTCTGGGATTGAATCAACCAATCTTAGAAGATTGTTAGCTTGGCCACGTCGTCGCTGACTGCCTCTTGTTGCCTATTGGCCACGGTACAACAGCTTCTTAAGGGACCTCACGTGTTAGCTACCCAGAGCTGTGTGGACGATGAGCTCGGGTATCATCAAGCCTGGTTTGCAACCGAAGCCAGGCCAAGGCAACCACTCCGCCGCAGCCCCAAGCAACCACCAAGCAATCCTTCTTGACAAGCTTCATGCGCGACAGTCTACTCCTGACTCCGAAGCGTTGGCAAGCTCAGACGACGAAGGCGACTCTCAACGCCAAGATCACCTTCCACCTCTTACTCAACCCCACAAGCCAGTGCGCCGTGCTTCGTGGTTGAACGACACCTCCCAAGCTGCCATCCGTCCTAGGAAGGGTTCATTCGCCAGCAGCTCCATGTCCCCAACTACTTCGCACCCCAGCACGCCATCGGCAGACACAGGAGCCACAGCGTGGGGTTCTCATTCGGCTTCCTCAGCCATGATGGGTCGGCCTCATGCCGGATCTAGCTCGTTCCCCTGGGGCACTGGCATCTGGAACAACGAACGAAAGGATGCATCATCCCGCCTGGCTGAAGTATTACCGTCACCTACTTCTGCCATGCCTCCTGGTTCCGCTGGGGGTTCGTTCTTTGGCGGTGAAGGTGTTCCAACTCAGACTTCGCCAGCTCCTCGAGAACCTGGTCCGAATTCTCAGATTCCATTTGCCATTCCGCTTCACCCTACTCCAAAAACCTATCGCTCACAGTCCTACTCTGTTGGTCAATTAGATCCGGATTCATCCACCCCTTCCACGTCCATGGGCTCATCTGCAATCCTCGGTGGGCGAACTCGAACCATTCCGCATTCCGGATTGCAGCATCGACCATCTCGGCCTAGCATGCTGAGCGAGATGTCGAGTGATGGTGGAATGCTTGGAAAAGTCAAGGAGGTTGAGGATGATGACGATGAAAGCACGAATGGCTCTGCTCCTGGGGGTCAACATCAATCAGCAGAATCCAAGACCATTGAACTTCTAGCTCGAGAAAATGCGATGTTACGTCACCAACAGTATCACAACTCTCGTCTGCGTCCAAGGGCATCGACTGCGGCTGCTTATGGTATTGGAAACGGCTATGGTCTTCAGGAATCCGTGCCCGAAGAATCAGATTATGCTATCGATGAACTGGATGAGTCGAATGATGCCTCAGAGTTGGCGGCAAAGAGAGCTCTTGGAAGGAGGATGAGTGAGTATGGTGCAGGTCCGGGTCCGTTCCGATCGCCGTACACGGTGGAGAACAGGAAGCTCGAGAACGTCAAGAAAGCCTTCTGGCAGAGCTCTCTTGGATTTGGTGGCATGGGCGACATCCCGCAGAGCAGGCGCCACTCGTTCGCCGATGTACCAACCCGCCAGCCATCCATCGGCTCTATTGGCGAACATGTCACCCATGAACCGGGTCATTTAGATGGTCAACTGTCTCAAGATCTTCCATCAGGCTACTCTGAAAGCAGCATGTTCTCCGGCAACAACCCAGGTAAGTGCTTCGGCGATATTACAGAAAGGCGTCAACCACTAATCATCTTCGCACTAGCCTCATACTTCAATCCAGGGGCCAACCTCTCAAATGCTCAGCAAGCCCTTATGCAATCTGCATACGGCAACCCTTATCCCTCACCATACGGTCTACAGACTCCCTTCTCAAACAGACCTCCGTCACCCCACCGTAGCATGTATGGCATGTCTCAGCCACGGCAATCCCAGAAGCTGCACATTGTTCTCTTCAAATGTGCCCGTGCCGACGTGTTTTACATCCAAGAGGGAACCGGTTTGACGGTCAAACCTGGCGATCTTGTAATTGTGGAAGCAGATCGAGGCACAGACTTGGGTACGGTAGCCAAGGACAACGTAGACTGGAATCAAGCCAAAGAACTCAAAGAACACTACGCTGAAGAGCAATACAAGTGGCTCATGATGTATTCTCAGAACGCTGCAGCCGCCCAAGAGGGCACTGGTGCTGGACTCATGGCTGCATCCAACGGAATGCACGGCAGTGCCGTTGGCGGGATGGGACCTCCAAGTCAACACCACATGCAGGAACCCAATGCGGGCGAACTGAAACCAAAGCTCATCAAGCGGCTTGCCCAGAGCCACGAGGTGCATGCTCTGAGGGATAAGGAAGGCAATGAGGCTAAGGCAAAACGAGTCTGCATGCAGAAGGTGAAAGAGCATGGACTCAACATGGAGATCCTCGACGCCGAATTTCAGATGTACGTGATCATTCCTCTTATCCAACACTTGAATACTGATGTTTTCCAGGGACTGGAAGAAATTGACCTTCTACTACTTCGCCGATTCCTACATCAACTTCAACTCCCTTGTAACCGACCTCTTCAAGATATATAAGACTCGTATTTGGATGTCTGCTATTAACCCGGCATCTTTCGCAAGTCCTACTCTTGGCTTACAAGCTCCGAGTGGCATTGGGCCTGGAGCTGTGGGTGTTGGTCGAGGTTCGTCAAACAACGAGCGCCGGCAAAATCAGCCACAGGAGCAGCAGCCGAACTACTCAGCTACTGGCTCATCCGGTCGCGGCTTTCAGGGAACATTCACACAACCGTTCGGTAACGAGCGAGGGGCTGCACCAAACGTGCCATATTCGCAGCCGAACTACCCCTATCCTTACGGTGCCTTCGGCAATACAAGTCGTCCGAATACAGGCGGCTACACTCCAAGCATGATGCAATCTATGGACTCGTATCCTTCTGGGTTCCCCCCAAGTAACGAGTATCAGCCGATGCGAGGACGCTTTGCAGGAGGACAAGCCGGAGGTGCACAACATGATCAACCTGTCTCACCCCTTACAGCACAGAACGACTGGGTCGGCTCGTTCCAAGGCTTATCACTGAACTCGCGATGAAAAAAACTCTCCACCCCGGTCTGGTACCGCCACGCCGCCGACTCGCACGAACTGCTTATGATAATGGGATTTCCTTTTCAGGGATCTTCATGTGGGACCAGCAATCACTCATTTGCATTTGATCAGACAGACTTTGAGGCAACTAAAACGGATGACTTTTATCTTCTTGCGATGAGGGTACGACATGTCAGAATAGCTTTACACGGCCACGGCCATCTCGTACTTGGCGTTGGCAGGCATTTTGCTTTCATTAAAGGAAAGGGGCTCTCGATGCATTTTGGCCTGTCCCCTTCTACCACTACAACTACTACCACTACAATGCTGGTCCTACTCACGCCGGCCTAATATGCCGGAGTTTGTTGTCCTGTTTCTATTTCTATTCTGTTTTCTCGTTTGCTTCTTTGATATTTTGACGGACGGCTAAGACAAATTTTTTTCAAATTTCACCAGGGGATCGTCATAGACAGAGAAAGGCTTTGCACGAGCATGGTATAATTTGATAGTATTACAAAAAGGTTCTTCCTCGTGTTAGGGTACGGCTTCTACTTATTATTATTATTTTTCATCTTCTTCGCCTTGGGAACTCCTTGACGGTACCAAGCCCTTTCCTACGTTATTACTACGATTGCTATGGGGCTATTTCGATCTTACAAGACTCTTCATGATATGCATCGCTTTGGTTCAAGGTTGTCTGGAGGTTACTCGAAAAAAAATCATGTTGAGGTAGTAGTAGAATTGATGATTGATACCCAAGCCACTTACTACGAGCGCAATGTTGTCGAATTGTGAGCAATGCCCCTATCATGCATCGGTGTTTTCGGTCTCAATCTCAATCGTGAACAGCCTGAACATCGTAACGGAGAGTAAGCAGTACTCTACCGAGATACCTAGCTCGGCTTGGAATCTATGGAAACTGCCTTGACAAGGAAAGAGCATTCTTAATTATTCTTACAGGTGGTCCGGTGCTAGCAACTCAGACCATTAAGAACTATCGCACATTCCTTCCCAGCTTATTGTGGTCCCTCGTGCCTTCCCATGTATCTTTTGGAGGAAGGAACGGCCCTCTGTTTGGTGGGCCAGATCCCAGATCCCATTAGATGGCTGCCTGAAACACCTCCTTTAGAGCAGGTATGTTGCCAGATTCTCTTCGAACCTCATTACAGATTGCAATATTGATCGGTGTGTTGTTCTTGTAAGAAGGAGAGAGATATCCGCTTAACCTACGTTCTATCCCCATTCTCCTTCGCTCTTTGGGGTCCGGCTTTTTTCTCTTTTCAACGCAGTCGGCAGTCTATCGAGCGGTCACCATGTCTCCTCGCAAGCGCAAGTCGAAGGGTGAGCTTTCATACGGACGGAAGTGCTCTTGTTTTCTGATAGCATATAGCCGAAGAGAACAGCACCGGGGATAGCGATGCATTTATCCCTCCGACTAAGACCCCCCAGCAGAAGAGAGTCAGGAAGGCAGAGCCTCGACGAGAGAGTCGAGCAGATGGCCACAACAAGGACAACACCGACCAGGGATACAAGTCAGTTCTATGTGGACTGTAACTCTAGAGTACACGGACTGATTGCGTTAGCGGAACGATGACTTGGTCCCAGTTTCAACAGAAATTCAACGAGAAATCTAAGCGGGACATGGATGGGTATTTGGAGGATGCCAGCAACGAGCTCAAGGCTATCCGTGAAGAACTGCTCAGTACATTCAACAAATCGAAGGACGCGCTGTAAGCTATTCCTAAGATTTGACTGGCATGCTTGACAATGCGGTTGACCGTTTTTGCAGGGAATCTGCAGGCACAAAGCAAGCCAAGAGCATCGCCGAAGCATGCCAGCGCTTGGCCAAAGACGAGCGAGATAAGGCTCTGGATCGTCTCAGTCATCCCCTTTTCAAAGCTGGTCAACAAATCTTCAAGAGCTGCCACGATATTCTCGACTATCACGACAAGGCGAACCAGGCATCTGTGTCCAAGGAGGCCAATCCTCCGGGCGACATGTGGCAGGCAGATAATTCTGCCATCCAGGAGGTGCTTTCTTACGCCCGCCAGTACGGAGAGAAGCTGGTTGATTGCGCCATTACACTTGACTCGGACCTTGAAGTGCTTAAGGTCGACCGCGAGCAGCTGCCCGAGACTGGGACCATGGCGATTGATATCTTCGAGAAGAGTGGAAAAGCCATTGGAGGCGAGACTTGGGGCCGCACTGTAGCAGCACAGCTCAGCGCAGTGAGTGCATTAATGGAGACAATTTCCAAGTAAACATGCCGCGGATCGGGACTGGCGCTTCTGGGAAGGGGCTCTCTTGCTTTAGCAACACATGATCTGATGTTTTAGAGCCAGGATGGCGTAAATATTGCGGAGCTGGCATACTGCTTTATCAACAAGACATAACACATGTAGTCAGGAGCAACTTGAGGGAGCATGTAAGATTAACATTCAAATTCAAGATGAGATTCACATATGGCGCTGCAGAGCTCTGTGTGCTCGAACTAAGCATCTATCTATTTGCGAATGCAATGCCACTATTCCAACCAGTATATGCTCTCATCGCTGATCCTACATCAATGAATTCGTTCACCTTAGCGTGACTAACTCCTCGGCACTGGTCGGATGGATGGCCACCACACTATCGAAGTCCTTCTTCGTCGCACCCATCTTGATCGCGACGCCAAAGCCCTGCAACATCTCGCCGCTACCAAGGCCAAGAATGTGCAGACCGACAACCTTTTCCTCTGGGCCGACAGTAACGAGCTTGTACCTGGTCGGGCCCTTCTCGTCCTGCTCCATCATGGCGTAATACATCGCCGTGAAGCTGGTCTTGTATACCTTGACGTTGTCCTTGCCGTACTTCTCGATAGCCTCCGGCTCTGTTAGGCCGATCGAGCCGACCTCCGGGTGCGCAAAGACGACTGAGGGGATGTTGGTGTAGTCCAGATGAGCAGTCTTGAACTCCTCGGGGCCGAAGAGCCGGTGCGCCAGCTTCCGGCCGGCCGCAATGGCTACGGGGGTGAGCTCCACCTCACCAGTGACGTCGCCGAGAGCAAAGATGTTGTCCACGGATGTGTTTTGGTACTTGTCGACTTCTATGTGTCCTGTCTTTGCCAACTTGACGCCTGCCTCCTCTAGGCCAATGTCCTTGGTCAGCGGCGTCCGGCCTATAGCCCAAATCAGGTGGTCGACGCCGGATATTGAGCCTTCGCCCGACTGGTCTTTATAGTGAAGCGTCAGCTTGCCGTCCTGGTCCTTCTCAACCTTCGACTGGGTCGACTTCTTGTGCAAGTGCACGCCCAGGCGCTCGTACTCGGCGGTCACGGCCTCCTGAACCATGGGGTCGAATTTCCGCAGGAAGGTCTCGTGTCTGATAAAGAGGTGCGTCTCGACGCCAAGCGCATTGAACATGCCCGCAAACTCGACGGCGATGTAGCCCGCGCCGACAATCGCAACCTTCTTGGGCAGCGTGGCGATGTCGAAGAAGCCATCGCTGTTGGTGCCCAGCTCCGAGCCCTCGATGGTCGGCGGTATCGTGGGCTCGCCGCCGACGGCGACGAGGATCTTCTTGGCGCGGACGACCTCCTTGGAGCCGTCGTCGAGCGTGATCTCGACCTCGTGCTTGTTCAGGAGCTTCGCCCAGCCGTGCACGTACTCGACCTTGTCGTTCGAGAGGTTCCTCTCATATATGCCGTTTAACCTCTTGATGTAGGCGTCCCGCTTCTGCTTGAAGGTGGACCAGTCGAAGGGCGCCGTCTCCTGCACGTTGAACCCGTACGACTTGGCCTGGTGTATCGTCTCGGCGATGAACGCAGCATTGAAGGTGATTTTCTTGGGTACACAGCTGGGTGATGTGTCAGCGCCTTGCGTTATGGTTGAGGGGGTATGAGGGGATTCATAACTTACCCAACATTCACACAGGTTCCTCCCAACCTCTTGCCCTCCACGATCATGGCCTTGGTGCCGAACTTGGAGCTGGCCATGCGCGCAGAGGCAAGGCCTCCACTGCCGCCGCCAATGACCAGATAGTCGGTCTCCTTGCTAATCGGTGCCATGGTTGCGGGATTGGATGAGAAATGTCGCGAGAAGTTCGCCAGGCGAGCTGTTGCCGTTCTGCTGTTCGACAGTGCGGGAGATACTCTTGCAAAGACACCAAAAGATCGCATTTATATTGCGCGGTGCACCGCTGCTGCTATGTCGAGAAAGGGGTGTAGATGCAGGTGGGGGAGGGTTGTGACGCCTTTTATGGCAGCTATGTCATCAGGAGGCTGCTCCCGAAGGTTCGGCGAATTCGCTGGTGCAGCGAAGTGCTATGCAGATAGGAATGACAGGACTGCAGGCGCAGGGCGCTCCCGATGCAATGCAAATAGAGGCGCTAGATTGTCTGCTGAACGAATGGATAGGATTTAAGCTTTGCAGTAGACTAATCGTGAGTGTCTTGATGTTGATAGTTCCGAATGCAGTGACACATGAATCATCACTAATCAATGAGAAAAAAAGTCTGTCGGAACTCGCTGGAAGGAGCAATCAGATAAGCAACACACCTACAGCTCCCGGCTATGTCGCAAGCCTACCTGGGATGATCCCATTGCCCCGCCTGTTGGCGATTCCAAATTTGGCTGCAGCCAGCCAGCCCACTGGACCGACCCGGCCGAGGCTGGATGTCAGTCGGTAATCCAACACAACCCCCTACCTAGCTCCTAGGTGGCTATTACAGGGGTTCAGCTCCCAAATCGACGCTATTTAAATTCCAAATCGCGAGCACCTACAGCATGGTGATATCTGCATGGACGCGCGCGCCCTGACTGCAGCATCACCAAGCACTTCCGCCGGGCTCGGGAAGCAGTGGGATCGGTAACGGCGGTGCCCCCGGTGCTTTGGTCATAGAATCCCAACGGTGTCCGGAGCCGCCGCATGGCCGTCTCGATTCCTCCCAAGTTGACTTTAACCCAGTTGGAGAAGCTGGCCTTTCACTGTGGTATAAGCAAGACGGGCACAAAATCGATTGTGCGGCAGCGCCTTGCAGACACGCTTGCAGCATATCAGCCATTCCCGGGGAGCACGCGGATCCTCAGCATAGACCTCGGCATCAGGAATCTCGCCTACAGCCTGCTTGTGCCAGCTTCCTCGAAAGGGAAGGGGACGAAAAATGGTCGTGATGAACGCCAACCAGGGTCAGGCGTGGTGACACGCCCAGCCGTTCATGTTTGGCAGAGGCAGAACCTCTTACCTAATACAGCATCGCGAAAAGGAGTTATCAAGAATGAAGAGGATATCGGGCCTTCAGGACTAGCAGAGGACTTTACCCCTGCTTCTCTTAGTAGAATCGCAACAAATCTTGTCCGCGATCAGTTGCTGCCGCTCAAACCAACGCATGTGCTCATTGAACGACAACGCTTCCGCTCGGGTGGAGGCCCGTCTGTCCTAGAATGGACAGTCCGCGTCAACACCTTGGAAGCCATGCTCTATGCAGTGTTTGCAACTCTCAGGAGCATGAAGCAGTGGGATGGCGAGATCATCCCTGTCGAGCCCCGTCGAGTTGGACCATACCTCCTCACACGGGCTGGGATGATCCAGCATGCCGACATGTTAAAGAAGACTAAGGCGGAGAACAAGAAGCTCAAGATCGACTTGCTCGCTGGATGGCTTCAGAGGGAAGATGAGATTGAAATGGCGAACGCGCAGGTCCGCGCCATGGCCGAGGCTTACATGCACCGCTTGACGAAGACTTCCAGGAATAAGAAGTTGGCCGATACACCTCGCGGAACAGAGCTTGAGGGCTCAACAAAACTTCCGAAGCTCGATGATCTTGCAGATAGTCTGCTGCAAGGCGTTGCATTCCTGGAGTGGGAGGGCAACAAAGCTTCTATGCTCAAGAATGGGGTGGAAGCCTTCATCGACCTTCACGAGATATAAGAATCCCTGTATAAAACTGTAAAATATTCACAATCCTATTGTGAAGTAAGGCATATAACTACAGGTCGTCATAGTATCCGTCGTATGCACCCATGCCATTTTGGGTGCTCACAAATTCCTCGCTAGCCAAGCCTCTTGCCATCCTTTTCTTCAAGCCCTGGGGATCCTTGTGCCAGTCACACGCATAATCGCATGCTGGGGTCTCTGTCTCTCCAAAATACCTGCAAATCATAGCATGCCGGCAAGTACTGGTGTTTTCGCAGTAGTCGGTCAGCTGTTTCAAGCTCCGAGCACGAGCGTCCCGATTTGCTCCGTCCTTGACCTCCCGCGCAATCATGTTGGCAATCCGATCCCTATCTTCCCTGCTATAATAAAGGAAGCAGAAGCTTGCATTGCCGTCTCGCCCGGCGCGGCCTGCCTCTTGATAGTATCCCTCGAAAGACTTGGGCAGCCGCCAATGGACGACAAAGCGAACGTTGTCCTTATCGATCCCCATGCCGAAGGCTGTCGTGGCCACGATGATATCATAGCCCGGCTCGTTGTTGATCCATCTTCCCAAGGTCTCTTCCTTGGTTTCTTTCGCCAATTTTGCATGGAATGGACGAGCTCCTATGCCTTCTTGTCTGAGTGCAGCAGCAAGAGCTTCACACTCGTCTCGCGAGATAGTGTAGATGATGCCTGGCACATTTTCTACACGCTGGCCCATAGCCTCTAATTCTTCCTTGCGACCTTCAGACCGACGGCGCTCGTAGACTCCCTGTAACCAGCCCACAAAGTCTCCGAAGCGATCGTCTGCCTCGTCGCTGGTAAATCGAATCTCCAGATGAAGATTTGGCCGGTACGCCGTCATAGTAAAAGTTTTCAGCCTGCCTGGCGTCTTGTCCAGACCCAAAGTGTTGAGAACATCCTTCCTGACTTGTTCATTTGCCGTCGCTGTCAAGCACATTACGGGGACGTCAGGGAAGGTCTCGCGGAACCACGACAGCCGCTTGAAGTCCTTCCGGAAATCGTGGCCCCACTCCGAGATACAATGGGCTTCGTCAACCGCGATCCTGGCAAGCTCTCTCTGCTCATAGACGAGCAGCAACCGTTTCCTGAAGTGGTCGCCCGAGCATAGCTCTGGCGTTACGTATAGGAGACGCGTCCGTGGATGGCCCGTTGCTAGGTCCTGATAGATGTGATCCTTCTCTGCCTGAGGCGTATTACTGTTCAGCGTCCGAGCGTCCACGTTCGCTGCTCTCAATGCCTCGACTTGATTCATCATAAGACTGAGCAGTGGTGATATGACGATGGTAATGCCCTGGTCAATGACTGCAGGAAGTTGAAAACAAAGACTCTTTCCGAAGGAAGTGGCCGCCTGGACAAAAACATCGTTGCGGTCTAGAGCCGCAACGATAATATCTCGCTGGAAAGGGCTGCTCTTTGCGTCAGGAGATCGAATCTTGAAGCTTGAATGAGTGGACCGACCGGAACGATGTCTTGTTAAATTGACGTCTTAGAGTGAAGTCTGGATCGGCATACGAATTGGTCCTCACGAGAGAAGGCATGGTGCAATATTGAAGTGAGCAGGGGAGAATAATCCGTGATCACACGGGCCGTACACACTCCAGAGATTTTGATTCCTTGTTGCTTCCGCAAAACATGTTATCGTGTACTGGGTTGTCTTCATGAAATGCTTGATTTCAGATGACCTCGAATAACCTTGAACTTTGACTCGGCCCAGTGATATTCAGCAAAAAGAGTGGGAAAGGACGAGGTAGGCTGCATCCCACTTCCTTCTCGATTAGGCAATACGGATACTGTGGCACGGTTTGCCAGTTCCAGGCGCGTCTTGTACGTGCCTGCCTCATTGTCAGAGACACCCGGGCGGTCCCCATTTCATGCAGTAGCCAAAAAGAGTATGGCAGCTCAAGTGGCGCTGCAGTCGCCGTTCTCCTTCCTGTTCCAGTGGCTCGACAGAGGGCGCTGGGGCGCGTCAACCCCACTATTCTTTGCACTTGGCGGCGTTCCGGAATCCTGGCGCTCCCTCACCACTGCTGGGCTTTGGGGCTCCTGGGCGAGGGCAAAACGTGGCCGGCAAGGAAGCTTGATAGCAATGTTACTATATTTTGACTGCCAGAGACTTGAATCCTGGAACATAGCGCAATGGCTTCTATTCTACGGGTTTCCCTCATCCTGTTGCTTCGCCTCCTGCTTATATTTCTTTTCCGGTACGACAAGATCCTTGTGGATTTCATTCCTCAAAGAGCCGTTGCAGACCCCTAAAAGGCTCCGTCCCCAATATCGAACCGACGGAGACAGCCTGTGTTGAGCCGGATGATGTAGACTCCTCACCTGAGAAAATCACACGGGCTTGCCTACCTACAACAAGCTTATAACCTAAACCTAGCAGAAACAACTGTTGCGGTGGAGGAACTCTAGCAGTGATAATGGGAACCCCCGGTGGCCATGATTAGAAACAAATGACACCCTGTGATCCGACCTCCTGTGAGCGTCGAAGTTTCGTTTCACGAAGCGTATAGCGATGGGCAGCCAATCAGCACGGCCCTCTGTGGCGGCGACAGGGTGCAATCTGCGACGAGAGCAGCACCCAGCGGTGCCTGTGCCTTGCATGCCTGCTGCTGGTGCGGCGCGCTAACAGAACCCCCCCAGAGGGAGGCAAGCGGGGCGTCCTGGGCGACTTATATATGCACCCCTGCATTGGACAATCTGGCCACCCCCAGCGGAAACGAGAAAGGCGCTTTTTCTCAGCGATCCCTTTGTCGGGCTTGACGTGTTGTTCTACCCGAGAACACCCCCGGGGTCAACGCAGCAGACGCCGTGTCCACACGTCCCACGCTTGCCCACCCCCTTTCCCGCTCACAAAGAAGAATTTCTGATCGGGTTCCCTGCCTTCTGGTCCCAGTCCAGCCCAGTCCAGTCTGGGCCAGCACACCATTGCACTCACTCTGGCAGGGCACCGACAGACAGATAGGTAACCGTCTTCGAAAGACAAGGAGGCCTGACTGCCAACACAAAACTGTCAGTCAAGTCATTCACTCATTCAATCAGTCAGTCAGTCAGTCAGTCAGTCAGTCAGTCAGTCACGAATCAACCCAGTCGGACTGCATTGCTACAGTACAACATCCACGCTTGGTGCCAGCCAGTCTCGGTCATCCCACGTCGTTCCTCCTCCACCTTTCTCCTCCAGATATCTCTCCACCTCCAACGCCTTCTCGTTGGCAGCATTCTGGCTGGCCGATAGTCTGCTTGCGACCCTGCGCTGCTTTCACCTCTCCTCCCATCGATACTCCAAGCCGTTTCGGACCTTGCAACCATGCTCTCGTGTGCTTCATCACCCCAGCTTTAGCTGTCCTACCCGATCCCAATTCGACCAAATCATTGGTTTACTCCATCGACGAATCGCCCTTTCATCAGTCAGACACCCGCCATCCCTGACCTGCAACGCTCGTACAGCATCGTCGATCTCCTGTCCTCGAAGAATCCCGTCACAACCACATCTATGACCACATCAATGATGGAACGGCCTCCTGGTCCGCCCTTCGGGCAACAGAATCAACCGCCCCCGGCAGAGCGATTCGGCCTGCCAGGGAACCCAGCACAGGGAAGACGGGCTGCCGTTATCGCACCGGCCGTGTCTATACCACCGCCGCCCCCAATACCAACGCTTCGAAATACACCGTCGAACGGGTCTCTTACCACGTCCGCCCAAATCGGCCCGAGCCAAGTCATCGCTCTCGCCCGCGATGCAATGAGAAAAGCTCTGGATGAGAATGAAACACAGGCCGCTGAAGCAAGTGGCGTCAGTAGCGATCTCAAGCCCGGCGTGACCGTGAATTTGAGTCACAAGAACATACAAAAGCTTCCGGATGAAGTTGTAGATATAATCAAAGATCAGCTTGAGAGGTTCGTTACGATTGTAGACATGCTGTGGATCACTGGCTGACATAGGACTTCCCATCTTGCAGACTCGCTCTCTCCCACAACAAGCTCACCGCATTCCCTGCTAGATTCTCGGAATGCACGTCGTTGCGTTATCTCAATGTCAGGAATAACCGTATCACTGACTTTCCTCTACCTGTATGCACGAGCTTGTAATGCTTCGCGAAAATCAAAACTAACAGTCCTTTAGCTATGTGACCTCAAGTCTCTTGAGATTCTCGACCTCGGAAGGAACCAGCTTCGAGTCCTCCCTCCAGAAATTGTCAAGTTGACGTCGCTGAAAGTCTTCGCGGTCCAAAAGAATCAAATCAGGGAGCTGCCGCTATGTCTTGCTGATATGGTATCACTGCAGATGATTAAATTGGAGGGCAATCCTCTCGTGTTTCCGCCAAAGGAGGTGCTACAAGTCCAAGCCAATAGCCCGCCAAATGAGGGTTTTCTGAAGGAGAGCGAAGTAGCTGAGGTCACGGTGACGGCGCATATCAAGAAATTCCTGAAGCAAAGGGCTCAGAGTGATCGGACAGAAGCTGATGCTGCAGGGGACGAATCATCCGAGGGCACGGAAACACCTCGAATGCCACCGATAAAGCGTGTTGCCAGTGGCCGTTTCCCCATCAAAGTCAGCGTCAACGGGACCGAACTCCCAGATCTCCGCTCCCCAAATTTATCGCGACCACCTCCAATTCCAACACGCTCTCATTATCGGGGCCTATCTCAACAAAATCCAGCACAGAGGCGTCCTAGTGTGATGCCCTTGACAATCGGCAACGTAAACGAACGCGTCCGAAGTAACTCTGAGACCCTGCTTCAAGCCTCCCGCGCAGACCGACCAGGCGAGCAACGACGAAGGCTTGGGGTCGTTTCAAAAAAGACTCAGGAGCTCGGTACCCTCGACGAGACCCAAGTGAACAATAGGTTCAGCCACTACAGAGGACTAAGCCACGGATCCGCCATGCAAGGCGGAAACGGAGTTAATATAGCTGCGAAGAGTCCAGCGAGCCCTGCAGAGCAATTTCTACAACGCCCCATTTATGTGCGCAGAATGTCGGTCCTACCAGAGCGCCGACGCGAATCGAAATTCTACGATCCTGTTCTGGAAGCAGCCAAGGGCATTCTCTACTCAGTGTTTCAAATTCACCCTATGATTCAGATGTTGATGAGCCTTGCTAGTGATGGCACATCGAAGCGATCGAGCCTGGAAATCGTGTTCTATAACACCAATGTGCATGTCGAGGAGCTCGAACAAGAGATTCAGAAGCACGACCCGACCGTGGAGAGCGATGATCATGGTCAGAAGGAGAACGAAAATGTACAGAGAGCTTGCATCACCCTAGTCAACGCCTACGCACATGTCTGTTCATTATTGGCGAGTAATGTCGATATGTTCATCGACAACGGAGATCCCCGCTACATACGGACACTGTTAATGCAGCTCTATAATAGTATTATGGAGTTGCGGGTCACTGCTACTAATCCTTCCCCAGAGGCAGGATACCGCAGAGCCGCCAGCAGAGCCGCACTTGGGGATACCATTCGGCCTCACTCTCGAGAGAACTCGGTTACTCCAACTGTGGAACGTCTGTACCAGAACGGCAGAAGTCGCAATGGGAGCATCGTACACAACCCGAGCAATCTACGGGTTGCGACAGACGTTTCAATACCCATGGCATACATCCACGGCACAGGTCGAACTGCCACTATCACCTCAGCAACACCTCGCTCTGGTGAATCCTTTACCTCCGCTGACGGTCGTGGCATTTCAGGGGAATTCACAGAAGAGGATCGCATGTTTGAGAGAATATATCTCTCTCTTCAGAAATCATCCGAATTGGTCATGCGTACGCTGCCCAATTTCAACAGCCAATTTACAATGGGCATGAGGAATTCAATGCAACGCAGGGTTCAACCTCAAGTGGTACAGTCTTGGCAGGCTTTAGTTGCTAAGTGCACTGCAGCCATCCAACAAACCGAGATGCTCAAAGGAAGGCTGTCATTGATCAAGCTCAAGGAACCAGGCATCAGGACTCAGATGTCATTCTGGAGTCTCTGTACAAATTTCATTGACTCGTGGGCAGAACTTGCCCATAAAATCAAGGATTCCATGAACATGGTGGAACTGCCACTGGATACGAGAGCCAGACTCCGTCCCATTCAGCAGAGCATGAAGGAGACCAGGGATCTCATTCTTTCATCACCATGGTCGTACTACTACATGCGGCCTTCCGCAGTACCATCCTCCAACAACGGCCCATTCGGGCACGGAGCCAGCAACACCGTACAGTTGCCCATGACGCCGCAGAGCGCAGCACTTGGACCTGCGGTGCAGGCTACTGTACCGTCTACACCGCAGAGCGCATCGTTTGCAGGAGCCTTCAATGGCAATGTTTTCGAACGAGCCGACGCGCTGATCTCTATGGGCGGTCTTCACATGCCCTCCCGTTCAGGAACTATGTCGACTACAACGGGCTCCTCAAGTCTGAGCTCGATCAGTAGCAGTCTCTCTTCAACTCAGGATGGGACGATGACACCCAATTCGATGCTGAGCCCCTCAGGCCCGTTTGGGCCCTTCCCACTCAGGCTTAACAATGGCAGCAAAGTCGCATTCTAGTTCGAATAATTATACTACTACTACATCATCACCTTTTTGGATCAACTACCTCCTCTTTACCTTGTTGGTTTATCACGTCGGAAGGCAGGCCTTTTTGAAAACGGCTTGAGACAAATGCTCGAATAATGTCATAATGTCTTGTGTGTGTGTGTGTGTGTTTACATGTGAATAGTCACTCTCTTTTTTTTTCCTTTTTTTTTTTTTGGCATGGCATCGGCGTTGGGAGAAGCAGCGTATAATGGAATGGAAGCGAAAGATCCGCGATCATCGAGCCAACTAGAGGCCGCTCGTTCTTGCATCGTTATTCAAGCTGTTGTGTTATAATACACTTGGCATCTTGGTGGTGTGGATGTATATCTTGTACTACAAACCAACTGCACATTATAGAACGTGCCACTATGTGTACGCCCTCTGGGCTTTCTACCTTCAGACTCACTTGTGTGATTCGCTAATTGCAGAACGCGGGCTGGTGCATTTCGTTTCAAGTGTCTACTAAGCGGGAAACGGTTGCAGACAGATGAATGTCCAGCCATGCCGTCCTGGCTAACCATCATAGTGGCGTGGTTCTTCAGCATCGACGAAGCCATCCGGGCTCCATTCACAGCCACTCGCAGATCCAGGCTACATGAGATCGTCCGAAGAGCAATGCGGATCTAGAAAATCCGTCTCGCCCACCATCGCGATGCCCTTGCCGTGGCGAACCTGTGGCCCCCCCCGGTGCACATGCTGCCGCTTCATGCCGTGTAGATCACGCTTGCACAGCCCACAGCCACAGCGGTTTTTCTTCCATCCCGAATCCGCAAAAGGAATGCCGACCAGCGCGCATGGACGCTATGAGCTGTACCTCACGGTGCTACGCAGCGAAGTCTCGGGCGGATCCCACACCACGTCCTGGATGCTCCGCCGCTGCCGCGCCGGCACGACCCACGGGCGGACGCCATCGCCGCGCGCGTTGGCGGTGTCGAACCGGTGGGAGCTCTCGTTGCGGATGAGCAGCGCGGGCTTCCACATCCGGCCCGTCTCCGAAGGCGCGTTGTAGTCGGCGCCCTCGCCGTCCGGGTCGCTGAGCCCGATCGCCGCTCTCGCGCGCCAGCTCACGCAGCCGTACAGCAGCCGGGCATCCTCGACCGTCCCGGCGTGGTAGAGCCCGACGCCCCACGAGGCGAGCTGCAGGGGGTCGCCGGTGCCGTAGGGGGTGAAGGCGTTGCCGACGTTGTTGACGCCCAGGCAGGCGTTCAGTCCGTGGTCTTTGATCAGCGACGGGACGTTCAAGGTCCCGCGCGGCCGATTCTGCGAGGACGCTGAGGCGTCTGTGAGCGGTGCAGATGGTCGGCCCATCATGTAGAGGTCACTCGTCGGCAGTCCCACGAAGTGGATTGGGAGCTTGCTGCCGGTGATCAGCTCGGCCAGCCGGGACATTTCGGCGTTGCTCAGCTGCGTGAGTTGAGTGCAGTGGCCCAGGACGATGGTCCTGTTCGGGTCTGCATTCTTCAGCCAGTCGTGCTCCTTGAGTTTCTCAATAACGTCGTATATCAGCGGCGCCTGGTCGCCCGATGGCTCCTTCAGGTTGTAGTCTAGATGGAAGTCCAAATGCATTCTGTGAGTGAGGGCCGAGTCGATGGCGAATTCGATATTTTGCAAGGCCGCTTCCCGGCTGTCCTCGACATAAGGTGTCGTGCCTATAGCACCAATATTCTCCCTCAGCTGCGAGGTCAAGACCTGTGATATCTCTTGTCGGTTACGCTCGCCGTGTTCAGTAGAGAATAAGGGATCTTGAGCAAAAGCACAAATCTGGACATCCATCAGATGATCCCATTCACGTTTTAGCCGTATAGCCTCGCTCAAGGCAAGAGACTGCGTAACATGGTCGACCTCAGCAAAGGCGCGCATCGAGGTGACGCCATGTTTCACGCAGCTGGCAATGAGCTGGTTCCCTCTCAGCTGGAGGTCCTCTCGAGTGTAGCGGTTCTTTGCCTCGGTGGTGTTTTGCAAAGCCTCGCTGAAGGATCCAGTTGTTGGCAAGAGATCAGAGTAGTCGGGCCATCCGCTTTGGTTTGGCTGGTTGTTGTTGCCTGTCAGGATGTACGCCTTATCTAGATGGATATGAGGGTGACATAAAGGTGGGAGTATTAGCCCAGAGGCATGATTCGCAGTGGACGCATTGGTGAAGCTTGCACAACCGCCCTCGATTTTGACATCCCACTTCGCCGCCGGATCTTCGTGGAGGGGAAAGCAGACTTTCTCCAGCTTCGTGCCATCGGTATTCATAGAGGCTGCCATGATGCATAATGGCATGGAAGAGAGACGGGGCCTAGCTTCCAAACACCTATGGAGCTCTTCATAGCCATGCCATAGAAGCAAATACTTGGAAATACAACCTCACACTTGTCACAACAGGAGGAAATTACAACTGGCAACGTAAATGCGTCGCAGCTTGGTTGTTGGACCCTATTGCTTACCTTAGTTTTGTAGTGGAGGTTGGTATTCTGGGTGATGTTGGAGTTGTCAAGTGGGACCAATCCGATAACATGGGCGCTTGTCAGATAGCGAAGCTACCCCGCCATAAGTCTATGTATGGACTTGCTGGGGCAGTCAGCTGGTCTCCAAGCTCTGAGCTTCAACAAGCTTCATTTGCTGATATTCACCACTCTATTGTTCTTTATCTTCTGTTCATTCAATTCTGAATATTTGTTTTGATTCCCGGTAGGACTGAATACCCAGCATGTCTTCCATAACCTCCGCCCAGAGTCCAACCCACCCCTCCTCGGCGTCATCCGCAACAGTCTCCTCCCCCACAAACACAAATCAGGCCAGCACGGCCTCTCCGCCCGGCCCATCGACCGCCTCCTCCCTCTCCTCCCCGGCGTTCCCGCCCCTCGCCGGTGCGGCCGGACCACTTCACCACCATGCCGCCGGCCACCCCGTTCCGGGCCCTGCCTCCCGCAGCAGCGCCGGGCCCTCATCGTCACACCAGCAGCAGCATCCACACCTGCAGTCCAACCTGCCCTCGCCCTCGACGCAGCGGCAGATCGAGGAGGCGCGGCGCGCCGTCGTCGCCTCCATCGGCAACATGCTCGACAACGAGCTGCAGGGCCGCGCGGCGATCCTGCACAGCAACCAGGCGGCCATCGAGAAGCAGTTCCGCGACGTCGAGAGGGCCACGGCGTCCCTGCGCAAGGAGAACGACAAGCTCGGCAAGGTCGCCGCCGACCAGGCGCGCAAGGTGAAGGAGATCGGCGACGTGCAGAACTGGGCCGAGCTGCTGGAGCGCGACTTCCTCGTGCTGGAGGAGACCATGCGGCTGGTGCGCGAGGGCAGCAGTGAGGGGAGCTGGTCGGGGAGTGGCAGCTGGAGCGGAAGTGCGAGCGGTAGCGAGGTGGGCGATCGGGATGGGGATGAGAGAGCTGCGGCTGATGGTGAGAGAGACGGGGATGGCGATGTGCACATGGACGGTGGTCTGCAAGACGCTCTGGAAGCGCAAAAAGATGTCGGCAAGGGCAAGGCCAAGGAGGAATATGCTGCCGAGCAAATGGATGTCGATCCCGCCCAGATTCCTTTGCCTATAGACGACCAGAGCACCACGGAGGTTGGGTCCAGCAGTAGCACTGCTCTGACCAGCCACGAGTCGGAGACGACGTTAGCATTGACGCCCGTGGTATGATTTTCACGGTAAGCATGACTTTGAATACGCTTGACGACCGAGTTGCTGGCGACTCAACAACTGATGAGATATGTTACAACGAATAATGACGAACCGGTTTCTTCTTTGGCGAGGCTATTTGCCCTTGAAACAATGTATTAGCGTGCTCATTTCTCTATCATGATAATAATGTCTATCTTCTACTATGAGAATTATCTAGCCACCACCTTTTAATATGTGAAAGCCCCTCATCCTCTATTCCAGCAGTCACGTTTCGTCATACTTCGTGCGTTTCGTTCAGATCAGGCCTGGAAGCATGGTGTACTTGTGCTTCTTGTACTTGTCGCCGAAGGTGGTCCTGAGCGCCCTTTCCTTATCCCGAGACCAGTTCCTCATGTAGATGCTGCCCGTGCAGATGAACGCAATGACGGACCACTCTCTGGAGATCAGAATCACACCAACCCAGGCGATGACCTCGAACATGTAGTTGGGGCAGGTCACAAGAGAAGAACCAATGCAGTTCGGGATGCCCTTCTCGGTGCCACCGGGCTTCCGGAGACCAGCGAGATGTATGTGCACAATGGCGTTGCAGATCTCTCCGTAGACGAAGAGCACCAGGCCGAAAAGATCCAGGGGGGTGAATTCGTCTCTCGCGGCAAAGGACTTGGGCGAGTAGATGAAGAAAGCGCATAGAAGACCGGCCTCGAGCCAGTAGAAGGCAGAGTTGCGGAAGATGTTCCACGCGGGCATGGTGTTGGCGGAAAACCTGTGAATGAAGATGGTCTCGATCTCACGCTTGATGAAATGCAGCTGGAACAGGTAATAGATGACCCATTGGATCGTAGTCGCCGGTGCCTTGTCGGCGTCCTTGTAGAAGAAAGGATCAACCTTGGCCAGGTAGGGACGCCCGTAGAGGAAGAGGAAGTGGAAGAGTAGGGGGCCTAAGTATTCGATAACGTAGACCAGCCTCCAACCCATTTGCAGTCCTGTCATAGGGTTAGCTACGCGTGATATATTGACTAGGCATATCTTGAGTACATACCCAGATCCTGCACGAGGACCTCGCCCTTGGACACTATATCCTGGTTGTCTCGGATCAAGGCCTTTCGGTCCTTGATGTTCTTTCGTGTGGAGGGGTTGAATACGCCAATACGGTTGTAATCACTAACGCCGGAGGCCTTGGCGATGGCCTGCTTCGTGTCCTCGATCGTGGCATCGCCGGGGATCTCAATTGAAGCGGGGAGCTTCTTGACCCGCTGCTTCGAGGCTGTTGGGTCAGGCACATGTTAGCTTTGGCAAAGGGAAGAAATTCCATGATAAGTAACAAAGACTTACAGCGCGGGGCAAGCTTGAGCGTTATTTTTGACGCCATTGTGACGGCAGTGACCAAGCTGGATGGTTCGTTCAAGAGTCCCGTTTGTGCCGGTGAGTAGAGTCGTTGTCGTAGTTCTCAACAAACTACAAGACAAGGTGGCTTTGGGAATTTTAACCCTTGGGGAGCGAGCTTCGGAAATTAGACTAGCGCTTTTCAATGAGCGCGTTGCACGCCCACCGAGCCACCCACCCTGTGGATGTTCCTCGGCACGGCATCTAGAGCACGCTAAGGCACGTAAGTCTAGGGAGGGCCTCGGCTGGCTTACGGGGGGGTTTGTGGAGCGGGGCCCAATTGGTCGATCACTGGGAACTCTATCTCAAGCCTATCTCAACACACCATTGGTGTCACACAGCTGGGGCTCAGGATCAATAAGTCGTCTTGGTCATGTACGGATGACGGCAGCCCGACCAGGAATTCTAGCCGATTTGATTGAAGTCGTGGGAGCTCGGAAACGGAAGAATATCCTCCTGCGGCACCTTCTACAGCTGAGTTGTCATCCTGCATCTTCCTTCATGTTCAAGCACCTTCTGAGTTGGGATAGACACTGCAACTGCTTTGCATTGCAGCTCGAGGCTGTAGGCTAGATGGGTTACCTCTGAGATGAATCAGTCTCATTGCTTGTCAATAGCACCTAGCATACCAAGCTTCTTTCAACGACACCACCTAGAATGGCTGATTCAGACTAGCTTGAGCTGTCCCCCCACACCAACAGTTCTATGGTGTTTGACGTGTGAAGGGCACGATGCTACCACTTCTCTGCAAGTCGACACAGACTAGCAACTTTGCAGCAACCAAAGGCCTTCCTTGAGAAGGTACGTATCTTGGCAATCTCTGCAACGGCCATATACGCCCCCTGCAGTAAGCCATGTGGCGGTGATTTGCTTCTCGTGACTCTCACATTCATTGCACCGCAACGGAACCATCCGGCTGTGATTAGGTAGAAGGTTGAGAAAAGTCGAGCCTTCAGTGAAGATATGTTTCATGATAGCGTGCGATAGTATCTGGCAATCTTGTAAAGCCTCAATGAAGGCCTGGTCCCTCAAGACACAGTATGATGTGTCCGACAGGAACATGAGAAATGTATCTCGTAAATTGTCGAGGCTTGGTGTCCCATCGCTGAAAACCGTCTTCGCCCCTTCGATATATTCATTAAGGAAGGTACCATATTCTTTGAAATCCAGCTTTGGAAACTCAGATGGCCCACACATCTTAAAGATGTGCTGCATCTCTTTTGCAATAGGCGTGAAATATCCCTCAGATAAGTGCAAATGTCAAGTATCATCGAGTCCAAGCAGAAGTAATCGGCGGTTAAGCACAGCTGTGTACCAAGAACAAAGACATTATTGCTCTCGTTCTTGAGGTTGGCCCACTCGCAATCTTGAACCTTGCTATCAGTGACTGGAGTTCTTACAACGAGAAATCAAACTGACCTACCTCCATTGTACAAGTAGGTGACTACCCATTGAAAGAGTTTGGGATCTGTCTCCGCGAGTTCAAGCGAATTCGCTGTGGCTTCCTGGTGAAGTTACTGTTAGACGACTATTTTTTTTATTAAAAAAAAAGTCAAGAGCTGTGTGACAAGACGTTCACTAGACACCTTAAAGTCGCCTCGAAAGGCTTTCTCGAAGAACTGTGGTCTTGGGCATATGATTGTTCGATGCAACTTCCACTCCCTTCCATGACAGGTGATGGTCACATCTGAGAGTTCGCCTTAGGAGAGTAACCTTCCCAAGTCATTCTAGGCAAACTGATTTTCATGATGGACAAACGAAGCTCGGGGTACTGACTTTTCATTTTGGGCAAGGAATTTTCTGCTGCGAGCCAGTCGCCCCGCGCTCTGCATGTTGGACTGCCCGTAACTTTTATATGAAGTGATCTCGGTGTATATTGTGATAGACTAGCTGAATACATAACAAGAGTTCTAAGTTGTTTTACGTTGCTTGCATGCCTTGCATGCCTTGCTCGATTGGCGCCTGACATGTCGTTGAGCCAATCGCGATAGTACAAGACAAAAGCCAAACATGCACTTCCCCCTCCTTGTGAAAATCGCCATGACCTGACATACTTCTTGCTTGCAGAGCCTTGCTCAACAGGAGGATCCCGAGGTAGACTATCGCTCCAGGCCTATAAGCTATTTCTCTTCAATTGTTGGTCTGGGATGCCCTAACAAAATGACAATGTACGCTTATACCACATCTTGTATGACTGGCCAGGGTTTTCTGTGTATATACGATTAAATTTGTTCCTTTTGATCTCTCTTCTTGTTCTTGACTTTTTCTGCAACCTCCAGCGATTGAGGTGGGTATTTTGAAGTCTACAAAGTCCGGGTAAACGTTATGACGTTGAACCAGCGTCCTGACAAATTACAAAATGCTGTCCCCGCATCTGAAGGGACTTGGAGGGAGATAGCGGACATCTCCGCGTATAAGCCATCCAGCAACTCTCATCGTGAACAGACGGCTTGTAAACCGTAACCCAATGTTTCGGTCAACTCAAAGGCTTTTTGCTCTTTCTCGGACTATAAATCCAGCAACCATGGCGACAATGCGCGCTGTACTCTTTGACAAGACTGGAGGCCCGGAAGTACTCCATGTCGCCGAAGTTCCAAAGCCGGTCCCGACACCGGACCAGGCCCTGGTTAAGATGGAATGGGCAGGCGTCAACTTCATTGACACTTACCACCGGACTGGCCTGTATCCCATCAAGTTGCCTTTCATAACCGGCCGGGATGGTGCCGGTGTTGTCGAAGCCCTGGGTTCTGATGTCTCGCCAGATTCGGGCATCAAGGTTGGAGATCGGGTTGCCATCTATGACTCAAGCACCGTGGCCCAGTATCTCGCAACTAAGGCCTCTCGTCTTCTGAAGCTGCCAGAGGGCGTGGACACTCGGGCCGGTGCTGCCCTCATGGCTCAGGGTCTCACGGCGTGGACTCTCGTTCGTGATGCCCACGAGGTCAAGCCTGGAGAGGTGATTCTGGTTCACGCCGCAGCGGGGGGGACCGGCGGCTTGTTGGTACAGATGTGCAAGTCGCTCGGGGCGACTGTCATTGGAACGGCGTCTTCTCCGGAGAAGATCGAGATTGCGAAGCAGCATGGCTGTGACCATGTCATCAACTACTCCGAGAAGAACACGCTGGAGGAGGTGATGAAACTTACAGACGGCAAGGGCTGCCATGCGGTCTTCTCCGGCATTGGTCAGGCAACTTTCAAAGACGATCTGGAGTGTGTTCGAAGGAAGGGTTCCATGGTCACGTTCGGCAACGCGTCAGGAGCGGTTGAAGGATTCCGACCGCTTGAGCTGGGCAAGAAGAACGTCAAGCTGCTTCGGCCCAGGCTAGATGCGTATATCGTGGATCAAGAGGAATTTGATCAACGTAGCAAGGAGCTGTCAGAGTTGATCGCCAGCGGAGCTGTGAAGCTCACATACGGAAACGAGTATTCCATGGAAGAAGTTGGTCAAGCCCACATAGATTTGACAAGCAGAAAGACTACGGGCAAACTTTTGATCAAGATTGCGTAATTGTATATTAAACTATCCCACGTATAATATAACAAACATGGAACGCAACAGGCCACCATCTCCTCAAGTCAAAGCATACAAATTTGCAAATGGTGAAAAAGCTACCTACAGCACTTACCTAGGTAGCTGATTCATATGATCTAAGGAATTTCTCTTTGATTCAGCTTGTTCGTAAAATTTACAGCTTAGAACAGTCCCTATCGAGTGATTCCTCACGGCATTGAGCCAGAATCCTGCATTCTCAAAGAGGTTGAAGTAAACCTATAGAGTAGTGGCCTACTGAGTCATTTCTCAGTGATTATTTCATTTAAGTGTGCCTTTTCCCACCTTGTATAGCTCAGAAGTGCATAGAACAGCGCCTGTGATGCAATGGTCTTATCAATGACAAGCCTCGTGCAGGACTGAGCACTAGTGAGCTTCAGGTCATAGATGCTTTGTGAAAGCCATCTGGGTCTACTGTACTGCTCTACTGGAATAGCTGGTTCTTCCAGTGCTTTCCTTGTTCTTTCCAGTCTTGGAAGTGGCCCAATCACTTAGATGGGGAATAGGGGCATGGAACAGTCCGGTTCGTGAGACTAGCCCTCACCACATTATCTCTTCTTTCCTTCTTTCCCTCTGAAAAGTTCTGGTACTTAAATTCACTGCCTTTCTTTCCTCTTCCTTTTATGTCAACTTTGTTTCCCTCCCCTTCCCTTTGAGTCCAATATCATATAGGCTGGTCTCTTCCACCCGAGCCTGCCCTGATTGAACTACCTATGGCAGTTTGAGATCAGCATCGACCGATTGGGAACGTTTATTACTCTAATTCTGGAGCCTATCTTCTATACTGAGCGTTTATTCCGTTTATTCGGGACTTTTGGGCAATATCTTCTTACGATGGCAGACTCTTCTTCCTCCAGCGCTCCAGACTCGCCGCGGCGTATGCTTCTCTGGAGCCCCATGAGCCTGCCGCCTCGGCTTTATGGTAAGAGATACTTGAACATCTCGTGGCAATACTATGCCAAGTCGCCGAGCTCTTACTTACTCGATATTCACGGCTAGGGACGCCCAGATTCGCATCAATCTGGGCAGAAACTCCTCGCAGTCTGCCACTACTTCCGGAGAGCATGACTTGGGGACATCCGTCTCCCGCCCTTAGTCGACCCGATCCTGATATGGAAGGCGGAAACTTCACCTACCAGAATATGGAGTTCGGAAACGAGCATCTTGCTGCTTTGACTGCAACCGGTACGTCCTTCTCCGTTCGCAATTTTCCCCTTGATGGCAAGCGTGAAGTGTGTGATCATTTCGGACTGAACTGCCTGAGATATTGAGACGATTGTGACGATGATGTGACTGACTTTTTTCAGAACTTGCCAGACTGCGGTCTGATGCTGCTCCGACTTGGACTATTGAGGTGAGCGTTCAACACCATAGCGTTACAGTTTCAACACCTGGAAGCTCATCCAAATTAAAAATTCATGAAAGCGCTCGATTATTGACTAATTGATTGAATACCACAGATACCTGGCTGGGATCGCCGTGTGCGGCGCAAAGACTCCTGGTATGATGAGGACTTCTTCATGCCCAAGTCGGAGAATGAACAGGTATGTTATAATTCTTGGTCCAGAGCCTCATGTATAAACGAAAAGGATAGAATTCGACAATAATGGGATAGAGTGACTAACATCAAATAGCAAGGACCTACTCTATCACATCAGACAGCAACAGCAGATGGTGACGTTGAGACTGATGAGAATCCTGCTGGACCTGCAACGCTACAGGGACAAACCCCGGAGGATATGACCGATGAACGCAGAGCACTTCGCACAGAGTCTCCGGACCCGGGTATGACGATTCACGATGTGCATATTCCTCTAGCTCCGGAGAACCAGCATATTGGTCCGGCCTATACTTGGCTCCCGCAGGTCCTTCCCAACACCGAGCACATGACAGCTCACGAAACAAAAGTAGAAACTGACCAACTTGGTTCGAGCTTAGTTCACACCGGCCTACTTACCGAGTTGGACTCACACCCCACTGATGAGCTTCCTGACTTCATTCTTTCCTCTCCAAGCCCCTCCCAAAATCCCGCGACCTCGAATACCGCAGTTCTCACGATGAACTCACCTTCGAAATCGGTCTCAGGGGATCCCGCTGCGGACCGGCCCACCTCATCGCTTCGTGCTACTGCTCCCATCTTCTCACCTACTGAGCTGGGAGCTTGGCCGAACAGCCCATCCAGCTTCTCACCAACCCCAATCCTTTCCGCGAGCACAATTGTTGTCCCTCCAATGAGCCCTGTGGCCTCTCATGCCTCAACCCAGCGCTTCGTTCCAAATGTTCCTGGCCCGTCCAATACCATGGCTGTTACCATGCCGCACTCCTCAAACAGCGGAACTCAGTGGGAGGATACACCAGCCACGACCAAGATTTCCTGGCCCACTGGACAACCTGGATATACTTTGGACGATCAACTGCAAACCATCGAGGGCGAGACGGCCAGAGCCGTGATGGTGCAGAGCTCTTCGGGCTACAGCGTAGGCGACTCTGAGGTGGAGGACATCCGGTCATCCACCGAAGTCTCCATCGATCCCAGCCCCTATTCCCTGACGTCTTACCAATCGACCCGCCCTATGCCTACCCCTGAGCAAGGTTTGGAGAAGGCAGGCTACGGTGGGATGATGTATCGCGGCCTTGGCATCTCTCCGTCGGGCAACTTCAACAACGACTTCGCAAGAACTCCGCCCACTGCTCCGCGGGCTATGCTTCAACAACGAAACATTGTGCATCCATCTGCATCATGGACCAATTCCAAGACCTGGGTTAGCGAAGAGGCGCGGAAGCGACAAGAGTTCGCCCGCATGCAGGAGAGGGCCCGACACATGGGAACAGACAGGGCGCCGCTCATGCCACAGACTTTCGAACAATTTTTGCTTTTTGAAGTCCGGGAGCAGGAGGCCAAGATACAGGAAATGCGAAACAAGATCAAGGCTAAGGAGGAGACGGCCACTGAGAAGCACCACGGTAAGGAACACGGTCAAACCCTCCAGCCAATGCACCAGATGGAGGCGCAGGCGTTCGGGAACGATACCCGAGCTGGAGTGCCTGCGATCCTGGGCCCCCCAAACAGCCTCAATCCGAATGACCTTCGTGCTCAGTATGAGACCGAGTGGCCATCTCTCCCTCAGCTCAAGGTCGAGGGCGATCTCCGCATCCAGCGTGGTTTTCCGAACCGTCGCTTGCCTGCTCCCGGCTTCAATCCAGTCAATTCCATAATGGCTCACAGAAACCAGGGGCTCACAGCTTCCAACGAGGAAGACTTCATCCCAGACCAGCTTCCACCGGCTGCTGGTATTCGATGGGACCGGACCCGCACTGCTGCGCATGAACGTACTGAGTCTCAGGAGATCGACTTCGATGAGTCTCAGCAACCGAGCCAGAGCTTGATCCGTAGAATTGGCGATTGGGTCAATGAGATAGACCCCGAGGAGCAAGTCTAGACTCGCATTTAGGGGAATGGGGAGGAGTTCTTTCAATACAGGCGACGTTTGGAGAACACGTTGGGTTATGCACATTAGGGACAGGTTATAGCGAAAAACATGATTTCACGAAGCTGGTCAGGGGAAATACGGTCAGATCTCTGGGTATTAAGCTGGGTAGCAGCAGTTGCTCTATATTGAGAGGCAAGAATACAATTCGTACCTAGGTACTCAGGTATCTTCAAGGTGTTCCGGGTCCTTCAATGTGAAGCTTGAAAATGCCACTAGAGGAGGTCTAATTCGAGGTTGGCGGAAAAGGGGCGCTAGTCCCTCGATGAGATGCGACGTGATTAAACACGTGACTGAGGCCACGCTAGTTTAGCGTGAAAATTCTAGGGCATCTTCCAGCCCACCAAAAACTTTCATGCGGCTCGTTCTTTCCCATTTGACGATCCGTAACCGACGAAAACCTCAACGATTGCTCTGGTGACCACATAACTCATCAGGTATGTCTCCCCACGGGATGCCGGCTGCTCAATTCACTCTCGGGATGATGGACACGGATACCTGGCGATCTTGACACTCCCATCGAGAAGTGACTGGCAGCTCTCATCCCCGCTCCTCAATCTCGAAAGGGACATGCCTTTTGGCTAACCACCATCTTGCTGCATCACAGAAACCGCAATCATGGGTATCTCACGAGACTCGCGCCACAAGCGCTCGGCATCCGGTGCCAAGCGTGCCTACTACAGTGCGTTACCCTCCTTGACATGAAAAAATATTATATCGAAAGCCCGTATCGCTTTCTCGGGAGGGGGAGGAGCCGTACACGGGCTTCTCTTCCTCTGCAAGAAACATACGTTCTGACCTCTGCCAACAGGGAAGAAGCGCGCTTTCGAGGCCGGCCGCCAGCCCGCCAACACCCGCATCGGCGCCAAGCGCATCCACGTCGTCCGCACCCGCGGCGGCAACCACAAGTACCGGGCCCTGCGCCTGGACAGCGGCAACTTCGCCTGGGCCTCGGAAGGCATCACCCGCAAGACGCGTGTCATCGTCGTCGCCTACCACCCGTCCAACAACGAGCTGGTCCGCACAAACACCCTGACCAAGTCCGCCGTCATCCAGATCGACGCCGCCCCCTTCCGTCAGTGGTACGAGGCCCACTACGGCCAGTCGCTCGGCCGCAGACGCCAGCAGAAGCAGGGCAAGGAGGCCGCCGAGGAGGTCAAGAAGAGCAAGTCCGTCGAGAAGAAGCAGGCCGAGCGCTTCGCCGCCCAGGGCAAGGTCGAGGCCGCCCTGGAGAAGCAGTTCGAGGCCGGTCGCCTGTACGCCGTCGTCTCCAGCAGACCTGGCCAGTCCGGCCGTGTCGACGGTTACATCCTGGAGGGTGAGGAGCTCGCTTTCTACCAGCGTAAGCTCCACAAATAGAGGAAGGATGGTGTAGGTGCCGGATAGCAGAGAGCTTCCGGCTTTTGGACTTTTGTGTGTTCACTGGAACAGCCAGCATTCTGGTAGCTTGGCTGTATGCAGGGGCGAACTACCGGTACATTTGCTCTTCATCGCATAGGGACACGGGGTTACGGAACAATGAAAAGAAAGCCATAAGACAATTTCGCTCCCAGTTTTGCTTCGTGATTACCTGTCTTGGCCCATCTGTGACTGCTATCTCATGCTAATGTCAGTGACTGAGTTTCTAGACTTGAAGAAAGCTTTGCGTGACTGGTGGATCATGGTGGATCATGGTGAGGCTCGCTCATCTTGTAATTCAAACACTATGGATATCATATGACATGCCTAGACATATAGATTTGAGAATCTTCTGTTGGCGGTATAAACCGCCAGCCTTGCTCGACCATCCCGCCTCTCAGCGCAAATGTTCTCCTTCGCCTTACATACTCCTCTCATGCCCACCTCAGGGAAAACGCTTAGAACGTTTAACCGCAATGAACAATTGTTGAAGTCAACGGAGAACAAATCGAGCTGTTCTTCTCGCTTCTTGCTTTATACATGAAATGAACTAATGGAAGCTGCGCCTGACTAATGGAGTATCGTTATCCTTTGCAGATCTTTTCCCATGGTCTTCGTAAAACGCCGGTCTTTGTGCGTAAGATGAAATGTTACAGTAGCATGATATATGCGCTTGCCCCATTAATCTGCCATTTGCCGCTTGAGGTCTGTCCATCTTCGCGTAAGAGTCTCGTATTGCGAATTCACCTTTTCAAACCGTTAGTGGTGATTGATGAAATGAGCAAAACAGACTTACCTCGGCGTATCGCATCTTGGTCTGCACTAGCTCTTCCTCAAGCTCAGAGAGCTCCTTTTCCAGACGCTGGTTCTCCTCGTGGACATTTTGATTCCTCTTCATGAGATTGTCTCGCTCCAGATTCCAGGTCTCTTCAATCTCCTGAGGTTGCTTTTCAATCACCAGTCTCAGCTCACGCACTTGTCCTTTGAGGCTTTCATTCTCGTCCTTGAGCTCCTCATTTTGGACTTTTGTGTGAACTAATTCCGTTGCCAAATCTGCTTGTTCGCGATCTACAGCCTCCAACCGCTCCTCGAGTTTCCGCACCTTGTTTGTTAATTTGATGTTCGAGGTTCGCAGGTTTTCGAGCTCCAGTTCGCGCTCCTTCTCAGCCCTTGTCTTTTCCTCCCACTCTGACTTGTAGAACTTCAGGACTTCAGGGGTAATCTTGACCTCGCACGCGTCGTGTATGAGCTGGTCAGCACGATACACCTCCTTGTCCATCGCCGAGGAGCTGCTGCCAAAGAACCCGTTTTCTAATATGCTGCCAGCATTGGGTGCAGCATCAATGTAGACGTCAAACAGCCGGTCCTTGAGGAAAGTGGTTAATTGTGACATATCTGACATGCCGAGCAGAGTAGCGGCATTCTTTTGCATGAGAACGATGCCAAATTTGAGAATGGCTGACAAGCCCTCAGACAAAATCAGGTCGTAGATTCGGAGTACTAGCTGTAGGGGGAAACGGTAGGCGAAGAGAGTAAGGAACCATTGTGTTGCATATAGGTGTGGGGAGATGCCTCTCCTCCGAAGATGGCAATAGAGTGCGGGCTCAAGATCCTCCAGCAGGCGCTCAAACTGGTAAAGGTGCATGTGTAGCCCTGGCATGTCCTGGATGAAGAGATCTCGGAGATGGTAGTGGTTCATGAGTCGTACCAGCAGGCAGAAAGCCTCTTCCTCTGGCATCTAAATTCCAGCCGTGTCAGTCAAGGATTGCATGACAGTGGAACAACCTATGTTTACTCACGTTAAACAAGATTGGCATGACTAGGAAATTCATGCCCTGTGCATATCCCACGCCTTCGTCAAACAGGGCATAAGCCTTGCAGACACCAAAAAGGCCATCTTGGAGCCCTTGAGCGGCTGCGAATTTCGAGTAGCTTGTGCGTGTGCCCAGGTCCCGACGAATAGTCTTCTCCAGTTTCTGCAACATCGCAGCATCTTCCTTCTCCTTCTTTTTTCTGTCTGCAACGGCCGCAGCTTGAGCTTTCATGAGAGCTTCTGGGTCTTTTTCTGAAGGTGATGGAGCACCGTTCACAGCGGATTGGTCCGAGTGTACAGAGGATGCAGATGATACAGGCTCCTTATGTATGCTCAGGTTGCCATTGCTGCTTGCACTGAGGGAGCTGTTGCTTTGCCTGTCCTTGTCCTTATCTGTGCCCCTGGCCACGAGCTCTCTGTAGACGACCTCCAGTTCCTCATTCTTGCTTTGGGCAAGAACTTGCCAGATGACTCCGCGAATAGCGCTTGGGATGCCGGTAGCAATTGCTCTGTTCAGCTCCTCAGAGCTGGTCTTTGCAACTGCCGCTGGTCCCTCGTATACAACCGATTGCCAGAGATCCCAGTCGACCGGGATGTCTGAGAAAGTGGACGGGCCAGCGTTGACCCCTGACGCTGTACCCGGGGCCAAACTAGGGTTCGGGCTCGTAGGAATTGGTGATGTGGGCGGTTGGATACCCAGGCTGTTCTCTTTTTCATCAATTGTCGGGCTGAGAAGACCCAGTCCCGTGGACGACCTCCCGATGAGGGCTGCTACAGCGCCACCACCTGTCTTGTCCTCCTCTCCAGGGATTGCTGAGATGCCTGCCTCCTCTCGCATTCGCATGAGCTTGAATCGGTCTTTCAGACTATTCCTATGTGTCCCATTAATCCCGTTGGTCTGACCCTCTTCTTCAAGCTTGCTCAGCATCATTTCTGGATTGCTAGTCAGGGTGGCGACGGAGCTGGCTGTGTTTCTCCTTGGGGAGACGGCGGGCGGTGATGTCGATGTGGTGTCCTTGGCGGAATTTCTGGATAGCCAAGAGAAAGGACTTGTGAGTTTGCGTGGAGGCGGCCGTTCGGCAGGCGGAGGATATGAAACGGGAGGACTGGGAGCTGCGAGGGGGTTCTTGTGAGGTGAGTCGCCGGCGGGAGGAGACCATGGCATCGCGGGGAGGGCACTTGTTATGCTGCTAAGAGACAAAGTCTTTGACGCTTCCTTGGTGATCGGGCTGCTCTTGTCCTCGTCTCCTATCTCCGAATTAGTATGCGAATGAGCCGATCGAGTTGTGTTCGATGACCAACCTTGGGAGTCGGTAGTAGTCGCATCATCGTCGAGATTGACGTTATCTAGGTCGCCGTTTGAATTCTGTGATATGCGGTGGGCCGAGAGCGCAGAGGATTTCCTGTCATTTTCCTTTTCTCCATCAGACTTTTCCTCCTTGGTCGACTCCTTGGAGAGTTTCTGATGCTCCTCGTCCAGTTCGGCGCTGTCCCGCTCCTGGGCTCGTTTCGTAACGGACGGAGTTCTCCTGGTCAGCGATCGCACGGACGCTGTGTCTTGAGCGTCCTCAAATGTTTCCTGTTCCATTGTGATCGTGGTCAGCATGTTGAGCCCGCGAATTGGCCAGGCTCGTCGCCTCGCAGCAGAGCAGAACCGGGTAGGCAGTGTGAGTTGCGCCTGCTGTGTCTTGTCTACATGCAAGCCGTGTTTGTGTCGTGGAAAGGTGGCGTAGATGCTGGCGGCAGCGCGCAGGCAAGTGGGCGTACCCACGCGAGCCACGACAGAGAGTACAGGAAGGGATCAGGGAGTGGCAGCGAAAAAAAAAGAGGGTGTGATGCCATGGCATGTAGGGTATGGAGAAATGCGTACCGTTTCCTTATCCGAATTCCCGGGCGATGACGCCCTTGTCTCATTCTCTCCAGACGAGACCGCAACTGGGGTCTCGTGTTCCGACATGTTGGCTTGCTGGAATGCAATTCAGGCCGCCTGGTAGTTCGGATTGGGCCGAGGGGGGCGGCGCTCGCTGGCGGTGAACGGTCAACGTGGACTAGACAGGAGATGTGAGGCGAGGGCAGGCTGGGCAGGATCTCGAAAGCTGTTCACAGCTGCAATGGCGCGCACGCTTTCCCCATCAATGTCTCTCGCTAAAGGACGACGATCTGGAGCCTGAGCTGGAATTTTGCCGATTCGATTGATAATCCGATTGTAGTGAGTGCTGTTCGGTGGTCTGATCCGAAGCAAGCAAGCAAGGAGTTTGTCTGTCTGTCTGTCTGGTGAGCCTGTCAATCACCAGTTTAGGTTTGTCGTTTGTGCTGTCGTTGTAGTCGACGTCTTGTTGGACGGTGGACGGTGGATGGTGGTGGTTCTACTATGCAGCTGCTTGGTGGGATTTTTGGTCAGTCAACGTTGCCTTGCTGCTCTCCTTTTGCGGGTGCCTACGTAGAGTGCCTAATACATTTGGATGTACCTATAAGTACTGGTAGGGCGAGATAGGAAGGCTCATGGAGAGAGTGCTAAGGCACAGTACATCATAACACCAAAGAAACTACGAGCCCAAGTACAGTACATGCTTTCCTTGATGAGTGCCAGCTTTGAAGTCCCTATGCAGTTGCGTACAGCTCCTTCTTCCTTAACAAAAATCTCAAGTAGATTGCCGCGCCGGCGGGCGCGCAGGGGCCGTTCCCAGTCACCAAGCTACCTAAGTAGCTAGCGAGCTAATGGAGCGACATGCCTACCGTTAAATGCAGGGATCTGGGGGGCATACAAGGGGGCTTCGTTCACCATTGCACAGCGCAGAAAGCAAATTAATTCAGAGCCTCCCACCAGCAGGCCAATTTCTGGCCGTCCTTGCCGTCTCCTTTTTTCCTGGATTCCATGTCTTACTCATTAGTTACTGCGTGGGTACGTGCGTACGTACAAGAGTGGAACAAGGAGCAGAACGAAAAAACGACTTCGTGCTTTCCTCGAGCGAGTGACTTGGTTCTTTGACTCTTTATCTTGTTGTGCCAGACTCGACCAACGTATACCTACTCAAGATAGTGACACTTGATTACGTACGACGACCCTAACGTCGCCTGCTGGAGGTGCTAACGTTAAGGATAAGGGGGGTGGTCTTTGGTCTTTAGCACCAAAATAGCCCCTGCCATGCCACGCCATGCCATGCCATGCAAACCCAGCCCCGGGCCAGTCGCCGCTCGCTTGGTCTCAATCGTCAAACAGCCGCACTGCCTTAGCCGAGACTACTTGGCCTGTGAGCTCCACGTCGAAACGAAACGAATCACCGCCTAGGGCACACTAACGCAAGGTACCAGACCCGCCTCTGGCTCTTCATACCTGATACTTGCCATACCTCACAGCAGGTACCTGAGAATATCCGCCATGCTACTCAACGTATAAGAAAACCATCTACGGCAGGCGAGGTTGCGGTCAATTGACAGTGTGCGCCTTTGTAGCTGTGCATATTCGCAGTCAGAGGGTGATCGTTTTGACTGAATATGCCGGAGGTGCTTTGAAACCGGATGTTATGGTAGATTGCTGTGGCTGACGGCGGCGCTGTATCAGGGACTTGTATTTTATATTGAGCAAATATCATCTGCATATGACATTATGCCCTCAGATCCAGTCATTGGCTACATCCCTGAGTCTTGCAGCTTTCATCAGAAGCTGATCTTCAGAGCCGACACCCAGCCGATTCAGTACAACTAGCGCAAAGTCTACAACTTCTCTGATGGAATCGAGATATCCCAGGCGAAGCATATGCCCACAGCCGTCGAGAAGCAGGACAGCAAGCTCGAGGCTAGGCTGAATGAACTCGTCCAGGCATGAACAAGACCTCGCAAATTGAACAATGTAATCAACCAGTGGTTCGGACTTGGCCAGCTCTTCTCTTGCTGGAACCCTCAAAGCGTCTTTTTCGGGAACACGTGCGCGGAGTAACGAGAAAGCGCTGTTGAAGGCAGTAGTGGCAGCATCTGCGTCTTGCTTTAAACCTTCCAGAATGAAGCGCTGAACGATTCTATGTATGCTGAGGGAGTTCAAGTTTGCATCGATTTGAACCAGGCTGCTCTCCGTGAGCTCAGCCACGACATCGCGAAGCCTTGAAGGTCTTGTCAGTGCTGCCAACTTGAGATGAGCAGAGTAACTTACTCTGAGGCATCTCCATCGATCTTGAGATAATCCTGAGTGAAATGGTCAGGAGAGCATAGTAGGGCTACCAGATGAAGTAGAGCGGTTGCCTCGCCGGAGAGTGCTGCCATGGATACAGTGAAAAGCTCTTCTACTGTTCTGTGATACTGAGTTAGATGTCGTGATGGCTCAGAAAGATTTCGATCGTTTGTCTGGTAGAGCTCCCAAGCTTCCTGGAAGGTGATTTTTCTGCGGGCCATAGCACCAGCAATCTGAGCAATCGCGAGGGGATACCCTCCTAATTGAGCAGCAATTAGCTCTACAGACTTTGTCTCTTCCCCTGATAAGTCGGATATTCGGCGTTTGTCGTCGGAAGCAACGAGAAGGAGCTGTTTGGCTTCAGCCGCGGTGAGCGGCGATACATGAAATCCAGAAGATGCAATGTATGACACCGATGGATTCCGTGAGGTTATGAGAACAGATCCCCGTGCTTTTGCTCGTGCCGGGATGAGATCGTGAAAATATTCACCATTGCTGCCGTTGTCGAAGTCGTCGATAATAATTAGCCATGATGATTCTACACATCAGAGGCTGAATTAGGCGTCCGTGCCCCCGAATACAAGGCCCAAGAGTATTAAACTTGCCTGATGTTTCGAGCCAGAGGCTTATATCATGAATAGCCGAAGCTGGCGAGGTACCTAACCCGATGTCTTTACTTACGGCAGAGCATGACATGCTCAAGGAAGTTTTTGTCTCGCCGCGAAGCCAAAGGATTGTTTGATAGTCTTTCTCGTGTCGATAAATATACTCGAGAGCAATTTGTGTTTTGCCGATCCCGCCCATACCAATAAGGCCAATAATCTGAATGCTGTTCCGTTCTTCAGTCTGATAGAGATATGAATGAAGTTGGGTGAGTATGTCTTCCCTTCCCCAAAAACGAGGATTTCTGGAGATAGGTACACTTATTTTTCGGCTGTTAGAAGATAGAAGACGCGAATCTAGTTCGAGGTCCCCGTGTTGGATGATTTCAAGCGGATTACGCTCTTCTGTGTCAAGCATGCGCTTCGATAGACCGGTGTGTCTTGGTTCTTCGACCGAGGCACTTAGAGCAGAGGTTGCAGCTCTCCTGTAGACGCTTGATGACAAAAGAATCTCATTGAAGGCAAATTCAACAGTAGCCACACTTGGGGGTTCATCGAGCGTGAGGCTTTTGAGGCTTCGAGAGCTTGAAGACGTGGACTGTATTTCTTTCTGAACCTTAGCAATCGTGTTTTGAATCTGAGTTAGAGGCCTGAGAGACTCAATTAGTGAACGATTCAATTTGATTTACACTACCACAAAGAGGAGTGGAGAGAATGTTAGAGACGAAACAGAATGTGCTCACAATTGCGTAGCATCTAGAAGTAAATGGAGCGCGGCACCCATGTTGTGAAGCTCCTGGAGATGCTCTTTCATTACATCATCGCGCCAAACGACCTTTAATCTCTGTATGAATCGGAGAGAATCTGAGTTCATGGTACCCACAGTTGCATCAATGTCTCTTTTGAGATCTTGAAGCTCTTCTGTGTAGTTAAGTATTGTCTCATGGAGAGCCGCCAACTCGGGGGCTGCGGCTGGTAACTCGCTCAAAGTAGTCTCAACCCACCGCTGTATCTTGCGGAGCGCAACCTCCACAACTTTGCAATGATGTCTGATGCCCCTGATAGTTCGCCCTGCTCGGTTGTGTTGATCATTGAATTTGCTCAGAGTCTGACCAACGGAGACACAGAGCCCAGCAAGCTGTGCGGCAGCGGCGGCAAGACCAACAGCAGACACTGGGTCCATGACACCTAATCCTTAGATTTTTGGGGTAATGTGGGCTGAGAAATGCTTGTCGAAGTCCAAGCAGAGCATCTTAGAGAGTTGAGGGAAACCGACCTATTGCAACATATGAGTGATAGCTGGCCGTAATGATAAGATTAAAAGACAAGTACAAAACCCCATGGACATCGTTGTTATCGAAAACTTAACCAAGAATGCCTACCCGGAGTGCCTAACCTGGAGCCTCTTCAAAAAGAGCAGATGCTGTAAGGCTGCCTCAAAAGACCAGGCGAAGCTGCAGTACAGTGGTGAGCAGTGGCAACAGATTGGGGGCTGTGGCTGTCGCCTGACCTAAGTCGTGGAGTGGCATGTCGTAGAGACAGAACATTCAATGCGTGAAGAAACTAATCCAAACCTCTCGTTTCTAAACGAGTGACTGCGTATTACAGATCGAGTCACATTCATCTTCTGGAGTATGTATCATGGATAACACAGCTGAATATTAAGCTACAGAGCTCCCTCTCATTATCCAGTGGCCTGGTCCCAAAAAGTCTATCTCTTAATAGATTCCATTGCTCACAAAGTCACACACGCAGGGAAGAAGGTAAAACGCAATGCCGAGTCTATTGATTTGCCGTCATCTTGTCGGCCTTGAGAATTAATCTACATGTACGACTGTTCCTTCTCGACTAGACTCTCCCGCCTAAAGTTCGGTTTCAACGGCCTGCACTCCATTTCTACCGCCCTCAGGTCAGGTGTCTGCCACAGAGCAGTGGTACTGTGACGGCGAAAGCAAAAAATATAAAGGCTAATGATCTCGTTCCTTCTTAACCGCAGCCGCTCTGGTCTGGCTGGAAATGCCCTTTCGGAAAAAGGAAAAGATTCACACTACACTTACAAAAAATGGGGCACTTTATGCTACCCATGATTCCATGATGCTGCCGTCTCAACACCGAGGACCAACCGCCATGCCATGCAATTGCAATTGCGGAAATCGTGACTGTCGTGACCGATCTTCGGTGCAATTTATGCGAATCCGAAGTAATCACTTCCGGCCGTAATGGCCTTCATAAGCTGAGCACGGAGAATATCGTAACTCTCGTACTCAGGAAGATCAAGTTCTGAATGGCCGGTTAGCTTCTGATTCCCGTCTGTGCTGAAGGAGAGAGTGAGGTGGAGACTTACGATTAAAGCAAGTATGAGAGCTGGGCAAGCGGTCCTTGTTGCCATAATCACGATGGATATTGAATCGGTTCACGCCATTCATTCCCTCCAACTCTTTGAAGCCGTTCAGAGGTACCTTGCTTGTTCCAGTGACGAACTGAAGTAATTTGGCACGCTCTTCCTTGTCAAACGAGCGAACCGCACGCCAGAACCACTGGATCTGTTGAGACGCTGCTGTATAATTGTGGTACTCAGCGTTGCTCTTCCAGTCATCAACATCAATGTCGGGAAGACCAGAGATCAGCAGCTCGAGCTCCTGCTCATTGAAAATTGCAATGAGTTCGGAGGGTATGATGTCATGGAAACCTAAGAGATAAATATTAGCCATGTCTTGAACCTCGTACAAGGCTCTAGGACTTACCCTTCAAGAAGTTCTCCATCTGATCCTTCACCGATGACAGAAGCTTATGGTCGACAACGAGTCGGACATACTCGTGCTTGTTCTCCTCTGTGACGGGTATATTGCGACCGTTCTCACATAGGTCAACGATCTTAGTAACACCGAACTCGTCATCTTCGACAGAGAAGGTTTCCGTGATGATATCGGTAATGTCGTTCTCCAGCATCCAGACAAGAGATTTGTAGTAATCTGGATCGAAGGACTCCATGTCTTTCACAGACACTTGCTTGCCCAGGATGCGTTTGTAGACTGCGCGGCTGAAGTAACAGTCCAGAACACGTCCTTCGTAGAGGGCTTTGCCAATGATGCGGCCGATGAACTTAAAGAACATCAGATGCTCATCGTTGATACCGCTGAGCTTGTTCGGGTGGAAAGTTGTACGATCTGATGAGACTGGAATAAAGAGAGCGTAGTTAGGGTCGAACATCTGCCTCGAAAGGACTTGGAACCATTCTCTCGTCACGCCACCGGCATCAACACCTTCCTCGCCATGGAAGCGGATATTGAGTTTGCCGAACTTCATCTCATCGCCGGACTTGAAGTAAAGCGACTTGAAGGAGTCATGGAAGACATGTTCACGACGAACCGACAGCTGCAATGGAGGGAACGATGGTCGCACTTGGTTGCCAGATTTGGAATGCACGCTGCGGTTGAAGTAATTGCGCTTATTGTCAAACTCCAGCACCTTCGGGTTCTTAACTAGGAGAGAGAACGTCCCGGACATGAGCTTAGGATTGTGTCGAACAAGCTCATTCAGAATGCGGCGATGATCCTCTGTGAATGTGAAGAAGAGACCAGCGATGCGATTCTCCGGAGGCGGACTAGAAAGCAGCATGTCTTTGCTCACTTGGCTCTGAGATTGCGGCGCATCGTTTAGTGTTGTGTTCTTGCACACTACCATGAGTGACTCGATCAGTGGAAGAAGGATTGTTGCGACATTGAGCATGTTCTCGCGCTGCCGAATAGCACTCAGGCACTGACTGAGTTTCTCCCACATCTTGCCGAAGGTCGCATTGTAGTACAATGACCCAAGCAGATCGGCTTTCTCGTTCTCTTTGCTTGACTCTGCTTGGTCGGCCTCATCTGTCTTCTTGCCTTTCGCCTCGAAAAGATGGTCTAGGGCGGTCAGGACACGAAGAAGTTTGTTTTGCTCTGAGGCACCAGGAGAGAACTTGGCGAGTGCAATACCCTGGATTTCTGTTCCGGACTCCGCCTTAAGAATGTGTGGTAAGAGCTCGTCAAGGTCAGAGACGATGTTCTGGCTGAGGACACGGGCTTGATGGACAAGCTCTTTGCCAAATATAGCCTTAGCGCCAGGAATGTTTGAGAGGTTCTTGATCGTCGAGATCGTGTTTTGAAATGTCTTCGAGCTGCATTCCCTTGCAACAAAAATCTTGATGACAAGCTTGAGGTTGTGTTCTGGAATGCTAGGAGGCTGTAGTTGGCGCGTCTTCTTCTGATCAGCTTCCTTAGTGTCCTGGTTCGAGCTCTCAGCTTCTACTGGAGCAGGAGCACTTGAAGTCTGATCTCCTGAGGGTGTGACAATTGGGACTGTATGACCAGTGGCTGATGCTTGCTCTGTGCTCGTGCCAGCATCGGGCGCTGTCGTGCTCACGCTTTGGCTTGTTTTGGCAGCCTTCTTTGCTTCCTCCTCGGCTTCTTTACGTCGTCGCTCAAGAGCCTGCAGCGGGAATGTGACCTTGTTCAGGAGGTCGGCAAGGTGCTGCATTACTGAAGAGCTCTCCATTACAAGATCTCGGTCGAGCAAGACAAGTAAAGAGTTGATGGCATACTTGTTCGCTTTAGAGTCTTTGCCCTTACCCTTGCGACTCATGGTGCGCTTAAGCGATGACCCAACTATTTCGTGCTCGGTCAAGAACAGCGATGGGATGTGAGGATTCTTAGCAGAGAGCTCCACTAATAAGTCGAGACACTGCTGGACAATGAGAAGAGGTGAGATTTCTGAGCTGCTGTGAATATGCATGCTCGAGCTGATATTCGTGTATGTCCGCTTCAGACTATTCGGTGTCTTGGGCTCTTTGTCTTTAGGCTGTCTAGCTTTAAGGGATAGTTGGCTGAAGCTTCGCTCGACGGCGTCCATATCTGTGCTTCCGTCTTGAAGAATCTGGAGAAGAGTACTAATTACCTCAAGACGATTCTGTCGGTTCTCACAGACATCGATGAAGACGTTGAAGAGGTAATTGCGAATGGACCCTTGTTGACTCACGAACATGAGGCGGAGTAGTGTCGCAACGCCAGCCTTGTCAAGCATCTGGACAACTGTACGGCGCTGCGGTTTGTTTTGTCTATCGTTGTCGAATCCAGATGTGGTCACAGCTGCTTGGCGGCCGACCTCTCGAGCTCGTGCCATACTCGGAGGCGGACGAACGCGCTCGGCCAGAGCGCGCGCTTGGGCAGCCATTTCAGGAGACAGCTGATCCATTAGGTCTTCGCCTTGCTCCATGAGAATTTGTTCTCGAAGGTCAGGAGGGAAGGTAAGCAGAATGCTTGCAGTATCCATCTCTTGAGAGGCAGCGGCTTGTCCGGTGACTGCGGCCTGCCGCTGTGCCTCGCGTTCGAGACGCCGACGCTCCTGGCGCTCCTGTTGGACAATCTCAAGTCGAAGTTCCTCGGGTAAAGCATCCAAGAACTCTTGGAAGACTTCTGTGTTCTCCCCTGTGGGCTCAGCTGCTGCCTCACGGGCTTGCGATCGTCGAGTAGTAAGAGTCTGGGCGATGACTTCTTCTCGGAACTCCTCAGGGAGGGCTGCAAGATAGTCTGGATCGATACCGAGCTCTGTAACATCGAATTCCTCACCTCTGATCATAGTCACGACGCGAGGGAGTTGAGCAGTAGAATCATCGGGATGTTCCTGTTCGATATTGTCGCCGGACTCGATGCCTTCCATAGCCTGCGAATCTGCATTTGCGGACACTTCCATGGCAGCCTCGTGGGATTGCTCCTCCGCGCGGGCGGCAGCCTCAGCGGCCTCAGCTGCTTCGCGTTCCTGTCTCTCGCGCTCTTCAGCTTCTTTCCGCTCTCGCTCCTGAGCCTCGGCTGCTTCTCGGGTTTCTCGTTCTTTGCGCAATGCCTCATCACGCTTCTTGCGTGCTTCTTCCTCTTTTCTTCGGCGTTCTGCCTCATGGGCCTTTGCCTTCTTCTCCTGCTCAACAGCAGCAGGAGTGAGCTTGGCAAGGATGACGTTGTACATTTTCCCAGCCTTCTCATGATGGTTGAGGCCAAAGATCATTCTGGCTTCCTCGTGCCATCGATCCACAGTTTGTTCTGCATTGAATGAGACCGCATGCTGAGGCTCCTGGTAGGCATCGCGTCGGCTCTCAGATCGCGGATCACGGCCATGGCCTGCTCCATTGATAGGAATGTTAAGTTCGCGAAGCTCTCCACGAGGGCCTTGCTGGGTGATCTGGAAGGATAAAGCATGACCTCTATGAGATATGTTGTAAGGTAAAGAAGCAACTAGATCGTTAATGAGCGCGATGGGGGAATCAAGGAGGCTACCACTGAGAAGACTGCCTGGGAAACCCAAGCGGACCATGTGGGAGGGATTGTTAGGTCGTGGGGATGAGTCTCGCCCAGGCATATTGTTACGACGAAGTAAGGGGTTCATGCCATCATCTGTATTATTAGAAGTTGGACCGTTGCGGTTTGATCGGAAGTAGCTTCGGAAGTCTGGTGTTGAATTAGTGCGATGATCAATGAGATGCTCCAGCAAGGCTGAAATGCGACCGAGTGAGCCTCTCAGGACGGAGAGGGCGTCTTCTGGTCGAGCGCTTAACAACGTACCACCTAATGGGTCCCGAGGTCCGCCGAGCATGAAAGGTGCAACAGGGAATGGGCTGCGCATCCCTCCATGTCGATGACGATGAGGGAATCCGGGTTCTACAACCAATGTGTCCCACCCAAGTCCAGCTGGCATGCTTGGAGGAGGGATATCATCACCTGCAAAAGTTCGTTAGAAGTGGCACCAAGAAGGTGAAGATGTACTACTTACGAGGATAGTCCTGGTCATAGATATACTCCTCATCATCAGCCTCGACATCTTCTTCATCTTCCTCATCTGAATATAGTTAGCCATGAAGCGAGGTTACCAGAATCATGTCATCGCATAACCTACCATCTTCTTCACCACCATCATCGATGTAAGGGTCCTGAAAGTTGGGCATTTCCTCGCCGTCATAGTCTTCATCGAGAGCGGCGCGGACGAGATTCAAGCGGCCAATGTCATCCCGCTCCAGACCATGGATCGCGGCCTCGTCAAGGCCTTGAGCTGCGACCTCATAGTCAAACTCGTCATCTTCGTCGTCCTCATCATCGTCTTCATCATCGGTCTCGCTCTCCCAACCAGACGCGCCGTCATCGTCAAGAGGATTGCCTTCATCATCGACGATTTCGATACGGTCCTCATCGTCATCCATGTCTTCCGAACCTTCATCATCCTCATCATCACTGCTTTCGTCGTCTTCATCATCTTCATCCATGTCTTCGTCTTCGCCCATGATGACTTCGACAACACCAGGATCGCCTGGAAGGCCTTCAATTTCGCCCATTTCCCCGAGCTCTTCATCATCATCGTCGCTAATATTCTCCTCGCCGTCTTCAGACATTTCTTCGCCGTAGTCCAGTTCATCATCGTAGCCATCATCGTACATTTCCTCATCTGTGAAAGTTAGTGCACATTCCAGATACAACGTAAATACGGGAGTCTGATCTCACCGTCTTCTGAATCTTCTGAGAAATCTTCATCTTCTCTCCCAGGCTCAAGCATGCCCAAGGTCGAGTTACGGTAAAGATCGGGTGTGTCCTCTCGATCATCTTCCATATCAGAGAGTGAAGACGCAGAAGCAATTTCCTCATCAACGCTGTCAAAGGGACCAGGAGGGAGAATGTTGGAGTGGCTGAGCTGAATACCTGTCTGGGTTAAGACTCGGAGAACACGAAGGATGTACTTGATGGTTCGCTTCACGCCGGGGAAGGTAAGATCGATATCTGCAATGGATGCTGTCAACGCGGAAAGGTAGCCTTTCTCATACATGAGACGCTTGAGCTGTAACTGGGAGCGGCTATTGCCAGATTCAGGAATTCGTGGATTGGCAGACTCCCTGTCCTTCTCACCAATCATGCCGCTCATAAGCTCGGCAAGGGACAACATCTTGGCGTACCTAACATCGAAGGGATCGTTGGGAGTTGAAGCCTCCCTATAGGCCTTGATGATAGTATCCAATACGAATTTGCGGACGAAGAGAAGATCAGGCTCATCATCGTAGGCGAAGCGCTCCCGATTGCGGTCTATTGGTTTTTCTGGCGTCTTGGTAACTAATGCCACGAGAACAAGCCGTGCTTGTTCTGAAGTTGCTGCTTTCTTCTTGGAGGCAATGCTGTCCATGGGCATGGTCAGACTGCTCATACAGAGCAAGTCGTTGAGAAGATAGTTGAGCACACTTGAGCGAGGCTTGACGGGAGTATTGGTGAGCATGGGCGCACTACGCTTGAAGTTGATGAACTCCATCTTGGTACGGTTGTAGCTTTGCAGCAATTCTGCAAGGCAATGCAACAAGAAGCAGCGATATACGAATATCGGGTGGTCTTCAGCTTTGAATGGAGGCTTGGATGCCTTCTTGTCTTTGCCATCGGCAGATTGTTCATCCTCTGTCGATGGCTCGCCGTTCCCTGGATTGACGGAGGGCTCGCCGCCGGTCTTTGTATCTTTTGTTGTTTGAGACGAATCTCTGTCATCAACATCTCGATAATTGAGCAGCTCGCAGAGAAGGAAATGGATCACACCGTCTGGATTCTCTACCGTAGGTCGCTTCGCTTCACTTAGTGCAGTCTTAGCCCCTTCAAGAATGTCTTTGTCGTTGATCTCAGTGGACGGCTTAACGTCATGTATTGTGAGATCCTCCGTAGCTTGGACTGCAGGTTCAACAGACTCATCCGTGGGTAGCGATATGGAAGACGCATCTGGAAGTTGCTCCTTCAACATCAGGGTTAGCCCACGCGAACTTGTCCCGTCGCTCGATGGGTTGATCCAGCGTGAGAATTGGACCATCTCGTGGGTGACCTCGACAAAGAGCTCGGGTGAACGCAATACGACGTGGGAAAGATGCCGGAGGTAGTGGTGGAGATCTGTAGAACGCGCATTTCTCTGAGGGCTATCAAAGAAACCGCGAATCTCGTAGCGAATAATTTGCCGGATCGTATCGTCATCTTCAACCACGTGTCTGAGGATCGTCATAATGCCTCCCGCAATCTTCGTCTCCTTAAGACGCCCGGAACCTGAGCCGGCAAGTTGTTTTGCCATGAGCAAGAGACGCTGAAGATTCTTCTTGTCACCGACCGTCCTGGCGACCTTGCGGTTCCGTGTTAACATAATCAGTACACGAAGGACAGCAATGGCCAGGGATTCGTCTTTGCCCACACGAGGCAGAATGTCGAGTACAGCTTCAAGCAAGATGCCTCGATCTTCTTCTTTCACAAGAGGATTCTTGACTTGTAGAACTGGTTCTTCAATAGTGGCATTCTCATTTGCTGGGGGCGTCCATTTGGCCTCGACGGGTTGCTCGTCTTCCGCCAGCAGAATCTCAAAGATAAGCAAGATGTATGGAATCCAAGGTGGCAGTTCTTCGGTGGCATTGCCCGGCGTTATCTTCAAGAAGCTGACATAGTCGCTTACGTTGTCTCGCAAAGTCTCTAGACAAGATTTGAAGAAAGGCTTAGAATCCTGTAACAGGAGAGACAAGAGGTGCGCATAAGCTGCAATGCTGCGTCCGCTGGACTTCTTCACATCCTCATCAATGGCAAAGGACATCAAGGCGTTGGCAAGGGTTTCCCCAACCTCCTGGCGGCTGTCCTCCTCTTCATGACGGAGAACAGAGGAATTGATCAGCTCTGATACCTCGAAGACAGCATCTGGGTGCGCTCTAATGACCTCAAGACAGCGATCTATTAGGTCTTCACGCAGCTTCCCTCGCTCGATATCAAGGTCTTGCTTAGTCACGGCCGGTTGACCCTGCGTAGATTGAACCTGAGCTGAAGAAGAAGCCTCTTGCGAAATATCTTGTGGAATGACTGAGCTCTCATGGGCGGCTGGGGGGGCTGACTCAGTAGTCTCCTCTTCCTCGCTGTCAATAGAATCCTGAGACGATCGTTCATTGAGTTCACCCAATACAGCTTCCCCGAGTAGGCGGTCTAACTCAGGGTTCGAATCTAGTAGCATAGCTTCAGACCCCAGCAGGTCCGCCACTGGAAGACTTGCTGCTTGATTCTTTGTGTCGCTCTGTTCTGGCGTAGGAGGGAGCTGGAATGCATCCTCCACAGGAATAGGACAACGAGCTCCAGCAATACCCGCCCGGTGAACTCGACAATACTCAGCAGCTGTTTCGCTCACGCCATTGGCGCGGTAAAGCGCTTCTCGGACCAGGTCTTGATCGTCATATTCGTCAGCAACTCGTTGAAGGGGATTTGAGTATCCTGCCCAAGCGAAAGAAACGGGTTCTCTCTTGAAGATGGGTGGCGGCGGATTCTTGTCACCCCTCCGCCAGGCGTTAGTTTCCAAGTCCGCGTTGGCAATTGTCTTCAGGATGTCTACAACTTTGGTAAGGATTTGAGTGGACGCCTTCTCGACCAATTTAGACTCCCAAAGGCTTCTGATGACAGGTAGAACCGCCATGCGTAATTCAACGATGAGTTGTGTTGGGACATGGGCGAATTCTGGTCGTCTCTCCATTCCTCGAGGAAGCATACTGACGTTGGTCAAGCAAACATTAATTGTCTTGCCGTGTACGATTGGGGCGTAGAGGTCGAGAATTTTCTTCATCCCTATCGAAGCAAGCCTGGCTTTTGAAGCATCTTCATTTTCTGCTCGCTCTTTCGTAATTTCTTCTGCAAAGACGCGTAGCATAGTATTTAATGTATCAAAACCACCGTGTTCCTTGAAGGCAATCAAAACGGGGATAATGGCTTGACACAGAGCCCCATCCTGCGGCCTTGAGGGATCAATGAGCATCTCATGGACTGAGTGAAGCAGAACTATCCAATAGTGGAAGTCCTTGGTCGTGATTTCATCCTTGGATGGTTTTATCTGATCCAGAACAGTCGCTGCGAGTGCATCAGCAATCTGCATGTGCTTTGCTCGACAGTAGGCATCACGTTCCCGACGTGGAAGAAGAGTTTTGCCCAGAGTCTGGAAGAAGGGAAAAGTAGTCGGCATGAGAGAATGGAGTAGAACACGCAGTACTTGGTAATTCCGGTACTGCGGGGATGACTGTTCCTGTTGCGTCGGACGCTTGAGTTTATTGGAAACTGTTTCTTCATTAGGCTTGGAGCCGGGGCTGGCAACAATAACATCAGGAATAGTCGAGTCCTCAACATCCCCATCGGCCGGTAGACTACTGGTCGTAGTAGTTGTGGGTGCACCAGGCGGATCTTGCGAGGTTGATAGCTTCCGAGACGACCAATGTTGAGGAACGAGCCCAACAATTGACATCTCCTCGGACAACACAGCCTGCAGCAGTGGCCCTAGAGATTTGATCACCCTGATATAATAATCGAATACGTTGACTGGGTGCAGTGTTACAGTCGACTGTCGATTGGAGAAAGGGAAGCATTGGTAGAGCGTCTTTATCAAAGACTGAGTGTTCAGTAAAGCCTTTACGACACCAGTTCCATCCGCAACCTTACCCACCGCGTCAGCGTCCCAATTCCCATCAGCCGTTGCAAGGGAGAAGTCGGAGGACAGAAAAGGCGCAAAGTATGGGTGTGAGTTTTGGTTCGAAACCAAGGGGGCCAGTGCATCAATTGCCGCCTGGGTTCGGTTCATGAGAGATGGCAATCCGATGATAGGAGAGTGCTCGATAAGTTGGGATATCACATGCTGCAAAGTGCGAGACGCAGCGGTCTCCCCAAACTCGTATGAGAGACTAGGCAATTCAGTCAGATCCAGGAGCAGCTCAATGCCACCGTCTCGGACAAAGGCGGCCTTCAGGCTCGAATTTCCGATATACGAGGAGAGAAAAGTAGCGACAGCCAGGATGTACGGTGTGATCTCATTGTAAGTTGAGGCGGTCGAAACTTGTTCTTCTGGAATGACTTGCGATGCCGAAAGGTCTAAGGCAACTTGGGTAGCATCTGTCATTTCAATGTCTTCGCTCGTCGTAGCCTTTTCTTTGCCTTTTATCGATGGGGCCTCGCCAGCGCTGCTTGCGACCATGAGCTTATCGGCCTGTACAACATTGCCATCTGGACCTGTGACAAGCAGCTTGGTTCCCCATCCGGATGTGACAGCCTTCTTTTTGCCTAGATGATTCACTTTGGCAACCATGTCTAGGACTGCGTTACCTATGGCTGGTCGTAAGGACGGATGATGTCGAGCGAGCTCATCGAAACTACTACCAACATTTCCGGCAAGGTCAGGATCAGATTGACTGGACTTGAGGTGTTCTGGACTCTCGAAAATCTCCAAAAAGCTTTCAAAAGCCCGCGAGGAAACTACCATCTTCATTCCAACGTTGTTCAGACAGATGGAGTTTAGAACGGTGGGAATGATACTGATGGCTTCAGCAGAAGGGAGAATGCCTTGTGCCAGGGGACCATCGCGAGGAGCCTCGAGGATAGCGGATGTGGGCGGATGAGGGCGGTCATCAGAGTCCAGCACCACGGATTCGTCTGACTCGTCCGAGGACTCCCCATCTTCATCGTTTCTCGGCTCAGTAGATTTGCGCTCATTGGGCTGCTCAACCCGAACGGGACGGCCTGTGACAGCTTCCAGGAAGCTCTTAATCATGCCAGACTCCATTATTGCAGCAAAACTTGTGGGATCATTGTTGATGAAGTCACTCAATATTGTGACGGAGTTTGTCCACACAACAGATCCGAATTTATTCATGTGCTCCATGATGGTACGAAGGCTGCCAAGCAGGTGCGAGTTATCGACAAGGTTCCTCAATAAACGATCGGTATTGCCACCATACGAGTAAGAGTTCGTCATAATATGATGGATAAATTTCAGCAGCCACTTCAGAGTTTGCTGTTGGTAGAAGGGAATGTCATAGTCGACCACGCTCGAATGCAGTTCTTGTTTGGTGCCTTGGCCAGCTTCCATCAAGCTTGTGGCGGCTGATGTAGCGTCAACAATCAATTCGGCGATGCTGTCCAACCCATTTGCGTTGATAAAGGACTGGAAGGCCCCCTGGTAATGGTAGATTAGACCATCCAGGAAGGCAAGGACCATGGAATGATTCCTGTCAGCCAACTTGGAGCGCATGTTGAGAATATCGACCAAAACATCCATCAGCCCTGCCGATATCATTTCATTGCCAACCCGAGAACCTATTGCCATATGTAGGGTAAGCGAGAAAAGGTTATTTCTCCAGTCATCGGACTCGGTGATTCGATCGTCAATATCACCGGAATCCTCCTTCATCTCTGAGACCGCCTTGCGAATTACGTACAAAAGGACACCATGATTGACATTTGCATTTAGTGCGGAGAGTATGTCGGAATATTTGGATTGGAAGTTGGAAATTGCTTCCAATAGCGCCAAGGCAATAGCCTGTAACCAGAGTGGTACAACGACCTGTCCACTCGCAGATGGATGAATGAGTTCGGCGAGCTGATACACCAGTTGATACCTCCTTGGCTCGTCATTGTCTTGTTTGAGTGCCTTTTCGATGAATATAGACTCCGGGTGGATGTAGGCCAGGTTGGTGATAGCAAGAAGTCGCACAGCCAGGGCTTCTTGCCGAGATTCCGAAGAACCGATCAAAGCTTTGCAGATTCGTAGTCGGTTGAGGTATTCATATTGATTCGCCTTTGGCATGTCCGCAGGACATCTCCTGAGGAGATCATATATTGACGTGGAGGCCACTGTGCCTTGTCCAAACTCTACAGATTTCTGACGATTTGGTGCTGATTGGTCGTCATGTCCCAAAGCAGGAGAGCGATGCGAGGAAGGAGATGGACTATCATCAACGTTTCCAGGTCTAGCTCCTCGCGGAGTCTGATGGGATCCCATGGTGGTACTACGTCGAAGTGGTGTCGGCGTTGCCGGAGTAGATGGGGTGCTTTGCTGCAAGTTCGGCTGGGCAGGAGCACTTTGGCCATCGGATTCTGGATAATAGACGACTTTCAAGTCACCCCAGCCATTCCAACGGCCTTCATCTGGCTGATCTTCAGAGGCAATAGTCACCAAATCGTTAGCATACATGGATGCCGCATTCTTAGCCATGGTTTGATGAGACTTCTCCTTTCCCTTGCTAGCAGAAGCAGTCGGCGTCGTTTGCGGTGCAGGATCCGAAAAGCTGATGATAGGGGTCTTCATAAAAGGCTGCGCCAGGTGTTGTACTCGATTCAGGTCGATGTTGTAATGGTTGGCAAGCAAAGCGCTGCTGACCTGGCGGGACGGGACGGTCATACGCTTGACTGACGCTTGATAGCGCTGAGCCAACTCGACACCAACCTCGAGCGTGGCATGAACCACTGTGAGGGATGTGCTGTGGAGTAGATCGTTGAGATGCGAGCTGCTGCCGTAGATACTTCGGTTGCCACAATGTTCCAAGAGCATCCGGCTGAATTTCAAAATGGCAATAATGAGTTGGCTGTCGCCATCCTGTCCGTAGCCGAGCTCCGCCAGGCGCTCCATGTTCCAGGGTTGATCATCGTGAAACTCAACAGTCGAGCTACGCTTGAGCAATAGTTCACACCCGAAATTTTTGAGTTGCGGTCCATCGCTCAAGTTGTACGTTGCGACGAATGACTCCAAGATGTTGTCGAAACGGTTTAGTAAAGGTACCCAGTGATATAGATCGCCACGCGGGAACGGCCATCTTGTGGGAAAGGTGTCGAGGTTCTTCGGGAGGAGAGGCAGCGGGACGGAAGAAAGCGACTGTACATATTCCTTCAGCCAAGGCGACTGGTAAATCGTTAGCTCAAGACATGATGAATGATGCGTATGACAGAAGACGTACCAAAGTCTCCTTATGCTTTGGTTGCATGGTCTTAGTTATCTTTCCCATTTTGACGGTGGGAGCGGCAGAGCCGCTGATATAGGAACTCCCCCTCCACTACCAATAGGTCACTGTCGCGGACGACAGCTTTGCGTCGATGAGGGAGTGCCCAGAAAATGGACACTCCGAGGGCTGATTCAAGATGGAGATGGTAGTTCGTCGGCCAAAAAGTCTACACCTTCCAGGCAAGGCTGCGAAGGATAAAGCACTCTCAACTTGCCGGAGAGGATGGACGACCACGATTTTCGTAAGGATTCAAGTTTTCGTGTCCACTGACGAAGGAGTCTCCGAAGGCAGAGGTCGAGGCCGTAGAACGCGTTAAGTAGATGCGGGATGGCGGGGCAGGGGTGAGGTGATGATGCCGCCGCCAAAGGTGGATGAGACAAGGGAAAGAGGAGCTTGGGTAACAAGGTCCAGGCGTGTGCAGGTCGCCGGGTCCTTTGTATTCCAGGCAGCGGGGAGATATGACAGATTCCTGGAGTATAAGAAGCTGAAGACCTCAAATCCCCAGTGAGACAAGCTGTCAAATATGCGTCGAAGTGCTCGCGAAAGAACGGTGTTGCGGATGATGGAGGTATGGTAAGTGCATCGAGGTTGAGAAAATGGAAGCAGCCAGCAAAAAGTCCACTAGGCCAGGCTCTTTGCGTAATGGTGGACGGCCAAAGCTTCCTGGAGGTCCGCCCCGGCACAGGTACCGACTAACCTAACGGCGGCGGCTTGATGACTACAGCTACCTGTTACCTGCCTAGGTACCTACCTCCTGGGTACCTGACAAAGCGGCAAATACCGTACAAATCACTGGCAAATGGTTGTCACGCGTGCTAGCAGCCGCTACCTAGGTAGCTACACACAGCAAGCATTCTCAACATCAAACTCCACTAATAAAGGTTCTGCTTGGACGCTTTAGCTAGCTACACGTATCCAGCCTGCAGAACTTTGCGAATTTGACGGCCAAAGTCGACCTGCCTCCTCAAGAAGAAGGTACCTAATGAGGAATGCCCAACTACCTAATAACAACTTCGGAAGGACCTAACCTTTGCGCCCGACAGATTCATACCTTGATGTTGAGGTAAGAAACTCATGACTTCTCGATCATTGCCTCCCCACCTCAGGTCATCGCTTCTCGGAAAACGCTGTTGCCTCGAAAAGCAATGCCTAATGGGTCCCAAAGCTGGAGTGATGTGAATCATAAATGCTATCTAAGTGGTCGAATCCTTGATAACTACCTACCCAGGTACTACAACCTTTGCACATTGTGAGCCGTTCCTAGGGTGTCCCATAACTGCAGAAACCCTGTGCGGGCAGCCTGCCGCCTTGTCGGTCTCTCGGGGTATGTCTTCCGGCAGGAGCCGATATCATTCACGGCGTCGACGCTACTCATATACGGGAGCGTGCCGGGGTAGCAAACCCGGCACGTACTATCATATAACCACAGTCTCAGGTGTTCATTTGAAGTATATATCTTGCAAGAATTATGCAATCTACATAATGTATTTGACGGTCCAATGCTCAGATGGAATCTTCATGGGTTGCAAGCAAATATAAGAGGGCAAACCTCGTTGGAAACCCAGGCAATGAATTCGGAGTCCAGCACGATCACAGAGTCACATGGAAAAGGAGCACATGCATTTGTTGTTATCTTTTCTGAAGTTCAGTCCATTTTTAATGCCGTGAATACACTCCAGATGACTTGGCCAACAGGCCGACACCCCATGAGCCAGAACCCAAATGCAAAGAACCGATCATTAACAACGCCAAAAGTCTACTTGCGCATAGAGCTTGCTCGTCGCTTGCGGATATCGGCCTTCTGGGCCTTGGCCTCGTGCACACGCTTGGCCAGGATCTGGGCATACTCATTCTACGTTCGTTAGCAGACTTTCGCCTTGATTGAGATGTCGAGAGTAGACTCACGGCATCATCCTTGATCTTCTCGGCTTGGCGACGCTTCAGCGCGATTCTGTGGCGCTTGTGCTGGAGACGCTGGGGGGTGACGAGTCTCTGAATCTTGGGGGCCTTGGTGTAAGGCTTCTTGCCCTCGCCCTTAGGCTGGACCTCTCGTCGAATGACATACTTGCGGACCTATATGGCCGAAGAAAACGGTATTAGTCTCAAAAATTTCCTCTCTTCTCTTTCTCACTCTCTACCCGAGCTGCTCGATTCCTTGCACCGCAGCCCTCGGGTAGGCGAAGACGAGATTGTAGAACATTGGGTTACATACATCGTCTTCCTTGGTGAGGCCGAAGAACTTGCGGATCTTGGTGGCACGCTTGGGGCCCAGGCGCTTGGGGTGAACGACATCAGTCAAGCCGGGGATCTCCTGCTCGCCCTGCTTGACAATAGCCAGAGCAAGGACGGACAGATCCATGCCGACGATGCAGCCACGGACGGACTTTCTCTTGCGCTCGCCAGTTCGTCGGGGTCGGTAGCAGGAGTGGCCGTCGGAGAGGAGGAGTCGGACACGGGTAGGGTGCATGACACCCTGCTTCATGGGGAAACCCTGCTTGTCGTTGCCGCCAGTGATCTTGACGACGTAGCCCTTCCACTCGTCACCCAGGCTGTCGGCGGGGACCTCAGCGCCCATCTGTTGCAATCAATGTCAGTGCTCCCATCCGATACATAGTTCAGCCCGCCTGCTGTTGATGCCATCCGTGTTCGCGAAAATCGAATCTCGGTATACCAAACAACGTCCACCGCGGGCCGGTCTGGGGGTCTAACGTACGCGCTTCTCCATGAATACTCTCAGCTTGCGCTCATCTTCGATCTCGATGAGCTTCTGGCTCCCGTTGGAGGGGTATGAGCTGTACAAAGCCAAGGTCAGCAAAACAATCCAAGCAGCAGCGCCTTGAATAACGGTATCGACAATAGCATTGGAAAAAATGCTCAAAGTAGGTCTCCGTTTCCGAAATAATTGAAAAAACCATCGCAGTACTCACACGTTCAGCTTCATCTTGACGGTTTCTCAGTCGAGTGGCGGGCGACTGAAAATCAAGCTGAAGATGGTTGTCGGGTTGTGATGGTGGGTGCTTGAAGGGGAGGAGAGAGCCAAATTTTCGATCAAAAAAGTGTGTCCACACGCTTTCCCTGAACCCTAGTGGTCCGTGCACCTATATGGCAGCGCGCATTGGCCAGTTCAAAAAGTGAGATTTTAGCCGAGGAATAGCCAGCTGCTCCCTCACCTTGATTACCCAATTGGGTCACCTAGGAATTGTCAAGCGCCCGACATCTGCGCAGTTATTTGATCTTTACGTATACTGGTCATTTATAGTCAACAAATACTACATAATTATCATCCTTATCAGCCTATTCTTTGGAACATAATACCAAAGCTATTGCGAGGTTTTCAGGTTCAAGGCTATACCTCTTCTACCAGATCTCTCTTGCATGTGGCAATTGTAAGACAAGAAGTCTTTTACAAGCATGAGCTCCCATCGAGATAACGCGAGGAGAAGCCGGTAATTTCAGAAACAGGCGCTTTTTCAAGAACCGTACGCTTCAACATTTTTGTCTTAGAAAATCTTCGGTATTAGGTCGCCCAGGATGGAGGACGATCGAGCTGAGGTAGATCTGGGCATCGCAGCCGACATCGAGGCCTCGCAGGCGCCGGAGCCCGTGGTTAGGCAGCCCAAGAAGAGGTTCGTTGGAAGGAGAACTGCTACAGAGGCTTCTTCCAAGAGCGGAGCAGGGAATTCTATCGAGGATGCTGGGGCCATTCAAGGTATTTATTTCCTGTCTCGTCGAGGGCGAGGCATTAGCTAAATTAAAACAGTGGCTCAAACCAAAAGAGCGCCCCGGCTCCTGAACCAAGTTCCTCCAGAAATTTTGAATGATCCGGAACTCAAGTCAGCCATGTCTCTACTGCCGGGTAACTACTCCTTTGAGATTCCTAAGACCATCCACCGCATCCGCACGCTCGGCGCGAAGAGAGTGGCTCTACAGATGCCCGAAGGTCTTCTCATGTTTGCCACCACGATCTCAGACATTTTGACGCAATTCTGTCCCGGAATTGAGACGCTCATCATGGGCGATGTGACATACGGTGCCTGCTGCATAGATGACTATACGGCGCGAGCTATGGGCTGTGACCTGTTGGTCCATTATGCGCACAGCTGCCTCATACCTGTGGACGTGACCAAGATCAAGACTCTGTATGTATTTGTCGATATTAGTATCGATACATCACATCTGCTTGCGACGCTGGAGCGCAATTTCAGTCCCGGAAAGACCATTGCCATGGTGGGGACGATCCAGTTCAACGCCACCATACATGGCATACGTTCAACACTCGAAAAGGCTGGCTTCAAAATTATTGTCCCGCAGATAGCGCCGCTATCCAAGGGCGAGATATTAGGGTGCACGTCTCCGAACCTCGCGACCTATGCTGCCGATAGTCCTGTTGACCTGATACTCTATCTTGGCGATGGACGTTTCCATCTCGAGAGCATAATGATACACAACCCAGATATACCGGCGTACCGGTATGATCCGTACTCGCGCAAGCTGACGCACGAGACATACGGACATGATGAGATGCAAGATCTGCGGCGGGATGCAATCCGGACAGCGAAGAGTGCGAAGAAATGGGGTTTGATTCTGGGATCGCTGGGGCGGCAAGGCAACCCGAATACCTTGAGTTTGATAGAGAAGAAGCTCACAGCAATGGGGATACCTTTCGTCAATCTCCTGTTGAGTGAGATTTTCCCGGGGAAGTTAGCTATGATGAGCGATGTTGAGTGCTGGGTTCAGGTCGCTTGCCCAAGACTGAGTATAGATTGGGGCTATGCGTTTCCGAGACCACTTCTAACCCCGTATGAAGCCTTAGTAGCCTTAGAGGAGCGTGAGGATTGGGGAAAGGGTGTCTATCCTATGGACTACTATGGAAAGGAAGGTCTTGGGCGCACAAAACCTGTTGTCAGTCTAGTGGGGGCTAATTGATTTATGAACGATATCATGAAGTAGAGGAAGGGAAAAAAAAGGAGCATGATACTTCTGCAACATATCTACATGAAAACAGCGAGGCTCAATTATCAAATGCTTATATTTTGGTCAAATAGAGAGAATTTGCTATGTTTTATCATTCCTTCCAGTAGAGAGCCCATAGATACCTCCAGATGAGGTTTGAGACCATTGCAATGTACCAATGCGCTTGAACCCGCATCACGACGTCCCAACAGGTTCTGGCCTCTGAGAGAACACAATCTTGTACTTGACAATCTCCACGACTTCCAAATCCTCTACCACCGCCTCTCTCGTCCCGTCCTCAGCATCTGCATCCTTCATAATGGCCTCTTCACCTCCGCTGTCACCACCACTCCTCCTACGAACCACCGCCACCGGTCGTGGCAGCTTCTTCACCTCTCCTGTCAGTCTCTGATGCTGACCGACGTATAAATACGCCCGCTTCATCCATGTGGTGCTTGTCGGGTCAAGCGCATCGGCGCGAAAGTCTGGGAAGTCCAGGCGACCAATAGGAATGCTCTGTACAGATGCAGCTTCCGAACCCTCGACTGCAGAATCTGGTAGATTGATTGTGCCTTGGAGCTCCAGCAGTGCCAGCCCGGACGGTGTCTGGAGGAGTTGAGGCAGCGGATTGTTTATGGGCTGCGACCTGCCGGCGCGCTCCGTGTGCAGAGTGACTGAGGTTGATGCCATACTACGCTCTCTGTGGTCGGCCCTTTGCTGTGTAGACTCACGACTACTGTCAAATCAAGAAGGACGTGTCGATCATCGAATTAACGATGAATCTTTTGCATGAAATCTTTAGTCTCCGGTCGGGGTGGCTCGCAAGTGATGAAAGACGCGGTGTGCGCAAGGGATTGAATTTCTATTGCTGAAGGTTTAGTCCCGGACTAATTTATAATAACTGATGCCTCAAACGGTGCATTTTCAAACGCCCACCAAACACTTCAACGTGGAGATCTGCTACATGAACATAAGTCTGAGCAATTTTCGAACGATGGTTTCCGTCATTCATACTAATTACGGCCCTGAGCAAGCATGTGTGCAGTCATATACTGAGTAGAGTCACAAGGAAGGCACCTGCAATGACAGCATGCTTGATATCCAATTACAGGGTTGATTTAGAAGAGGAGCATAACCTCCTATATATACATGAGCATACCCTCTCTCATGATAATTAAGAACATTAAGTCATAGCCTTCATCTTCTTAGCATCAAGCATTTTCAATCCACAAGACATCCGGGCTCCTACTGAGGTGTCTCCGTGGAATTGATGCTGAAGCGATAGCTCGCCTGCAGAACATACGGGTCGTCACCAGGTCCGAAGATCTGCTTCTTGCTGCGCTGCCACTCGGGCTGATTGATCGCATCAATGTAGTCCTCCACCTCGAGCACGACACAACCGTACTTTGGAATTGTGCGAGGAAAGTCCTCGTCATCAAAGATGCCTTGCGTGCTCTTCAGTGCCATACTGCCGTTCTGGCCGTTGCAGCTATACATCTGGAACGCATCCTGGTCAGAGTAGACATCCAATTGAATACCCGACCAAGCAGATTGCAGGCGGGCAACGAAGCCATCGGTGCGCCAGTCATAAGGGCCGCTCTGGTCCCGGTTTACGAGCCAGCAGGTGTCTTAAATCAAATTTATTAGCTTTCTTGTCACATCTTCACAACGCCAGCACGACATACCGTAACCAGTGCAGTTGAAACCGCAGTTGCCCTCGAGTTCCGGGCTGGAGATGTTGGCTCCGATTTGCTTGGGTGCGCTCCAGAAATCATTGACTGAGCCTGGAGCATTGGCAAGAATGTCGCCAGTCGGGATAAGGATATTATCGACACCGACTCGTTGGCCACTGTATGGCATATAGAAGGAGTGGTTGAAGACGGTCTGAGTATCATTGTTCGCAAATCCGTCTAGATTCCAGTAGGTGTGGCTACTCAGCATGATGGGGGTCTTTTTTGTCGTGGCAATGGCAACCATCTTAAAGTCCCATGTCAGGTTGCCGAGGGTATAAGTGATGTAAGAGACAACCTCGCCAGGGAAGCCCTGATCGCCATCCGGGTCCACAATGGAGAAGGTGATGCTGTCGTTGGAATAGGACACAACCGTGAAGTTTCGCCAGTCCCAGCCATCTGGGCCACCGTGGAGCGTATCTACTCCATCAGGATTGGCTTCTGTGGGATTTTCATTTGGCAGGATATTATAGGTGACACCGTCCAGCTCAAAGGAACTGTTCTTAATCCGGTTCGCATAGCGGCCCGGAACACCACCAAAGTGAGGGTGTTGCCTGTCGACCTCATAATACGATGCATTGTCGAAACCAGCTACGATATCGCGCTCGATACCATACTGGTCATTGATCAACAGGTTCGAAATGGAAGCGCCATAGGGAATAAATGCGGCCTTGATGCCCTCGCCGTAGATCCAGTACTTGCCATTTTCATCTGGACCAGGAGTGGTGGCATTCGTTGAACCGGTCCCGACGAAGTCGGCAGAGACAATTGGGAGCAGAGCAGCTCCGAGGGACAGCAGACTGCGAAGCATTTTGGCAGGAGTGACGACGAACAGCTACCCAGGTTGCAAGCAGGTGGGAGGGTTGGCCAATTGGCCCGTGCCGGAGGTGAGGGGAAGCAGCGAGGCTTTATATGAATTGCGATGTCATCTTATGGACGGAGAATCTTAGGGACAGGACGTAATGACATGGAACAGACCGACAGAGCGGAGTTGGAGACAACTCATGTCACTGACGCCTGCAGGTGGTGGGTATGGAGCACCTTGCAGATGCTTTCCCCAACAACCACTCCACTTGGGGAACAGTGTAGGAAGATCGCAACAGCATGGAGCAAGGGCGGGAAGAGCATCCAGTGGTTCGCTAAACCGGCGAACATGTGGTGGTCACCAATCGGCCTATGAGATGTTAGACTGGCGATGTGCAAAGCTTGGAAAGAAGCGAATGCCTCGTGCATACAAGCGGCACAACGGTGGAACAATCGGCAGCAGACCGCGGCCGACCTCTTCTCACCCTTCTCTGCTCTGCTCTGCTCTGCTCTGCTCTGCTCTGCTCTGCCCTCTCCCCGCAACCTCTTCTCAGGCAAGCTTGGGATAGCTTCTAGCTAGGTACGCTGGTCAAGCCGTGGAAAGGCCGAGCACGCATGCGCTAACGGTCTTTGTGCCACGACAGAACGGTTTCCAGAAGGATTGTTCTCCACGGTGCTGTACAGGTTAGTGATCAAGTACAACGTAGCAGCACGCTATTCCGTCATCTGGTTGGGGCGTCGCAATGAAAGGATTCAGGTACCAAAGATCAGCAACACACCTGACTGTGACCGCCCCCGGCTGCAGTGACTTGCGCGCCCCGAGCTTCCCCGTACAGAGTTAACCAGCCTGGAGATGAGCCGGGGAAAGCTTGTCGTCGGGGAAAACACCCTCTTAGATGACGTCGAAACAGCAATTCAAGTTGCCGGCAGCTCGCCATTGGCGCGCCTCGGGAGTGGCTTTTTGGCTGCCGAAGCTTGCCTGACCCCTGTTCTTTTAGGCCTGTCTGTCGGCCTGGCCGGCGACATTGCGAATGCGGGGTTAGCTCCTCCAGTCATCTAACCCCAGACACCACTGTAATGATATCCATATCCGCAGAAAGATGTGGAGGCTGGGAATCGTATTGCTGCGTCGCTTAGAATATTGGGCGCATGCAAGGAGGTCGAGCAGAAAAGAAGTATTCATCCGTAAGGTACTGTTTCATGCGCGCTCGTAGATGCCCATGTGGCTGAACTTGGCGGGTGAAGATAACCCGATGTAGACTTCACCTCACTTTCAAGTTTACAAGCGAGATCAATTCCACTTCACAATGGCTCGCTACAGGCATTCGATGGTAGCATAGAGAGTCAAATGGATGCAATTGGCTTCCTTTTGGGCTAATGCATATGTACCCCAACAGCATGCAGAGTCGTATCAAGTAAATCAATGTTCGACAAGCAAGATTATCAAACAAGGGTAATCAGATTTCCAGGCCAAACTTCCGAATATCAACGGGCTATCTCAACCAAAAGCCTACATGCCAGGTTACCGGTATACATGCAAGGAACAAGAGAGGAAGCAATGTAACGTCAAGACCCCGATTTACAATCTCGCTTCTATACACTGCGGCGCCAGATATAAATTATGCGTCAATCAGGTTCTCCTCCTCGGCTGGCTTATCCTGTGCCGGTGCCTTGCCCTTGCCCTTTCGGTCCCCAGCTGTCCGCTGGTAGTACTCGTCGATGATCTTCTTGGGGATACGGTTCAACATATCCTTCCTGTAGATACGCAGCAAACTCCACGCGAGATCCAGCGACTCATAGATGCTTCGTGATTCATATTGTCCTTGGCTGATGAAAGTCCGCTCAAACTTCTCAAGGAACTCCAATGACAGCTTGTCTTCAGCCGACAGGGCCTCCTCACCAACGACAGCCTTCATGGCAGCGGCATCACGACCAATAGCGTACTTGGCGTATAGCTGATTGGATACATCTCCATGGTCCTTTCGAGTCATGCCCTCGCCAATGGCAGACTTCATGAGACGAGAGAGGGATGGCAAGACGTTGATGGGAGGGTAGATGCCACGATTCTGCAGACTCCTGTCGATGGTGATTTGGCCCTCGGTAATATATCCCGTCAAATCAGGGATAGGGTGGGTGATATCATCGTTAGGCATGGTCAGAATGGGAATTTGTGTGATGGACCCGTTGCGACCCTCGACACGACCAGCACGCTCGTAAATGGTTGACAAATCTGTGTACATGTAACCAGGGTAACCACGACGACCGGGAACTTCTTCACGGGCCGCTGAAACTTCACGCAGGGCATCGCAGTACGAAGTAAGATCGGTAAGAATGACCAGAACGTGCTTCTCCAGCTGGTATGCGTAGTATTCGGCGGTAGTCAAGGCGAGACGGGGAGTGATGATACGCTCGATGCTGTATAGCTGTTAGTTGCCGAAAAAGATGCCTTATTCATCTGAACATACGTTGGATCGTTGGCAAGATTGAGGAAGAGCGTAGTGCGCTCCAAGCTTCCGTTCTCCTCAAAGTCTCGGGTGAAGAATCTGGCGGTTTCCAAGTTGACACCCATAGCTCCGAAGACAATCGAGAAATTGTCTTCATGACCGTCGTGCACACCCTTGTTTGTGATACCCTCTCGCTGAACCAGACCAGCTTGTCGGCAGATTTGAGCAGCGATTTCGTTATGAGGTAGACCGGCTGCTGAGAAGATGGGGATCTTCTGCCCTCGAGCGATCGAGTTCATTGTGTCGATGGCGGAGATACCGGTGGATACCATCTCCTCGGGATAGACCTTTCCATGTGTCAGTTTAGACTGCCTTTCTTTGGTGTTATCTTCTCTTACCCTAGAATATGGGTTGATAGGGCTGCCGTTGATGTCCAAGTACTCCTCGGCAAGCACCTTTGGGCCTTTGTCGATAGCCCTGCCTGAACCATCGAAGATTCGGCCCAACATATCCTCGGAGACACCAAGCTTCAAGCTCTGACCCGTGAACTCGACTTTGGTCTATTACAATGTCAGCCCCATTTCGCGATATAATATACGACCTCGTTATACCTTCTTCACATCGATGCCTGGAGTTCCTTCGAAAACCTGTTTCCATGGTCAATCGTTGAGGTAGTACTCATCAGCGCTGGATCATACCTGAACGACAGCACGATCGCCTATGCAAGACGTATTAGCTGGTGTTCCTTGAAATTCCCGCAGAGAGTTCCTTACCTCGAGCCTCAAGGACTTGACCAGATCGTTGACTTCCATCGGGAAGAGTTAATGTGACGATCTCGTTGTATCTCGGAAATTTGACCTTGGGTTCAGGTTAGATGCAATTGAGTTGACAAGGAGCTCTGGTGCCAGAGACATACATTCTCCAGAATGACCAAAGGACCGTTCACACCTCCAACGGTGTTGTACTGGATCCTCGGCACGACCGAGTAGGATGAGGACTCTCGGGGGTCTCCCATGGTGAAGATCAATCAGAAATGTCTATGGGAGCGGGTGAGAGGAAGCGGGAAATGGGAGACCAGCTCAGAGAGTGGCTGCGACGGTTGAAAAGGGACGGTGAAGTAGGTGACGACAGATAGTTGAGGTCAACGAAGCTACAGCAAGCTTGGGAAGTGGAGATAAGATGCTCCAGCCCCGCTACCTGGAAGCTCCTGCATGGGCTTCCCCATCTGAAGATGAGGCACCTAATTAGTGCAACCGAAATCACATGACACCGCTATGAAGCACTAGCTTTCTTGTTTTCAGTGGCTTAAGCGTCGAATCTACGTGCATGTAGGCCAATTGAGCATACCTGCAGAAACGTGACCTCTCCCTCCCCAGGAGTCGAGCAGAAGCTTGCTTTATCGCTCTTCCAAGATACGTCTTTTGTTACGACAGCCGGCTTCCAGCCTGGCAGCTCGTGATCTGCGCATGAAAAAGACAGTCAGATTTCATCCAGCATGTCCAGCATCTACAACACAGAGCCGCAGCCGACGGCATCAGCCATCCTGCACACCACTTCTGGCGACATATCTGTGGAACTCTTCGCTAAGCAGACGCCGCTGACTTGCCGCAACTTTTTGCAACTCTGTTTAGACGGATATTACGACAATACCATATTCCATCGCCTGGTCCCTGGGTTCATTCTTCAGGGTGGCGATCCGACTGGCACTGGAAATGGAGGCGAATCCATCTATGATGGCGGTGCCTTCAGTGGTGACCTGGATCCTTGGCCTATGGACCAGAGGAGAGGTCGCAATGCTGGTCCGACTGGCGTGAATTTCAAAGATGAATTCCATTCAAGGCTGAAATTCAACCGCCGGGGTTTGCTTGGCATGGCAAATGAAGGAGCTCTAGACACAAATGGTAGCCAGTTTTTCTTCACTCTCGGCAAGACTGAGGAGCTCAACGGCAAAAATACTGTATTTGGCCGAGTGGCCGGAGATACTATTTACAATCTCGCCAAAATGGGGGAGGCGGAGGTTGAAGAGGGGGGTGATAGGCCACTGTATCCAACTAAAATCACAGGAGTGGAGATTCTCATAAACCCATTTGATGATATGAAGAAGAGGGAACGTGTGGCAGCGCGGACAGCAAAGCCTGCAGCTTCCGACAAAAAGAAGGAGAAGAAGCGCAAGGGTGGTAAGCAGCTGCTAAGCTTTGGCGACGAGGAAGGCGATGACGACGTTCCCGTGGTGAAGAAGGCGAAGTTCGACACAAGAATCGTCATAGACGTCGAGGAGGAAGCCCTTGATGTGCCCAAAACACCAAAGAAGACCAAGAAAGAAATGAAGGCTTCTAAAACATCTATACCAGTAAGGGAATTGCCAGAGAAGGACGAAAAGCGTCAAATTCCCACCTCATTGCCCTCACCGGTTCCGAGACAAGAGATAAAGAAGCCAGTCTTCCACGAAGAGTCCTCACCGGAGCCGGAGCCGGTCAAGAAGAAGTCTGCTCTTGAAAAAACCAACGACGAGATTGCGGCTCTTAAAGCCTCGATGAGACGGACGATACAACCAGAACCTGTCAAAGAGAGGCACAAGACTGCTTTGGAGCAGCTGATACCAGAATCGGCCCTGAGAGGTCGAAAGAGAAGGCCAGGCGGCAGCCAGGTCACCGCAAGTGACGAGAAGAAAGCCAAGGATTTATTGGCGGCGTTCAAGGCCAAACTTGAGCAGGCTGGACCGGAGAGGAAGGCAACGCAGGCACCTCTTCCGGAGAACGGAGAAGGTAACGATGGGGAAGATGTTGGTGAAGATGAGGAAGTCTGTGATCTGCATTTTATTGCAAACTGCCAGAGCTGCAAGGCATGGGATAAGATCGAAGAAAAGGGGGATAGCGACGATGAAGGGTGGATGTCTCATTCCCTGAGTTTCGCAGCGGACAAGCTAGGTAAAGACCTGAGTTATCGCAAGAAGGCAGAAGAAGAGTTAGTGGTTATTGATCCACGGGAGAAAGCTCGGACACTCAAGGAGGAAAAGAAAGCGGAGAGGGAGGCACGATCTAATTCAGGGCGAGCTTGGGACCAAGCCAGAAACGCTCAAATGTCGAGATCAGCTGGGCTCGCAGGTAGAGGAGCAAGGTAGTATGTCCATTGATCTAGAAGATACCCAATGTCAACACGATTATGAGAGAGGGCTAGTCAGCGTGGCTAGGTCCATCTACATGGTTTCCTGATACGGGAGCAGGCAATAGTCTTGCAGGCCAAATGTCAATATTAATCAAGGTGTCCACGCCATCATGGTCATTATTCAAGTAGCGAAGGGCACGCTTGAACATGAAAGATGTTGTGTTCTAGACATGGAAGTGTCGAGCGGGCAGTGAGAGAAATAGTATTGCCGGAGAAAAATGTCCGGATAGAGGCCATTTCACATCTGAAAAACCCACCCAGCCAGCTGTGCCCTGCAATGCCGTCAGTCCAAAAAAATGGGTCGTGTATCCTTATTTCAAGGCCGTGGGAGGCCCTCAAGTAAGGACAATCGCGAAGCTTGTAATTGATCAAGGCAGTTTGCACCTTACTAGAGGGGGGAAACTTCTCAAATAATAGATTCTGCTTCAGACAATAGTACCCTATTCAGACCATTCAGACCAACACCTAAACCTTATTGCTAATCTTTAGTTGAGCTGGCGTCTCTTATCTACCTAGTCATTGATTGGACGATCAAGCGAGAAATGGTGGGGAGGTTACCTCAGCGCAGTCTTGAAGCAGCCATAACGATACTAAATTGCAGCCTCATCAACAGGCCTATTGTCCTATTATTCCTGAACAGTACCACAGACAATTGCTTCTGCCATTGAGCGAACATTGCTAACTGGTCCAAATACCTTCCGCGATCCGAAATTAACATCTCTACTCTCAACCCGGAGGGCGTTCGCTATTAGACAAGGTCATACTGAAGAGGCTGTCCGTCCCGCGATTACTGGGATCTTCGGCATCGCATAGAACGAAACACGGCTTCAAAGCCAACCCTCCCGCCGAGACAACGAGACAACGAGCAGGCCTGTGGAAGCCTCTTCAAGCTAGACCTTCAAGGGCTACAATCATTGTCGAGACAAGAACACCTTTTGTGGCGCCAGTCTGAGGCACAGTCAATCATACTGATTGATTGAGCTTGCCATTGTTCACACCTGTTGAGAGACAATAAGAGTTGGTAGCCTTTTAGGAAGAACGGCCGTTAACGTCACCTATAAATTTGGCACCCACACACGAACTTGTCGGTCAGCAAACTTTCTCTACCATTTGCTGGGAATTGCGAGCCTCGCTCACCGAACTTCTAGATCCATTGCGATACGGCGATTGCGAACAACTTAACGAGACGCCTAGTGAGGCGACAGCGACGAAAACTTTGACTCGCACAGGACCTTTCAGTATCAAGTTGGTCCATCACGCGAGCATTGCACGCGCGCACAGATAAACCCATCGCCCTGCCATTCTAAGGGAATCGAGGATCGCGGGATTGCTCCACGCACTCGAAAGTACCCCGAAGGAACTCTTCAAGCTACGAAGGCGCATGTATCTCCCCATGTCGTCGCCAAATCCGAGAAAGCGTCCGGCACCCGGCGCGGCGCCGGTTGGACCGTACCAGCAAATACCTCAACAATACGTACCAAACACTCAGATGCTGCAGTGGAACGGAGCAGCAGCTAATGGCAGTAACTTCGTTGACGCATCGGCGGCGGGTGTCAACCAATACGGCATGGTGCCGCAGGGCCAGATGTCCCCGAATTACCCTTCACAGCCATCCTCCAATGCTCTTACACGCATTCCGGCGAATCGAGCACTCGTGCCATCAGCCAATCGTGGGAATTTCGAGACAGGCAATGACTTGTGGAACTATTCGGACGACACCGCCTTGATACAGCCCACCACCGGCACGGTAGATGAACATGACAATATTGAAATCCTGGAAGAGAAGGCACAGCGTGCGAAGAGGGAGGCTCAGGCAAAGAGAAAGCAGATACCTCCTTTTGTTCAGAAACTTAGCAGGTTAGTGAACCGTGACAAATTCTTCATACATCACATGACTAACAAGAACAGCTTTCTCGACGAGTCAAAGAACACGGATCTCATCCGATGGTCTGACAAGGGGGACTCGTTCATTGTATTGGACGAAGATGAGTTTGCGAAAACCCTCATTCCTGAACTCTTCAAGCACAACAACTATGCCTCGTTTGTCCGTCAGCTCAACATGTACGGTTTCCATAAGCGCGTTGGTTTATCAGACAATTCTATGAAGGCCAGCGAACGTAAGAACAAGAGTCCCAGCGAATACTACAACCCGTACTTCAAGCGAGGACATCCGAACCTGCTTTGGCTTATCAACAAGCCAAAGAGCGGCTCTAGCAAGAAGAAGGGTAAGAAAGAGGATGGAGATGTGGACAGCGACGAAGAGAATATCATTGAGGAGATTCCGACTGCGCCGTACGGTGTCCCTGCACCTCAACCGGGCAGGGCTCTCCCTCAAGCTGATGTTGGCCCGCTGCAGCGTAGAGAGCTGACAGCCGTTCGCGAGCAAATCTCTCAGCTTCAACAGCAGCAGAAAAACATCTCAAACATCATCCAACGACTGCGTGGCGAGCATAACCAGATGTTGCAGCAAGCGATCATGTTTCAGAACATGCATGACCGTCACGAGAACTCGATCAACGCTATCTTGAACTTCCTGGCCAACGTATTTAGAAAATCGTTGGAAGACCAGGGCGGCAACCAGAACGTCGCCGAACTTCTCGCAAGTATTCTGCCGACTTCCCAAATACCTCAAGGTAGCGTCTTAGATCTCGGAGACTTCCATCAACAGACTCCTAGTCCAGCTGCAATGAGCCCTGGGAAGAGACAGCAACGCCTCCTACCCCCTATCCCAGGTCGAGCAAACACAGTTGTCTCTACTCCGGGTTCGAATGCAGGCACGGCATCATACAACCCTGCGCACCACGCCCCGATGGGTCAAGTCACGGAAATCTTCGACAACTCTCCGGCTGACACAACATCTCCAAATCAGATCAAGCATGACCTTCAGGCCAATCCTCAAGAGAGCATGATGAAACTGATTCATGAGACCAACGCTGGCAATTCACCGGCCATCGATATGCCCGAAGTCGTTGCCAACACCAATGTCACCTTAAGCGATGACCAGCGCAATGGCTTACTCAATGCCTTTGGTGCGCAGAATGCAACGCCGTCTCATACCACACCAGCACCTGCCATTGCCACGAGCGCTACATCGGTTCCTGCTATCCCCAGCATACCTGATGGTCGCCAGCCCTCAAATTCCATCTCGCCTACACTGCGTCAGAACGTGCTTCCGCCGAGCATCGATCACCTCAATTTTAATGCTGAGCAGCTGGAGGAACTCGCGCGTCTGACAGAGCAGAGTGCTAAGGGTATACATGATCTGCAGGCGTCGTTGACCCCCCTCAGCCCTTCTGGTCGTATCCCTGGGTTAGATGCCGATGGCAACACCGATGGCTCCTACTTCCAGGACAACGGCGATCTAGACTACAACGACTATCTCAACAACTACCTACCAGGTGATGATATTGGCCTCTTTGGTGGAGCTGATCCCTTGGGCGCACCCGATGGGAGTGACATGTTTGGCACACCACCACTGGGCTATGCACAGGATCCTGGCCAGGCACCTGGAATCGATGCGGACGGCCTTCCAGCGCAAGTTGAGAATAACACCCCGAGCCCCACCCCAACAGAGGAGATCACCCGTGATGATATGGAGAGCCCAGTGCGCGACCTCAAGCGCCAACGGAGAGGTTAGCCCTTTCAGCAGCGCCAGAAACGTCTCCGTTTCACCTTCAGTCTCTTTGTAGACTGCCCATCAACACTGGGCAATATGCCAGAGCCGACTATGGCACTTTGTTTGTTCTTCGCAATGGTGGCACAAAAGTTTTTCGGTGATTCGAAAGTCGCACGATGTCCGTGGGTTCAGCAAGAAATTGGCAGATATCCCCACCAAGGGCTTACGGTCGGACAAGATTGCATTGTAGAGGATGTGTGCCTCACATCGGTTTAGCGAGTCATCACAGGGGCGGTTTCTGTTATCGATTTGCGGGCATTTCTTTAGTCCCAGGTAGGCACGGCCACTGCCGGAGGTTATGAGACGAAGAAATCTTAACGGTCGGATGATTACTTCAAGGAAGGAGGGGCGTAAATCTCGGTATGAATGTCATTAGGTTTGAGTTAGGATGGCAGCAAGATCTTCAGATCGTGAATAGACGGAGGCTTAGAGCCCTGGATACCATTGACTATGACTGAAGCTAAGTGACTTGAGACGAGACATGTGATACATCCTTTCCGTATATTGAGATGGAAGATATTTATCGTCCCAAGAACCATGTTGTGGCTAGAGTGCAGGTACACTTCAGTCGTAGCCCAGATCAAATTAACATTCTTGATCCGACATGATTACATGCAGATTCATCTACACTCCCACGACTTTCCTAGACACTCTTACAAAGCCTTGCCACTGCCTTCACTAGATGGCTGTCGGTACTGGCTTCCCGAACTGGCAACTGTTGCTTGCAACTTTTCAGCCCCCAACGTTGACATCAACGAGCTCATCTTAGGCTCAGTGCAGGTAGTCACAACGTCGACTCAAGGATAGTTCCTCAACTGCCCATTCGGCGTCAAACTGTCCTAGTAACAGAATGCCGAGCCGAGTCGAACTCTCCACACATGTGGGTGTTATTTCTGGCTGCATCCTGCTCTGGGGCAGCCGGCGGCTCTTCATCTCTTCTACCGACCTCCAGACGCTCAACCAGCCAGCGGGTTCGCATGCACCGTAACGCGCTCTATCCTGGGGGGCGCCCGGGGGCGGTTCTTCTTGTCGACCTCGAGCGCCTCGATCTTGGCCAGCGTCGCGAGGCTGTCGTCGCCGATGACCTTGCCGAAGATGGTGTTGAGGCCGTCCAGGTGCGGCGCCTTGTCGAACAGCACGAAGAACTGCGAGCCGTTGGTGCCGGGCCCCTTGTTGGCCATGGACACGACGCCGCGCCCGCCGTGCTTGAGCGCCGGGCGCACCTCGTCGGCGAAGGCGCCGCCCCAGATGGACCGGCCGCCCTTGGGGTTCGCGGGCGGGTCCGGGTGCGCCGGGGCGCCGGTCTGCACCATGAAGCCCGGGATGAGGCGGTGGAAGGGCGACTCGTCGTAGTAGCCGGAGGCGCAGAGGGCGAGAAAGTTCTGGGCGGAGGGGAGAGCTAGGTTAGCGATGAGGATATGACGAGGGGGAGTGGGTGTTCATGTCGATGCGCAAAACATACCTCTGCTGTCTTGGGGACGCTCTCGCAGAAGACCTCAATCTTGAGATCGCCGAGAGTAGTATGCAGAGTTACGGACATGGCGATGGACTGTGCTGGGATATCACCGGAGCTGCTGGCGCATTCGTGATGCGGATTGAGGTTTGGAAGCTCGAAAAGCTTAAACGAAGCTCCCTGGTCGATTGGTATTGGAGTTACCAGGATGATTGGCCAGGGACCACCAACCCGCTGCGACGACTTGAAGACGGCCGCCACTCCTTGATCTAAGAAACGGGAGAAGACAGGCTAGCATATTCAAGGTTAGCCCATTCATCAGTGCTTCCCACAGGGCTGATGTTTGAAGATTTCCCCTAGGTACCTTACCTACATTGAAGTCGCTGCTGAAGTGTCTGTTTCTTCAGCTTCACCAAAAACAGAGATCAGCGCTGCTCTAGATCCCGGAAGTATATACAGTGCCGCACCATGGAGGGAGGGGTCGATCTTAGAGAACCTGGACTCCAATTGCCCGCCAGCACTCCTGGGACATTTTGGAGGGGTTATTGTTGCTTGTCCAGGCTGTTTTTGTTTGGGTAAGCTTGCGTTGGGCGGCTGGCAGTTGTGACAGGTGCAAGGTTGCCCATCAACACCGAAATGAGGGGCTGATCAACAACAGAAGAAGCCATGGCTTGCCACAACTCTATGGCAACTGAGTTCGCCCAGAGTGACGCACTGCAGCATGTAGTGGAGAAGTGGAGTAGTGGAGGAGTAAAAACAGAAAGACGTAGCGATGGAATAAAGAACAATTCGAGGTCTGCTGGACCGGAGTTGAGAACCGTAAGTTGTGTACGAGGACAGCAGGGGCAAAGCGCTCAACCCTTGCGGTTACTTGACAGCATACATGTACACACCTTAGTTTTTGTTGCTTCAGTCAGCGTGTGTTGTGCCGCAACTCATCTCACTTACTACCATCGGGACACTTCAGCCGAAGATTGAACCCCCCCAAAAACGCCTTGCATTTCCAGGGTCCTGTTGACTAAGGTAGAGACGAAGTCTAAGGGTGTTGTAGTGTTGCTTCTGTCGGTACCTAGATACTGCAACCAGTCTGGCCGGCCCATCCTCCTCAAGCGGGAATCCCGCTGGATTATGATCGATCCTAAATCTATCTAGATACCCTAGGTCCCTAGATACCCCAGCTACCTGCTTTGAATTGCCTCTGACAACTCAGTTGTGCATGACGGAAGCGTAACTAATCGAGCTGCCCACCCTAGGGTTCTAAGGTGCGATATCCCTCCTAATAAACGCGCGGACCCCAAATCGCATCGCGGGATCAGCTCCGCCTGGACACAAGCACAGCATTTGACTGTACTGTACTGTACAGCACCCTCGCAGCAATTGAGACTTCTCTGTGTGCGCCGTTTCCAGGTCCACTTCAGCTCTCAGGTCCAATCCTCCTCCTCCACCACCACCGGGGCTCGGGAATTGCGCCAGCTCAACAGCTGCAACTTGCAAGTCGCTTGCATGGCTGCTTGCTTGTTTGCTCTGCAGCACACCAAAACAAAGCCAGGCAACGAGCATCACTTGCAACACACCGCACCGGATTTCCTCCTCTTCCTCTTCCTCCTCCTCTCCTCCTCCTCCTTGTCGCCGCCGCCGCCGCCAATCTGCACGACTTTGCCGCCCCATCTCCGCTGCGAGGTCACCAATTAGGAGACACACGGTAGCCAGAGCCCTGCATCCCGAAGAGACGCTCGGTACCCTGCCTGGCCTATGGTCGACACCAGACACACCCTGCCTACCTGACTACCCAGGACCAGGACTACCACCATTCTACCACCCGCCGCCCGCTCGCCAAAATCCGGGGCTGCAGCGTGTGCGTGCGAGCTTCTTCACCACCTTACTTCGACTTCTACGGCTCCTTTGCCTCACCGGAGAACACAGCAGCAGCTACCGAAGCGTTCGGACTGTCTTGCATGCCCATCCTTCCGTCCACCTAGTGTAGTTCTCTTCACAACCCCAGCTGGCTGCTACCCTACCTCATTGCGACTGCAAGAAGGCCGTAAGCTGCATCATTCTTTCGCTACCTGTAACCACCGACCTCCACCACGGCCACAGACGACTTCTGCGCCTTTGCAAACATTACGACGACGACGACGACTTGGATCCGAAACCGAGAACCACCGTTTGCGTTGCGATTCCTCGACTTTCAGCGGTTGCCATGTTATAGTCCGCCACACGTAATAATTACGACAACACTGAGGAGCTCCTACCATTTGTCTCGATACCCCACATCGCACGCTGCCCGCGACCGTTCATCCTCAGCCTCGACACGGCGAGGCCGGCACTTCTCTCCATCTATGACCAGCGGCGGCCAGGTCGACGATCCCACCACGCCCTGGCGACAACAATCGTCCTGGCCCTCTGAGCAGGATGGCGGCTTCTGTACGGGTCTCTGGCCCGCCAAATAGCAGCTTTCTTGTCGGGTACCCTGGTATCTCGGCGACACTGGTAAGTTTGGTCGAAGCTTATGTTCTTGAGTGTTTGATTTTCGTCTGCGCAGGAGGTGGGGAGAAATGCGAGCCTTGTCGACTGTCTGCTAACGTTTGCTCACAACATAGCCGCGGATAGAAGGCAAGGTGGAAATCAGGCCCTCGCAAGGGTATTCTGCGCCGGTCGCCGTCTCATTAGTGAGGATATGTCTACAACGGCGAGAAACAATACATCCCGCCGCCGAGAACATGGCGAAGCGACATCTTGGAACGCCGAGGAGGGAAACAACAGACGTAGTGGGCAAGGAGCTTCTCCTGTTCCGCTGTCCGGCCGGAAAGGAAGCAGAGAGTGTGATTGCGATGGATCTACCCTTCGTTCTTTTCATACCGTTCGGACGCGGAGGTGAAGAAACAAACCGAAGGATACCCCCCGCATCATTACAACTACCTAGCAGAACGGCGGAGACATATTACGAATTGGTTGTAACAGTGCAACAAGGCGCAAGCGTCCAGAACAAATATGCATTCCCCATGCCACTACAAAGATACGACACGCTATCGACGTTCGGCATGTATAACCGCCCGGAATCAAAAGTTGTAACGGCAGATAACGTCGTCACATTGGGCATATCACTACCTCGATGGAGTTATGGGCCTTTAGATCCGATTACCGTATACATCAAGCTGGCGCCAAATCCAGACTGGTTGAACAAAGCGAGAAGAGTGACGATACAGAAAATCACACTCAGCATCGAGGAGGAAATAACGTATAATCCCGAAGGCGACGAGCCAACAAAGAAGGTCAATAAGATCGCGAAGCATACTCAACAAGTCGGTACGAAGATGCCAGAGGCCGGCTACGTGACGAATTTGGGTCTTGTCCTACCGAGTCGAGACTTGAGAGATCCAGACGGTATTGTGAAGAGAGGCAAGCCTGGGTTTCCCCAATATGAGGTCACATCATTTACCACTACGTCCACCCTCTACAAGATTGAGTTCTATCTCAGTATAAAGGCAAGTTCACAGGCTGTCTTTATACATAAATCATACTAACCTCTATCGCAGGCACATATGGCTTCGGCACGCGACATCACTCTTCGCCAACCTATCGTGGTCTGCCCGATGGATCAACAAGCGTGCAAGGACGAGATGGACGCCATCGAGCAAGCCGCCAAGGATGCTTCTCATGTGGATCCGAACAACCCTATGCTTCCCGCAAGGATGATCGTCTTGGCGAACGACCGCGACTCCCTGCAACACCTTGGACTTTGCATGGTCGGAGACCAGAAGAAGCCATTGATCGAGTGATGAGACACCGATGGGCCACTTCTTTTCTACATTATTCGAACCTTATCAACACAAGGACCACAAGACCTCAAAAACACATCCCCAAACGCTGCACGCTTTACACCGTGATTGGCGGTCGAGATGAAGCCTGAAAGTGAGGCCGATCAGTCTACGGGTTTCGCCGGCTGGGTTAGAACGACATGCACCCCCTATAATGGAGTGCAGCGATTGACCAGGCTGCGGTGGAGGAGCGTGAGATGGAGATTCTAAGCGCCACCACTGTCAACGTGGCTTACAGTGAGCTGAGGGCACGCACGGGGGGTGATGAAACCCAACAATCTAACACCGTAAGCACTTCGACGGACCGAGGCGAACGGGGTGAGGCACAGCAAATATATGAGCCAGGGCACAGAAGCGTGCAAGGGCCGGCCGCCTGCGGTTACGAGCTCCCCGACACCGTTTTATTTAGGGTTGGGAAATGCTCTGCGGCATCGTGGAGCGTCGCTTGTCAGAATGGTTATGTGTTCCCGAATTGAAGCGAATTATTCATGGGAATCACTCTCAGCCGAGAGGGAAATGGATTGCCCAGGCTTGTTACGAGCGACACATCGCAGGGCGTCTTGGAACATTTCACGGCGGGCATATTTCCGGATGGAAGGATGGAAAGGGATTATCTCTTCTGACGGACGATGCTAATGTTTCTGAACCCTACAAAGTTTGTATTACAACGAGCATACTGGCGTCTTAGGGATGATGGCATAGGCGAAATAGGGCTTCTTCTTTTTTTGAGGTGTCCCACTGGCTGACTGAACTTGGAATATACCACGTCAGCTGTTTATTATCGTTATTTTGCGGCGAAACGGGAACCGGGAGACATTTCGGGTCGCAGCGCCTGATGCCCTGTTCTATTTCAATCCAGTTTATGTACGTATAACGAAACTACGTTAAACTGAGCCCCATGGATACCACAATGTAGTAGTTAATAGTCGTCCTGGTTACCTACCTGATCGAGCAGAACATGAGAGGTGCTTGGATAAGAATATTACCGAGAATCGGCATGTTGCTGACATGCTTGCTCACTTTTGTTGCGGAGTGATTGCGATTGTCGCATGCGGTCTTCCACCCAGCGGCAAGTCTGCCTTGCTTCTCTGGCGCAGGCTGACAAGACTCGAGCTGAAGGGAAACAGAGCGTCAGAGAAGCAAGGGTTCGGGGTGGACTGGACGCATTCGCCCCAAAAGGGGTATATCTTTCGATCCTCTCTGTGTCCCCCACTTACACGCAGCTCGAGCCTCTGTTGTCAGCCTGCCCTGAAGGACTTGGAAGCGCAC